TTAGCGTTAGATTATATATTTTTATTAAACTCAGAGTAGAACTAACGCTAAAACTAGAACTAACACTATACCTAGAACTAGAATCATTCGGGTTTAAGTAAAAGTAAGCTACAAAAGAACGCAAGAATCGTTGGTTTTTCGTGGTTTCTTCTTTTTCATGCTCGCCCTAACAGTCGCCTAGATAATTTCATCTAATCCCAGCAATCTTTGCGCGGAACATTCTAAATAACACTCAGCTTTGATTAGTTTCGCCAATTTTTTGCCATCTTTTATTGAAACCAGTTGAAGATTTGGATCATCAACTCGTAAATCATTTTTAGTTCCTATAAGATAAAAAAGGATTAAATAAAATTTATTTATTAATGGATCATTTTAAAGAATTTATCGTGAAAATTAAGAATCTTAAGTAAAGATGAAATTTACCGACCGGAAGTGGCCATTTTCAATTACTTTTGAGATCCACTTACTTAAGATTTTCGAAAAGATCAGATAATTCTAACCTAATTTGATGTATCATAACCTATATCTACCAAAAAATTAACTTTAAATAGCATCGATGAATCTTGAATTTATAAAGATGCAGATATCTTGGGTGTTATAATAACTAGATATGTCGAGTTTGAACTCATTTTACATGTTTTTTAATTATCTAATACAATATTTATAAATCACTTTTTCGGCCATAATGCCGAATGTTTCTAGTTCTAGGTTTAATGTTAGGTCTAGTGCTAAGTAGCGCTAGTTAACACCAGATATCATTATGTCGCATATTTTCATTGAACAGTAGACCTAGAACTAGAAAGTTTCGGGTTTAGCCGTGCGCCTTCAGACACGGCTTAACCCTAATCTTTCTAGTTCTAGGTCTAGTGTTAGTTTTAGTTTTAACTATCATTCAGCGCTAGATTGTTGTATATTTTTATTGAACTAAGAGTGGAACTAATGCTAAACCTAGAACTAGAAACATTCGGGTTTAGCCGTCTTAAAAGACATAGGGCTAAACACGAATATTTCTAGTTCTAATTTTAGTTATTCCGGAAATATCCGAACCTACGATGCAAATAGTTTAAGTTATATGGATTTAATACAAAAAGGTATATAATAAAATTAGACTAATAAAGGTACAATTCCGTGACAGGCGGCAGACTGCAAACCACAACCACAAACCAAAAGCACACTTTACTACTATTGTCATAGAGATACATGTAAACCAGTAGTGTCGCCTACAGTTTGCAGTTTACAGTCTACCGCCTGCCACGGAATTGTACTTTTAATTTTAAGTTTAATAACTTCTAACTAACGCCATATTTTGCCCGACGATCGTTTCTATTGGCAATTGCGACCTCACAGTCACACGCGGGAGACTGTGTAAGCGTATGTACTAATAGGTTTGTTCGTAGAACAGTTTCTAATTGATTGGAATCTTGATTTATAGTCGGTCACGTCAAATAATGTATTCACATGTCAATAGATGTACTTGCATTATTTGACATGTGCAAATGGAATTTCAAGTTGAAAATCAGTCAGAAACGATCTGACAGGGCTTACGTGAACAAGCGTAATATCTAATATAGAACCCACCACCGTACACCAAAATAGACTAATTTTTGAGTAAATTATGCATTCTAGACTTTTGCTCCAACCTATAATATCGTGGCCTTCGTATACAGTATTTCTCAAAAGTAACGCACAAATTCCCATTCATTTGAGATAGAAAAATAGCAGTAGCTACGCGTAACCATGGCAACCAATTGTTTCAGATATTTTATTAAAGACAATGATTAATTTTTACATGCCTATTGTTATTCTTCCACCTGCAATGAAAATTTTTATGTAATTATATACTCACTGCACATAATTCAGAAAACAATCTCTTTCAAATTACGTAATAAACAAATAGCATATTGTATTTAATAAAAACATCGATGACGTCGCAATTCGTAACATCAAAATATTAAATCTTTAGATCCGTCTCAGCGATTTTTCTATAAATAACTATTATCGTCAAATATATATCATATCATCAATGAGAGGATTAAAGAATTAAAGACCTTAAAGGCCTCGGCCGCAAGCGACCTCGGCTCAAACCTATAACATCGCTGCCTTAGTATATAAATAACTACTATCATCAATGAGATTTAACCCTTAAAAAAGACATTGTAACACTTCTACCTCGCCCGCAAGCGACCTCGGCTTAAAGCTATAACCCCGCGACAGATTTAGACCTTTCTTACTACCGAGAAAAAAAATAACAACCAGCTTCTTGGCTCGGTGTGGTGTACAGTTTAGGAACCACTGTATTAGGAGAAACACAGCAACGGTAGGCGTTATCGCCGTTAAATGTAATAAAATTAGGCTTCGACGTTGTCTCTTCCGAGAAAGATTACCATCAGATACTGAATCCCTGTACAAAAATGTCTAAATTTATTATCTATCTCTTTCAATATCTTTATTTATTTCCATATCCTTTTTTGGTCCCACCTTGAAACTCAGATATCTCATTGGTATTCTTCTTCCCGAGTCGCTCGCATTCATGTTTGTAACGCAACCGATCTTTCTTTCCGATTTCAATTTGCGTGCAAGAAAAGCACCATCTCGCCGTATATAAATAAGTTATATGTAAATGTAAAACTTGGTAACATGCTAAGTTGCGGAAAAAAAATCTGATTTGACATATGATAATTTAAATTTAGTGGGTGGGGGTTTTCAGATGATAATAGACCACATTGTGGCCCCTTATTTGAAGGGGAACCCACGCGAACATCTCTATGCATTTCCATTTTCAAGAAGCTCTCGCACAATCAAGGATACAATAACGTTACAAAAACATTCCTCAATATTAAATTTCGAATCATTTAAATCGTAAAGTTAATGGGTATTTATACAAAGCTTTTAAGAGTGAGGTATTTGAAACGGGTATACTTAACCGCGGGTAATGTGGGCCCCAATTATGCAAAATGCAAGCTAATGGCGGAAAATACACGTTCGGATCGCGGATTTACCGGATTCCCGAGGCCCAACTCTTGTGAGCTCTTGCTACCGAGATCGCGGCAATTGAAAAAGGGGCGCATTGTTCGCATTTCTTCGACAAACCTCTTTAAGATATCTCTTTGAGCGGACCCCGCGGGGCCCTCTTTAAAATCATTTATAAAACGATTAACTTTATTTTTTTCTTTCAGATTATTCGTCTTAAACAAGGATTTTTATGACGACTTGGGCCTTATCGGTTCAGATAGTTTAACTAAAAACTACTGGCCTGTTAAGTCCCAAGTTGTCTTTTTTGAAGCATTAATCGGATCAAAAAGAAGAATGATTTTATGTAATTCTTGTTGAGTTGAAGCAATTTCGGGGTTTCTTAGCGGCATTTGCCTAAATTTGATTGCAATGCCCTTGGAAATCCCAAAAGACGCTCAACTGTACCGCTTTTAAGTTTAAGGTTAGAATTTAAAAAAATAGAAACAATTTTTATAAATAACCAAATAAATGTTCACTTACCTTTGTAATTAATCAAATCGTTGTGATGGACCCCCTTTCTGTAAATGATGAAATTAAATAAATTAATTATAAATAAAATTAAAATGTCAAAACTAAGTTGAACGGTAAACAATTTTAAGCGCCATCTATGAATACTAAGGGCCTCCATCAATTTTAAGGTTAAATTAATAAGTATTAATCTTTACCATTTTTCTTTAGTTGAAAAGTGAATTTCATTGAAATTGAGTTATTTGGAGATTGAAACACTCAAGAAATGAGTGATAATAATCACTTCTTTTAACACAGATAAAGATTTTACAACAAACTTTTAACACAAATCAACTCGCGCGACCGTCAAAAATTAACTGTCAAATTAACGACTATAAAAAATATTTTATTTATAGAAAGTGTTTCATATTAAGTTTTTTATGTATTTTTACAAACAAATAATTAATTCTTTAGTAATTGTATGTATAAATAAACAATAAGATAATGTTTCATAATAGAAATGTGAAAATCCTTTAATTTTGTTTGCTTAGTTCTACATTTGATTTATAGATGTCGCCACATTTAATTAATTTTAACCTGTTTATAAATTAAATATTTATTATTTTAAAAAAACATCCTATTCGTTTATGTATTTATTCTTTAAGGTAATAAAAATAGTTTTTATAAATAAATAAATAAATTTTCACTTACATTTTGTTATTAATAAAATCCTTTTGTTAAATCCCCTCTGTAAACAACAAAATGAAATAAATTAAATTAAGGTAAATTAAACTAAAATAGATGAAATTAAAATAAATTAAAAGAAGTAAAATTAAATTACATAAATAAAATGAAAAAAAATTAAAACAGTAAATTTGAGCACCATCTGTCAATTGTAAGGTTAACTTATTAAGTATTAATTTTTACCCTTTTTCTTCAATTAAAAAGTAATTGGAGAATTAAACACTTAAAAACTGATTAGTATTATTCATTTTCCTTAATAGGGAAAAAGTTTTTTCGACATCTTTTAACACAAATCAACTCACGCGACTGTCCAAAAATAACTGTCAAATTAACGATTACAAAATAAAAGTTTCGCAATCGAACAAGAGATGACACATTATATTTATTTACAACCAGTCATATTTGTTTTATTAATAAATATATATATCATCCTGCTAAATCATATAAGGATTTAAGTTTTAAAAATTAAAACAATAAATCAGTCTTAAATGTTGTTTTCTTTTTCTTTTAATTTATTTAGTGTTTTTAATTGAAGATCGAATGAAATTATTAATTAATTTTGTACTTACCACCTAATATATTACATTAAAATGAAATGAGTTATAAAATAATCTAATAATAAGCGAGAAGCTAATCGGTAACAGAGTGAACGCTGTTAATAAAGAATTAAAAAGAATAGATCATTGACGAGATTAAAAATCAGATCATGACTAGAAAAATTAGTCTCACTTCATAAATTAAACGAAATCTATTAATTTATCTTCAAATATCCTAAGAATATTTTCTTTAATTATTTCTTTTTAATATTAATTAATTATCGCTAACTCTACTTTATCTTTTCTTCTTAATCCTCGTTTATCGTTAAACATTAACATTATTAATCTCATCATCAAAAAACAATCAAATTAAAATTCCGATAAAAATAACAAATTAAAATGGGACAATTAAATAAAAATCATCAAACGGTAGTTCCGTAAGTGCTAAATACAACTCTAGTACTATCGCTATCTAATGTAACATCTTCTGGACTGGCCAAATCAACCCGGACGCTGCCTGAATTAATCCGTTTTCGCTGTCCCCATTTATTCAACGTCCATTGATAAACCCCGGAATTTCGATTCGAATCGTTATTCAAAGATTCATCTCCGGTACATGTATTTGGTGTTTCAATTGTTTCCGAACTAGAACTTGCCGTTTCGAAACCTTGTATTTCAAATGGACGACCAGCTTCATCTGGTGAAATATGACTTTCTTCGATACCCCTCAAAATACTTTGACAAATCTCCGATTCCAAAGGAATTGGGTCATCGGAATCTCGATTATAAATTGTTATAGCGATATGCGCTGGATGAGGAATTGGAAGGGGGATAACCAATTTATCTGGCATATAAGGTTTTGGTTTTTTCTTCCAAGGCATCCATAAAGAAACTTTATTTGTTGAGTTTTTTAACGAATTAATTGGCGTATTTGATTCTCTATAAATAAAAATAATCAATCATTTGAATTGAAATCGTTATAATGAACTTACGGCCTCTTTTCAGGTTTTTTTCCCGTACAAGCCCATTTAGCACGGGGATTAAACGCCGAAACTTCCAAATATGGTGATTGAACTTGTATATTTCCTCTCGGTGTGTATACATTCCCCAATAAATCAGGTCCACCCACACCTAATTGGGCACTATGAACCATCTCCGTGTACCTCGATAAATCAATTTGAGGATGTGGGTCAAGCCGGAAACTCGTATCCGAGTGATCCAACGGGGTTAAAATATCCAAGCTAAATAATTCAGAGTACAAAACCCCCGCTAATCCGGGCCAATCACCCGGAGTAAGCGTTTTCGCATCCCAAAATTGCTCCTCGCTACAACTCATCCTCGGAAAAACATGAATGGGATAAAATCGCTCCAACATTAAAGCACCTTGTTGAATCGCAATTTTTAATTCGTTCATACTCAACTTAATCCGACTTTTAACAGTCACACTTAACCCCGTTTGCAAATCCCTCCGTCGTTTTTCCAATTTTTCGTGTAAAATCCCCACGAGATCTTGAGCCTCCTTCTCCAACATTTTATATTGACCGTTTTTCGCTAATTGAGTCGAAAAGCTTCCAAAACAAGCCTCAATGAATTGGGCAAAATCTTTTTGGGGCTGCATAATCGTGTTTTCAACTATTAATTGATACGCGGAGAGCTCATCCCATTCCATTTTCGCCTCAAAAGCCGCCAAAGCTTGTTCCGGGCTTATTTGAAAATAATAATCCGCCGCTAATCCCGGCCCAGCAATTCTTTTCACAACGAAACTATCGCTTGCGGGAATTCGACCACGCTTCTTTATTATTAAATGAAAAAGAGTTGTATCCCATAATAATCGTAACCAATATCGAGAAACACCACCTAAAATGTCAAATTTAAAAACGTCAAATTAAGAAATGTCATAGAAGTCAGTTTAAAAGTGAGGTTATGTTAAATTTTTTTTAAATCAAAATCAACGACTGTAGAATCTAAGAGGACTGCTCCATTCGGGCAAATACTTAATTTATTCTGTTTCTTCTTCTAGATCAAGTGTTAATTCTAGTCTTGGTGTTAAAAAGAGAATTAAGTTCAATTAGGATACGTTCGGAAATGTCAAAATTTTAAAAGATCTTATTGACTTAATTTTTTGGAGTTAAGAAACGATTTATATCATAAATTAGAGATAAAAGATGCTGTTTTCAATATCATATAAAAATTGTTGAGTTATTAATAAAAATTTGTAGCGAAAAAGTCATAACATGGAATCAACAAAAGATGGCGCTAGTGAGAAATTAGAAATTGACAAGTCCTTTTAAATTCTACTGTACTTGAAACAAACCTGCTAAAATAATAAGAGCTATTAATGGACAAATAACAGCAGCGACAAATAAAGCCAAAATCGGTTGGATTAATCCCTCGATTATAATATTAAAAATCAAAGCTTCGAAAACGATGAAATATCGATTCTTCTGACTCTCCGGGCTATCGAGGTCATAAATCAATCCATTCGTTATTTGGACCCCCAAAGTTAAAACGGGCATCCACAAAACAGCGAAAACGGCCACAAAAAGACTCCCCACGATAACCGCAACACAAACAACCGGAAAAACCACCACTAAAAACAACGTCCCGCACAATCCTTTCCCGGCGTAATTCCAAACTCGATTTAAATGTCGCGTTAACCCTTTCCCAATGAACCCGGTGTCGGGTTTCGTTTCAAAATGCGTCCGAGATTTCGAAATGTGTCTCCACAAATTAACCAACCGCGAACAAAGCGTCGACGTCAAACTGCTTTTTCTTGGAAACAAGGTTCCATTCACTTGGGATAACTCTAAATCGGGCATGAAGGGTTTTACGCAAAGAAGGGCTCGCAACCCCACCGGGCTACACCATGGCAAAACAACCCCAAAGAAAAACATTGCGTTCCAGGTCCAACACCACGATCGATGGAAATAATTAAAAACGCGCCATAATGGCCAACGGGTTGTTGTGGTTCTTACGATTTCTTTTTCAACCAGAAAAACGGGCTGACTCGGATCGGAACGTGGCGTTGTTATGCTTGTCGCTTGTTTGCTTAGGATGGTAGGAATTATTTCTGATTGACCTTGAAAACTGCGACGAACAATCCAATTCGTTGGTAACCAGATTTGGGTGGGCCATAAAAAACTACGCGTTGGGGTTTTTACTTTGCGTAATTCACGTAATAAAGCTGGTTCTCTCTAAAAATTAAAAAAATTTAATAAAAAAAAATTAATTGAATAAATTTTTTAACCACCTCTTTCATAAAAGCGAGATCACGATTTAAAAAGTACATAGTTTGATTAAGTTTTTGTTGTGTACAATACGATAAAGCCTCCTGATGGGCGCTCCATTGATTTTCGAAGCTAAACCTAACCTGAGCTGCGTGTAATTTAGATCGTAACCAAGGTTCGATTCTCGATAAAACTGGGTGTGTGTTGTAGAGTTTAATTCTAAAACATTCTTGGCTTTTGGTTAAACGCAATTGAACGCTTTCCACGGCTCTAAAACAAAAAATTAATTAATTTATTGTTACTTAAAAAAAAAATCTTTTACCGATGCATTAAAACAACACTTTGGGCTTGTTGCACAAACAACTGGGGAATTCCTTCCCCTAAAGCTTGGATATCAGCGTGCGATAAGATACTGTTATAAACCCTTTGTAAATATTCCTTCATAACGGCTTCATTAACTTGTTGTTCAATATCTTCGTCGCACATTTTCTCAGCTCGGAGCTCTGCAATGAGACGCTCTCGAAAGTGTAGAAACCACCCGCGAGTTTCTCGCTCTAAAATTGATACCAAAACGGGGATCGCTTTTCTTATTAAAGTCCGATCCCAAAGTCTTAAATCTAATTCGGTGGTTGCCGGAGTCAAATATTTGTAGGGAACGGAAACTGGAGTTTGAGTGCACTCTTTAGCAACCTCAAATTTTTCCGTGGCAGCTCTACGCAGTTGTTTACGAACGTACGAACACAACATTTCCAACGAATCTTCATGTTCGGGCTAAAAATTAATAAATTAATTTCAAAAAAATTAAATGAAACCAACTTACCCTGCAAACTAATTCAGCAACGAGGTATTTACTACGTTCCTCGCGGATTTTCGTGTCCAAATTGTGAGCTTGCAAGCTCGGAATTCCAATTAAAACATCGATTATTCTTAAAACCCCTTTTAAAAGACTCTTTAAAGCTTGGGAAACGCTGAAAAAATGCGAAACGAGCCTCCCTTTCCCGGTTACCACCAAAAACCGTAACGATAAAGCTAAATCGTTGAGGAGAGATTCTCGACTGCGCTCCGTACCTTTCTGAAGTAATTGAGAAAGTTGCCATTTGTGCTGTTGACCCGGAAAATTCAATGATTCCACTTCAAAAGAACTGAAAAAATTTCAATTCATTCTTAATAACCCCAATGATAATTTTTTATTTATGAAAACAAAAAAAAAATTTAAGTCAAAAAAATGACATTGACGTTTATAACGTGGCGCCATCTATTATGAAATAAAAAAATTTAATTGTAAATTTAAAATCATTTAAATAAATTAATAAAAACCACACGGACACATCTAAACATACCCGTGACGTCTAATTGACTCTAGTTGTTCGCAGTTGAGCCGTTTCGGCTTTCCATATTTATCCTTGTGCAAGCTTTTACAGATGTAATAATAAAAAACGTCAAAAAAAAATCGTTTAGATGTTTTCGCAAAAAAACGAAAAAGGTTTATGAAATACAATGAAAACCTTACCGTTTCGAAACTTACCCTCTTTCCCGGATGTACTCTAATTGTTTTCCGGTTAATTTCCTCGGCTCGCCTTTCCCGTCAACGGCGACCGCATCCAATTCGTCAAAAGATGGCGCCACAAAGAGATCGCGAAGGTGGAATTTACAACGAGATCGGGATAAAGATCCGTCCGAAGAAACTTGTGATGTTGGAAATGAATCGGTTTGAGAAACCGGAGTTGGAAGAACTAAAATTAATTCAAATATAATAATCTATTTATCTAATTTGGTTTAACTCACCGATAGGGAAAGTTTTCCAATGATACAAAAACGTTTCAGCAACCTGTTTGATGTTTTTAACGAGTTGTTCGACTTCAGGAGGAGCCCCAATAAGATTTACATCAAATTTTAGTGGTTGTCGTTCCGGGAGAGTAGAATCAACGGAACCATCTACGAATTAAAAAGATTTTTTAAAAATTTTCTTAAATTTCCAATTAAATCTGACCTTGTGTGGGACGTAATGGCAACAAAGTGGTTGGGCGAACAATCATTTGATTAATATTATCATTGGCGAGACCTTGAGCCGAACGAAATTCTAACCTGTTCGATACTAAATCAAAAAATTAATTAATTTAAAATTATTTTGATTAATTTAACTTACATTGTGATGAACCAGATTCGGTTCTTTCACGTTCTTGCACCCCCGATTTCGAACGATGATGTTTCCGTTCTTTGTGTTCATCGTAACTTTGCCCCGAACCGGAAGAGTGCTGATGATGGCCCCCTGATTCCGAACGTCTATGTCCGGTCGAGGATTTACTTCCAGAATGGGGCCTCGAACTCATTTTAACACTTTCATTTTGTTATATCCATCTAAAACGTTTTAATTAAAATAATTTAATTTATATACAGGGAGTTTAATTATTAATTAATAATTGTTTCTTTTTGAGTCTGATGATTTAACTTACTTAACACATTGAATTGAACGCTGAATTGTGTTTTAAACAGACACAGCATGGATGGATTAATGGGAACGGTGGGGCCCGCGCTAAAGGGGTTTCGTTTGAAACCACCCGAGGAACGGTAACACTCCAATTTTAGGCATTTAAAACGTGAGAATTGGGGCACCAAATGCACACACTATTCGGTGACCGCCGCATTCCAAAACATCCTTCCTCTACTTCAACAACAGCTTCTGTTTCTTTCTAGGACATACACCCTTCTTTCGATAATCTCGTTTAGAATTTGCGATTCGACCGCCATCTATTTTTTGAAAGACTAATTTAAAAGATCAACAAATAAAATTTATTATTAATTTAAATTAAACAATTAAGAATTATTATTTATCAAATTTGAATTAGTTTATAAAAATATTTGTTTATAATTATTAAGATCCATAGATGTCACCACCAAAAATTAATCAAATAAATAAACTAAACATAACCTCACTTTAACTTATTAGGATTAATCTCAAATTTATCTTAAATAATGAGTATTGAGCCAACGGGGAGTGATATTTTAGATCAATATAGAGCCACATCGAATAAATTAAGAAAGTAATTCATCAAAACTTATTAAATTAAATAAATAAAGAATTTTTTTAGGAGATTTTTAAGAAAACCCAACTTAACGGAAGCTTGTGAATCTTTCACTGCTTTGGGTCAACACTGCCAAAATGAAGAACTTCCTTCATACGCGGGGCTTTCTTATATAGCAGCGGCGAGGTGTGAAGGTTCCTTAGGGAATATATCCGGAGAAACTTGGAGTTTAATGAAAGCGGGGCGTCAATTTTTATCTGCGGAATTAAACAACAAAAAGCTTGAATGTCCAAGTATTTGCAACGAAAATCTCCAAGCGGCGATAAGTTGCTTCACACACGCCTCCAGTCGAAATTCGGAGAAATCACCCTTAAATATATGCGTCGATTTCGAGATAATTGAATCGTTAAATCGATTAGATCTCGATGGAGTTAAAGAAATGTACTTAAAAGATGCGATCGAGCTCTCAGAGGATTCCCTCGATACAAAAATTTTTTGTTTGAGTTCTGCAGCAAACGATTCAATTGAAAACGAGGATTACACGTCGGCTTTGGAATATTTCACGGAAATTTTTAATATTATCGAGAAAAGCCCGATTAACGGGGCAAGATCTGATGTTTTATTGGATGCGGAGATTTCTCGAGTCTTTTTGTTATTAATTTTAAGGCCGAGTCCGCATAAATTAACGCAAAATTTAGCGCAAGTTTTGGAAAAGTATACTTGGGGTGATAAAAAGAACCAAAACTCAATTAGTAATATAATTATAAATTAAAAATTAATATGAGATTGTGATTAAATTTTTTTTTAGGTTATGGAATCTCCGAAGATTTATTTATTTTGTTACAATCAATCGTTTTAACGTGTCAATCGTTGGATTATTCGACGCTTCCGGATTTGGAAGCGCAACTTTGGAAATATCTTAATGTGAAACAACGGGATCTGTTGAGAAATCTCATTAAAACATATGTTTAATTAGAAGGAAGAACAAATAGTTTTTAATTTAAAATATCTTTATTATAATATTATAGAGGTGGAATACAGCAATTATTCTTTTTTTAATTAATTAATTTTATTTGTATCCGTTAATGATAACGAAAAGAAAATGTATAATTAATAAAAGAGAAAACGTTCCGTAAGAATTATTTATTTGAAATTTGATTTTCTTGGAACTATTTTTTTAATAATCAGAAAGAAGAAGAACATCATGGTGTCGGTAAAGTATATTAAAGTATTTTTGCACTACCACTAGAAATGTATAACTATAGGCCCGCTACAATTTTAAATTCAATTTTTTTTTCTTTAATATTTCAATTAATTATTTTAATAACTACCTAACTACAAATACAAGTACATAATGTATATTTAGAAAAATTTGTTTTCCTTTTTTGACTCTAGGTTACAGCTTTTACGAATAAGAGTAAAGGGCACAAATAAAAACCATTTTCGCATTTTATTTTGAAAAAATAATAAATATCTCTTTCATGGTTCACCCTTTATAAAATATTTTCGTTTGTATAATATCTTTTTATATAATTTTGTGTTTATTTAACCCATTAACACAATACCTTCCTAAAGTGTTAAAGGGTTCATAAAAAAGCTTGGTTAATTTAATTCTTTTTTGTGGTGCATTCTGTACGTAGAATATTTACTTTTTTTAACAAAAATATATTGTAAACATAATCTTATAGTTTATAAATCCTTTAATGTTGCATTTTAACTTAAATTTGAATTCTTAAATTGACATTTCATTATTAATTCTTGTAACAGATGTCGCTGCTAAAAATATTCCAACAAAACGTTTATTTATTGTTAAACGCTTATTAAACCTGATTAACACACATAAACCGACAAAAATTAATTAATTTTCTTACTACTTTTCTATAATAATTAATATTTTAGTTTACGAAAGTTGAGGTTATGTCACATCTCACTCAAAATTAATTATTTTATCTCAAATTAAATCAATTCTTAATTGTTAAAAATCTTTCTTTGTATCTAAATCGAATTCTCTTCTTTTCGGCGCGTTTAAAATAAAATTGGATTAAAATTTTGTCGGCCCATGTCACTTTTGATATGTTTGAGGTTATAATGCAACATTAGAATGTATTTTAATGATTTCTTTACAAAAAAATGTAAATTCAATATAATTCCTAACTAAACTATGATGTATTTGAATAAAGAATGAAAAAAAAATGATTACGTAAAAACTACTGACTCAAAAACTTTTTGACATAACCAAACTTAAAAAAAAATCTTTTTGTTAATTCACAGCCAAAAATGATTAATGAATTTAATCCAACTAATTGTGATTTATTAACAAATGCGTTTTCTAATTATTTTGGATGTTTGTAGTATCGGTTAAGTACGAACAACGAAAAAATTGTTACTTACGAGTCAGTGCGAAAGTCAATAGTTTTCACATAAAACCTCAATAAATTAAATTAATTTGAAGTTCTAAATTTGATTAAAACAACTAACAAGAAACCAACACTTCCAAAACATTTCTAATCGATAAGTTGTATAATCGTGTTGTTAATTTTATTTTTTACCACATTTATTTTATTTATAAATATTCCTGGTTATTTCTTTTTTGATGTGATCATAAAAAAATTTGTTACAAAAAAAAATTGTTGCAACATCACAATTTTTTCGCCACCAATTCCAATTTGTGAATCCGGAATGTTTAATTAACAACATAACCTCAAACGTCAAATTAATAAAATTGATTTTATATAATCCGGAATGTCTTTTTTCTAATTAGAAATTAATAAATTTATTTCGTGGGTCGAATCTTGTGATGCCGACCAATTTTTTTTCACCTAGTTACATAACCTATATAACTTTATTCTTTAGATATTATTCGCGAGGTTGATCGGTGTTTGACAATATGGGCACTCGCTCTGCGTGTGCGCGCACAAGTTGCATAACACGAAATGATTACAATTGAGCGTGACAGTTCGATTACGTTCCTCGCAGACCATACACTTCGATGCGGTCTCCCGATAGAGCACTTTATCAACCTCTTCTAAATCTTGTCTTAATTGAGCTTGGATATTTTTTAATACGCTCAACGGCAACTTACTAAGTTCAGAAACTTTTTTAATACTATGCAAATGCGGTCCGCCCTGTTGTTTCTCCAATTCCTGCTTTAAATTACTACACTGCGTTTGTACATCGCTTAATTTCCCCTCGGTCATTTGTACTTTACGATTTGCCTCCTCAGTTTCTCTTTGCCAAGCCTCGCAAGCCGTTCGGGCTTGCGATAAACGTTCCTCCCAATTTGAAATTTGTAATCGAGAATTATTCAGTTCTTCGCGTAACCGTACTATTTCCAAATTGTTTCCTAATCCAGGTGACATATTAAAATTGTTATGGTTCCGATTAGTCGGCGATGATAAGCTTTGATGCGATGGGAAATCGAAAAAATTCGAAAAACTATTAATTTTCGACGCAGAACTGCTCAACTGAATTTGAGAATGATTCATGAACGGATCCATATGCTCCGGTTGCGAAAAACGAGTCGCCGATAAAAAGCTACTATTCAATTGCTGCAACGGGCTATTACTCGTCGGACTAAAAGCTAACGGAGCTCCTCCTCCACTTCTTTGAGCACCCGGAATATTCACAGGAGCCGAACTACCCAATAAACCAGACGTTGCCAACCCAACCGAAATCGAATTTGTCACCGTGGGCGAATCACGCTCTAAATCCCGATCCAAAGACGCTAAATTAAGCGGATCTTCGATGTGTAACTCATCTAATGCGTTTCCTAAATTAAAAAAGACTCAATTAAAATTGTTCCTTTAGTTATAAAAAAACATTTACCAACTACACTCTCTACGGTATCATTTCCGGTGAAGAACGAGGATGGCGGCCCAATTCCTGTATACGCTAAACACAGATTTTGTTTCCTTTGTTCTCTCTCTATTACATCTAAACGCATCGTATCGGCAAAAAACACCAAAAAAAGAAACAGACGCGTGAACGCGACGAAATCAAACGCAAACGCTCTTAATAAGTGACTCAAAAAAAATTAGAACGATAAAGAAACGATTACTCACCTAAATTTGGATCACGTTCGATTGCTAACAATTGTTTGGCTAATTCGTAAGTGTTTAATGTGTTTGGCCTATGATATGGGATCGGCTTATGAGTTAGCTGAGCCCCCGGTGCCTTACTATGAGAACTATTCGAACCTAACGATGATGTTGATGCTGATTCAGATACTTCGCTACTTCCATTCTGGAAATTAAAATAAAATTAATTAAGTATCTTTCAGCGCTAGATGAGCGCAAGACTTAGAACTAGAATCATTCGAGTTTAGCCGTCTTAAGAGACATGCAGCTAAACCCGAATGTTTCTAGTTCTAGGTGTAGTGTTAGTTCTAGTGATAGTGCAAAACTAGAACTAACACTAGACCTAGAACTGAATAGGTTAATAGTCTAATAGATTTGTTTTTAAATAAATCTAAAAATCATACAGTAAGGGATAAGTAAATAAATAAAAATAATTACATAAATTTCGGATTAACTTACACTACTATCGCTACTTTTTTCCTTTTTGTCAATAGACGGGGGTAAAACGTTGGATAAGATCTCTTGAAAATTAGTGCCGGTATCCAAAGAACCAGCGGCTTCTCTAGAAACCCCCATTTCCTCTACGATAAACGCTATCATTCAATTATTATTATTTTATGGTAAACACAGTAAACCCAAAAAAATAAAAACTTACGCTCAACGTGAGCAAACGCACAAAAAACGCCCCTGGGACAATAACCAGCTTGTTGGACATCGTTGCACTTTGTACTCTTGTAAATCTCCGGATGGAACTGCTGTTCGGTTCTTGTGTGACAATACGAACACAAATCACCCGCATCACAATTTGCGGGCTCCCCCCATTCCTCCCCGTGCTTCACATTTGGACATGGCGTCGATCGGTATTTAAATTTCCGCGGACTTCGGCGTTTATCTTTGCTATTATGATATTGGGGACAGGCATATCCCTGTCTGCACAACCTAGGGGGCCGTTTACACGGCTCTGTCTTGTAATTCGAAAGTACATAATTCGTGTCTTGCCATTTCGGGTCTTCATTCATTAAATTCCGTTCTTTATCTAGAGCGTTGGGGCCGTTCGCGGAATTTCCTTCCGCTTCGGCCGCTTCCAACGCTTGAATCTCTTTAATATCGTAAACCGGCGGTCGGTGATCTTGACTACCGTGAGCGAACGCACAGTGCAAACCATTTTTAACGCAAAATCCGCGGGAATCTGTGTCATGAACGCACATACACGTTTTGTAATATCTCAAGTGATATCTGCGTTCTGTATCACCGGCTGTTCTATGTAAAAAAGGGCACCTAAAGAGAAAAAAATTAATTAATTTTTTTTGACAGGTTAAAAGTAAGGTTAGAAATTTAAAAAAAAAAAATTTTTTTTGGTTTAAATATATTAATTTATGTAAAGTGGAGTGAAATGAATGAATTTAAAGAAAAATTAGATAAACAGGTGTTTATTTTTTGTGGGTAAACATAAAATTTATAGATAAATATATATATTTTTTTGTAATTGACAGGTGCTATCAAAAAAGTTAGGTTATATAGTTGGTTGTTTAACAATAAAAATTTGTGTAGACTTACTCGTCGCCATCGGGGCAAATGCCAGTGGTTTCATCATATTTCGAACAGTAATTGTCGGCGCTATAATTAAACGTGCCGTCGCGACGCCGCACCGGTCTCCTACGTCGCTGATTCATAAAGTGCCAATGGAAACAGGTAAACGGTCTGTGCTGTTGACATTTGTGTTGTAGGAAGAGCGGGCATTGCTCCACCCGAAATTCCTTCAAGTATCTGGAAGAGGAACGGCCAGCGGGGCCCGTTAAAACCGTTCGACGGAAAAGTCCGGGGTTCGCGCACCGTCGTCGTACGGTGAGCGAAACCGTCGATGGGGCCACTTACGAGTAATGATTGGGTTTTTCCGTTTGGGCTGTCAACAAAGGTTTAGACTCTGACGGCATTTTGTAATCACTGTGGCGCAGTGGAGCTGCGCAGGGCACGCCGCCAATCGGCCAATGAACGAAAATGATACGGGTCACGTGACGCGACGAATTTTCCGTAGCCTTTCCTTTACGCAAGGACGTTTATGTTTTGATCGAAAATTGCATCGACCAAAAAATAATTTAATCTTAAATAACTTGTATCACTTTTAAAACTGTTACGTGCGGTCATGTTTCTTTCTTTTATCACTTTTTCTGATTTCAATTTTATATCAAACGTCAAGGTTGAAAGGTTATTTAAGGTTAACTTCTTTATTACATCAAGTTGGTACCACTAAATAAACCAAAAAATATCACCAGATTATTTATTCATTATTAATATTTATTTATAATTAATTTTGAAATAAAGTTTTATAATAATATTTATGCGTAAATTTCGAATTCTGTAAAGTGATAAATTAAATTAAATGTTTTTACCGAACCTCGTTAAACAAGACAACTGTATCATAAAAGACAATTTATTGTTATCTTTTTTAATCAAATCCACTCTAAAATTATTGCAATTCGTAACCTAACCTTTAAATCTAAATCGTTGTCAAAAATGAAGAAAAATCGTCCTCAACCAATCACAAATGAGGTCATTTTATGTACAAATTTAAAATTCTCATAATTAAAAATTTGGTGTAATAAATCGTAAGAATTTTAATTATATGATTTCACAAAAGTGTTTTGGTTGAATAACACTTTCTTTTTCGTAAAATTAACAATTTATTGCCAAAAATTAATTTAATGTAGATTGTTGCCGCTAGATGGGGTGAATTTTATGGATCAAAATTCTTTTAAATCTCGTAAATGAAAATTGTTCGTAATAAATCACCAAAACATAATCTATTAATAATTTATTTCCATCTATTGTGTATTCATCGATTTTTTAAAATGTTCCAATTATACAAGATGTCAAGTAGATTTACAAAGTACCGCTGTTTGACGCCATTTTGGCTCGAAAGTCAAGCGGGAAATTTAAAACTATGTCGTTCTATTGATAACATTACGCCAAAACTCCATTCTTTTTTCTCGTGGTACTGTTAAGAGTCGAAAGCCCTTCTTACTGCTATTTTTGCAACTCCAAAGGCAACAAGACGGCAATATTTTTGTAAATAAGTGGTGAGATGCAGTGACAAGTTGTCAAACCGCCATTTTGGGTCGAAAACAGGCGTCATGAACCGCGGTACTTTGTAAATCTAGGGACTTTAGATGTAAGATGTAATATCAAAGTACCGCGGTTTGCCGCCATTTTGGCTCGAAAGTCGTCCTAACCTATCCTAACCCCTTGGCCCTCTCGGTCATGTTTTTACCCAAGGTTTATAGAACATAAGGTTACCTCATTCCCTATGCCTCTGTCACAGAATAACCAGAAATGACAGTGAGCCCGTCTAGACAAAATGGGGCCTTGTGAATCGCCATTTTATTGGAGTTTATTTTGAGCTAATATCACATCGGTTTATTATTTACTAATAAAAGTTTAACATACTGACTCTAACCTAAAGTCTATTTATGATATATACATAAGTTTATATAAGTACGTGATCTCAAATAATTAAATAATGTTTCTTATCATTAACTGTTTGGGTAAATTACTAAGAACGTGTAATTCTGTCCTTAAAATTATCAATAACGATGGATTAAAAAAATTTATATTGCAATTCTACTTTTATATATAAATTGTGTATGTATATTATATTATTAAATAAAATAATAGTATAAACACAAAAAAAAAATGCTGTGTATAAATAATTCTTTTACGATACAAATTTAAGCGTGTGAACCTGTATTATAAACTCCAATAAAATGGCTGAAACAGTGGAGCCATACATGGCGCCAAAGCATCGAGGTCCCAAACTCGCCAATCTAAAACATCAAACGTTCCGACAAAGCTGTCATTTCTGGTTATTCTGTGCCTCTGTAGTATCGATTATTACCCCGCAAATTGACGTCACTGGTTCGATACAGTCAGAATAAAAGATAGCCTATACGTGCCTATACTGTGGTACAGTCTTGGGTACAGTCTATATAAAATATTTAAACCTCGCATCGTGTTGTGTTGTTCATAGAACCAGCTACGTCACTGACCCACCTTGCCTCTCAGAGGAGGAGAATCGGTATTGGGTAACCTTATGTTCTATAGACCTTGGTTTTTACCCAACTGTTGTACATCACCCCCTCGCTCATTTCTCTGTCCACATCATAAACTATCATCTTAGGTCCCACCATGGCTGGTTCCCGTATCGTTATATCTTTCCCCTAATCCTCTCCCTTACCAATTCAACATACCTCACCAAGTCTCCCTCTATTAATAAATAATAAAAAAATTAATGTAGTACTGATATTTATTTAAATAAACTTACATAGAAAAAACTTAGAAACTAATGTGTACATACTAAAGGACAGAATACAAGGTGTAAAATTTTAATTTTTGACTACTCATCAAAAATTCTAAATGTTACACATTGTCGGAATTAAAAATTCCCATACATATCCAATGAATCATATATAAATCCATACATTTTTTTTTATTTTCACGTATTAATCGTTTAAACGCTACATTAACGGCAGTAAGAACTCGTAAACTAAAGGCCCCACCAGAAAAAAAAATAAACAAATGTGAACTTAGCTACAATAAGATTTAAACAATCAAATTAAAATTTTTCGCTGTTGAAACTACCGTTTAGAAAAGATCGAGATGATGATTTTAGGGCCAGGAAATAATTTATTACTTTTTTCTTTTAAAAAAACCATTTAACATAATTCAAAAACAAAAAAAGAAACTTTAAAAAAATTAAACGAACACAAAACACTTGTTTTAATGTGAATAATCACCAAAATATCAACTTAAGCTCGTTCACCGCGGATTCGGCGTGCCAATTGGATGTCTTTCGGCATAATGGTGACTCTTTTAGCGTGGATAGCGCACAAATTGGTGTCTTCAAAGAGACCAACGAGATAAGCTTCACTAGCTTCCTATAAAATAATTAAATTTGACTACAAATTAATTAATCAATTTATATTAGTTACCTGAAGAGCCCCGATTGCAGCGGACTGAAAACGTAAATCAGTCTTGAAATCTTGAGCGATTTCTCTCACCAATCGTTGAAACGGCAATTTTCTAATCAACAATTCAGTAGATTTTTGATATCTTCTAATTTCACGGAGGGCTACGGTACCCGGGCGGTAACGATGGGGTTTTTTAACTCCTCCAGTCGAAGGGGCCGATTTACGGGCTGCTTTCGTCGCCAACTGCTTACGGGGCGCTTTTCCTCCCGTAGATTTACGGGCTGTTTGCTTTGTACGGGCCATCTCAAATCACTAAAAAATAAAATTATTAAAAATAAATTAATTAAAAATTTAATTTTAAATTTTGGCGGGAAAAAAGAAATCACGTGGTTAACTTCACAACAATTAAAACAACGCCCCCTACATTAACTCCAACTTTCACGGCATCAGCATCTCTTCAACCTTTGTTATTAAATTAATCCCGCCCAAAATGATTTTAAAGCTAAAAAATAATCTGAATGCACCGATTCGGTGTTAACTAACTCTCGCTCGCAGTTTGAAATAAAAAAAAAGCGATTTTTTAGGGTTTTTTGGGCATCAAAAGTCTAGAGAAAAATCTAAAAAATTCGCCTACGGTGAAAACACGTAATGGCGGCCGTTTCTAGGTTTCCTCATTGATCACAAAAATTTTCGGAAAAACACCTTTAACGTCCTATTTGAAAATGTTAAAACGCGTTAAAAGGGGAAATAACGTCGCGTGGGGCGTTTTTAACGCGAATTTGGGCCGATTCGAAAGATTTTAACTTACACTTCAATCCGTGACAATTCGGAATACACTAATTTCACGTCTTGCAACTGCAGATGCACGAACACAACTGACGCTACGCTTCGAATGTTTATATTGGATAAGGTTCTGGTGAATAAGCGCTTTTGATTGGTCAAAATAACGACGCTCCCGATTGGTCCGTTAGAGGTCACCTAAGATCAACCTCGGATTTTCAAAAATCTGTGCTAAATTATTTTATATAAACGTGATTTTTTACTAAATTATTGCGTTAATTAAACGTGTGATTGCTCAAAAATGATGTTTTTATACTTATTTTTAATTTTAATACAAAACAAGTCCGAACTCGATCGGGGTTATGACGCAAAATTGATTTATTTGACGTCATGGCTATATTTAGACGGAAATTTCAACGTTTATTTAGGATTAATTAATAACAAATTAATTAATTAAATAATTCGTGATTAATAAATTAAAAAAAGTTATTTTATTAATCGAAAATAATTTGGAATTAATTAAAAATTACGATTTTATGAATTATTATGTATTTTTATGTATTTAAGATAATAATTTCCCATTACATAAACCTCAAACATCATTTTCCTAATTTCCTCAACAAATAAATACCTTAAAATTTACACAATTTATTAAAATTCATCTTCGTGATGATTCAATTTCATCTAACCGTTTGATTATATCCCGAGTTTCCAAACCATGCCGTTTATTATAATCTAAAAGTACACGAAGCTGGTGCTCCTCAAGTCCTTCAATTCGAGCGTAAAGACTTTTTTGTAACTCTAAATCGATATCGTTCTCTTCTCTTAATACGCAAAAATAAATTAGCATAGCCGAGAGGCTTGCAATAACCACGTAGGGTTCGTACCACAATCGTTGATTTTTATTTCCACTACGAGTTTGCTCAGCTTTCCATTTACTAGCCGGGGACATTGAATATTTTATCGGTTTATCATCTTCATCCTTAATTTTTTCATTATCGATGTTACTTTTATTCGAATAAAAAAATTTGGGTCCACGACTAAAAAAAAATTGAATCTAAATTTTAATAATTAATAAAATAAAATGGAATTACCTTGGTTTTAATAAATTAGACCTAGAAGTATTAATAAAAACCCTCAACAAAGACATTATAATTGGGTAAACGTGATGTATTGAGGTTATGTTATTTTTTTCTTAGGTTATGTTTCTTTTTTACCGCAATTATTTATTAAATCCAAAAATATTTGATAATAAACTGAAAATGTGTATAAACTGGAATTTCGAAAGAAGTTGTTAAGTTGATTTTAACCGAAACGATGATTTTTCACTTAATTATTTGACGATTAAACGACGTTTAATCAATTTTGTTTAAAGCATTTAATTATTTCTAATTATTATTTAATTCATTATTTTTTTGTTAATAAGAAATAAATTCGGGTTTATAATTAATTAATTTAATAAAATAGCTTATTTTTAATTAATTTATAATCTAGGGGAATTTCTATTTTGATGTTTGTGCATAAATAAACAAAATAAATTCGGAATTAAATTAATTCATCAAAATAAAATTAAGTAAAAAGCTATTTAATGCAAAATAACTAATTATGTATAATAAAATTAATTAATTTATCTATTTAAAGCTGAAGAAAATATATTTAATTTAGGTTGGTTCCCCCGAATTCTGACATGGTATAAAAGTGGAAACACGTGACGTATTCTCCCATTTTGTTCACACTTTTTGCGATGGTAAGTTTGTTTCTTTTAATTTTATTTGTTTGGTATTAATCCGCAAATTTCAACATAATCCTTTATCAAGTTGATTTAATTCGGTTCAAATCCATCAATTTAAACATAATTTAATCCCTTTAAAATGTTATTTCGATTACATGATGATTTCTAGAATTTAAGGTTAGAACGTCTACTGAAATATTTTATGTAGATTCAATTCTAGGGCGGTCTGATTAATAATCGTTTAAATTTGATGACTTTATCGGTTTAGTTGCGATATTAACTATGGTGTTTTAGTCCCATAGGAAGTTTAGCGCCCCCCGTCATGGATCGATGGGGTTCTACCCCAAAAAGAGGTCCCGCAGACATCGTGGTAAAGTTAAGGCCTTCCCGAAGGATGATCCAACCAAGCCGGTACATCTCACCGCTTTTATTGGGTATAAAGCTGGTATGACCCATGTTTTGCGCGAAGCCGATCGCCCTGGATCAAGTAAGTTTTACAAATTTGTATCAAAATTGCTTAATTATGATGATGATAAAGCTAATAGCCAAAAGGATTATGAAAAAAATGATTATTAATGATAGGTCTGATTAAAAAAGGAAAAAAGAATTTTTCTTTTGAGATTATGTCATTCATTAATTTAAATTTTCCTTTTTAGAAATTAATAAGAAAGAAATTGTTGAAGCCGTAACAATCTTAGAAACACCTCCAATGGTTATCGTTGGTTGTGTTGGGTACATTGAAACACCCCATGGTTTAAGAGCATTAGCTACTGTTTGGGCTGAGCATCTTTCTGAAGATTGTAGAAGACGTTTCTATAAGAATTGGTGAGATATTAACTTAATCATTTTGACTCTCCTCTCTTTTAAAAAGATGAGAGAATTTTTAATCACCACTCGACTCAAAAATGAAGTAGTCGGTGGTGATGGGAAGGGATTTTAAGTCTCCGCTAAATTATGAGACTGCCCTTTATGAATTTTATTTTTAAAGGAGCTCGTTTTATCACGTTTTTAAAGATGTTTCGATCTTTTTTATGCGTTAAGGTACAAGAGTAAGAAGAAGGCGTTTACGAAGGCCTCGAAAAAGTGGCAAGATGAGCTTGGGAAGAAGAGTATCGAAAAAGATTTTAAGAAAATTGTTAAATATTGCAAAGTTGTTCGAGTTATCGCTCACACTCAGGTTGGTTTTATTTTTGATTATCAATAATTGACACGATCAGTGATCGGGCTTACCCCCTAACTGGCGATGAAGAAAGTCTTTTATTAATGGGGCTTTCATCGCAGTGTCAAAGAGAATGTACCCCTTGGGAGGTGCATCGGGCATATTCCTGAGTCACTGTGTAGCCACTTAGGCAATGACACTTGGAAAAACCATGCTCGTTACAATCTCAAATCAAAATTTAATTCCTTTTAACAAAATTTTTTGGTTTATTTAGATGAAATTGTTGAAACAACGCCAAAAGAAAGCCCACATCATGGAAATTCAACTCAATGGAGGCACCATCGAAGATAAAGTTAAATGGGCTCGCGAGCATTTAGAAAAACCCATCCCCATAACCAACGTTTTTGCTCAAGATGAGATGATAGATTGTATCGGAGTTACAAAAGGAAAAGGATATAAAGGTAACCTCAAAAAATGTTGCCCATTAATTGCTGAATTAATCAATGTGATGAGAACGCATGATGTGTATTGAAACCTGAATAAAATCATTGAGGATACGATCATGTTGCTGCCTTCCTACTGAAATTAATTCTAACTTCAAAACTTAACAATCTAATTTATTATGTTATTTAAATCATTTTTAATTTTTTTTAGGTGTCACATCCCGTTGGCACACAAAGAAACTTCCCAGGAAAACGCATAAAGGTCTCCGAAAGGTTGCTTGTATTGGGGCTTGGCATCCATCGAGAGTATCTTTCACAGTTGCTCGCGCCGGTCAAAAGGGTTATCATCACCGTACCGAAATGAATAAGAAAATTTATAGAATCGGAGCAGGGATACATACAAAAGACGGAAAAGTAAGAAAAATAAATCTTTAATTACCCTTATTAATTAATAAATAAATGATGAAACTTACGAAGCCAAAAGGATTATGAAAAAAATCCGTGATTATGAATGATAGGTCTGAATTAACCTCAAAAAAATCTTAACCTCAAACGTCATTTGATGACATTTATTAATTAAATTTTTTTTTAACTTTTAGGTTATTAAAAATAACGCTTCAACCCAATACGATTTAACTGAAAAAACGATTACTCCGATGGGTGGTTTCCCTCATTATGGTGAGGTCAACAACGATTTCATTATGATTAAGGGTTGTTGTATGGGGCCTAAAAAGCGGGTGATCACGTTGAGGAAGTCTCTTTTGGTTCATACGAAACGCGTTGCCCTCGAAAAGATTAACCTCAAGTTTATCGATACTTCATCCAAATTTGGGCACGGTCGCTTCCAGACGCCAAAGGACAAGAGCGATTTTATGGGTACTTTAAAGAAGGATCGTATCAAGGAGGACGAAAAAGCCACTGCTGCAGCAACCACTTCTTAGTTTTACTCTTTTTGACGTTTGTGTTTTTAAGGGTTATGTAATGACTAAGATGGTTTAATAAATAAAAAAAATTTAATTTGATTTATTTATTTTGTTATACTTTAATTTAAATTTTAAAATAAGTTTTAATAAAGATGTTAATCTCTGAAATAGAGTTTATGAATACGTTCAAAGTAAGCCGTAGGTAGGACGATTTGAATTGAAAGATATCAAAGGCTATGATTAAACTAATAAACTTCAATTTAGAGGTTAGGAAATTTTATCCTTTATATCTACGAACACGGATAAGTTGGAAAGAAATCGTTTATGGATATCATTTTGTTGTTATATTAACAACAATTTTCATTGACATTTTATCCTAACATTTTTAATTTTCAAGTTATAAAAGAATTTTAATCAAACACTTCAAATTAGAGGTTAGGAAATTTTATCCTTTATATCTATAAATACGATTAAGTTGGAAGGAAATCGTTTATAAATATCATTTTGTTGGTGTATTAACAACAATTTTCATTAATAATTTTTAACAATTTTCATTTAATAAATTTAACTTCCGTTTACAACAAAATTTTATTTTTCACTTTTGTTCATTTGTATGATAAATTTTTACATTTTCTTTATATTTTCTAATTAATACACATTAATAAGAATATAGTTATCCATTTCAAGGAACTTTGAACACCTATTTAAATCCAACTGTGTCCTTCTGTTATCGTGTAAAGATTAAATACTAAGATTCTTTTTATGTAGGAATAAAGGTAGGAATAAAATAATTTCCTTTATTTCAAGCATGTATTTTAATAATCTTTGTATTTATTTATTGATTTATCCAAAGGATTTATCCTTTTTAGGTTAGGTTATCTTAAAACCTTTAAACAATTTCTTTATTATTTTTTTTTATAGATTCATCAACACTACACCATGTAAATGTTGCTTTATTTCTAAATATAATATAAAGGCCATAATTCATTATTACTTCAATAATCATATTTGTTTACGGTTGCTATTATTTATATATCGACAAATCATCCTATTTAAGCACACAGTATTATTAAATTAAGTATTACTCTGTACAATATTGAAATAGATTAATAAAAAAAAATAGGGTGTGTATTACATATTACAGGAATCTGTAATAAAATATTTTAATCTCCCCCAATAGATGTCTTCTTTTTGTGTTAAAACGGTATTGAACGGTGTTTTTGGTACGCATGCCCCCATAAATCGGCCACGTCTACCTTTCTAACCCCACCAAAATACCATAAACTGCTTATAAAACCAGTTGATAACGTATCAGGCAGTTGTGCCGAGAGGTTTTGTCCATTTCAAAAGTGAAACAAGATTTCTTCGATACAAGTTTTTTTTTTTAATTTGACAACGTCAATTTTGACGTACTAGATTAATGTTTTATTGTTATTTCCGATTATAAATATCGATTGTTTTTATATTTTGTGTTAAATAAAAAACGAAAATAAAATTTAACCTTTTTCATTTAAATACTTTAAATCCCGTTTCGCAAAAACGAAATAAATAAGAAAACCGAACGAAACGAATAAAACAAAACGAATGAAAAACGGAAGTTGAGAGAAGAAGACCAAAAATGTTTTTGGTTCGCCTAGTATAATATATATTTCTTCAGGTTTGTGTTCTTTTTCGTAGTCGGAGCGAGACGGAACATAAAGGAAAGCGATACCGTTTTAATACACGAAACGGTACGCTCCAAAACTCGGACGTACGTTCCCGATTTCGTGTTATTCTCGTTCCGTCTTCGTCGCGAAACCGAGTACGCACGTCTCGGTTTGGTTCCGTTCGGTCCGGTGATCATTCGTTGTTAGAGTTCGCGCAGTACGTTGTGAGTCCTCGCTTAAACGCAACTCTGAAAGTTGGCCCCCGCACACCCGTCTCGTAAAAAAAAATTATTTTTTTTTGGTGTGTCATTTCCTTCGTAGTGTAAATAGTGTGTGTGTAAGTAGTGAGTTAGTGTGCGTAGAAAAAGAGGGTCAAAAATGTTGTTATAAAAATTATATTATTATTATTGATAATAATAATAAATAAATAATAAAGAGTGTGCTGTGGTTTTCTTTTCTTTTGATCATTTAAAGTGGTGGTTTTGTTAAAAAAAAGTGATTTAGTGAGAAAAATAAAAATAAAAATGGAGGAGGAATCCTAACAGTGAGATTTATTTTTTAGTGATTTATTTTTTTTTCTAAACAAAATTTAGTTTCTTTTTTTTTGGGGGTGATTTAATCCAAGTGTTTGGTGCGGGAAAATAATTTATGGTGATGATGATCAAGTTGTTGATGATGATGATGAAGTTGTTGAAACGGCGGTGTTCTGCGGTGAAATAGTGTTGTTTTTGAGTGTGTGCGCGGCGGCGGACCCAAAAAAATTCTCAATGAGTTGTCCAGGGCAAAATGGTTAGAGAGACTAGACATCTTTGGGTCGGCAATTTACCCGATAACATTCGAGAGGAGCGCATCCGGGAACATTTTAAACGGTAATTTTCAATTTACTTATTAAAAAATAATCGAACACCAACAAAAAAAACCCTTTAGAAATGATGTGTGTTTGTGTTTTCTCGTTCGATATTTTTAGGTCGAACGATATAACCGCCACAGCCAGCTTTCCATGGCCAACGTAGACGCGTGAGTTCGTCCTTATTTTCGAACTGTTTCTTTTTCATTTCGCGTTTTATTTTTCACTAAATCCGCGAAAAACATCATTTCAATCATACCGGAAACGCAAAAAGCTAAATTTAAAGCTTTTTTTTGATATATTGTATAAAACTGGTTTTATTAATAACTGTAAACGATGTTTTTACCTCGGTTAATACAACGGGCTATTATGCAGCTATATTCCAAACGCCCCAGACTGGGTTTTCTACTATATAAAAGGGAAAGAAACACTTTTTTCGGTTTTACATTAACCCCCACATAAAACAACCCACTTTTATTTAAAAAAAATAAATAAATTGCCACAATAATAATCGTAATTGATCGATTTTCATTTTTTTTAATCTGTCAATTAAATAATGACATTTCTTCTGTCAAAACTAAAAAAAAACGGTTTCTTTTACTACCAATTCTAAAAACATCAAAATCTCTAACAATAAAAAATTACGAAAAAATAATAAAAACATTATTTTATCGATTAACAAATAATTCTTTTTATCGAATAAATTCGATGTTATTATTTATTTCGACTTATTTTGTGTCGAAACGTGATCAACGCTATAAATTGTATTAGCCGTCCTAAAAATGTTGACACAACGTTGATAAATTTTATTAAATGAAAGCAAATAAGGGAGTATGTGTTTGTTTCTTTGAAATTTTGGATTAATTTTTATGGAAAACCTTGAAACTAATGTAATATAAATGTCGTTGATTGAGAAACTTTGATAAATCGGATATAAATAAAACTATTTTTGGATGTTAATATTTTGATCAAAGTACGAAAAGTTATTACGCGTGTAAAATAAATCGAATGTTAAGTTTTATTCTATAATTAGTTAATTTATTAATTCATTACTTTGTTTTAATTAATAATTATTAATTAATTGTTCCCCCATCTATCGGTAATCATCCACATTAAATCGTTTTGTGACGTTTCAAATTTTGTATGTATTTACCCAGGAAACTCATCAAAATACGTTTTTGAAGACGCAAATTATTTATTTAAAGTAATTTTGGCTTCTACGAAGAAGTTTTTCAACCTCACATTCATCAAAAAAAAATTCGTCCTAACATAGCCTAATTTTGTATGTTTTTATTTAACAATTGCGCACTCAACTATCGGTAATCATTCATATTAAATCGTTTTTGACTTTTCAACCTAAAATTATCGAATTTTCCATAAACAGAAGATGTAATTGAACCAAAAAGAACACGAAATACGAAGAGATTATTCCTCTCCAAATTAATCAAAGAAAATTTCGTCGCAACTTTTTTTCTTATTTATTTAAAATTTTTAGATATATAAGAAATACGGGATGATTTATTAAAAAAAGGAAGTCGTTATTATTTAAATATTAATTCTGTAATTTTTTTAAAACTAAATAGAAAAAAAGTTTTACAAAAACTCAATTGCTCACCCCCATCTATTGGTAATCATCCAAATTAAATCGTTTTTTGACATTTAAACCTGTTTCAACCACTACTTATCAATTTCTAAAATCATCGAATGTTTCATAAAAGGAAGATGTAATTGAACCAAAAGAAATGTCGAAATACGTTTCTGAAGACCCAAATTATTTATTTAAAGCGGTTCTAGCTTCCACGAAGAAATTTTTCCCTTCCAAATTAATCAAAAAAAATTTCATCGAAACATAACCACATTTTTTATCTCGTCAATTTTTTGGGTAATTTTATAAATTTTTGTGAATTATTAAAGAAAATGAACGGAGTAAGTCGAAATTATTTAATTATTTTAGTATTTATTTAGAAATTTTAAATTTCGTTTAAATCTTTAAAGAAGAAATAATTCGTTTTTAACTAACCCTATCTAGCGTTAACCACCGAAATAAGATACGTCAATTTTTGACATTTGTCATTTAAATGAAATTTTTATGAAAAAGAAAAGTTTAATTGGTTCAAAAACCCCTTCAAAAAAGCGGTTTGCAGACGCAAACTATTTAAAGTGATTTTAGATCCCACGAAGTGATTTTTACACCTCAAATCAATCGGTGAAGTTTTTATGGAAACATAACCTTACTTTCCTATAAATTGGAGTTATTTATTAAACAACAAAATGTATTAAATATAATATATGTAGTTTCTAAACCATTTCATCACAGTTAGTATTTTCCCACGCATGATCAAATTTCTTATTACGATATTTTTTAGTTTCGATTGTCTGCACACGTTCGTGACGCTTTGTTGCAAGAAAAAAAAAAAATAAATGTGGAAAAGATATTACAAAAAATCGAAAATCAATCTCGGATACATTGTTTTTGTCAGATATGACACGTATTCCGCATCACAAGTTATACTCTCGTTATTTCCTGTCGATGCGGTCAAATTGGTTATGTTTAGTGAAGGTGTAATCGACGAACCAAAAATAAATGAATGAATGAAGATGGGCGTTTATTTGCCCGTTGGAATAAGGGAAGTCACCATACAATAAAAATACAAGAGAAAGACTCGTTTCATGTCAAACAGGAAAAGCGGATTTATGCTTTACGTTATGGAGAAGGTGCACGCAAATAGAATTAGGTAGTGAGGAACGATCCCAACACAGAATATCACAGGCACTTTCCACGTTAACATAAACACTTTAAACAATTTGCAATATTATGTACCAGTTTTGAAATATTCTAGATGAAACTTTTAATCATTTTCAACAAATTGAAAGTGCTAGGAATCAGTTCTTGAACAATATTGAACAACCTCGAATAGGTATAAACTGAAAAGTGGCTTATAGCTAAACCAAGATGTCGTTTCAATATATTTGAAAAATCTATATAACATTTTTCAATAATTTTGTAACATTGTGTATCTATTTTGAACAATGTTAGATGATGTATTTTATTATTTTGAGCGATCTGATGTAGCTATGAACCAATTCGCAGTGTTTAGACAACTATCCAATGATTACCAATCAAGTTACAATCATTTTGAATATTTTAGCAGCATTATGTAGTTATTTTGAACTATTTTAGGTGAAGTATTCAAACATTTTGAACACCTTGGAGTAACTATAAACCAATTCTTTATCTTTTAGCCAAATTTGTAATGATTACCAATCATGTTTCAATCATTTTGAACATTATGCATCTGTTATGAACAATTCTAGACGAATTTTTTGATCATTAAAAAACAACTTTGAGTAGTGAAGCAGTTTTTTCATTTATTATTAGGCCATTCAATTGCTACCAATCATTTTGAATAATTTTGCAACGTTATACAGGGTGAGTAAGAAAGAATGGAAAATCCGAATACCGGAGACACTAGATACCAAAATATAACAATTTAACCTAACATCTTTTATATACATGTCGGTGGTTTTCAAGGCACAGGGTGTTGAAAGTTAAATTCTTATTTCGAAAATGTTCATTTTCGCGTAAGATTTATATTTGTTTCCAGGGTTACCAATTCGAATTAACAAATTTGACGTAATAATTTTTTATTATTATTTATTGAGGATTTTAAGATGTTTAAAGAGAGAGTTTATTCAATATTGTTTTGTTTGTAAATTTGGCAACGCAGCAGGGACAGGTGCAGTCTCTTTCCCTTTATTTCTCTTTGTTTCTCTCTCTTTTTGTTTGCTCTCTCTCGTCACCCCTTCGTTTCAAACGATAGAAGGAGAGGTGGCTATTAGAGTTTGAAGGGAGGGTCGCCCGTCAACTCTCGAAGCTTCCATTGCGAGCTGGGTTGTTGTATTAGTTCGGCTTTAAAGTCGGCCATTTTCCCCGCTATTGTATTTTCGTAACCGTTCTTCATTTTAGTTGCTCCGGGGTCTGTTAGCGTTTGTTTCAAAAAAAAATTTTAAAATAGAAATTAGCGAGTTGCAAAATTTTCGCGGTGTTGCGACTTTTATAGAGTAATAAGAGCAACGACCGACGGCGACGCTACTGATGTGTTTCTGACGCTGATGGTTGTTGTTGTTGGGTTGGTTCGTCCGCCGGTCGCCATCATGTGAAAAACAAAAGACGGGAGGTACTCTTTTCCCCTCGTTCTGCTTTTATCTCTCTCTCTCTCTCTGTCACAATGGATCATTGTTTCGTTGTACGCTGTCGGGAAACAATTGCCTAATCCGCGGCGGATCTTCTTTGTTTTCAACGCCGCTCCGAATTCTTTTTTTTCCGGATACTAAAAAAAATAAATCTCTAAAATAAAAATTTATCTAAAAATGAAATCATATCAGTTTATTATCAATTGAAAACATTAAAAAGTATAGTGACGTGGTTCAAAAATACATTTGTATCTTCCCAAGATAAAAATTTCATTTAATACACAAAAAAAATCTGTCCCATTTCGTACCTTGCAATTACCTACCCTAAACCCAGTAATAATCTTCTAAATTATTTAACATGAATTTATGATGACGAGAAATCGATTTCTTTACGAAACTAGTTTTGTAATATTTGGACCATCTCGAAGGATGCCCTACATTCACCAAAAATCATTTATTATTTTTTTTTTAATTTATTCTTCTTCTCAAACTTTCGTATTCTTCGTATTTAGGGTTTTTCAGGTACGGTTTCTCGAAGGTCCCCTTTTTTTAAATCGTCAGCAGGTAGAAGTAAGACCCTCTTTCAAAGAAAAGAAAGGAGAGGAAAAAAGAGACTTAAAATTGTCTTGTATGTGAGTGTTGGGTGTGTATGTGTGAGTGTTGACCTTCCGCAAGGGCATCTTTGCCCTTTTTAACAAAACCTGGCCTTCTCCGTGATCCTTCTTTTTGTCCGTCTAGACTTTGTAGATGAATATAAAGAAGATTTTATTTTTATTTTAATAAAATTTATTATTATTTTTTTGCTAGAAGTACTTTAAATGATTCGTTTTGTTTGATTGGGTTGATAGAGGAAATTGAAAAAGTGTTGTTTGTGGTCGATTCTTTAAACGGTCGTCGCAGAAGGGAAAGCGACTCGAAAATAGGAACACGGACGGCCTAAAAATAAATACCGTTGCGGCTAGAAATAAAGCGCGACGTTAAAATACTTGTTAGGACTTGTTCTAATATCATACATATAGATATAGTAAATTTTAATTTTGGAATTAAATCGAAAAAGAAAATTTGTTTTGGAGTTATTTATAACAAGAAATATTTTGGACAAATCTTAATTTAGCTATTTTTTTGGCACAGTTTTTGGGTGACCTTAACCTTGAAGTTTTGTGACATTTATAAATTCTTTTTAAACCATGTTTATTAAAATTATAGCTATGTTTATGCATTTATACTTTTAAAATGAACTCAAATACTGCGAAATTATGTCAAAAAAACGTACAAGCTATAAGAAACGTCAAATTTGACACTAAAGTGAAGGTGGCAGTTTACTATATGTCAGTCATTTTTGACGTGTGACGTGGTGTAAGGTTATACATGGTTGACCTAAAACTAAAACAAATTCAATGACAGCATCTTTCTTTCGTTGTCTTGGTTAGAGATCTGCTTGCATTATAAATAAAAATTAACAGAGTGATGACTCATTTGGACTAAATAAAGATGATCGATACCGAAATTGTCGCCCAAATTGACTTAATGGTACTAGAATTCATGCGGAGTTGGGAATGCAGAGCCAGTACAATTTAAAAAAGCAAAATAGAAGTGTTATGTAGAAAATAATGCAGAATAGATAGTAAGGGTTGAGTCCCAGACATTAACGGACACCTAATTGAGATATGGGCGTATAGAAGGACCTTGAAGATTGACTGGGTAGATACAATTATGAATTAAACAGTTCTATGGCGACTCAACTGAATTGACAAATACCATAAAACACCGAAAGCTCGAATATTATGAGACATCTTGAAAAATTCGGTTTACTACATCTAACAGGGACAAATACAAACTACATCTTGGCTAAGTAATGATAGCTAACACGCTTGATTTATTACAAGCATTACACTTGATTAAGAATATTGGATGATACTAAGGATACCTTTCAATAGGAGGGAGAAATAAAGGAAAGATTGAGTTGTCACTTAATTTTACAGTTGAACATGACGAGTAATAAAAAAGTTACCCAACCCGCTGAATTTCAGATATCGGGAACGAGATGTTATAGGCGATCGGTTCTAAGTTAATTCCTCAGATCTGTCGTCTCATAACCTATTATGTGTAAGGTTGGAACTTAATCCACAGTTTTTCAGCCCTAATGTTCCGATTTATATTGATTTTAAAGTTTTTTTATGAACTGATAAAGATAATTTCAATATTAAGGTTGCGATTGTACGATTTTTACAAATTCGAGTTTGTTATGAGTATACAGATAGTTAGACAAGATTTGTTTATGGATAACGGCAAAATAAATGTCATTGTGACGTTAACATAATTATGTACCGTTTTGCACAATCTTAGCAGAAGCTTTCAGTCATTTTGAATAACTTGGAGTAGCTATGAATTATTTAGATAAATTTTCAATAATTGCCAATTAGGTTTCGATCGTTTTGAACAACTTAGACTATCTATAAATAAATTCTTAGTCATTTACACAAGTTTTCAATTATTACTAAACAAGTTTTCAATCATCACTAAACAAGTTTTCATCATTTTGAACCTTGGAGTACCTAACAATCATCTCTCAATCATTTCGACAAATTTTCAATGATTACCAATCAACTTTCCTTCATTTTGAACAATTTTAAATGAACGTCGTAGTCATTTTCAACACCTTAGAGTAGCTAAATCAACTTCCAAACATTTAGACAACTTTAGAGACAAGCTTTGAATCATTTTGAACAACTTGGAGTAGTTAGAAACAAACCCATAACTCTTAGACAAGTTTCTAATTATTACCAATAAGGTTTCCATTATTTTGAATAATTTTATATCATTATGTATCTCTTTTGAACAATTCGCAAGAGGTCGCAAGTACACAGGATGTGTGTTCATCAGTTTCATAAGTATGTAATATTAGTGTAACGTCTTATCTTGATCCAGGCAGGGACGTCGACTCTAACTTTAGCCGAGGTTCTTTGCAACTGTGTTGAGGTTGTGTAAGTTGTGTTAATTAGTTTCAAGCAGATTAGGTTATTATTAATTGCAACGCCTTCGATTAAATTCGGCAAAGACATAGATTCCAGCATTAGCGACCCAGAAGATACTACAACTTCGAGAACATTGAAGTTCGAGTTGTGGATCGTCTCGGGTTTTCTTTCGTTAACTTTGATATTATTACAGTGCATCTGACTGCTTCTAAAACAGCGAAAATCTTCTAATTACATAGTTGACACCAACAGAAACTAAAACAGTATTAATAAAGTTCTATAATACACTAATAACTAATTTAAAAGAAATCCAAGTAACCAAAAATTCAAAGTTGGAGTTAAAATACGTTTTTTGATTCCTCTATTTTCTTGCATGATTCCAAATTGTCTAAAGAAGTAAGTTTGAAAGGTCTGAGCAGTTTTATCACCTTGATTTTAAATATTTTTGACAACCTCATTCCATCTTTACTATCACAATTATCATTTTTTATGAAGAATGTGGAATGTTAACTCTAACCTCAATCTTCTTGATTCTAATGTATCATCTTGATTTTTAAGTTTTATGAAATTTCTAGGACCAAGTCAAAGTTTGACGATGTCATCTTCAAAAAAATAAATGATTTAATGTGTAATTCAGAGACGTGTAATTATTAATTCAAAACGTATTACTTACCCCGAATTGAAAATTATTTTCCACTTTTTACAGTTAGCATCATGATTGACAGAACTCATCTCTAAGTTTATGTCAAAAATTTATAAAAATGGCCGATTTCCAAAACTGCCAACTTCAAATAAACAAAATTTTTCGAATTAATCTTGACAATTATTATTTTTAGTTATTTTTATTAAAAAATAAAATTAGAGAAAGAAAATTTTGTAATCTTTTTATTTAACTAACACATTGAGTCAAAATTCAATTACAAATTGATTAGATTAAATCATTATTTTTTCGTTACCGTCGTTATCAATTAATAGTTTTGCTTTTTCACTCTACAAAGCAACACGATTAAAGATGATTAATTTAATACACTCCTAATTTCCCATTATTATAAAAAGAAATGATTTAAAATGAAAATTTTGTTTTGGTACCACTGAACTCGCGTAACCATTTTATGTGTCGTGACGTCAATCGAAGCCGGCTCCTCTACGTTTGTATTTTGTGTGTGTGTGTGTTCGTGATGAACGAAGCAGCTACGTCTGTGTGAGTAACTTATGTAATTCCGCGACGTTGCCAAGTTTTTCGAGACCGAAACACGATTTTTCCCATCTCTTTCTATCTTATTGCAAGAATCAAAATATATAATTTTTATTTTTTTTGAATTAATAAAAAATATTTTTTTATGAAATGTTAGAATAGGGGGGAAATAGAGCGTTGCTATTTTCTTCTTTATGAAACGCGTTGTAAAGGCGTTCGCAAAGATATCTTGTTACGCAAAAAGTTAAAAACCGACGAGAGAGAGAGAAAAATAGTCCTTCTTCACGGTTGCTGATTTAGAACCGAGTTCCACTTGCAATAATATAATAAAGATTAAAAAAAAAAGATATTTGTTGAAGCGATGAGTAATTTTTGTTTTTTCTCTTTTTTTTAGCTGCGCGGGCGCACCGAAAATGAGGTATATCTATGTCTTATTGTCCCATTTTCTCGGTGTTCCTTTTTCCCAAAAATTAAAAAAAAAATCGATCAAAAAATTTCTTTTTTTTTTTTTTTGACAAGTAACGTCTCAAAATCAAATTAAGCTCGTTTGATGTTTTGCATGTTTGTTTTTTTTTTATTTTTAGGAGAAAAAAATATATACAGTGGCGGACAAAAGTCTACATACAGCATTGAATTATGAAGTTTTTGTACAACGTGATAAGATAACAGAAAATTAGTCTTACAGTGTGATTAGAGATACTTACTTATTCACAAAAAAGAACAAAACACAAATAGCTTAACAGCTATATACTAAAAATTCAAGAAATAATACAAAAATTAATGGTACAAAACTTTACATACACAGCAGTTTTCAATATTTCGTTGGCTCTCCATTAGCTTCTATAACAGCACGTAGGTGTCGTGGCGTTGAGGCAACTAAGTTTGTTGTCTCTTTTGCTGTTATTTCAGCCCAAGATTCGACTAACGCAGATTTCAGTGTTTTCGCATCTGCGATTTTGGATCTTACGTTCCTAAAGCTACCAAACATAGTCGATTGGATTTAAATCCGGACTCTGAGGACGTGTATGCAAGTGAATGGGTGCATAATATAACAACCAATGTTTGATAAGGTTTGCGGTATACTTGGGGTCATTGTCTTGCTGGAATAACCAGCGATCCTCGAGGGCCAAGCTGATGGCTTCAAATTTTGTTCTAAAATACTTTTACATTTATACCGATCCATAATTCCATCAAAGAATGCCAGTTTTTCTACACCAAACGCTGCGGAGCAGAAATCACAGACTTATTAGATAGACTTAGATACAGTCGCGATGTGGTCAGCTAATTTTGGGGCGCTAACTCTACGGTTTTTGCTCACTTCTTTTAATAAGGAGCTAATATCTCTTCTAGAAAGTTTCTTTGGCCGGCTTGTACGAATTTTGATAGCGAATGAATCAGTCTCATTGTAACTCGGCTTACATTTACATTTTTGGCAATTTCGCCGTAAGATTTCTTTTCGATGTTTTATCACCAATTTACTAATTTTAACAGAAATTTCTTTTCGAGATGACATTTTGCAGCCAGTTAGAACAGTGACGAAACACGAACTAAATACTAATAATCAGATCCATAATACCTACTGAATTAAGAAAAAAGGAAATACAATGCCAGCTATTTTATGCAACTCCTACTTGATTTCTTTAACTCAATTGCATTGAATGTAGACTTTTCTCGAGTTAGTTTTTGCATTGTTTGTTGAATTTTTATTATGTAATAAGTATCTCTGATCACACTGTAATACTAATTTTCTATTATCTTATTATGTTTTACAAAAACTTCATAAGTTTATGCTGTTTGTAGACTTTTGTCCAAATTTACAGTGAATTTCACTTATGATGCAATATACAAAAGTATATTTCCATAGAAACCAGGGCGTACCTACTTACTTTGTCCCACATAAAATGCAACATAACTTGACATGACAGTAAAACCTCGATATATTATTATAGCTTAATAAATATATACAACAATCTAGCGCTGAATAACAAATAAAACTAGACTAACACTAGACCTAGAAACATTCCATTTAGCCGGGCACCTCTTAAGACAGTTAAACCCGAATGTTTCTAATTCTAAGTCTAGTGTTAGTTCTAGTTTTACACTAGCACTATCGCTAGAACTATCACAAGACCTAGAAGTAGAATCGTTCGGGTTTAGCCGTCTTGAAAGACGTACGGCTAAACCCGACTGTTTCTAGTTATAGGTCTAGTGTTAGTTCTAGTTTTGCACTAGCACTATCACAAGAGCTAGAAGTAAAATCATTCGGATTTAGGCGTCTTGAGAGACGTGCGGCTAAACCTGAATGTTTCTAGGTCAAGGTCTAGCGTTAGTTCTAGTTTTAGTTGTTATTCAGAGATATTTCAAGACAGCCGAAAACTCCGGGTTGTCATAAAGACCTCACTTTTTTCCAAGCAAACCTTTTCCTTTGCATAACTACCCAATACCTGTCCTATTAAGCTATGTTGCATTTTATGTGGGACACTGCAAGTGCACGGTAGCTTCGTAACTATGGCTACTGCATTCATATATTGCGAGTTCTGAAATTCCCCGTATATACATACATTTATGTGCATGAAAGTGATGTTTTTTTAACAATTAACTTCAAAATTAATTTTAGATTTTTTCTGTACATAAATTTTTTTCCATTTATATACAGGGTTGTTAAAAAAAATTACAAAATTAGATCTCTTATTTGATATTAAGGCTTGGCTTACACATTATGTGGGGTCAAAACCACTTGGGATTAAAATAATGGGAAAAAAAGGTTAGGTTGAGAATCGTGATAGTGCACGGACGAGAATTACGATGATCTTCGTCTTAAATTGCCATTTACCGTTTCTTTCACATCTCAAAATCTTCATTTTCTTTGTATTTCTAAAAATGTTCTACATTTTTTTTAATTGTATTAAGTAAAAAACGCTTTTGGAAGATTGTTGGGATGGGCGTTCGAGGTCGTCCTGGAAAGTCTCTAGAACTCTAGCACCCGGATTCCTTTCCCGGTTTGTTCCCGTTTCAGAGAGGCAGTGGCGGCGGGCGAGCGAAGTTTGAAATATTGATTCGCGGTGACCTCGCCTAGGAAATCTAGTGGTGGGCGCTGACTCACCGGGGGCCCCGGGAACTCACTCTTCACCAAAACCGCCCCGGAAATGGACCACGTTCATTTCTCCTTTCTTTTTCATTTCTTAAAATCAATTTTAATTTAATTTGTTTACTTGTTTGCATTTATTTCGCTGAGTTTCATTTGTACTTGCTGATTATACAAGAAAATTTGTGCTTATTTTTATGTTTATCATTTTATTACAACTACAAAATTAGATTAACAAAATCAAACGCGTCTTAAAACCCCAGACTTTATCAAAAACGTATCTAGGATAAACACACGATAAGATAACGATACTATATATTTTATTTTTTTTAATAATTTCAACAAAAATTTTTATTCGACCTTCAAAGTGTTGTCACAAACACTAATTTTTTTCAAAACAATTTCGTAGACTTAATATATCTCGTTGTGCTGCGTTGCTTTCTCTTTGGCAACGCCGCGTTCTCCATCACCCACTACAACGAGCGGCAACGCCGCGTTTATCGATCGCCGGTCGAGCCTCCTCCCGCATTATATTCTCTTAAAACGTCGGAATAGTAGCAGCAGCAGCCGTCGTTGCTGTTGCTGCTTTTAGTGGGGGGAAAGAGGGGTTTCGTTACGATGGAGGGGTGAAATAAACGAAGTGGGGGAACACAACACCATTTCGATTCGTAGTTGGTGGGGGAAATCCCCACTAAAACCTCGATTTTACACGAATACGCCCGAAACGAAGATTTTAGCTTTCGATGAAAAGGTTTCCGGTTTATTTTGATACACTATCGAAGAAAATCTTTTCTTATTTTTGAAGGAATAATTTATTTTTTTTTTTTTGTGATTTATCGTTTACGACTTTGAATTGTTTTTGTTTGTTGTGGAGTTAAATTCGATTAAAAAGCTTAATGGACAATAAAACATCTCCAAGTCGTTAAATTCGTGTTATTCTCATCGTTCAACCGTTATAAACTTAAACATTATGTTTGAACGGGCGAATTATGTAAGATTAAAAATAGAATTTTAATTATTAAAATTTTCATTCTTAATTATTAAGCATCAGCCTTATTGGTGTATATCAAATTAATATTTCTCTCATTTTGTTGTGTATTAGTCAGCTTAGAAACTGCAGTAACACAAAATATGTAAACTAATATTGCGTCTTTAGGTATCATATATTGATCATATCAAATTTATAAAGGATGTTGTTGATAAAACCGAGGCATTCCTCTTTATTTACTCGTTTTGAGTTGATACAATATTTAATTGTAAAGCCTCCACTATAAGCGACCTCGGCTAAGCTTATAAAGAATATCGGTTAAACCGAGGCCACTTGCGGCCAAGGCATTTCAATTTATTTACCAGCTTTGGGTTGATACCATATTTAATTGTAAAGCCTCAACCGCAAGCGACCTCGGCTAAGTTTGCAAACCATGTTGGATCAAGCCGAGGTCACTTGCGGCCGAGGCATTGCAAATTGTTTACTAGTTGAGGGTTGGTACAATATTTAATTGTAAAGCTTCGGCCGCAAGCAACCTCGGCTGTTATCAGTGACTTTTATTTCATTATGATTACTTAAATCATATATATTTTCATGATTTGTCTTTAATAATATAGAAAATTCACTGCCTCGGCCGCAAGCGACCTCGTCTAAAAATCTCTCAACAGTTGTGATACATTAACAATGACTTTTATTTCATTATTATTGCTTAAATCATGAATACATCTTAATCGTGATTTATCTTTAATAATATAGCGAATATACTGCTGCCTCGGCCGCAAGCGACCTCGGCTATAGTATGCCTTTAATAGTTGTGATACACAATGATTATTAAATAAATAGTGTTAACTTCACTTTGATGTTAATTTATCTTTAACAATGCACAAAAACTATTTAAGTTAACTATGTATCTAAGTTTACAAAAGATGTTGGATGTTGTTGGATCTATCTTTTTGCCTAAGACTCTTTTATAGCATTGTCGCTTGATAAGTTCAAATATACACGATATTAAATACGATATGTATTTCTATAAGTTTCAAAATTGCGAGTTTATTGAATTTTTGACAAAACATTCTCGAGGTGTGTATTCCCAACTTCACTATATTCATGGAGTCTTTTTTAATTATTTTGAAAGAAAATCATTCTTGAATTTAATAAAAATCGTTCGAAAACGATTTAAATCCTCTAAATATCCTAAAAAGATGAATAAAAATTAAAAAATAATTAAATTTATTTTAATGAAATTATCTTCTACTTTTTTGAGGTTATATTTTACGTCAAAATCTTTTTTTTATTATAGTCTGTTTTTAAACTAAAAGGAGAATTTTCAACATTTTTTGCTGATTTCAATATTTTTTCTTTAGAAATATTATTTTTAATTCGTTTTACTTCATTGTTTATTATTCTATTTTATTATTATTACGAAATTTAATAAATAATAATTTAAACAATTTATGGTTATTTAACGAATTAAAATTTTAAGTTGCCGGATTGCCGTTGCTAAACAATCGATTTCGACTATCATAAAGTAAACGTGTAGAAATCGTGCGAGAATTTCCATGAAAATCGAAGAATTTGGAGTGAATTTAAGAAAAATTTCAATGAAATCTTAATTTAAAATTGGATTCGTATCATAATCTCACAGGTATTCGTTAGATAATTAAATTTTTAATGGTTTTAGTAAATTTTACATTTAATATTTTGACGTTTCCGAATTAACCTTAAAAATGTAATCAAATTTTCTTACTAATTGAAATTATTGAGAAAACGTTTTCTATTTTATTAACTATTTTATTTTATAATAAATTTTTGTTAGGTTAAATTAAAGTAAACAAATTAAATTGGATTGCCGTTGCTAAGCAACCGAGTTCATTTCAACGATGATAAAGAAAGCGTCAAAATTATTTCAAGATTTTTTGGCGAAATCGAAGAATTTTAAACAAATTGAAGCCAATTTAAGCAAATTTTAGCCAATTAAAATCTGATTCACCTAAATATTCAGGTATTTATTCCAATTTTATATTTTTAATTATTTTAAGCAATATAACCTCACATTTAAGACCGAGTCGAATAATTTTTAGATTCCTCACATGATTTTAAGCTTAAAGTTCGATGACTTTTCATTTAAGTTCTTTTATACCATAATTATTTTTTATTTAATTTAGTAATCAATTTTAATTTAGTTATTTTAATGAATCAAAAATTTAAGTTGCCGGATTGCCGTTGCTAAACAACCGAGTTCATTTTAACGTTGACAATTTTAGACAATCTAACCTCACATTTAAAACAAGATTAAGTTGTTTTTTGATTTTTAACACGTTTTTAAAATTGAAATCGTTCGAAAGTGATCTAAAATCGTAACAAACTAAAAACTAAATGATGTAGAGTGTTTCTATTCGGTTTGAATTCTATTTAAATCTATTCAAAATTATTATGAATATAAATTTACATTTATATTTTTATTAACAAATACTGTAACTGGTATTGCATCAGCCTAAAATCGCTGACGTGTCCATTGACCTTCAAGTGTAATAAAAAAAATTTTGTCGCTTATTTAAAATCGCATTTTAAATTCCACCAAAAACGAAATTCCTTTTATTCTGATAAAAGGTGGAGGAAATTCCAGGAATTATTTAATCCCGAAACATTTTATTTTAACATTTTTTAAATGCCGCGCGAACACGTTACGAATTACTCACGTTTATGCGTCGTTCATAACCTTCGAGGTTTTTCGTGTTCTGTTCGGGACGCGCTTTAAAAACATTTTTTTTAGTTTTAGTTATTGCCGATCGACACATTGTACTCGCGATCCTACGCGTTCAATTGTGTCCAAGTATTCTAAGTATATTCTATAGTTACGTGGCTTTCTGTTTTGTAAGTGTTTCAACTATTTTTTTGTTTTCAACGGCGATGACGACAACGTGTCACCATTTACGTCTGGCATAAAATGTGGATTGGGTTTGTTTGTGATTGTGGGCGGAAGTTTCCCGGTTAAATAATCATTGAAGCAGTAGAAAAGGAAATGTAAGAAAATATTTTTATTTTATAAGATTAAAATAATACAATAATAAAAACGATTGTAAAACATTGATTTCTTAAAATATCGTAATGAATCTTTTATGAAATATTTAAGTAATGTGTAGTATTTCAAAAATTTCTTATTTTTAGCTCGATTTAATAATAATAATTATCGTAAACCTTGCTTAATCGTGATATTGGTACAAATTCCTGTGCATGAAGATTACGACTTAGTGTTGAATCCAACAAGTTGGATTAATTGTGTATGATAAATGTAATTTGAGGTTGGAAATATGCAAAGAACAAAATGATGAAGTAGCGTGTTAAGGATACTTATTTGTATTCATGACCAAATTAACTTATCTCTATAACGCTGCTGCGCCAAGATCACAAGCTATACTAACTCCATTACCTCCATAGGCTAAGTTTGTTACCTGCTTTATGTTAACAGCTATCTTGTTACCTCTTGAGTTATTTAGCTCTTTGTAGAACATAGAAAAGGAATCAGAAGTTGTGCTGAATTGAGAAGAAATTTATTATCATATTCATTATGATTATGGTTAATCTTGCTTGTTGATTCATCATTAGTTCTAATGTTAAAGACGTATGCTGAAGCAGGAATATGTTGGAAGAAGAATATGCAAGAAATATGGCTACAAAGATAATCTACATTCACAAATTCAGTGAAACTAAAGATCTTGACTATAAATTTTTAATTGGACTTTAGACGTGATATGTCACTCGGAGGGGGCTATCCAATTTTTCTGGAACAATTATGTAGGCGAAAGATATTGCAACTAACTCTTATGGATAAGACACTGATTAGAATCATAGCGGCGAAGCAGATATAGAACAGTTTAAAGAGTACTCTATAAAGTATTAACTCTACGAAAAACAGTATCAATGGTTGGGAAGTTGTTTCATGTAATTGCTGTATACTTAGGACTCGAGCACTTTGGGAAAAATTTAACATTTACCACATAAAGGATGAAGATATGAATATCTCCCTGTATCAACATGAATGGAGAATGAAATCGTTATAAAATATCGGTGTCTCGACAACATTAGGCTAACACAATGCTAGAGTTTTACAAAGTTTTGCACTGAAGTAAATGCAAGGACTGCAAGAATCATATGATTTTGAGAATATTCATCTTGACATAGGATGTGGTACAATTTCTAAATGAAAAATTAGCTTTGTGATAAACGCAATATTAGTGTATACAATTTTGTTTGTTTTTAAAATTTAAAATCTTTCGCCGTACTGCCTCTACTATGATATCTCCTTTCCAATATTGATATACAACTTTTTTTAGATTTTTGTTAATAAAACAATGTTGCATATACTCGTGATATATCATTAACATATTTTGCCTCGGTCGCAAACAACTTCGGCGAAAATATGCTCTCAACAGTTATGGTACACAATGATTATTATACTGCCTCGGTCGCAAGCGATCTCGACTAAAATATACCCTCAATAGTTGTGATACATAATGATTATTAAATGAATAATATGCTACACGCTTTGATATTGTTTTATCGTTAACGATGCAGAAAAACTATTACCTCAGCCGTAAACGACCTCTGCTAAAAGTGCACCCAACATTTTTGACCACCAACAATAACTTTTATTTCATTATTATTACTTAAATCATGTACACTTTAATCGTGATTTACCTCTAATGATATAGAGAATAATACTGTCTCGGCCGCAAACGACCTCGGCTAAAATATGCTCTAAATAGTTGTGATACACAGTGATTACTAAATAAATAATATTCTGCACGCTTTGATATTGATTTATCTTTGGCAACGCAGAAAAGCTAATGCCTCGGCCGCAAGTGGCCTCGGCTAAACTATATTTGACAGCGTTCGACGGTATTCGATCATAGATATTTCATTTATAAATACAAAAATAATATAATTAAAACAATAACTACAAAAGATTAAACATTAAAATACAACAACTCATATTTATAACAAAAATTGACAGTTAATTTCCAAAACAAGCTATCTTCTTTAAAGACAAAATCCCCCCACCAATCTTTTTACGTCTTAGAATTCTAGACTTTTATACCTGCTTAAAAGTCCCTTAGATTTCATTTTTGTTCAGTGTCACATGTTTGTCGGTTATGCAAAGATTGTTAGTGTAAAAACGAGTTTGTAGGAAATGGTTATTTCGGGGAATAATTATGAAATGTAAGTCGAAATAGTTATTAATATTATTTTTTGTGAGTTGCAACGCCGATTTGACAATATTTATTTCTATTTATATGTGACCTCCAAAAAGAAAAAACCCTACATAAACTTACTCTATATTTATTTTTACTTCAATTACTACGTCCGGGTGTAGTCCAAAAACACCAATGTAAACATAACCTTAATGAAAAAAAATTAAGTCGAAAATAAGCTTCTTAAATATAATTTAAAAAAATATAATGAGGTAAAACGAAACGTTTTCGTTATTATTATTATCATAATGGATATTCGATTTTTTAATATTCTAATAGTCTAGGTTTTGAAAGTCGTGGGCCGGACGACAGGCACTTGTTATTTTTGCACGGCGCACTTCGATCATTTAAAATGGCTGCTGACTCATCCGTACTGCCCGACGTGAAAACGTCGACGCTAGTATCCCGGCGTTACGAGTACGAGAGTCTCGAACGCGGGACGGAGACCGCACCATCCGCGTAGAGAAAGACGGAAAACGATTTTAGAGTTCGGTTGCGACACGCCGCGACGTCGATTCAAGACCTACGTGGACGCGAGAAACAATCTCGTATCGATTTATTTCCATTATGGCCGCGTTTTTCGACACTTTCTATAAACACATTGTTTTTTAATCAAAAATTAATTAAAAAATATTAAATCGTGACGTCATCGGTACCTACACTCGACCTGTTTGTTATTCGACGTTTTTGCGCAAAGTATCCAAGGCGGTTGATTCGGTCCGCAGCTCGAACCCACTTAAAAGATCTAGTAATTCGAGTCCTGGTTTGCGGAACGTAGTTTAGAGCGAACGCGCGGAAGTTAGTTTCGAGCGTCTTTTAAAAGAAACAAAAAAAAACGACCACGTTTCTCCGCTTTCTGTGTCCGTTATTTCGCCGTAGTAACGTCTTATCTTGTTTTGTATAGTAGTGTTTTTTTTTGCTGGGTTAGGGACAGTTATCATCGAACGTTGACGTTTTATTATTGTTAATCAACAAAAATTACACCACGATAATAAAATGTTTTCTTGTTTTAATTTAATTTTAATTAGTTACTATGGGCGGAGTGAATTAAAAATTTTTTGGTGGTGTTCGTATCGATCGCGTAGGCGTGGGTTAAAAAAAAGACAAAAAAAAAGAATTGTATTCGCGGAACGAAATAAAAAAAATCCAAACGATTCGAATACTCATTTTTTTTTTGTTTTAATGACTGTCCTATAATACGCACAATCAACCGAATACTTCGTGATAGTCCCGTACATTTCTACCGTTGAAAACTTGTTTGGTTGTTTGAGTTCGGCACACAAGGCGAACTGGAAAGCTGGCTGTGTAGACGTGGCAACGTCGCTTTAGCGGTACCCGGTTTTAGTCGGAATGGAGGGGAGAAGGGAGGGGCAAAAAATCGATATTCCCCGGTTGTGTGGAGTAGAGAAAAGCGAGAATCTAGAACCCGATGAACAAAATTTTTTTTAAATAATACACTTACAACTTTTTCTTCTTCCAATTTTTTATATATATAAATCACATTTTTTTAAAAAAAAACCTTCAATTAATTTGTTTCTGAAATAAACCAAAAAAGAACACAACACATAATCCGATCTCGAGATAATTCCAAGTGAAAGCACTTCACTTAGTCGATAAATAACGATCCTAAATGTTTGTTTATTCTTTAAATATCAATTATTAATAAACGAAAATCCTTGGGGTTTTCTTTCGTTGGTATTAATCCTAATGACGTCTTATATTCGAACGTATCCAATGGGTGTTGGTCGGAGAGGAAATGAGCCCACATAGCTACGCAGTTAGTTTTTATAAGCGAAGTGGGGAGCTTGCGCAGTCCTCAAACCAATCGGGGCCGTTTCCCCACCCTCAGGTCGAGTTATTTTCGTCGCGAATCGAGCTAGGACCTACGTTACGAGCGTCTCTTTTGTATTCGCGCAACACTTCAAAAACGTTTGTCTGAACTGGAATCGTAGTAGAGAGAGAGCGGCGAGAGTTTTGCATAACGCGTCAGGTGTGCCTTGGAAAACTTTTGCGCCCATTCAAAACTTCCTGCGTGGTTGTTTTATTTTCTTTAAATTATGGATAACGTTGTACGTGCTATAAATTCAATGACCCATGTTATCAATCTTTAATTATACATTAATTTTTAATTAATTCCTATTTGGTTACATTTAAAAATAACAAAAAATTAAGTTGCCGGATTGTTGTTACGAAGCAACCGGGTTAATTTCAACGATAATAAAGAGTGTCAAAATTCTCTTTATTTTTGATCAAAATCAAAAAATTTAAATCAAATTTAAGAAGATTCTACCTAAATTTTCAGGTATTTATTCCAACTTAACATTTTTAATAATTTTAAACAACCTAACCTCAAATTTAAGACCATCGAAAATTTTTTAGATTTCTTAAACGATTTTGTGTTCAAATTCGATAAATTTTTTTAATAACAAATAAAATCAATATATTTATACAGTAATTAATTATTTTTTATTTAATTATAGTAAAAAATTTAAGTTGTCGGATTGCCGTTGCTAAGCATTCGATTTAATTTCAACGATAATAAAGAAAACTTCAATTATTTTTGTTGGGATCTTAAACAAATAAGTTTAATATGTTATTTTGATTATTATTCAACAATTTTTTTTGTTGTTTTAGGTATGGCCGCGTGCAGAGCGTCAAATTGTTGCCGAGGAACGTCGGTACGAAAGAGGAGGCGAGCGAGAGTACGATGGCGTGTACTGTGGCGTTCATGGACATCAAAAGCGCCTCGAAAGCCCGGGACGCCGAGCACAAGATCGACGATAGAACTCTGACCACGGAGTATTACGAGCCAGTCGCCATTCCGTCCACAGCTTCGCCCCAAACGCCCCCGAACGCCTACGTGACGTCACCTAGCAGTACACGATTTCCAAACGGGCACGGGTAAGAAAAAAATTTATTTTTTCCCGATAACAATGAACCCAAAACATCGCGTACAAAGTTGAATATTCTAAATACGTAGAAAACGTGACATGCATTACTTTGTAAGTGTCTGGAAATAAAGTGTAAGTAAAGTATTAGTCAAGGTTATTTTTACTTGGTAGAAAAAAAAGAATTGTTTAACTTGCGTCAAAGAACCAACTGTTGTTGTTTTCAAGGTGAGACAACCGATAACGGACCGCGATTCAGGTGGTTTCATTTTGCTCTCGCGCACGTGTTTATGTAAATGATACTTTTACAATTTTCTTTTATGCGTATTTTTTTTTTGGTGTTTAGTCCGACCGATGATCATGGTAATTTTACGGATAGGTTCTACGATAGAACGGCGGGGGGTCGCGTCCCCGAACCACCGGACTACATCCGTGCCACCGGTAGACCAGCCCCAGCCGCTTACCACGACACCAACAATCGGGGTAGAAACCGCGATAGGCCGTCTTACGCCAGAAACGGACCTTACAATCCCATTATTGATAGATCGCATCGGCTCAGCAACTCTTCGTGGTCGTCTTCATACGATTCCTCATCTACAACCACAACAGGAAGTACAACAAGGTAAAGTAATAAAGGGGGGTAAACAATTCGGTGACTTATTCCGTTTAAAATTTAACTCTAGTAGATATAATAACCAAAATAGTGATGCGGGGTATTCGACGGCACCCAGCGAAGCAAACGATCGACGGTCAGATTCTAGTAGTACAAAAAAGAAGACCAAGTCTAGATCGGGAACCCGATCGCCGTCACCTTCAGGGAGTACGTCTAGTAGATCGGCCAGCAGGTCGAGATCACGAAGCAGTTCGAGTAGTTCGAGCAGTTCCACGTCGAGGGGATCCAGTTCGACGAGTTCGCCGAGGTCCAGGAGGCAGCAGGGTAACGCGCAGTATCAAGAAGATCGGAGACCATTAGCTATATGTGTTAAAAATTTACCGTGTCGGTAAGAAGAAATCAAAAACGCACCCAAAACAATCTTTTCACAACCACGTTTCTTCCTCTTAGGTCATCTGATACATCATTAAAAGACGGTTTATTCCACGAATACAAGAAACACGGTAAAGTAACCTCGGTGAAGGTGGTAGGTCAAAGTTCGGAACGCCACGCGATCGTTTGCTTTAAAAAACCGGAAGACGTCGAGAAGGCGCTCGAAGTCAGTTACGACAAGTTGTTCTTCGGCAGTAAGATCGAGGTGGTGCCGTATCAAGGTCACGAGGTTGACGAGACCGATTCGCGATTATACGAGGCCGAAATCGACGAGTACAACCCGAAGGCGACTCGAACCCTCTTCATCGGCAACCTGGAGAAGGACGTGACGCAATCGGATCTTCGGAAACACTTTGACCAGTTCGGGAAAATCTTCGAGATCGACATCAAAAAGCAAGGCGTCGTCAGTTCGTACGCGTTTTGTCAGTACAGCGACATTGTTAGCGTGGTGAAGGCGATTCGAGCTCTCGATGGGGAACATTTGGGGAACAATCGGATCAAACTTGGCTTTGGCAAGTCGATGCCCACGTCGTGTGTGTGGGTTGATGGAGTTACGGAGAACGTTAGTGAAAAGTACCTGATGAACCAGTTTGAGGCGTTCGGCTCCATTCAACAAGTAAGTAAAGCTTTCAAAATAATAACATAAGAAATGTAAATGTAAATTTTTATTTATATTATTGTTTAATTTTTTAGGTGAGCATTGACAGAGAAAGAAGTCAAGCTTTGGTGTTTTACGAGCAGCAAGGCCACGCGCAAGCGGCTGTGAACAAAATGCGTGGTGCAACTTTAGGGCGTAACAGAAAGATCCAAGTGGATTTTGCCAGTCGGGAATGCCAAGAAGCTTTCTTCGATCATTTAGAAAAGCAGGGACATTCTGCTGATAGGATAACATTCGAGGAGAGAAGAGATGCTGCTTCGAGAACTTTTGAGGCCACCACAACTCCGGCAAGGTTCTCAAGGTAGTTATTCTTAATTTTTTTAATATTCTAATACATAATCTAATTAATTAATTTATTTATTTATAAGATATGAAACCCCAACAAGACCAAGAACGTCATCATACAGTAACAGAACAACCGCTGCGGTAAATCAACTCACCACGTTACCTTCACCGGGAACTCCAGGTTCGGTGACGCCGAGGGGTGCAGCTTCACGGTCGAGAGTATCTCGGTACCCTCCTGATTATTATGAAAACTCCGAGTATCCTGAGAGGCATTTTCGGAATTACGACGAGTATAGTCAGGGTAGTGGGGCGTCTCAAGACGAACCCTACGAGCACGAGTACAACTACCACGAAAGCCCGTCCCATTTGGAACCAATCGACAGGTTACAAACGGTGGTTTCGGAACATCCGGTGGCGTTTCCGCCGCCGGACATCCGAAACTTACAAAAGGAGCGGGTTCACATTCTCGAGCAGCTCGACGATTGCAGTTCGGGCGACGAGATCATTAGTCCAAAGAAAAAAATTAAATTGGATCACTTGGATGGACCAATGAACTGTGATGTGATTATCGAGGCGAATCGTGATCACCGGAAAGTGATGGAAGTGCGCAGGTTGTCGGACGCGAGTGCGAAACATCACTCGCGAAGACCGTCCGTTGATGGTAGTAAACATCGCGAGTTGACCGGTCACGATAGGAACTCATCGTATATGCCGCACGCGATTTGTAAACGACGAAAAACGGGTGGTAGTGATAATGGGAGTTCGCGAGTGCATCATTACGACCAATCGGGATCGGAGAGTGTTGGTGGATCGCGACCCGGGACGCCGTTGTGTGACGAAAAACCCGAACACATACCGAGTGAACCAAGACGAACGCCTAGAGACAGAGAGGGACCTTTAAGTTTGCCTCTACCTCGATTCGCCACCCAAATATTACACAAGGGCAGTATATCCGTTGCGGGTATTAAAGGCCAAAAGGATAACATCCTATCTAGTCCACCAGCCGCTGTTACAAGCCCGAGAATAGTAAGCAACCCTAAACCGCCTAGTCCTGTTCACGTACCCCCACCGGCATCGCCACCCCCGAGGCCGCCATCTCTTAGCTCATCATCAAGCGACAGCGATGGAGCCTCACCCAGCCCATCATTAGATGAACGGATACGCTCCCTTGATGAAAAATACGAAAAGTGGTCGGGATCGCGAGCACTCAGCGCAGCCGGCGGAGACGCCCTCGCGAAATTGGACGCGAACCGCGACAAATTCAAAATTCGACACAAACTCCTCGACCCAAATCTCGACCTGAAGGTGCTGCAGCCGTCCGAAATCGTCAAATCGGTGATGGCCAAACGATCCGTTTTCGACGAAGACTCCAAACGGCTCGAGAACGTCGGCGAAAAATACGAACCCAAGGATTTTGGCGCATTCCCCAAATCATCAGCCCCGCCACCGCCTTCATCATCATCTTCAATCCCCGCTAGTCCATTACCCCCGGCTACTATATTAAAGATCTCTACGACGCAACCAACAAAAACACCAGCCACTTTATCACCTAGATCAACAAGTAAATCAAATAAATTATTGTTTGAATATATTAATTAATTCTATTTGTGTTTTAGGTACAGGAATTCCTCCAGCGAAAGGATTACAATATCCTTTTCCAAGCCACCCACCAATACCAACATTAATTGGACCGACACCACCACCTCCAGCACCACCACCACCGCCACCTCCGCCAACAATTCCAACAACTACATTAGTTGCGGTTACTACAGCATCTCCCACGTGCTCAATTACACCGAGACTAAAATCAACAAATGTTAATAATCTAAATGGGGTTGAATTACAACAAATACAACAAGTACAACAAATACAACAAATACAACAAATACAACAAATACAACAAGTACAGCAAGTACAACAATTACAAGTACAGCAAGTACAACAATTACAAGTACAACAATTGCAACAACAACCCGCCGAGCGGATATGTAGTAATAAGGTGGTGTCTAGTACTGTCGTTGTAAATAGAACTGTTGTCACGAACGCCTCGTTAAAAACACTTGATAACAATAATAGTGATAACAGCGGAAATAATAATAATAACAATAATAATTCTAGTGGTAATAGTTCGAAGTGCAGCATTCCTGGGGACGTAACGAGTCCCTTTCTTCTTCTTCAATCGGGTAAAGCAAAACGGCGCGATTCGACGGCTAGCGTTGATTCAACGTCAACGTTAACTTCATCCTCATCGAAATCGAGACGTAATAGCGTCATGGACAATTGTGATAATAACGAGATCGAACAACAACAACAAAGAGAAAGGGAAAGAGAAAGAGTCGAAAAAGAATTAGTTGAGAAATTGGAGAAGGAAGAAAAAGAAAGAAGAGAGAAAGAGGAAAAGGAAAGAGAGAAAGAGGAGAAGGAAAGATTGGAGAGGTTGGAAAAATTGGAGAAATTGGAGAAAGAGGAGAGAGATAAAAAAGAGAGGGAGGAGAAGGAAAGGAGAGAATTGGAAGAAAAGTTGGAAAAAGAAAAAGAAAAGGAACGAATTGAGAAAGAAAAAGAGAAAGAGAGGAAACGAGAAAAAGAGAAAGAAGAAGAACGTAATAAATACAAAGAAGACAATCACGAGAAATATAATAAACATTCGAGAGAAAATCACAGTGAAAAACACGAAGTAAGAAAAGAACACGATTCTCGAAACCACGAGAGCCGAGAAAAGCATCTAAAAATCCATTCCGAAAGAGATTCGGAACGACGAAAAGAGAATTCCAAAGAGAACCGCGAAAATAATTCGTACGAAAAGTCGAAAAACAACAATGAAATTCGCGACAAAGATCGACCATCTTTAGAAACGCGCCATCTGTCGATCGATTTAGACAAAAATAACCGACAAAGCGACCCAAAACTCGATCCGAGCAGGCGAAAAGAACGCAACAACTCGCTTCCCGCTCACATAGGCAGCAAAAGGAGGTTAAGCTCGCATGATAGCCACGAAGAGAGCGAATCGAAAAAGATTAAGCTCAATCAGGAGCACAAGAAAATCAACGAGAGGCGCGGTTCGAGAGATAGCAAAGATGATAAGAATAAAAAGTATAAAATTAGTTCGAAATCGCATGAAGAGAAAAACAGGGAGAGAGATAAACACAATAATATTAGGGATGAAGATAAGCAACGGAAAGATAGGGAGAATAAGGATAATAGGGATAATAGGGAGAATAGAGAAAATAGGGAGAGAGAGCATAAAAAGAAATCTTCCGATAAACAAAAAATTAAGAATAAAGAGAAACAAAGAGATAAAGAATCTCCAAGCACTCCTAGTACACCCGGGAAAGATGTTTCAATGGAAAAAGACTTTTTATCGCGATTAGAATTAAAGGAATCGCAAAAGCAACGAAAAGAGAAGCGAAAAGCCGACGAGGAAAGTATCACATCGTCAAAACCCACATCGGACAACAAATTCCTTCCGTTAATTGAGCGAAAATGCGAAGAAAATTTGAGTAAGTCGGAAGAGCAACGTAATAAGATCAAAAAAGAACAGCGTATTAGAAAAATAACGAATAGCAGTGACAATTCCGATTCGGATGAACCAAAAAAGCACTCAATATTTGATATCGTTGATGATGAACCGGCTTATATCTCAATGTACGATAAGGTAAAAGCTAGGAGTTGCAAGAATATGCAAAAACAAGAGGAGGAGAAGCGACAAGAAAAAATCAAGGCTAAGTTTAGTCAGTTAAAACAAAGCAGGGCTAAAAGGGAGGAAAAGAAACGATCAACATCTTGGGATGAGGATTCAGATTCAGATCGAGAACGCGGTGATCTAAAAGAGATTAAGCGCAAAGGGAAAATGTTAATTCAAAGCTCCGATGAGGAAGACGACCCCCACAAAAAAAATATTTACTCAGATAGCGATTCCGAAAGGAACCAAATCAAAAATTTCGATACAAGCGACGATGATCACATGAAAAACCTTCAAAGGAAAGGGTCAAAATCGCGGATAACGTCCGACACGTCTGAGGATGAATTCAAACAAATCAAAACGGAAATATTCTCGGATAATGATAACGACCAATTCGATTTTTTCAAAAAAGAAAAGAAAAAGCAAAACAAAATCGAGTTATCCAACGATATTAACGTACAAATTTTCGGGGAAGCTTCTTCCACCGAAGAAAACGAACGAAAAGAGAAATTAGAAATCCGCAAGAAACACAAGAAGAAGCAAAAGAAGCGAAATTTCTTATCGGACGATTCCATCAATAAAGACGAATCGAACGAGTACGATAAAAAGAAAAAACAACACAGCAAAAAAGATAAAAAGCGGGATAAATCCAAAGACGAGTTGAGGGAGAAATCGAAAAAACTACGAAATAAAATCAAAGAAACCACGAAACGCGACGGGAAAATGGAAAATATTTTTGGGTCGTTATCCGATGATTCCGAAAATAACGGAAAAGACGAAAAACCTTTCATCTCGCGAGTTAACAGCGAAGAAATCCCTTACACAAGCGATTCGGATCAAAAATCGGAATTCTTTAACAACAAATCGGAAGAAAAAGAACGTGTGATGAAAGAGGAACACCGAAAAAGAAAGGAAAAGAAACGGCGAGATAAAGAGCGACAACGCCGACGCGAGGAAGTTTCAATAAACGATAACAGTATCGATTTTTCCGATCTTGGTAAACAATTAGAAGATAATATTAAAGATGATAGTAACGAATTTCCCAATATGATCGAAATTAAATCTGAAATTAAATCCGAAATCAAACCGGAAATAAAAAGCGAAAATGAAATTAAACACATCGAGTTTAAATTTGAAAATAACCCCGTTAATACAGGTGATGAATTCAAAAAGAATTTGGATGATCGCAAGGAAAATAAGGAGAAGAAAAAGAAACGGAAGAAAAGTAAAGATGAGAAACAACGGCATCATCACCATCATCATCACCATCACGATAAGAACAAGAAAACGTTTTCGACGGAATTTAATAAGAAAGAGATAAAGGTCGTTTGTAATAATAGTACTGTGGAGGAGAAAGTTGATAATAATTTGATTAAAAGCGACGTCGAGCCGAGTTTGCCGAATATTCTTGAAATTCCCAGCCCACCACAACAACCGCTCAAGGTAGAGATATCTTCACCGGTTGCTTTAGAAACAACAACAACAATTATAAGTCCAAATTCTTCTTCGTCTTCGTCGTCTTCAAAAGATAAAAAGCATAGGGAGAAATTTATACCTGGATTTGGAGCTGAAATTGATGAAAAACTTCACGAAACCGCTGTTAAATCGATTTCAGAGTACGAACAACCCAAATTAGAAATTGAAGAAGGTATTGTATATTTTTTTAAATTAATTTTATCTTTACACCAACATTTTATACATAATTAACATACATTATTGATTACATTCTAACTTAATCTCACTTAAAACGTCAAATTTGACACATGACTTTTAAATGAAATGTCAATTTTTTTTGCAACTGTCAAATCTGTAAGTTACGTTGATAACTACCGGGAAGTAAAAGTAGAACACTAGACCTAGAACAATAAAAACCATCAAAGAGGGCATTAAATTCGGTTAAAGTACTCATTTTCTTTGAATTAAAAAGTTTAAGAAAATTCTGAGGTTAAGGTCAATGTTTTTATCTTAATTTAAACTAAGATTAATGGATGCCGCCACTTAACATTTATGTTAACATGCCGACAAAGCAAATTTATCTAACCTCATAATTTAATTTATTAAAAAAACTAAAATATTTGAATTATTTAAATTAATTAATTTATGTTGTAGGTATTATTAAAGAAGAAGATAAAGAAGCAAACGATGAAAAACAACGTGTTGTTATTTCTCAAGAGGAAACTGAAGATGCCGTCGCGGCATTATTGGGAGAAAGTTTCCGAAGTGGTGGTGAATTTGATGATTACACGGAACAACCAATTAGTCCGATTAATCCACCAACGATACCAGACGAAGATAATCAAGATGATGAAGAAATGAGACAGGCGGTGCAAAGTTTGCACACCACTGAGTTAGATATTAAACCAGAAACGCCTCAAAGCGAAAACGATTTGCAAATAGACACCGATACCGAAGACCAAGAAGATTCAGTTCCTTTAAGGTTCGATCAATTACCGAAAACGCCAGAGGGTGTCGATTTATCGCATCCACCGAAAACGCCGGATATACCGAGTTATTATAAAAGTGAGGAACCGAAAATTGGAAATAAAATTGCTAACATTGGAAGTCCACCTTCTTTGACGCCAATTAAAAATATTAACGCAATAAAACCGAATTTGGAACAACCAACCATAAAGAGCACGCAAAATTTGGAGTTATCTAAGAAAATTGTTGGAGCTTCTTTACCGTTACTCCCCGAACAAAGAACCGTAATCAACAAAAACTGGGATAATCAAGAAAAGAAAGATGACAAAATAAAGCCGGAATTGACCACCCAAATCCCACCAATCACTTCAAACTCAATCAAAGCAATCTCCCCGGTCACCTTAGCCTCAATGCCCCTTTTAAAAGTGACCGAATCAGTTGTAACCCCATCAGAAATCCCAAAACAATACGAAAAACCCCCTTCGGAATCATCATTAGTAATCCAAACGAACGTAGCAACACCTCCCCCTCCAATAAAACTTTCACCAAGCGGTCCTCATATAAGTTATTCTCAAAAACAAGATTTTACAAAGATACGATTACCAGTGGCACATGGGCAAGTACAAAAACCGGTTCAAATTTCAACGTTGGTTTTGCCAAAAGCGCAGTTGGTTCAACCACGATTAGGTTTCCCACCTACGAGGCATATTGGATTTATTCAATCGTCTCCAAAAATGCTTTTCCAAAGGCCGCCCATTTTCCCATCTTATCGAGTATCCTTGGAGAGTGATGTTAAGAAGTCTGAGGGGTTGTATCCAGTTAATTATCAAGATAATCAGAAGATACAATCGAGTGGGATACAATCAAGTGGAACACCAGGAATTCAACAACCACCAAGTATTCAATCATCACCAAGCGTTCAATCATCTCAAAGTCTTCAAATATCTGGGGGACATAATCAATCACCACCTCGAAGTGTGCCGTTACCTCCGAGTGGTGTTCAATCATCATTTGGTGGTCTTCAACAATCAATAATTATGTCATCAAAACCACCTCCACCAATACCATCGATTCCTGATAGATTGGAAGTAAATATTTCAAAACCGTATCTGCCCGTTATTCAAGAAACCCCGAAAATAATGACTCCGATGACTCCCCCTCACGTGCAAGAAATGAGATCACCCACGATTATCCAACAAGCCCCACCAAAAGAGAATCAACAAGAAAATCGCACAGAAAAAGAAGCATCCCGAACCACATCAACACCAAGTCCAGTTATCGTAGTTAATAAAGAAAAAGAAATAATTAAAGTTGATGTAAAAGATGTTGAGAAGGGAGTTAATGAAGTTCAAAAAGAGGTTAATACAGAAATTAAAGAATTAAAAGAAGAATTTACCCCGTTGGCGATTGAGAAAGTTACTGAGGAGCTTAATATGACTTTGGAGAAGGAGAAGATCGAGGAGGAGAAGCTTGAAAAAGAAGAAATTAAAGAGAATGATTTGGTTAAGGAGGAGAAACATGATGGCGAGGTTAAAAATGATGGGAAAGAATGTGATGTTGAATTAAATAAAGCTGAATTAAAACAAGTTGAAACAAATCGAGTTGAATTAAAAGAAGTTGAATTAAAACAAGTTGAAACAACTCCAGTTGATTTAAAACAAGTTGAATTAAAACAAATTGAATTAAAACAAGTTGAATTAAAACAAGTTGAATTAAATCAAATTCAATTAAATGACCAAATTAAATCCGATCAAATTCAAATGAATGAAAATGAAGTTGAAGCCGAACCAGAGAAACCTCGAAATCATCACCAAGAAATCGAATCATTATCGGTAATCAAAGAAATTGAAAAGATTGAAGATGAGAAAGACGTAAAAGACACTGATAGTGTTGTTTCTGATATAAGCAAGGAAAGATTGAGTGCTGAAATCCTCTCGAAGGATGATCCGATGGATTCGAAAGAAGACAGCGATTATTGGTCTGCGAAAGAGGTTAACATAGATTCGGTAATTAAGAAAGTTGATGCTTTATGCTCAGCGGATGAGCTTTCAGATCGAAGTAGCGAGATCGGTAAAGATGATTGGTTCGATGAGAAAAAAGTTGTGAGTGCATCCCCGGAAAAAGTTGAAGTTGCAATCGAATCATCCCCCACAGCTTCCGATCCTTCCGATTTCATCGAAGATACAAACCTGTTAAGCGAAAATCTCGAGGAGAAAGAAATTGTTGTGCGAGGGGGTGGCCGAGGACGTGGTGGGAGAAGTCGAGGTGCTCGAAAAGCCCGAGGAGGCATCGATAGAGGTGTAGGGATGCAAACGAGGCGGGGTAAAGGCGTCGTTAAAGATGTTGCAACCCCAACGAAACGCGGAGGGAGAGGCGGGCGCCCAAAGAATGAGAGGAAAGTTACTAAATCAGAATCGGAAGCTACAAACGATATTTATGAGTTTAAAGATGATAGTGATGACTCTAAAGATAGACCGAGACTAATATTAACAATAAAACCAATAATCCCCAGTGCGAATGGAAATAACCAACAACCAACAGCCATCGTAAAAGAAGTCAGCGTTAAACCGGTTGTTAAAGTTGAAAATAAAGAGGAATTCGCCCCTCCTGTTAGTAACACGAGAAAATCGAAACGATTGCAAGAAAAAGATGTTTTTAAGAACACCGTTGATGATACGATTGAGGATGTTGTTAAAAATAGCCCGCATGTTATCACAAGATCCGCAATGAATTTGAGTACGAGGAGATCCGGAAGGGGGCAGGTTAAGGTTGTCCCGGAAGTTGTAACTCCAATTAAAAAGACGCGAGTTGGGAAATATAAAAGGAGGGGATCTGAAACTACGGATGATTCATCCGAGGAAAAAGCACCTATTAAAATTAATGCGGATAAGGAGGAGATTCAAAGTCAAAATCAAAATGTAAAGGTTGAGGTTAAATCGCAACAACGACCACAAAGTCAGTTAACTCAATTAAATCAACAACCTCAACAAATACAACAAAATGTTCAAACACAAGCAGTTTCGGTTGAAATTGAGAAGCCTAAAGAGAAACCGATTGAAGGGTTAAAAGCTACGGTTCTTCGAAGAATCAAAGGGGATATGAATCAAGAACCAATGACACTTATTGATCCGGTAACTGGGTTATTAACGCCGATGAGAGAATGCGAGGAAAATAAATACATCCCAGTAACTGGAAATAACCAAACAAATCAACTAAAATTAGATCAAAAAGTTTTGAATCAATCAACTTTGAATCACCAACCAATAAATCAACAACACCCGGTTGTAACGCCTTCCGTTGTTATAAAACAAAAACCTCAAAGTTTAAAAGCGCACGTTTTATCATTTCAATCTTCAAACAACAACATTGTGGTTACCCAACCGGTTCAACCCCAAAAACCTTCCGTGGTGACCCCATGTTCCACGACGAATTTTACGCCGAGATCAAGTCCGCTTCCGGTGACTCAAAATTTGAACATAAACGTGACGGCGATGCCCCCCGCGAGTTACGTTTCGGCTCATTTGTCGCCGAGACCGTCTCCGAAACCACCACAGTTATCGCCGAATCAAATTATCCTTCAAAAACCGTTAGTGCAAAAATCGCCAATATTGAACCCAATCATCCAAACAATCGGGACGCAACAAATTCAAAATCACGTTCAAGCCAATTTAATTAAGCAGAAGCAAAAAGCGCCGATTATTAAAACGAGCCAAATTCCAACGTCGAATAATCAAAATATTCTTAAATCGGCTCAATCAATTAATAAACAACACGGTGGGGTTCATCCTCAAAGTGGAGTACACCCTCAAAGTGGGGTTCATCCTCAAAGTGGAGTACACCCTCAAAGTGGAATTCATTCTCAAAGTGGAGTTCATCCTCAAAGTGGAGTTCATCCTCAAAGTGGGATTCATCAAAGTGGGGTTCTCCCTCAAAGTGGTGTAATGCCATCAACCTACAACACCATACCAAATCGGGTGGTTCAATCTGCAACATCTAAAGATGGAGTTAAACTTGAAGTATCATGCGCGACGGTTCCTAAAGTGACGACAACGACGGTTCCAACTGGAGGTCCACAAAGACACGTTCTACCAACAGGGATGCCTGTTCCCGGATACGAAGCGAGTTTGGTGAGTAAAGCGAAAAAGACAACGGTGATTCTCTCGTTTGTGAGAATCGGGTTGTTGTAATAACCGCTTCTTTAGTTCTTACTAACGGTGTGCTTTTACTAACACGCAGCAGCATGGGGAACGGAACGTCGTAGCCGCGGCGGTGGCGTTTAATCACGGGCGTAGTCCACCGCCCGCACATCAAAATTCGCCGTCACCACAACAGGTGATAAAATCAGTCTTTTTTTATTAGTTCCGTTTAAATTAATAAAATAATCGAAAAAATAATTATTTAAATGACAAGATGAAAAAAAAACATTTTTTTTTAATAGCGCCATCTATTAGTAGAAGTACTAACTTTAATTTTAATAACGATACTTACAATTATTTCTTTCTATAACTATGATTCCAATACAACTATTTCATTCAATATAAATTAAAATATCTACTATTTACCAATAATTTTAATAACTATCTCCGTAAATATAGCAACGTAATATAATAGATTTTTTGACAACTTTGACATTTCCCACTTGTTATGCTGTGAAGTTAATCATGAACCCAATTATGTTTAAATAATCATCATTCATCGTTTTTAATTAAACGATAATTAAATACTACACCATTTTATTGCGTTTTATCGATATTATTATAATTTTTTTTTTATATCCGGAATTCACTTCATTATAATAAAGAGAATTGTTTGCGTATTAAAAATTAATTAAGTTTTAGCTTTTTGCTAATAGATGGCGCTTTATTAATAAAATATTGTTTTTATTAATAATTATTTCATTATTAATTAAAAAAAAACATTTTTAATCTTTTTATTAAATAATTATTTCGAAATTACTCAATTAAATAAATAATGTTTTAAATTAATAACATTGAATTCGTAATTATTAAATTTTATGTTGTGAAGTTGGCAATTTTATGTCAAAAATAAACATCAAACGTTAACCTCAAAAAAATTATTAAAGTATTTTAAATTATTAATAAATTTATAATATTGTATTTTCAGGGTGAAGGAATAGCGGCTCATTTCCCGCCAGGTCCGATTCAATTGCGAGCAGCTCATGAATTGCATTATTTACATCCATCCCACGTTATGTATCAACAATTACTTCGTCATCAATACATACCAAGGTATTATTACGATTATATCATTAAATTAAACATGTTAAAAATATTTTTTTTAATAATTTTAGGTCCCCTATGGTTAACGTGGATAAACGAGACATCGACGGGCAAGAAGGTGAAGAAGCTCCGGTGACTTCCCCGCCTTTAGAATTGCGACGCCCCGGCTCGGTGGGGTTAGCCGTGGGATTAAACAGAACGAGTGCTGTCCCACATAGTTTACAATCACCGCATGATCGAACAACAGGTAAATTAATCAATTTATTTGATCAAATGTGAGGTTATGTGTTTAAAATTTTAGATTCGCCCCAAATTTATGGAATGCACACCGCTAGGATGCAACATTACAATCGAATATACGATCATGAGCCACCTCCGGCACATCGTGCAGTCCCCCACGGTTCCGTAAACACCTTTGCAAACGATCGAGGTTACGTAGAGCGGCCTTTAAGCACGGAGAGGCCTCCGATGGTGGGGATGGTGCGGCCTGATCGTCCTTTAAGTAATGATCGGCCGTATAGTAGCGAACCTTTAATGGCTCACTCAGTGAATCATATCGGAGGATTAGATCGCCCGCTTGCGATGCATTTACAAGAAAGGGCGGGTGTTGTGAATAATCATGATTTAAGCACGGCCGGAATCGTTTCAGGGATGAATGTAGCCGTTTTGGAAGGGATTGCGAGGACTCCGAGTACTGGGACTCCTAGTTCGGGGGTTGTTGGAGTTGAACATAGGGAATCTCACGATAATTTGTTCCAATTATTAAAGGTGAATTATTTAATTAATTGATTAATTAATAAAGTAATCATTTTGATTTAAAATTTAGATGTTGCAGCATTATCCGTGTATGTGGCAAGGTTTGTTAGCGTTGAAGAATGATCAAGCAGCTGTTCAAATGTATTATGTGTCGGGGAATGATGATGTGGCGAAGATGAGTTTGCCGAAAAATGTCGATGGGTCAACTCCTCCGTTGAGGATTTTCCAGCGAATGAGGTTAGAACCGCCTCAAGTTGAGGGAGTTACGAGGAAGATGCAGGTTTGTTTCATTTGATTTAAAAAAATTATTTGTGTAAACGATTATTTTTTTAGAATTTAAATTCGATTTAAAAATCAATGATTAAAATTTTTTTTGTACTGGTTTTATTATAAAGTATATCCGCTGTTTCGACCTTATAAGGTCATCTTTAGAAGCGCTACAATTAATGATGACAATAAGAATTGTTATAAAATTATAAATAAAGTTAACTTACTTGTCATTATAAATAAGGTTGACGTTCAAAAACCTCGCACATATCGTGAAATTAGGCACATCAAATCACAAATTGTTAATGTAGTAAATAAAAAGTTATTGCAAGCCTTAAGTTTAAAATTATAAGTAAAATACGACGTTACATGAAAAGTTATAAAATAAAATTGTTGAAAATGCGAGAAAACCTAGAATAACAAATAACTAATGCGAATGAAAATTTAATTTGTTATAATTTTGATGTTGTTTTTTATAATGACAGGAAAAATGACAGAAAAGTCAAATTTGTTTTTAATTTTTTTTAGATGTTTTGATTATTAGGACGTTTGATATTGAAAACGTCATTAGATAATATAACAACTTCATGTCATAAAATATATTGGTTAAATATCTTTGATTTTATTTGGTTGATAGATAATGTGTTTAAATATAAAACTAGAACTAACACTAGACCTAGAACTAGAAAGTTTCGAGTTTAGCCGTCGTCTTCAGAAACCCGAAACTTTCTAGGTTTAGTGTTAGTTCTATCGTTAGTTCAATAAAAATATACAACAATTAATTAATTTTCCTAAAAAAAAAGGTGACGTTTCATAAAATTGACATTTAATTTGACAAATTGTTATGAAGTTGGTTACGGTTGGTAACATTGAATTTGTGTCACATTAGCTTTAATCAAAAATATTTAAAAAAATAAATTTTTAAATGTTTAATCATTGATTTTTAAATTCTTAAAACTACTAGTAACATGGATTTTGTAATCAATATTGATCAAATTCATTTTTTAGGCCGAGAAGGAACATTGTATGCTTCTTGCTTTGCCATGTGGGCAAACGAGTGAGGATGTAATCGAACAAACTAACTTACTTAGAGCTGGTCTTATAAAATATTTAACTGAGAAACAAGCAGCGGGGATTATTAACGTTGCTGCTCCAGGAACTAAGCAACCCGTAAGATTAATTTATTAATTTTGAATTAATTTAAATTAATTTTTTTTTCTTTTTTAGCCTGCTTATGTAGTACATATTTTCCCATCTTGCGACTTTGTAAACGACAATCTAAGAAGGGTGGCGCCCGATCTGTTGGAGAGGGTGTCATCGATAGCGCACCTTTTAATAATAATAACGACGGTGTGATAATAAACAATTATTGAGACAACATTAAAAAAAAATTTAGCTCCTAACTTGTACCTATTAAAAACCTAACTTTATCTACACACACACAAAAAAAAGATTATGAGAAAACCACTGACTTCTAAAAACATTATTAAATAAGATTTTTTTTTCGTTGATGATAAGATTTGGGAGATTTGGAGAAGATTAAAAATGTGATTGACGAAGATTTTTGATTGTTTTCGTAAATTTTTGTTTGGATAGACTCGAAATATGCGATAAAAATGTATAAATAAAAAGCGAATAAGAATGGAAGTTTTGAAATGGAAGAAAGCGGGGGAAAAGAGATGATAAAAATATTTAAATTTCACTGTGATTTCTTGACAAAAGTAGTTAATATAAAACTATTATGAAAAATATTTTAAAAAAAAGGTATATTAAGGAAAAAAAATAAAACTTACTACCTATATAAGAGATCTCATGAAAAAACACTTAGTTGTAATATTTCTTTTTTTTTTTTTGTTTCTTTTAAGAATCTTTATTTTCTTATTTCTTTATTTAATCGAAAGAATAAAAATTGCTTTTTTAAAAAATAAAATATTTAAAACAAACTCCATTTTCCGAGTTTGTTTTAGATAGTACAAGAATCCGTTTTTATTTTTATTTTTATCAGCGACTTTTCGCCGCGTCTCTTAAATTAAAAGAAACTTTAAATAAAGTAGTTTAAGCTAATTTTTTTTTAATTTATGATAATTTTTAATTTAATAGAGTAATTTTTTCGTACCCTTTATACTAATATAATGGGTATTAAAAGAGGTTTAAGTTAAAACGAGACGCGGCGAAAAATTGATGGATACAAACGTTTTTGTTACCTTTTATAGTTGGCAAGAAAAAAAAATGGCTAATATAATCGTATATAATATATAAATATGTAGCATATTAAGAATGAGATGAAAAAAGGGAGATAAAATAGTTATTTTTTTTTTCAAATGTGAATAAAATAGGTTTAGTTCTTTTTTTTCTCTCATTAAAAAAAAATATCTTCATTTACCTTTAGTTTTTCCTCACAAATTCCCGATAACCCTTCTTTTTATTATTTTTTATTTTATAGTTCGTTTTTATTAAGGACTTGTGTACAGTGTATTTAGCGACTAAGAATATAAGATTTAGAACGTTAAAAGTAAAAAAAAGATAATATAGGGAAATTGTGATGTCTATATATTTACTGTAAATTTTGTACATACAAAAAAATAATGTGTATTGTGAGTAAACATTATAACTATTACATCATTATTTTTCGTTTATTTTCACCCCAAAATGAATTTATGTTGAATTTCAGCATAAAATATTACTGTTTTATATTTTTATTGAACTAACACTAGACCTAGAACATTGATTATGCATATATCAGATTATACTTTATATGTATAATCAATGACCTAGAAACATTCGGGTTTAGCCGTCTTTAGAGACGTGCGGCTAAACCCGAATGATTCTAGTTCTAGGTATAGTTTTAGTTCTAGTTTTACACTTGCACTGTCCACTTTAAATTTTAAAGTCTAAAAGGGGGAAACTGTGATGCAAAAAAGTAGTTTTTCTCACAGTTTTCCTCTTTTACAAGTTTTAAAAGTTTGCACAATTGGGTTATTAATAAGATATTGTTATTAAGATGTTGAATGATAGATATCGCAAGATTATTATTTTTGTATTAGGAGGAATTAATTCTTTTTTCCCGCCAAATAACTACTAGTATTTTAATTTACCTCCTCGATTCGATGCTCCTAATACAAATGTCGAAAATTTTATTGTCGAAAAAGTAAAATTACAGCTTGTGTCAGGATCACATAATATCGAAAATTAGAAATTTGGTAGAAAAAACCATTTTATTCGAAAATAACAACAAAAAAAAATTAAGATTAAATAAAACCACAAAAAATTACTAAAACTAATATTATTACTTAAATATTAAGTAGAGATTAATTTATTTGTCAACGAGATCTCTACAAAAAAGCAAGGCATCATTAATTCTTCTCTACATCATTTAATAATCATCTAAATTAAGAAAATTTCTTCATCAATGTGATACATTATGTACATATGGCACAACCTAAAAAACATACTGGTCATCTATGTACATCAAAAAAGGGTTAATTTAATTTAATTCTTTATATAAATAAATATAATATTAATTAAAAACGGACGGTAAAAACGAAAAATTAACTTAAAAAAAATAATTATTAAAATAGGGGGTGAATAATCGCAATCAAAATCACAGCTTTGTGATAATCAAAAAGGCAATTTATTTCTTTTCCTTCTTTTTTGTAACTTTTTTCTTCTCCTTTTTCTCCTCCACCTTTATACTTTCTTTATCATCAACTTCTTTCTTAACATCACCACCACCTTCAACAACATCCATCGGCGTTTCTTCAACAACCAAAGTTCCACTTCGCGCAACACCCGAAACTTCCAATGAACCCCCAGGAACATCTTTTTCAACTTCAATCTCTTCACATTTATTTTTATCATCATCTTTTATTTCTTCTTTTACATCTTCCTTATTATTTTCATTCGTTCCTTCTTTAATTTCTTCTTTACTTTCCTCTTGTACTTCATCTTTTATTTCCTCTTTCACTTCATCTTTTATTTCTTTCATTTCATTATCGTTTTGAATTTGATTAGGTTCCTCCTCCACGACATTCTCCTTCGTTAAATTAGCATTCGCTTTAGCTTCCAAGATTCCGATACATCCTTCAATACATTTAATCGCCTCTTTACGAGCTTGCCTTATATTATCTTTGCCCTCGGTTTCAATGTTATCCAATTTAATCAAATTACGAGTTAACATCTCATCCAAATAAAGGTACTCTTTATCTTTTGGTTTTCCGTTAAACCTTTCAACACGATTCATCAACTCGGAAACATCTTTTTGTATGTTTTGAATTTGATCTAATTGAGTTAAAGGCTTTTTCTTTTCTTCTTGAGATTCACAACATTCTTCTTCTTGTTGTTGTTGTGGTTGTTCTTGTTCGTGTTGTTTTTGTTGTTGATAATTCTCTTTTTGTTTTTGTTGATAACCTCGCTGTTGTTGTTTAAATAATTCATCTTGATTCACTTGGGGTTCACCTTTGTTTAAAAATTGAGTAAATTGGTTCGGATTTCTCCCAAAAATCCGTTCCGGTTGAGGTTGTTGCTGTTGGTTAGTTGTAAAGTTGGGATTTTTTGGTAAAACGGGTTCATCTCTTCCCTCGACATGAATCGGGATAACTCGTTCCATCGGTTTTTCCGGCTGGGACGACCTCCCCCCCATTTGTTCACCACCTCCGGGAGTTTGTAACCCTTGAACGGGGATGTTAATACTAGAAACAAATCTTGGGCGATTCTCTGGTGGGGCAGACATTGATCTTTGCCCTCTTTGATCATCAACCGGTTCCTGGTTTTTCCCCAAATCGACCGTATTACTTTGTTGGATATTTTTTTTAACACCGCCTTCCTCTTTTTCGCTCAATTTCTCCTCCTCAACGGGATTTTTTTGCTCCTCTCTCTCTGTTGGCAAAAAATCTTCTTCCCGGTAAAATGGACCCTCCTCGAACTCCCGAGCACCAAACGGGAACCCAAAATCTTCGAAACGCGACCGAAACGGGCGCTCAAATCGGCGATTCTCCGGCGGGGGTTGAGTCCGCTCGTCGGAGCCCCTTCTACGGCGTCCTTGACTCGGAAACCGATCGAAATTTAAATGTTGCGCAAATTCCGGGTGACGCTGTGCGATATCGTCAAGTTGGGAACGAAAATTTCTATCACCAAAATCGTCTTCGAACGGAAAACCACTCTAAAAATAAAAAAAAATAGTTTAGAATAAAAAAAAACATTTTAATTTAAATCGTCCAAAAATTATTGTTTGACATTTATAGGTTATGTATAAACATCAAATTAAACGTCATTTGGGTTGCATTCACTAATTTGTTATATTTCTTTTAATTAATTTTATTTATTTCTTATCCACTTAATTCGTCGTTTAATTAATCGAAATTAATAAATAATAATTTTTTTATTAATAAATTTAATTTTTCCTTTTTAGGTTACAGTTCGTGCCTTTCATCCTTTATTTTCGTTTTCGTCTTAATCGTTCAATTCAAGTAGGTCGATTATTAACATATAAGGAAAAAACCTTGAGAACTTAATTCATCACAAAAAAAATTCTTTTCCAACTTACATCTGGATTTAATCGACCCTGATTTTCTAGCAAAATGTTCGGGTTATCCACACAAGGCGTTGACATTTTCTTTACTTCAGACTAATTTATTAATACAAAATTATTTATTTATTTGTTTAATAAAAATAACTTATTAACTTAACATCAATTTTATAACTGACATTTCAGACCGAAATTCGTCACATTTATAGAATAAGAAAAAATTAGGGGGGGATCTCGCACGCTCATTGGCCCATTTTTAACCCCCCCCTTTTTCTTTCTACGAGAATCTTCTAGTTTCAATTCTATTCCATTCTATTCTAGAAAATCCGCGAAAAATTGCTATTTAGAAAGTAAAATCGCCCAAATTTCATTTTTATTAATAATAATGAGTCATAATTGAACTAATTTACTTATCAGAACGTTAAAAATAGTAAAAATCTGATTCATAAACAAAGAATTAGCTCGATGCATTCGTACCAACCTAAATTGGTGATGTTTCATAACATGACTAATTTTTTTATATAAATAATTGAGATAAATACAGGAAATTATTTGAAATTGCTTCTTTTTTAACCTATTTTTATTGTTATGCTACGTAACAACGCGGATTAGATCATTTTTAAAAATAAAAAAATTGACATGGTAAATTTTTAGCTCTATGTTAATGGTTTATGTAAATTTATTCGATTAAATGATGATTTTGAACTACAAGATGCAAATAACACAAAAAAGCAAGTAATTTTAGGGAAATACTCACACCAACGTTAATTCAACTGCAAGTGTGGCTTAATTTGTGTTGGGACTTTCCTGCAGAAGAAAAACGGTCACGATCAAAAAAGAATCGAGTTTAAACGCTTAAAAAGGCTAAAAATTATTAAAAATAACTCGTTTAATAAACAATCGTGAAGTTGAATTAAAAACTTTGACACGTAGAATTGCCAATGTTAAATCAAAAAAAAAAAACAGATTAATTTTTAGGTTACCGATGACCCAGAAACGTCAAAAATAAGTAAATAAACCTTGTAAATGTTTATTATTAATATTAAAAATGATATATTACGATGAGAAATTAAAAAAAAATTAATTAATAATAATAATACGAAAAGTTAAAATTTTTAGAATTTATAAAAAAGCGAAAATATTTTATGTTTTCTAAATATTTTGGCACAAGTCCAAAAAGTGTTACTTTAAAAACGAAATCGCCTTTTCGAACCCAACTTTTATAAAACCAACACTTACGCGTTTAATAATCTTAATGTAAAATTAAATATAAATCAAAAAATTGGGTTAGAATTATTACAAAAATCATTAAATAAAAATAAATAACTAAAATCCACCAATTTTTTATTGTTACTAAAACGTATCAAAAATAATTTGTTAATTTAATTAAATGTTAAAAAAAGTTTTTATATAAATAAATTAATTTTGAGGTTAGGTTTAGATTACTTACAAATGGCGAATTTGGATATGACATATTTTTGGTAAGAAAAAGATCCAATTGTATCTCTCCTCCAACTTTTCTTTTTTTATAAGGTCAATTTCCGCTAAATCGAGCGAAATTATCAGAACCACTGCAACATTCGCGATAACTTACGAACGCGTATTTTAGAACACGTAAGGTTCGCTTTTCTGTACGTCTCGGTTTATAGAATCATCTGGAATATTATCCACCGAAGGAGAAACCACAACGACTAACTTCACAGCGATTTCATTTCTCTTTCGCATACTATCCATCTCGCTCATTTCTATTTTAAATAAAACTCGATTTATTAAATTAATTTAATTTGAAATAAAATTAATTAATAACAAATCATTTTGTGTTAAAAAAACTTAACTATTAGTAATAATCAATAAAAATAATGAATTAAAAAAATTAGTGTGAATTGGTATAGGTTGTCACAATAATAATTTCAAATTGAGGTTATCACGTAGTTAGAATCATGGAAAACGAAATATACAATAATTGGGAGAGAGAATGGAAAGAATCACCGCAATATAAGAAAGAAACTTCTTGTTTTTCAAAGAAAAATAATCAGACTAATATTTGGAGTAATATGTGAACAAGGAGAATTACGAATATCAACAAAGGCAGAGATTGAAGGTATTTTAGAGAGAGATCTTTAAAGTATGGAGGTGGGAAATTGGAAAGGCTGACCGAGATGGATTGCGCAAAGTCGTGAAGCAGGCTAAGGTTCACCCTGAGCTGTAACGCCAAAGAAAGTAAAGTAACTGTGATACAAAACTGCCATACCAAATCTCAAATTATAATTATATTGTATGTAAAGACAATCTGTGATAAAGCTTAAATATATCATGAAAGCACTGTGATTAATTAAATATGATATGAACAAAAGTTCGAACTCTACTGGAATAACAACCAAGCAACCATAACCTCAAATTTCATTTTAAGTTGTTTTAATTAAATTTTATTCACAAAAAAGTAAATACACCTATTTTTTTTTTTATTCCGTTTCTGTACACATCATTATATACAAAAAAAAACTTAAAAAGACAAATATTAAATACTTTCCAAAAAAATTAATCATATCACGAACGTTTTCTCCTTTTATTTATATTTGATTCTTATTTATCTTGATTTCTCACATTTCTCTTTACTTAGTTATCAGTAAGTGTTAGTTTAACAAATATAGGCAGTAGAAACAATTTCATTAAAAAAAATTATCGTATATTTATACACAGCTTAAAACTTAATTTAAAATCAATCTCGCGCTTCAATATCTTTCTCCGTCGATATATTTTGGTTCATTTGATCGTTTTCGTACTCAACGAAGTCATCGAACAGGCTCGGCCACGCTTCGTTATCATCGTACGAACTCAAATCGTCACCGACGGTTTCCGAGAAATTAAGAAACATGTTCCAAGTATCCCGCGGGATTCCTTTGATGCTTGGATGCCGTTGTAAAAATTTAATCCATCGTGTTAAAATTGGTGGTTTACGTATGGTGAAAACCAAGTTCCAGAGATCTATCGCCATTTCTGTTAATAAACTTCTTTGTCCCGATTGGATATCTAACCCGAAATTAAACGTAAACCGATACAAGTCCTTAAATAGTTCTGGAGAGTCTTCAATTTCACTCACTAAATCAGGCAGTTTATTTTGTACGGCTTTAATTGAATCGCAACACATTGATTTTAGCCCGTTTACAAATTCTCCGCGAGTAAATCGACACATTTGTTCCGCGTTTAATTTCCAGGCCAAAACCAATATTTTAAAGTCTTCTGGGAGTACCTGCAAGTCTTTACACAGCTGTATTATTCCATCGACTCGGATCATATCTTCATCCTTCTCTCGATAATTATCAAATAAATTATTTAATTTCACATCGGACGGTTTACTATCCCCAATCCCCATTGTAGGCGCTAATTTTATTATGTGAGGTCTCTTGGCAGTGAAACGGCCCCCCGTATCTTGTATTATAATTGGTAAATGATTACCGTTGCTTATTATTATGTTATCGTCTGGTGATTGAGGTGCTATATGACTCGGGGCTGGATGTAAACGAGCTTCAGGCATTTCTGTTTTAATGAAGAAAATAAAATAATGATAAAAAATAAAATAAATAGTGATAAAATTTTAATTTAACAATTTACTCACCCTCTCTATGACAATGTGTGGAATTGTCGAGGGCCGAAGTTACTGGCTCCTTGAAACAAGTTAAACAGCTGCCCATTGGAGGGCCTCCTCGAAAGCCGTCGCGAACCGTTCGTTTCAACCCCGCAAGGACAGCCTACGTGCATTGCCCCGTCTGTGTCTCCCACAAACACACAAGCGTCCCCCGTTTGAGAGAGACAAAACCACCAATTCAACCGTCCGCGAGAAAACGCATCGAAACCCCTTTTCTCTCCCTTGTAAACAATAAAAAAAATTAATCTCCTACCAAGTGGTTCTTTAAAATCGTCGTCGACGTTTCGGGTTCTTTGAACTTAATCCGAGCCGCATGGATCGTCTTTTATTGCTTAATTGCAAGCTTAAAACGGGTTTTCTCTTGATTTTGCGGAGATGTGTGAGGCGATTCAGTTAGAAATTAACTATTTTATGGAAAAACTATCGTTTTTTTTTTTGACATTTGTAGTGACAGCTGACGTGGGATGCGTTCTTAAAATGACATTTATTAAGAAATAATTTTTTTACTAAAACAATCTTAAAAATTCATTTCATTTTACATCATCATTAACAAATCTTAATAATATCGCAATAAAATAAATAATCAATAATTATAATTAATAAAATTATTTTTATATCCCTGTCAGTTTCAATTTCAACTAACTTCACTCGTGGCCATATTGACCTGCTGAAGTGAAGTCCAAAAAATGGGTTTTGGAGATTATCCCGCTGAATATAACCCGAAAGTGCACGGTCCTTATGATCCTGCACGTTTTTACGGGAAGCGTGAGTATCCATCACTAATTCTTTAATTAAAATTAACCCACCTAGAAAATTATAACCTCACTTTCTTTGTATTACATAACCACATCACTGTTTCTTGTTTCATAATCTTCAATTAAATTTATTTAACTTAATATTTTTAGCGGATACCCCATTTGGTCAAGTAAAACTTGGCGAATTAGGTTCATGGTTTGGGAGGAGAACTAAAAGTCCACAAGCCGTAGCCGGGGCTTGCAGTCGGGCTTGGTGGAGATGGCAACATAAATATATCCAACCGAAACGCGCCGGAATCGCTGGTTTCTTCCAGTTGATCAGTGTTTCAATGGCTGTATTTTATTTCTTAAATTACGGCAAGATTAAGAAGCATAGGAACTACAAATATCATTAAATGTAAATGATGAGGATCGAGACGGGGGTAGAAGAAAACAGCTTGTAGTCGAATTAAAAATTGAAAAGAACACATTGTTTAATTTTGAATTGTATTAAAGAAAATAAATAATTTGGGAAAGAATAAAGCGTTTTGATAAATGACAGTTGATGTCGGTAAATTAGGAATTTGCAGGAAAAGATAACCTCCAAATATAAATCAAACAAATTTACATAACACAATGTAATATATACGTTTTATTTTGGGTAAATCCACATTAAATATTAATTTAGAGTTTAAAACGGTGATTAAATTCTTTGAGAATGAGTGTTAATCGGTTTGAATTCAAATTTATTACTTAATCTCTGATTGATGTGATGACATAACCTCAAAAAATTAAATTTATAATTATAAAGTATTAAAAGTAGTATTTGTTATGGAGCAGGATTTAAATGGAACTGGATTAGCGACAAAAGAAGCCCTTAAAAGATTACACGGGGAGATAGCGTCGGTTTTAAATCAATTTAAAGCATCACAAAAGAATCGGTAATAATAAAATAAAATTAGTTGAATTAATTTTGATTTATTTCTTTTATAGGAAATTAAACACTTGGATAACAAAGGGGTTTCTCATTAGGAATAAACACGCAACGGTTAATTTCCTCTCGTTATTTTTTAGTTTATTGTGTATAATTTTATTGATCGTAACATATTACATAAATTCATTATGGATTTATTTAGTTGAAGCTTTAATTTTATTATTTCTGTTAATTTTTAACGGGATGTTTCAATATTACGACCGAAAGTTACGATACAATGAAATACCAAACCGGGCTAATAAACTTTTGGATATTTTAAGTATAAATTTAGAAAAAATTAAGTGGGGTTATGAGAATTATCCACAAATACATTTGCCACCTTCGCCATGTATCACTTTACAATGGACCTATCGAGATAATAAAATCGTTAATTTACCATGGGCCCTTTTAGTGACAGGAGATGTGATTTTAATGCGACCGGGGCAATTAAGTCCTGGGTATTGTGAGGCGATCGATAAAAACACCGAATTTCCAATTTTGCACTCCAAAGAGATGTTTAGTCCGAATTTACGCGCGGAAAATGAAATTTTTAGTATTCCAAAGTCGCGGAAACCTTTGGAATGTAAGAAATATCGGTTGAAAGAAACCCCTTACATCGATAATTTAAAAATTGCTTTGGAACAAGCGTTAGATCGCCCAGTGAGCTTGCAAAATCAACAAAGACACTACGTGATGGTTCAAATCATGGAAAGAATCATTTTGCCAACATTTTTTTTATTGGTTTTGTTATTAAATTTGTTCCGATACTTTTATTTGGAACGATTTATCGGGAAATCATCAACGTTAAACTTATTCCTTTTAATCCCCGTATCCACAGTTTTACCTTTCTTACCCTTATTATTCCCGATTACTTGGAGTTTATTAAACAGCTACGGAGTGGCGCATTTTAAAGCGTTATATGATGAAAACTGTCAATGCTCGATGGCTTTAAATGACTTGGAAGAGAATGATACTTTTATTTATCACCAAGTAAAATGCGATTGGAAAGTTATTTGGAGGAATTTTTTGGACGTGGTCCGCGGGGAAAGCGAGATTATCTCGAGAACGACGAATATTGTGCACGTTTTGGGCAGTGTGACAGCTTTGTGTTGTGTTGATAAAAAGGGGATATTATCTTGGCCTAATCCCACGGCGGAAAAAGTATTTTTTCTTCGTAATTCGGATAATTTATCGAAATCGTCTAGTTTAAACTCGAATTTGGACGATATTGAATGCGAAATCGATGAGAATTTAACTAATAAAGAGGGAGGGAAAGAAACTTCGGAGTTTAATGAAGATTGTGCTTCTTCAACGGTGGGTGAAGTACTTGATTTAACCCATAATCAGTCAGATCCGTTTAAATTACACTTCGATGATAGAAAATGGGAAAAATTTTTGACCAGTTTGAAGCCGTTGGGGCTTTCGATTTTATTGAATACTTGTAATATTGATACGCAAGTAAGTTTTTTGATATTTTATTCACTTCTTACTAAATTAATTCTTTTAAGGAACATTACACAACTTTTTGTTCACACATAACATGCGAGGCAATGTATAACGAAAATCTGGTTCCTGTTATCAATAGGAGATGTTTGTGCGAGCTGGCTAAAGAAATCGGCTTTCTTGACCAAGCTCACAAAATATTTGCTTTGGAACAGCAGTTGTCCACTTTTAGGCATTTAGTACGCTCACTAACATTTTTTTTCCGTTCCGATTAACTGTTCTACTTTGATTCTAGCAACCTGAAATGGTTAGGAGGGACAATAAATACGCCAGGTCATTAAGTATGTCCACGAAATTAAAATTTCCTTTCCCGCACATGTTCGCAGTCGCCGTTAAAGAGTTAAGTAGCGGTTCCGTGCAACTTTTATCCCAAGGAACGGCCGATATCATTTTGGATTCGTGCGTCGACTTTTGGGACGGCTATGATTTATGCCCCTTAACGCCGGCGGATCGAAAAAAAATACAAGATTTTTATCAACGATGTAGTTTAACAGCTTATTGTACAGCTTTTGCTTACAGGCAAGTTTTTTTTTAAAATGACATTAAATTGACTAACCTCAAATAATATTTATTATATTTATTATAATATTTTTTCCATTTTAGGCCACTTTCTAAAGGAGTTAGTAATAAATTAAGTGAAGTTTATTTGGAATTACCAAGCGATAGTCGTCATTTATACAGAACTCATAGAAGCCCTACTCCCGTTCATTGGGATTGCAGTAAAAACGTGTTAGAGCCGAAAATAAAAACGCCGTTAGCTCAATTTTATAGCACCGATTCCTTGTTGTACAATGATAGCCCTTCTTTGGAAGCATGTGATGCGGAGAGTTGCTTCGATATGCAATGCAACCAAGTTTTTATTGGTATGGTCACCATGCAATATCAAGCACAATCGGATATGGTCCAATTAATTGAGCAATTAGAACGTGCTTGTATACGATTCGTTCATTTTAGTAAAGAAAATGAGCTTAGATCGAGGGTTTTTAGCGAAAAAATGGGGTTGGAGAGTGGTTGGAATTGCCATATTTCATTATTAAGCGATAGAATTAGGTGAGAAATAATAACGTTAGGGTTAATAAATGTGTATTTAATGTTTTGAATGAATTTTATGGATTAAATTGCTAACCTAAAATCTTTTTTGTGTTTCTGTTTGTTTTGTTTCTCTACTCTTTCTCTGTTGTATGTATTGTTACGCAAAATAAAGACTTCCGGATGCTTCATTGGTCGCCGTTAGGAGAGGCACCGGTTACATGTGTGAAAAACGTCGCATCTCTCAAAGCGCCCGAAGACTTCACACCACTCTTGGGTCACCGACTCATTCAACCAAACTTAGGTACCCAAAAAAAATAAGCACAAAAAATTATTACAGAAAATATTGTAGATTTTGGCAAAAAAAATTGTGGTGTAATGGAGTACTACTTTGAATGCTTGCTGTAGAAGATTGCTTCGTTTTTTGTTAAATGTTTTTAATTAATTTTAACGAAAAAGTGAGATTTTTGAGGTGATTTTATTTTTTTAGCAACCTCGGAGCTTCTCGAGCGATGAGTTTCTCAGCTCCATCAGCTATCAATACGGATTATACGGTTGTTAAATTTGAAAATGAAATTATTCCGATGTTGAGACAAGAAGATAAGTGCAATAGCAACGAGAGTGTTCATGATCCAGGAAATCCACACGATTGGCAATCAATGAGCCATTTAACTAATGATAGTAGCGAACATAGTGCCCCAATTAATTTTGATATGTCAAATAGGGTTAGTTAAATTAATTCCTAATAAATAATTAAAATTAACCTAAAAAAATTTGAGGTTATGTCAAAAACATAACCTCAAATCATCTTTTTTATATATTTTTTTAATTAATTTTTATTTTTAGGCAAAATTACCAAGAGGAATTGATAAAATACGTCCTCACATTGAAAAAGTAGACAACGTTCCTTTATTAGTATCTTTATTTACCGATTGTACAGCTTCCGTAACACGAGAGATGCTTCAAATTATGCAAGATTACGATGAAGTTGTTTGTGTAATCGGCTCATCTGCTAGCAATGAAAATATGGGAATTTTTATGCAGGCTGATGCAAGGTAATTAACCCATCTCAAATTAATTTTAATTAATACCATTTTTTTTAGCATCTCGGTTGAACCTTTATACCCTCAAGTATGTCAAAAACTCACTCCGTATGATTTAAAAAATCTTCCGAAAGATGTCCCATCACCGATTGATTTATCGCGAAAATTAAATTCGATCGCTTGTTCTTTATCGATGAAACGCGAACAACAACCGATTCCGATTCACCAATTAATCCGGGAATCACGACATTTCGTTTCAAATTTATGGAATTGCGTTCAATTCTGGTTGTGTTGTTCCGTTACGATTAGTTTTGTCCAACTTTTAACCAACGTTTTTATGTTGCCGGCTCTTTTAACGCCCGGGCAAGTTTTATGGCTCGTTTGCTTCGTTGTACCACTGTTAAGTGTCAGTTTAATGGCATCACCTTTCGATAAAGATATAATGAAGAAACCGCAACCTAAAAATCAAATCGCTTTTAATAAAGATGTGAGTTAAATAAAAAATATATATTAAGATTATGTTGTATTGTTTTCTTTTTTAGGTGGTTATTTTTGCTTTGTGGTGTTATGGAAGTAAATTTACGTTACTTATTGTGATAGTTATCTTAACTTACGCGGCCACGGTGGCCACTAATTGCAACAATTTCTGTTTCATACAGAATTGTACGTGTCTTTGGTTTTACTTGCCACATTTTGACGCTAATTCAACTTTCCCTGTGATTCACAGCGATTTTGAGTTTGGCCCTTTAATAATTCAAGCTCAAAATGTGAGTTTAATACTCATCGTTTTACATTTAGGTTGGTTATTAATACCTTATCTTAACGTAATTAATGTTTAATATTTTTTAGTTCCTATTTCAGCTGGATTTGTTTTCCGACAACACTTATTTATTAAAAAGAAACCTTATCATAACTTAATTTGGACAGGAGCAGTTATAATAATGTAAAATTAAGCAAAAGAAATTCTTCAATTGATTTAATTAATTTTTTTAGAACTATTTTCCAATTAATTTATTCGGCAATAAATATGTTTACGATTTATGGGGAACTCCCAGAGACTTTGGGGTTCAACCCAATGCATGGTTTTTTAATATTTGGTTGTTTATCGCCGGTTTTAACCTTAGTTTTAAACGAGGTTATCAAAAAACACGAAATAAAGTAATTTTTTTAGGTTATGTTTTCTCGATTAAAACTTTTTATCGCTTTCAGGGTTAATTTGCGCTATCAAAGGCGTGCAAGACTGGATTTTGGTACAAAATTAGGGATGAATTCGCCGTTTTAAGTTTAAAACTAGTCACACCACCAAAAAAAACAAAACCGAGTATTCAAAGTCTGACAAAAAACTGCCTTTTTTGAAATTAATCTTATTTTTTACAATAAAAAGTATATGGAGTGTTATCTTCAAATAAAATAAAACGATCTAAATAAGTGTTTTATTAATTACATAATTATTATTCCCATTCTTTAATAATTCTGTCGAATTCGTTGTCATCAAAGAATGGCATATCAATATTTCTAATCATATTTTCACCACAATAAAGACACTCAGAAGCTATAATATTATCGATATCAGCTTTTAAAACGTCTTTTCGCGAAATCCCACTCGAGCCAGTACTGATATTATCAAAAGTTTGGGTGTTATTGATCGCGTTTAATTGCTTATGTAAATCAGATAGCTTATTTTTTCTGGCCGGTCCTAAATGTGGTGTCAATTCCTTAAGGAGACAATCAGTGTGGAAACGATGTTGACACGGAAACGCATAAAAAGCTCTCATCATCAAAGTTTTTTCACAAACGTCACACACATCTCGATGGTTTATAATCGTATAACCATTACGGAAAGATTGGATTTGTTCGCGAATCGATTCAGCCGCTTTTGTAGCTTCGTCCATTTCATCTTTTAAATCTTGAATTTGTTGATTATATTCCTAAAAATAAATATTTAATTAATAAATTTAGATCGAAAAACGTGCCATCTAGTGGCGAAAATAAAAAATCGAAACAAAGTGGAGTTAGCTAATACAAAAACTAACCTTCAAAGAATTACAAATAGCACTACGAAAATGATCGATTGTATCAAAATCTGAAAAATACGGTAAAATATCCTCGATTCGTAATAATTCGCATTCTTGTAATAATTTCATGGCCTTTTCAACGTCTTTCGATGGTGTATTATTATCAATAACATCATTTTCTTTTGATTTGATGACATGCTCGGCGATACTTAACCACAACTTTTTTCTTAATTCCGCATCATTTTCCGGTGCCATATTAGCGATTTCTTTGGCTTTATCGACATCGATGGTTAACGCTAAATCAACGGCCGATTCCCACATCCCCAAAAGTGCGGATAACTTAACACAAGCTGCCTTTAAGTTCGGATTTTCTTGACATAACCTCAACGCAAAATAAACATCATATTGGACCAACATTGAATTATTTCCTTGCGATTCCAAATAAGTTATTAATTTATCCGGGTCGTATTTAGAATATAACGATAATAATAAATTGTGTAAAGCTTTTTCATTGGTTTTTAAAATATCCTTACAAAATTCTAAATAACGAATAATGTGGGTGTATTGATATTCTTGGCAGCTGACGAAAGCTGGGAGTAATTTTATGGGGATTAAATTGCGCCCTTGGTCGATTAAGGCTTTTACAGTTGGTGCTGGAACTTCTTGGATTAAAATTGGAGTAAATTGGTAATAAAGTTCGCGATTATTTTGTCCTTTTAAAACGTTTAAAGCTTCGTAAAAATCGTTATTATAAATATTTTGCTTAATTAATTGTTCAAAATCCTTATTAACAATCGTAAGTTTTTTTAAATTATCTCGATCACCATGACTCGATATTAAATTATAAATTGATGACTTATTCGTTTTAATGCACTCGGAAACTTGTTTTAAAGCCAAAAACGACTCAAACTGTTTTTGTAAATCGTGATAAACGTTCTTTTTTTCTTCTCCTTTTAATCGCATAGCTTCTAATTCTTCCAAAAATAACTCGATAACCACCAAAACAATCATCGTTATTTGAGCTTGATCGTGCATCGTTAATTTATCTAATTTTTTACACAAAAAAACTTTTAACGCCTCCAATTGTTCGGCTTGGAAAAATTTTAAACAAATCTCTTCAAAACTCGATTGAGTTTCCGAGTAACATTGAGCACTTTCAACGAATTTCTTTTCATGGAACAGCATCTCTGCTTCCTTTATTAATACACGATTATAATGAACTTCGTTATTTTTAGTGAACTTTTTCGCCAAATCAAACTCTTTTTGGTCACAATAAAATTGCCAAACATGTCGTTCTTCTTTAGTAATTATAAACTTAAATAATTGGTGTTCCGTAATCGCCCAAACGTTCCCCGTTGCTTGATCTTGCACAATGTTTATCAATTTCCCAAACGCCTCGTTATAATTATCCTCATAAACGAGCTCTTTACTCAACAAAGACATCCCTTTTATTGAATCATTGTAAGCAATTAAAGCATGAAATTGAGTCGTTATTAAATTAAATGGAAGCACCGTTGTTTGTGATAAATTATCGTAAGCTGGTTTTGGGAAATTAATGAAATCGGAATGTTTTTTGATGATTTCTTTTATTGGTTTCTTTGAATCGTTTGAAAAAAACGGCGAAATCTAAAAATAAAAAAAAGTTAGGTTAGAATTTCGAACTGTCAAATTTTTTTTGAGGTTATAAGAATAGGTTAAATTATACTTTTCCGTATCTTAGGCCCATTTCAGTCATCCAAACGTAAGTTATCGGAGTTTCCTTCACCGAGTCGCCCCATAATCGTAATCGGGAATATTTTAAATTAGATTCGGTGAAAAAACAAGTTTCGTCTTCGGGTACGTTCAAGTATTTATTAAAAACTTGTTGTAAAAGGGGCCGCTCGGATTTGTTGACTTTTCCATCGAAATAATACAATCGTTGAGGTGTAGCTGCTAATATGAAATATTTATCCGTCGATGGGATTTGATAAAAATATAATCCGGAAATTGGGGTGAGGGTTCCTCGACCAATATCGAAAACCTAAATCAAAAAAAAATTATTTTATTATTGTAACTAAAATAAATAAATTTACCAAACCGTCCGTTTCTTTATTACCGTATAACGGCAAATAATTAGGCAGCTTAATTTAAATAAGAATGAAATAATCACGTAAAAACTTTAATATTAAACAATCGTACCTGCCTCCAATATTGTTCAATACCCGAAGAAAATCCAGAAGTAAAAAATTTCTCCCCTTCCAAAACTAACTCGGTTTCAAAAATTAATCCCATCGAAGTTCCTAATAAAATAGGACCAGTACTCATTTCCGACTCATTATAAGGATTCCAAGCAACTGCGGTGACTTTATAACCTCGAAATTTCGTGGTATTCTTTAATTTATTCGATTTTTTTGATAAATAATACATCTCAGAACTATCCGTTGGAGTATTTGGCATAAACATCAAAAATAAATGATTTCCAGTTGGGTCTAGAAACAAATTTGAAAGGGTATTTCCAGTTAAATATCGAGTCAACGATATCTCTTCTTGTTGGCTATTAGCTAAGTTAATTCTCAATAAAGTTCCACTCGCCGTCATTGCAATGTATAAAAATTTATTTCCCACTGCAACATGACTCACTTTATCGGGTATCAAAAGGTTTTTCTTGGTTTTTTGGAAAATCGGGGCGTCTGGCTCAATCCTCATTTGAATGTAACCCAATGCGTTCTAAAAGAGAAAGTGTAGATTTTAATGTAAGGGGATATATTATAATCACCAATTCTGCCGCTGAAATTGATTCATATTTAAAATCTTGAGATTGGGGCTCCTCGAATTGATCGAACATTGAAGTCATTTTTGTTGTTTGTTTTATTTTAACCTGTCTTGACAGAAACGTCAAAGCACAGTCAAAGCGAAAGATATGATATCTTTCTTTTCTCGATAGATGGCACTTTAACAGAATCAATCACGAAATTTAAGTTGATTAAATTTAATAAACAAGTTTACAATAATAAATCGAAACTAAATTAATATATATCTATAAAAAAGGGTGTTAGTTCGTTTTTACTTAATTTTTTTTTATTTAAAAATATAAGGATATTTAATTTTTATAGTTGTTATAGTTGTCTTACCAATTAGTTTTTTAAATTTTAATAAAATGAATAAATTAATTCCACCAATCGGTTTAATTAATAATACAGAACAATGTATTATAAAAAATTACAAATATATATTTATTATTCTAAAATTAGTTGGTAGTAATGATTACTTGACATTTATTTTTTTTTTACCGAAACGTCAAAATTTGTAAACATTCAAAATTAAAGATGTTTTTACAGACGATACCCGTTTTAGATAACATCCAACTCTTTAAACTAAAAAATCTGTTTATTAACCCATAAATAAACCGTAATTTTGCAATGACCGCTTCCGATGTTATTTACCGCCTCCAGGTCGTTCAATAATAAGGCACGATTACCTCTGCCGAACGCTATAATGTGGACAGGGGGGACTTTTGTACCAAACGGGGGCGTATTCGTACCCGTTTTCTCAACATTTCTCATTTGTGTAATCAGCTATTACTTCTTTAAATGGTTTAGTGGTAATGATATTAATGTACCAATTAGAGACGCAACTAAAAATCATAATTGGAAACCTATAAATGTTTCATCAAAGGTAATTTGGAATTGATGTCAAATTCTTTTTTATTGCATTTCTTAAATCCCAAGGCTTGGTATTGTTCGATATGCGAATCGTTGCTTTTAAATGGTATTGGTGTTTATTGTGATTGTTGCGGAGTTTGTTCGGATACCGATTGTATTAAGCAAGCTAATAAACAGCTTTTATGTAAAGTTATAACCAGCAAAAATGATGTGCATTTACATCATTGGGTTAAAGGTAAATAAATCAACACAACATTTAACTTAATTGTTTTAAATTTATTTTAAGGAAATTTATCGTTGGGTGCAGTCTGTTCCGTTTGTAACGAAGATTGTTCGATGGAACCCGGATTGGTCGATTATCAATGTTGTTGGTGTCAAAGAACCGTTCATACAAGTTGTTTTAAAAATATTTCGCAAGAATGCGATTTTGGCCCATTTCAAAACATGATTGTACCCCCGTGGTGTGTCCAGGTGGCTCGGATGAAAAGCAGTATTCACCGACACTTATTATTGAGGGGAGTTAAAGATCCTGGGTGGAAAAATTGGTTCCCATTAATTGTAGTTGGTGATAAATCAAGAAAATGTAATAAATTTGTCTTAAATTTTAATTGATACATTTTATAGCTAATCGTAAATCAGGAAATAATGACGGAGATGCAGTTTTATCTGAATTTCGCAAAATATTGAATCCGGCCCAAGTTTTAGATCTTGCAGAACGCCCCCCAGCTGCCGCTTTACAATGGAGTATTTTAGTGGCACCCAAACCAATTCGGTTATTAGTTGCTGGGGGTGATGGAACTGTATCATGGTTATTATCTTCTATACACAGAATGGATTTGGAACCTCAGCCTGTTGTTTGCATACTTCCCTTAGGCACTGGAAATGATCTTTCTAGAGTTTTAGGTTGGGGAAAACAACTTTCATCAGAAATTGATACCGAAAAGATTATGAAAGATATTGCTAATGCAAAAACAAACACTTTTGATAGGTAAATACTAAAAAAGAAAAAATTTTAATTATTAATTATTTTATTTTAAGATGGCGAGTTGAAGTAGCCCCATATCGTCACTTAGGAATCCGTTTACCATCAAAATCCGCTTACATGTATAACTATTTCAGCGTGGGAGTCGACGCCCAGGTCGCTTTGGATTTCCATAGAACCCGAGATAGCAAATTTTATTTATTCAGCAATCGAATTTTTAATAAATTGTTGTATCTTTGCTTTGGAACTCAACAAGTCGTAGCTGCTGATTGTCGAAACATAGAAAACCGCGTCGATTTGTATTTAGACGGAAAATTGGTGCAATTACCGGAATTAGAATCAATTGTCGTGCTTAATATCCAATCTTGGGGCGCAGGAGTTAATTTATGGAGTAATTAAAAAAAATTTTTTAGGTTAGGTTAATTTTTATTACTTTTTTAGGTATGCTAAGCGATGTTTCACCACAATCTTATAAAGATGGGGTTTTAGAAGTTGTCGGAATTTATTCTTCATTCCATATAGCTCAGTTACAAGTTGGTTTATCAACTCCCCATAAAATTGGGCAAGCTAAAATTGTTGAGGTTAGAATTAATTTTTTTAATATTAATAATTAATATATGTGATTTAGATTCGTTTAAAATCGAAAGCGCCAGTTCAAGTTGATGGGGAACCTTGGGAGCAGATGCCTGCTGTTTTTAAGATATCCTTAGTCGATCAAGCGACAGTTCTCGTTAATAAAACCAAATAAATATAAGTATGTATTTTCCAATAATTTTTAACGCTTTGTATTGAAATATCACAGTATTATTTACTTATTTATTCATATAAATATCTACTTAAACACTATTTTATAGATAATTATTAAGTATTGAGAATTAAAAACAAAACCAAAAAATTAATTTTTTTAATTTTATTCCTCCACTATTTCTTTTTTATTAAAACTGGATCAAAACTGGACGTTTAGCATCTTAATCGAATGCGATTTGTAGTAGTTTAAATTGTTTCTTTTTAAATGCTTAATTTAAAACTTTAAATAATTTGGTGATATAAAATTAATTTTTTTTAATCCAATGCTTTCTAAGTATTTATTTTAACTATATTTCCTGATACGGTTCTAATATTCCATAATTCAACGATTAAATTCGTATTTTCTTAAGTTAATTTATGAAGTAACTTAAAAAAAAACTTTTTGAGGTTATGTGTATTTTTATTATCCCTTTTAGGTATTCCAAGTTATATTTCACCCAATCTTATAAAGATGTAGTTTTAGAACTTGTTGCAACTTATTCTTCATTACACATATCACCAATATAAATTGGTAATAATAATTGAGGTTAGAATTGTCCTTAAATTAAAATTTAATATAATTTGAGTTAATGAAGAACCTTTTACTTATTGTATTCGCATAAATATTTATTTAAACACTACATTATAATTAAAAATTAAATATAAAAAATTAAAAATTATTCCTCCACAATTTCTTCTTCATCATCGTCATCATCACCGTCTTGGTTTTTATTATCAAGCGGGATTAATGTAGCTACAGAAACCCCTAATCCTCTAGCAACGTCCTCAATAACATCTTTATTAACATAATAAGTAATAAAAACATTGGAATTTCCTACGATTTGTTTTAATTCATTTAAATATTGTTTAGCTTCATTAAAATTTCCGTTTTTAACACACATTTGTATTATAAGAGCATAAACGTCTCCTCGACGAACGGAACGCTCCAAATCCGGCCCCCCAGTAACTAATAATTGCCTACATTGATTCATCGCTGATTGCAAATCACCCCGATCGAACAACTTTTTAATATCGATAAATCTTTTCACATTAGTCAATTGATTTTGAACAATCTCAGTGGCTCGTCGTAATTGATTCGGATCTTGTGGAGTTGTTACTTTTGTTAAGCACCGTGAGGCTTCTGTTAAGGCCCCGAAGGCTTTCTCATAATTTTGAAATTCATCAATTTCAACTTGGGCGCATGCCACGTAAAAATTGGCTAATAAATCGGGGGATTTTCCTTTCGAATAAAAGGTGATTATGTGGCGAAGTATTTCTGGTTTATTTTGCCAATCGAGTGATTGCAAATAATTCGCTGCCATTATATAGATTTCTCGTTGGCGGGAAACTCCGGCGAAGAATATTATTTTATCTGTGTCTCCCGATTTTAATAACGATTTCATTGCTTTAATCTAAAAAAAAATAAATAAATTAAGTTGGGTTAAATTAATTAATTCAATACAAACTTTATTTCCGCTTTGCGTGAATTTTTTCGTGGCTAAATGATAATTGGATTGTTCTAGTAAGCTCTCTCCTAAAGTTTCTAAAATTTTTAATCGGGTTTCTTCGGGAATTTGATCCTTTTCGGGGGTTAATTTCTCGACTAAATCCTCTGTGAGTTGGACGTTGTATTTTAAGCATAAATCGATGGCCTCTTTGTATTTTTTTCCGATTGCCAATAAATCAACGGCTTTTTCGAATTGTTGGTTACTCACGAAATACTCTGCACATTTTTTAATTAAAGCCGGATCGGATTCGGCGTCTAAATCAACGGCGATTTGTTGCAACGTTTCAAATTGTTTATTTTTAAACGCTAAATCTAAAGCTTTGTGTAACATCCCAGCTCGGTGATATAAAATAGCCGATTTTTCTGAAAATCCAATACTTTCCAAGTGTTTAGCACATTCTATTTTGTCTCTATTTGTCGATACGGTCCCTATGTTCCATAATTCGTCGCTTAAATTGTTTTCTTTGCATAATCGGACGGCGTTGCTGTAGGCGTTTGCTTTTATAAAGAAGGATACGGCTTCTTCTATGTTTCCGATCGTCTCATAATGCCGCGCCATGTGGTAAAACGCTGCTTTATCGTTGCTCCTCCTCGCTAATTCCGCGGCTTTCGCCTCCTCATTCATGAAGCACAAAACGCGAACTTGCGAATAAACATCCCCCGCTTTAACATAAATTTTTAACGCGTTCCCCATATCGCCTTGCGACTCAATGTTTTGGCCCCACCATTTCAGCATTTCTGCATCATTAGTTTGCATCATATAACTTTTTAATCGTTCCGGGTCATCTAATAACATCCTCGGAACGTCTTGTCGGTGTGTATTAGCTAATTCATAATGGGTAATAGCCTCTTTAATGTTTCCTTTTAATTCGAGTTCTTTACCGTATAAGTATTGAGTGTTCCTCAAATGAATCCGGTCTTTCTTTTCGGCTAAACTCAATGCCTCCTCCATCTTATTCCTGGTTTGTAATAATTTATTTAATAAATCGTAGCGTTCGCATTGGATGTAAAGTTGTTCCGCTTCATCCAACATCCCCAATTGGATCGCTAAAACCGCCAATTTCGCCTCTAACTCCAAATTTTGATCCGATAAAGCTTGTCTTAAAGCACGCGCAGCTCGCGCGTTCCCCATATGCCCCAAACAAACCCCCGCAACGTCTAATCGGCGCGTTTTAACGCACATCCGAGCCAAACTCGTCCAAACCCCGGCGCTATGCACCAATTTAATCGCCTTAAACGCGGCATCCATGTTTCCCAAGGTCAAATTATAACTAAAATCTAAAACGGCCTCGCGAGTCGTTTTATTACATCCCTCTAACCCGACAAATTCGTTCATAACCTCCCTTAAAATACTCATCTTTTTTAAAATAATTATATAAGGGGTGTTTAACCCCAATAACTTAGCCTCGGAAGGAATCGCTTTAATATCGTGGATACAAATCCCACTTTCCGAATAAAAAATCGACACTAAAACATGGTCCTCGTTTTCGAGCTCATTCTTATTCCCATACAAATTAATTAAACTCTTTGAAATCGGCGTTTTTAACTTTTTCGCGTTACAAATTAGTAATCGCGGGTCCGAGTGGTCCCAATAAACCGACAAAGGGATCCGATTCGTGCAAATTTGATTCGATTCCACTTCATTTTCATCCTCGTAATCGGTTGAATTACGTTTTTTAAAATCGTACCAATTTAATTTGTCCTTTTCGATATCAAAGATGTACAATTTCCCATCGGGGATTAAATTCGACGCTGCTAAAGTCAAAGCGATTTTTGTGCCGGCACTGTTTGACTTCGCCTGGATTATTTCCCCGAAATCGGTGCATAGATCGTATAAATTGCAAGGTGTTGTGATTAATTTTGGGGTCCTCTCCGTTAAATCGTACACTTTTAAATATCCTTCGATTGTGAATACGGTTAAGAATTGGTTGTGGACGTCAAAACCGATCGGTTCGCCTTCATTAGAAATTGTGGGGATCGAACAAATTAAATTCGCATTAACCGAGTAAATATTAACACTATTCGGGTATAAAGTAACAACAAATTTATCGTAAACCAAAACCCCCTCATTATCTCTAACGAAATTACTTAATAAAGTCATCGAGATTTTCGATTTTTCGTTGTATTTAACCCCCGAGTTGATTTCACCTCCTTTCCAATTAATTTCATAAACCAAAACGTTTCTCCCATTAGTTACGATTAAATAATTCTCGTTCACACTCATGTCCGTTACTTGTACCTCCAAATTTAATAAATAATTAGTATCTTCGGTTTCTAAAAGGATTTGATTCGCGTTTTTTTGAATCGCCCAAATTTTCTCGCTACAACAACAACACAAACTTTGCTCCTTCATTATATAAACTTTAGTTACAGCGTTAACGCTTAAAAGGGGGAGTCGTAAACTAATCGAGCCCCACATAATTTGCTTAATCGTTCCATTCACCGATGTGATGTTGGTTAATTCCCAACAATCTTCCGGATTCTCGATAAATTCGTTTTTAAACGGCCTCTTCACCCAAAAATAAATCCTCCCAATATTTGTGGCTCCGCATAAAGTTTGATTACTTTGGCAGAATGATAAGCAAGTGAAGCTTTCGTTTATTTGTTTTACACGATCCTTCTCGAAGGAATAAGTTTTAAACGTAGTGGGTAAAACGTAATTATCGTTTGTGTCGATATCCCAAACTCTAACCATTAAATCGCCGGTTAAAATTGCTAAAGAACCATTTCCGGTCCAAACTAATCCCTGATTCGTTCGAACCCCTTGAGTTTTTCCACTTAATTTCACTTTTGTTACTTCCGTTAATTGACCTTGCAAGTCAACGTTGAAGTAACCAATCGTGAGCCCTTCCAACATTATTATTAAAACGTCCCGAACGGGGTGATAAAGTACATAACTCAACTGGACCCCTTCTGTGTTTAAAACTTCAGTACAAGCCCCTGATTGGTTAATATAATAAACGCTCCCTTCTTGGGTACCAACGTAAAAACATAAATTATCATTCCCATTTTGTAATCGAAACTTCCTCGCTGTCGTTTTAGGTCGCCAATTACTAAAAATATCCAACGCTTGTTCATCCCCGTTAACAGCAGCTCTCGCTAAACCCTCAATATCAAAATCGGACGTTTTTACAGTCGAACGAAATGCGAGATGGGTTATACACTCCTTTAATTCATGATGAAATGCTGTTACTATTTGCGATTTTCCTTCCATTTTCCAACCAACCAAACTTCCTGACTAAAAAATTTTTTTTTTTTATTTTAATCATTAATTACAAAAATTTAAATCCTACCGAATCGCACGTGACCAATCGATTTCCTTTCTCGCTAAACCCAATTAACATAACCGGAACTTTATGGGGGGCATTTATCGTGACGAAATCTTTCTCCGAGTTTGTCCAAGTTCTTATTTCGCCGTTTTCCCACCCGGTTATTAGTAATCGTTTTTCTGGGTGCCATGCTAAAGCGGTTACTTGAGACACGGGGTGCGTAGGGAAAATTATGTCTTGTAACGGCTCCCCCTAAAAAATACTAATGAAATATTAATTGAGTTGAAGAGGTTATGCTTACAAGTTCATCGAAAATTGTAACGAATCCCCCTTTTTCTTGTGAATAACTGGCGATTGCGAGTAAAGGGGCGTTTGGGTGCCAAATTCCGCTCGTGGATATGGCCCCATTTTCCAGAAAACTCACGGGACTTTCGAAATATAAGGTCATTATTCCTACAGCAATTTTTAAGTTTGTGTTGTCACGGGTTGCTAAGCAACGCTTTTAAGTGGATTAAAAAAAATTTATGATTTTAATTAAATTCCTTTTTTATTTATTATTTTAATTAGAAATTAATCAAGTAACTAATTATAACATATTTAATTAATACTTCATTAATATTTTTAATGAATTAGAAAGTTTTGAGTGTTTTGAGTTAATAATAAAAGATGGCGCACTAAATCAAATTTTTGGAATCAAAAATTAGCGATTTTAAAACTATGGTTTTGCTTAATTCTTGTTAATTATACCTTTTGGGTGTTTATTGTTTAACTTTTTTAATTCTTATTAATTATTAAAAAGGATTAGTTTTAATTATTTGATGCGCGTTTCGTTTCTCTGTCAGTCGCCATCTTGCGTCCACTGTTTATTGTTTGAGGCTCCCCGCGCCCGCTGTTTGTATTTTCGTCGATTTTCCGAGTTTTCCGGTGATGGTGTGTTGCGTTTTCGATGCGTATCGACCGAAAATGTCCCCAACTATCGATTGCGGTAAAATTCGCTTGGAAAATCGCGCCCCCGGCCCCGTTTAAAGCGAATTTCGTCGTGCGATTTTCGTAATGGCCTCCTCGCGTCCCCTCTAAACGTGCCAGGAACAATGACAGTGTGCGTTTTCACGTGATAATCGGTTTGAAATACACGTTTCCCGCACAGGGAAAATGACCCCACTGTCCCCCCGCTGATCCCCACCGAAACATGAACTCCGAGGCGCAAAACCCCATGAATGGGGCCCACAATGCCGCCAACGAACCCGAAGTAAGTATAACAAAGTCGATTTATTAAGATGGTGAAACAAGTGAATAACCGAACTGTCTGTTTTTGACGTAAAAGATGAAATTGGGTTTTTAGGTTATGATATCTTTTTGGTAAATAATTTGTGATCGAGAAAGTTTTTTTTTATTTCTTTTGTGGTTGTTGAAGGGGAACAGTCAGAGGCCTCCACCCCCAACTACAACAGTGCCTACGGACTTACGTGTAAATACCGCTTTGAGTGCAGTTACTTTGAGTAATGTCGCCAAGTATTGGGTACTCACCAATTTGTTACCGGGGCCAATTCCACAAGTTTATAGTCTTCCCGGAACTACTAGGACTGATAATCAAGGAAAAGTTAATCAGGTAAAATACAACATTCCTTAAATAAAAAATTTTTTTTTAAATTATTTTTTTAATTGATTAGGATGGGATGATGGGTCAACACACAAACTTAATAAACGCCGATTCACTTTTATTACAACAACACCAACCCGTCAGCATAGCCACATCACAATCAATGAGCAATTTGGCGATCCCCACGAACGCTATGCACTTAGACGCCCAATCCCAAGGACATCAAATGAATACCCATCAGCAGCAACAACAACAACAGCAACAATCATCGGAGCAGCAGCAATCAATGAATCAATCGCATCAGCAAATGAACGGCCAACCACCGGGGCCTAACCCGCCAGGATCCGGTATGGTTCAAGTACAGGTACAAAACAACAGTTTGGTCTCTGTTATAGAAGACAACAAAGACCACAAGGATCTGATTACGAACGAAATGCCTCCGATTAACGATAATAATCAATCGATGGGGCAACACCAACAGCAGCAACATCAAAATCAACATCCCAACATGCAAATGCATCATTTACAAGTACAACAAGTAACAAAATAAATTAATTTATCTCACAATTTTTTATTAATTAAAAAAATAGGTTTTAGATAACGTTGTTCATACAGTTGAAAATAACCCGCAACAAAACAACACAGAAGAAATGCAAGATGGGATGATAATAAAAGACGAAAAGAACATTCAGAATTGTTCGAAATTTTTAGGCACCCAATTTGGCCTCCAAGACATTAAAGGCAGCTCGATGGACGTTAGAACGGCCGATGGGAGTATCGTAAAAATCGCCGGGATACAAGAACAAGACTTAGTGAAAACATTAGGGGTCGAAGTCGTTCAAAACATGTATAAAGTTAACGTTGAAGATATCAATCAATTATTAGCCTATCACGAGGTTTTCGGAAAACTCCAAGGCGAAATTACAACCACCCCTACGACGGTCGTTCAACATAACGTTAATTTACAACAGGGTGGAAATAACAATATTGCTTTAGTTACACCAAAAACGTTGGTCGAAAATGATCAAGAACCGACTACCAGTAGCATCGCTACTGATAGTCCACCAATTGTATCGGCAAGTCAGGTTTGCGATTTGTGTGGCAAGATGTTTCAATACAGGTAAATTATCTAATTAAATTAAATTATTAAAAAAAAATAATAAATTGAATTGAGGTTTTATTGATTTAAATTGACGTTTCTAGAAAATTTTTTTGAGGTTATGTTGATTTAAATTGACATTTCTTTGGGGTTGTTATTTTTTATTAATAAAATGATTTTTTGCGATTACTAATTTTTTGTTTTTAAATTATTTAGGTATCAACTGATAGTGCACAGACGTTACCACGCAGAACGCAAGCCGTTTACTTGCCAAGTGTGCGGTAAAGCCTTCACGAACGCGGCGGAATTAACAAGGCACGGGAAATGCCACCTGGGCGGAAGTATGTTTACTTGCTCGGTGTGTTTCCATGTCTTCGCTAACTCCGCCAGTTTAGAGAGGCACATGAAACGGCACTCAACGGAAAAACCATACAATTGCACGATTTGTTTAAAAGCGTTCGCCCGAAAAGAACATTTAGAAAATCACACACGTTGTCACACCGGTGAAACTCCATATCGTTGTCAGTTTTGTTCGAAAACGTTCACCCGAAAAGAACACATGGTGAATCACGTGCGTAAACACACCGGAGAAACACCGCATCGATGCGAGATTTGTAAAAAATCGTTTACGCGTAAAGAACATTATAATAATCACGTGATGTGGCATACTGGGGAGACCCCACATCATTGTACGATTTGTGGTAAAAAGTATACTCGCCGAGAACATTTAGCGAATCATATGAGATCGCACACGAATGATACTCCGTTTCGTTGTGAAATTTGTGGGAAAAGTTTTACTCGAAAAGAACACTTTACGAATCATATTATGTGGCATACCGGTGAAACTCCTCATCGATGCGATTTTTGTTCCAAGACTTTTACACGAAAAGAGCATTTATTGAATCACGTGAGACAACACACGGGGGAATCACCTCATCGTTGCGGTTATTGTAGTAAAAGTTTTACAAGAAAAGAACATTTAATTAACCACGTTAGGCAACACACGGGTGAAACTCCATTTCGATGTAGTTATTGCCCGAAAGCTTTCACTCGGAAAGATCATTTGGTGAATCACGTTCGGCAACACACCGGGGAATCACCACATAAATGCCCGATGTGTACTAAATCGTTTACAAGAAAAGAACATTTAACGAATCACGTGAGACAACATACGGGGGAATCACCTCATCGTTGTCATTTTTGTTCGAAGTCGTTTACTCGGAAGGAACATTTAACGAATCATGTAAGAATCCACACTGGGGAATCACCACATCGATGCGAATTCTGTCAAAAAACCTTCACAAGAAAAGAACATTTAACGAATCATTTGAGACAACACACAGGGGAGACCCCGCATTGTTGTAATGTGTGCTCGAAACCCTTCACTCGTAAAGAACATTTAATTAATCATATGAGGTCACACACGGGGGAGCGCCCATTCGCTTGCGGTGAATGCGGGAAAAGTTTCCCATTGAAAGGGAATTTATTGTTTCATCAACGATCTCATAATAAAGGCCCAACTGCGGATCGCCCGTTCCGATGCGATCTTTGCGACAAAGACTTTATGTGTAAAGGACATTTGGTGTCGCATCGTAGATCGCATAGCGGTGAGCGTCCCTTTGCGTGCTCGGAATGCGGAAAAACGTTCGTCGAAAAAGGGAATATGATGCGTCATATGAGGAAACATACGAATGAGATTAACGGACAAAACAATATTGGGGAAAATCCGGGGCAATCAGGGGTTAATGTGAGTCAAAATAACCCCCAAACGGGTAATAACCCCGTGGTTACATCCGTAGCGAATTTACAAATACCACAGGTCACTCAAACGATGGCTAATTCCGGGCAGGGACAACATAATATGCCCATACACCCACAAAATTCTCACCCCGTTGTTGTACCAACAGCGAATGGAAACGTTTTAGCGAGTTATTGACGATATTAGAAATTTTTAAGTTTATTTTTTGATTCAGTTGAGGAAATTATTAAAAGGTACGATGCGATTTATTTTTTTGGATTTATTCAAAATTTAAAAAATACTTCAACATTCCTTTTAATTAAAATAAATTAATGATTAAATCGTGTCGTATTTTTAAGAAATTAATTACTCTGTGGCCATATAAACCGAAACAAAAATGTATAATAATACAGGGTGTCCCCTTAAAAGAAAAAGAAATCTGTATTTGAACAAAATGTGATAAAAACTTTTCTAATATCTCGCTTAATTTTTATTATTTCTTGGGTTATTGTGTTATTTTGAATTAATGAATGCAACGATGAGAATGAATCGGTTACGTAAAGATAACCCCGTGCAATTTATTTTAGTCAACCAAGTTCTTTTTTGTTCAATATTTTAATTTTAAATGAACTAGAACAGAATAGGGCTGTGTTTGTTGACCCAAAACAAAAAAATTAACAAGAAAATATATTTTTATAAATAAGAGGTGTGTAAATAGACTTGTACATCTAAACTTTCTTTAATTTGTCGAAACGATGTGATATCACAAGCTTTTTACGTAACCGATTTAGATTTAAAAACGATTTGTTTACTCGAATCTATTAAAAGGCCTATTATTAAACAGGTACCAATTATTAATTTAATTATTTAGTTTTAGTAAACACCGAAGGCCTGATAATCGATAATTGACCAGTTTTTTCTATAAATAAAAAAAAATTACCATCTAAGGAATTTAGCTTTATTAATAGTGTAAAGTTTATATTATATATATGATCTGTACAGTTAATAAATGAAGATCTGATTAATTCACCTCCGAATGAAGTGAATATAAATGTGAATTATCAAGGAAAGATTTTAAGAAACGCAAAATAGGGTTATAAATATTGTATATTAAGTAAAGCTGTATCTAAAACAAATTTTTAGAGCATTTGTGACATAAATTGTTACTCTAATGTAATTATTACTATTAATTTCATTTTATTTTTAATCTAACCCCACTTTTTTATCTATTTAACATTTTCGTTATTTTTTACAGTATTCCCTTGATTTACTTTATAAACACTACTGTATGTAGTTTAAGTATTATAAGAACTATTTAGTTATTTTATAAAAAAATTAATAAACACAAATTGTATGTTTTTAATAAAAAAAAATATATAAACAATTTTTCATTTCTAACCTCACTTCCCAATTCTCCAATTCCGCTTTAGCGCCACCTATGAGTAACCTCATTCACTCTATAATGTTGCACCACCACAAAATCAATTATTACAACAACTAAAACCGGGTTAAAAGACCCAAAAAGATATTAAACACGATGAGTAGACGTTTGGAAAGAGATTCGCCCTCGATAAAATCTGGTAAATCACTTCTCACAAAAAAAAAATTAATTCGAATTGTGACCTAACCTCAATCTCCGTTTTTCACGATGCATGCATAAAAAAATCGCTATAAAATTAAAATCTTTAAATTTGTCAGTCTTTACTAGGAAGCGCCGGAAACCGGGATCGTTCGAGATCTCGATCGCCAACACGGCGAGATGAACCGCACCACACCAAATTGGAAAATGTTGGATTGGGGGCGAAGCATCGGTTAAAAAGTTTGGGGATCCAGATGAAATTGAGTGGGCAAAAACCGACCCCCTCGAAACAAAAATTGTCGGTCGCCGCCGCTTTTAACCAGGACAGCGACGACGAACCCGAGGAGATGCCCCCCGAAGCTAAAATGAGGATGCGAAACATCGGAAGGTAAAAATTAATTTCTAATTTTGATTGTAAAGTAACGTTGGATTAAAATTTTTAGGGATACCCCAACGTCTTCAGGCCCGAATAGTTTTGGAAAAACCAAACAAGGATTTTCGGATGCAAAAAAAGTTTTCGAGAAGAATCTAAAAGAGGCGATGGAAAATGCTTTAAAAGACGATTAAAATGTGTTAAATAAAACTAATAGTACCTTAAATCAAGTATTAATATTTTGATTGTAAATGTATTTGTTTTTAATTTAAATTAAAATAAATAAATAATCAATTAATTTTTAGGTTATGATTTATTAAAATAGATGGCGCTAAATTAAATTAATTTTTTTTTTAATTTAATTAGTTTTATTATCAAAAAATAAGTTATTTGAATTTAATTTTAATTAAAATAATTTATTTAAAAAAATTTTTAATTATTAAACTGGTAATGAAGGTTAAATAAAAATCGTTAACGCATGCGCACATCATTTCAATTTGACAGTAATTTGACAGCTGTTTAAGTGCGACGTGTTCCACTCAGTACATCAGAAAATGTTGACAAAACGACTGCGTTTTCGCCTCAAACACTGAAAATAAATCCGTTTTACATCGATCTCGCGTAAATAAACATGTATGTCATGTTTTAATTAATAACTTTTGTGTCATGAAACCGTCTCTTCGGATTTAATTCATTTTTTAGTTAAGAAGCGAGAAAAATAAGAAAAGTACAAGAAACGGGGGGGCTACCATGAAGCTTTTAGCAGGGTTTCGTATCCACACGTGTAGGGTTATTTTACTTACATCGCTCGTATGGTTCCTGGTGTTCGTGGTCGTGTTATCGTTTTACTCGGACTGTTTAGGCGGTAATTGTAGTGGTAATAATAAGAAAAGTGATGATTTTAACGTGTTAGTACCGGGTGGTTTGGTGAAAACAGACGTGGAAATTAGAGACATTGATGGTAGAAATGCTGTTTCGTTGCAGGAAAGCGAAGAGAGTAGTTCTGGGTAAGAAAATCGATTTTATTTCGGGTTAAGATTTAATTATAACCTTGAAGCTTTCTTTTTCTTTAATTAATTGATTTCGTTTTAATTTTGTAAAAATAAAAATGTTGACGTCACCAAAAATTTTTTGACATAACCTTTCTTTTAAGTTTTACAATAAAAATTATTAATTCCGATTAATATCTTCTTCTAGCCTTGTAAAGTTAACAAATTGATTGATTAAATGATAAGTTATCATGTTTTTATTTTATGTTTTTTTAATTAATTTTTTCTGATTACTTTTTCATGTTGCCGCTACAAAAATAATTGGAATAACCAGCATTAGTCGAACGTATAAACCGAATTTATTGAAAAAATGGAGGCCTGCACCTAAAGTTCAAGCTGCGGTTGGAAAATCGGGTGAAATGGGGAAAGCCGTTCACATTCCGAGTGAAAAAGAAGCCTTGATGAAGGAAAAATTTAAATTGAATCAGTTTAATTTACTTGCTAGTGATATGATTTCGCTCAATAGATCGTTAACAGATGTTCGATTAGACGGGTAAGATTTTTTTAAAATTATTTATAAATTAATAATGTTGTTGTAAAGTTGTAAAAAGAAACAGTACCCGAATCTGTTACCAACCACATCAATAGTGATAGTTTTCCACAACGAAGCGTGGTCCACATTGCTTAGGACCGTTTGGAGTGCCATAAACCGATCCCCGAGACCTTTATTGAAAGAAATTATTCTTGTCGATGACGCAAGTGAAAGAGGTAAAAATTTTTAAACAATTTTTCTGTTATCATGGAATGTTATGTGTGATAAATAGTGTTGTTACATTTAAAAACCCCAAAGAATTTTTTATCATGGTTTTTTAGTTCAAGGTCATCCCGTTTCGCTCCTTTATGCATTATTTATTCAACGATTGCAAAACGTCTACTTGGTTACAATCTGGGCGTATACACCCATGTTTTCTTTGTCGCAAGAAAAAATTGTTTTCTCTTTCTTAACTTTTAACATTTCCTTTAAGATTACAAACTTAAATTTCCCTCCTTATCAAATTAGTGTCGCGGTAATTTTGTAGATGGCGCTGTTTCTAGGTTAAATTTAAAAATAACCTGTTTATATTTTAATCTTTTTATCTTTAATCAATAAGATTAAAGATAAAAATTAAAACAATATTTAATAATTAAAAATTAATTACAGGTTTTTGTTATTAAGTAATATCTCATTACAATTAAAAATAACCTGAAAATAAATTTGAGCTGTCATTTATAACTTAAAAAAATTTTTGTTTTAATTTTAGATCATCTCGGAAAAGAATTAGAAGACTACGTAGCAACTTTACCGGTACCAACTTATGTTTATCGAACAGAAAAGCGTTCCGGATTGATTCGAGCTCGCCTCCTCGGTGCAAAACACGTAACCGGTGATGTAATAACGTTCTTGGATGCGCATTGTGAATGTACGGAAGGTTGGTTGGAGCCACTTTTATCTCGGATCGTTGAAAATCGAAAAACCGTTGTCTGCCCGATCATCGATGTCATCTCTGATGAGACTTTCGAGTATATCACAGCTTCCGATATGACTTGGGGTGGGTTTAATTGGAAATTAAATTTTCGATGGTAAATATTTTGATTGAAATAGTGATTTTTTTTTATTAATCGGATTAATTTTTAGGTATCGGGTACCCCAAAGAGAAATGGATCGGAGGGAAGGTGATCGAACGGCTCCTTTGCGAACTCCAACGATGGCCGGCGGTTTATTTTCAATCGATAAAGAGTATTTTTATGAAATAGGGTCTTATGATGAAGGAATGGATATTTGGGGGGGTGAAAATTTAGAAATGAGTTTTAGGGTGAGTTTATTAAGAAGATTAATTAATTATTTTTGTTTAATTAACCACCCTGTGTATTTCTTTAATTTGATTTTATTGAAATTCAAAATGGTTTTTGAATAAAAAGGTTTGGCAGTGTGGTGGGACGTTAGAAATCATTCCGTGCTCCCACGTGGGGCACGTATTTAGGGATAAAAGTCCATATACATTCCCCGGAGGGGTCTCCAAGATCGTTTTGCATAACGCAGCCCGAGTTGCCGAGGTTTGGATGGACGAGTGGGGCGAATTTTATTACGCCATGAACCCAGGTTTGACCACAAAAATAAAAACGAGATTTCGCTAACAAAATAACTCAGCGGTTTTAATTAGTAGCTTTTCGCTTCGGAAATAACTCGATTAATTACTTAATTTATGCAGGGTGGATTTTCTTTTACTTCTTATTAGTTAAATTAAGATTTCTTATTAGTGTGTATGATTAATGTTTGTTGTTATTGGGATGTGAACGAAGGTTATTTTTTCTTTTATCCTTGTTCCTTCTTGGTTTCCGTTACCTGTGGGTTATTGTTGAGGGCAGGTTTGGATGTGCGGAGGTGTTTTGGAGATTGCAACTTGTTCCCATGTTGGACACGTCTTCCGGAAATCGACTCCGTATAGTTTTCCTGGGGGTACGAGCAAAATCGTAAACCATAACAATGCTCGACTCGCTGAGGTCTGGCTTGATGAGTGGAAACATTTCTACTATAATATTAATCCAGGTTTAATTCTTCTACTTTTTATATTATACACACTATAAAACATTGCCCAACATTATTTTTTTTATTATAATAATTTTTTTGAGAAAAAATTTAGCATAACCTCAAACTTCAAAAAAATTTAACATAACCTCAAATATCAAAAAAATTGACATAACGTCAAACGTCAAAAAATTTCTTAAAAAAATTATTATAACACGCACATATATTTTTATTTATTAATTTACTTCATTTTATTATTTATTTAATTTTCTTATCCAATTAATTTATAATTTTAAGTCGGTTTTATGCAAGCTTTTAGTTATCGCTTTTGCTTTACATTAATTTTATTTATTCTCACTAATTAACTTAACAATAACCTTAATCATTAAAGCCACAACACATTAAACCACAAACGATAAAAGAAAAGTGATTAAATTTCTAATGTAGGTGCTCGAAGCGTTCCTGTTGGTGATATAACCTCGAGGAAAGATCTCCGGAAGCAACTGCAATGCAAAAGTTTTCGTTGGTATTTAGAAACGATTTATCCCGAGTCACAAATGCCGTTGGAATATTATTATTTAGGGGATGTAAGTAATTCTTTTAAAATCTTTATTTTTATTTAATACCGTTCGAGGGCAAATTTCTAGGTTAAGAAATTTGACAGCTCTTTGATCTTGCTAACTTAACACCTATAGCAAAAAATTGATGTTTTAAATTAAAACATAACCTTAAATTTTTTTTAACCTATAGCAAAAAAATGACGTTTTAAATTAAAGATAACCTCAAATTTTATTTTCTTAGATAAGAAATTCGGAAACTCATAATTGTTTGGATACAATGGGTAGAAAATCCGGTGAAAATTTGGGTATAACTTATTGTCATAACCTCGGAGGGAATCAAGTGTTTGCTTACACGAAACGGCAACAAATTATGTCTGATGATAATTGTTTGGATGCAAGCTCGAAAGATGGTCCAGTTAAATTGGTGAGGTGTCACGGAATGGGTGGAAATCAAGCTTGGGTTTATGACGAAATCGACCGGGTGATTCGGCATGAAAATACGGGTCAATGTTTGGAGAAGCCAGATAATAAGAAAGATGGTAATTTGCCGGTTTTAAGAAAGTGCAATTATGAGCCAGGACAACAGTGGATTATGAAGAGTGAATTTAAGTGGCAGGCCAATAATAATAGTAATAAAGAGGATAAAGATAGATAGGTTTATATGAAAATTCTTAAAATGAAGAGTCGGCAACGTTACAAATGTGATACGTGTAGATAATAATCGAGATTAGTTTTTATTATTATTGATTTATATTTTTTATTTTGATTAAAAAAGATAATTAAGAAGGAAATGGTTGTGTACAAAAAGAAATTGTATAAATATTATTATTAAAGTTGCAAACATTAATTATTCCAGTATTCGAGAAAAAAATTAATTTATTTAATAACGTTGCTGACTTAAAAAGAAATCCTCAACTTTTTTAAATAAAATGGACTGCCATTTTGTAAATAATGATTCCTAATTCAATTTTATCATTTTAAAGAGTGTTTTAGCTGTAAAATGATGCTTTTCTTTCTGTTTGAGACGACTCTGTGATGAAGCATTTATAAAAAAAAAAAATAATGAAAGATACGATGTTGATAATAAAAAATGTAAGATTCATATCAAACGAGGTTAATTCCGAATACATTACTTCCAAAATGTGTTTAGTTTTAGATTTTTTTAAAATTAGTGACAATCATGTTTTTTTTCCTTCACAGCTATTCTAATTAATTAATTTAAGTTAACTTTATAGATACATAATAAAAACATATCTCCGTTAGTTATTTATTGTATAGATTTTATATCTTGAGAATTTGTCTGAGAAAAATGATTATTAAAAAGATTTATAGGTTAGGTGAAGGTGCAATTCTGTAGCTTAACATAAATAGAAATTTTAATATTAGTTTAAAGAAAATTTGGTTTAATTTAACCCAATATCTTGTTACTCAACCTTGCACCGCGACCCTCAGGATCTATTGTAGCACAATAGATAACGTTATTAAATTTCGCCCTGTGACAAGTAACTCAAATGCCATTTTATTGTCAAATATGGCATCTCAACATAACCTCTTGATGTTTAACAAATATAAAGTTCTTCCTTTAATGAAAAGTGATTCGAATGTTGCTGACCTATATCGTTCATTGGCTTCTTCGACTGGTGTTAATAGAAATAAAACTAAAAGTAGAAAATTAAAATAAAAAAATTGAATTATTAGTAATGTCAAATTTGACGTTATGTTTGACTTAATAAATCATAAATAAATTTTTGTGAAGTTAGTCACATTGACGTTTAAACATTAAATAATCAAAAAGTCCAATTATACAGTATATCCACAAAGTCAATGTGAAACTGCCAATATCTTATAGTAAGGGGAATAATAACAAAAACATTGTTTTCCTTGGATAAATATAATACAGTAGCGGTCGCCTTAACATTTAATCAAAAAAAATTAAGACAACCGTAAGTTTTACAAATGTACCTTTTCTTTAAAAAATAAACCAACAAATATTAAAAAGTGGGAACGAAATGATTAACTTAAAATTGACTTATTAGTCTATTACGATGATTTCTTCCTTTACAAAGAATTCAACGATTTCCTCATCGACATTTTCTTTATCGGCATCTAATTCGTCAGTGTCTACATCTAATAAAAAAAGAAAAAAAAAAAGAATTATTTTTATAAATCAGTCAATGTGAATTTGACAACAATTGGACGTTTATAAAAATAAATTAACTCACTATTTCTAAGTTCCAACCTCCTCGGTTTTTGTTTATTATAATCCCTAATCCTTTCTTGTCGATAACTACTAAACTTCTCCATCAAAGCAGCCCTCTTCTCGATCAATTCCTTAGAAGCTTTTGATTGCCGCATACGATCCTTACTTTCAAATTGAGCGTAATATTTCTTCAAATTCTTTTTAATTTCTTTTTGTTGCTCTTCATTAAGTAACGTTGCGGGGCGCGGTCTCCACAATAACTGGGCGAATTTCTCCAAATTAATCCGTTTCAAAATTTTACCTTGGAACGACCAAATCCAATAACCCGTGTCCACCGAACACTTCCAAGCTGAAACCCCCGTAACGATGTAACGCCCGGTTGGGTCCCACTCCACATCGGACATTTGGAAATGATCGGTTGTGTTCATCACTAAAAATTCGTTGGTATCGACGAACTCCAAAGAACCACCCCCGCTTAGCCCTAATCCAGCTAAAACGATGTATTGGCCATTTGGGGACCAAAAAAGGTGGCTACAAGCGCGTTTTTCGAACTTTTTAAGTAACGAAGGAGCTTGCCCGATTTTTACAGAGTAAAAGCTAACGTTGATGTTGGGGGATTCGCCGTGGATGAACGCAAATTTTGTCCCGACGGGTTCCCAAGCGAAAGCTTGGATTGGTTCTTTACAATCAACGGAGTCAACGGGGATTTGTTTTTCACGCATGTGAAATATTTCGAAATTGCAATACATCCCTGAATATTTCGTTTCCGTCGCGTATTTAGTTTCGGTTTTTTCTTTCCGAACTTTCGAGTATCGATCCACTTTAACGCAAAGATAATCCCCCGATTTTTGCCAATGAATCTTACAATCGGCAACGTTAAACAGATTCTTATTACGACTCTCAGTTTTATTTGGAATATCTAAAAGGGTTACTCTAGCGGGGACATCTTTGTCCTCAGCCACCCAAAAAGCAATCGTATTATCCGTCGGGGACCAGCTAAAATCGCGAATCCCAGGGATTTTTAACGATTTCTTTTCTAACAACCCAAACGAGGGGGTTTCATAAATCGATAATAAATCAGTTCCCATTTTGGCGAAATATTTGTCGTCGTGGGACCATCGGAAGATCGGCCAAGCTGAGCCTCCATCGGGGTTAAATGATCGCTTTTCTTGTCCCGTTCGGATGTCCCAAATTATAATCCGTTTTTGGTCGGGGTGGTTATTATCGATTTGAGGAGAATAAGTAACTAAGTATTTCTCGCACGGGGAGAAATCGATGAATTGTACGGAACCGTGCGAAAATTTTTTGTACTGTGTGAAATTGGGGCCACCAAATAATCCGATCCCGAGGCGGTGGAACGTCGCTAAAAATGTTCCTAATGGGGACCATTTCACGTAGGTGTGGGTCCATTGCTAAAAAATAAATTAAATTTAATTAATAAAAAAATGTTTTAGGAAACCTTTAAGAATCACTTCAAAATCGACCACTTTTTTAATTGATATGAAATGACCCAAAAAAGCACGTTAAAAATAAAAAGAAAATGCGGAAAAGTGAAGAACATACAGAAAAATTACATTAAAGTTTCGATGTGGCGTTACAAGCAATATTAACCATGCATTTTCCTATTAAACCAGTCGACACCTAACCTACAAATTGTTTATTTTATAGCCACACACAAAATCAATCTGATTAACTTAAAAGTAAAGTTATTTTCACTAAAATAGATGAGATTAAAACGTATATTTTCGGATGAAATACCCTTGTTTTTCTTAGGCTTTTGATGCATAATGACTGACTACCTGTCGTTTAATAGACTGTATGTCAAATCTCAGACTCTGTGTTAATACTAGAACTAACACTAGACCTAGAACTAGAAATATTCGGGTCTTCAGACGCACAGCTAAACTCGAAACTTTCTAGGTCTGGTGTTAGTTCTAGTTTTAACTGTTATTCAGCGCTAGATTGTTGTATATTTTTGTTGAAGTAACAGTGAAACTAACACTAAACCTAGAATCATTCGGGTTTAGCCGTCTTAAGGGACGCGCGGTTAAACCCAAATGAATCTACTGTTAGTTATAATATAAATTGTTATTCAGCGTTAGCTTGTTGTATATATTTCTTAAACTAAAAGTAGAACTAATTGTTGTTGTGTTTAATGTTATATTCAGGCGTGATATCACGAAAATTAAACGTTAAAAACTAAACGTCATAAATTGACGTTTTAAAAAAATTTATTACCAACTTAAATGTAGTAACTAAAATCCCCTAATCGTTCGAAGAGAAATATTTTGATTCCAAAGTGTCAATTTAAAGGAATAGATAAAGAATTGACCACAAAATAGGATCTAGATAACATTTTGAATCATCAAGAACAAAATCTATACCCGAATGTTTCTAGTTCTAGTGCAATAAAAATATGCAACATAGTGATATCTTATAAAGTCCCTAGATTATCAAAGTACTGCGGTTTGCCGCCATATTGGCACGAAGGTCAAGCAAGAAATTTAAAACTGTCGTTCTGTTGATAAAATTACGCCTAATTTCCCTTCTTTTCTTTTTCTCATGGTACTCTGAAAAGTTGAAAGCCCTCCTTTCTTACGGTATTATTACACGTGCAATTTTTGTAAATAAGTGGTGACATGCACTGAAAAGCTGTCAAACCGCCATTGTGGCTCGAAACACAGGCTTCATGAACCGCGGTACTTTGATAATCTAGGGACTTTTAAAAGTAGAACTAACACTAGAACTAGAAACATTCGGATTTAGCCCCACGTGTCTCAAGACGGCTAAACATGATTCTAGTTCTAGGTCTTGTATTAGGTCTAGTGCAAAACAAGAACCAATTAGAACTTTAGCCCTCCACAAGTTTAGGACAAATGTAGGTCCTTAATGAACCTTAGTATTGCTCCAAAGTCTTGTTCCTTTATGTCGGTAAGTGTCAAAAGAGCTTTACCGAAAATGTTGTGTCTTAGACGGCCCTTGGCGACGCAATTACACAGTATATCATTTCTGACTCATCATTGCAATGTTGACAAGTTTGATCATCAGCTTGTCCAATGTGGAAGAGGTGGTATTTTAGGGGCGCATGGCCAGTCAGGTAACGTGAGAGCGTTCCTAGATCCCCATTGCTGAGGCATAAAACCTTTTTGGTATTGTTTTGTGACGGATACATTATCATACTTTTCGCTTGTCTATGACCTGGAAGTTCTTTCCAGCGTATATGGCTGGCATCAGGTATAGATTTTAGGTTATCTTTAGTTTATAAATGGTAAACAATGACTTTTTAGCCGTTGTGCGTCGAAAACCTAAGAAACAACCGTATTTCACCCGAAAATATATGGTTAGCACAAAAAGTGACGTGATTTTTCGGTAAGCTTTAGACTTTTCCGCACTTTTTTTTGTATGTAACGGCTTACTTGAGCGATTTCCCGTCGATTAAAAAAAAATTGGTGATTTTTAAGCCACATGATGATTCTTGAATTATACCATGTTTTATTTCATCGTAAAATAAATTATTAATTAATTTATTTTTAATCGATAAAATATTTAATAATTTCCCCTGAGCGTATAACTCAACCAAAAAATTTTAAATTGATTAAGAAAAATATCAGGGTTAATTTAATAAATATAAAAATTAATTACGCTTCGATCTTCAAGCAAAGTCGGATCCGGCTGAGTATTTTGCCAAATTTGGACCGATTGTGCCATAGCGGGTCCAGCTTTAACCACGCAAAATTGATCGTATGCGTCCGGTTCTAAAAGGTAATAATGAAGATCGGTTTGTCCCATATACGGCTGAGGTAGAGGAGGTTCCCATTTTTCTGGTATTGACTCGTACTTGGAGAAATCGACAAATAAGTTGACCAAAAAGATGTGCTGTCGATCCAATTTGTAATTATTGGTGACTTTAACCGCTTCCGCTGCATGAATCGGGTTGGCGTACTCCAAAAAAATGTAACCTTTCGTCCTTCCGGCTTCGTCCAAAGGGTAATGATCGTTAATTATGTTCCCAAATTTTCCAAAAATCTTTGCGATGACCGATTTTAATTTTTCGATGCGATCCGGACCTACTTGCGGGACTCCGTCCACGACGATCACGCTTTCTACACCATCTGTTTCTTTTGGTTTTTCTTTTAAAAGATCTCCCAATAAATCTATTTAAAAAAAAATTATAAATCTAACCTCACATTTTAAAAAAATTAATTACGACCGCATTATAAAGTTAATTATCGATATAACATAAAATTTTATGATAAATAATTAATTTATAACGAAAATTAGTTCAAAATATTGGTGAGTAACCATGTTGAGTTACCGGGAAACTTTAACCAACTTTTTCGGGGACTCACCCTCATCGGAAATGTTATCGACAAAATCGTCGGGGTCGCTGAAGTTGGGCTCATCATCCGCGGAGGAGAAATCGCCGTCATTTTTCGATTGATCACCCGTGGGGCCACTTTTTTCTTCCAACTTCTTTTTCGCCATTTTGACAGCGTGGTGAAGACCACGAAAAGGTGCGTGCCATTATCGAAAGGTTAGTGTAAACGTCAAAAGTTAAAATTCCCCAGATTTTATTTTCAAATTTATTTTATTAATATCAACTTATTTATTTAATCTAAATCAATTTATAATCAATATTATTAACAACTTATACAATAAAAATCAGTTTTTTAGTAATTAATCGAATTAAATTTTAATATTAATTTTTTTCTTAACGTAAATGTCAAACAAACGTAAAGAATTTTCTTTACGTATTTAATTTAATTATTTATAAATAATTGTTTAATCAATAAATTAATATGTAAAGAAAGTTGGGTAACCTACTTTTACTTATTTTCGTTAAAAATTTTTTGTGATCAAACCGGTTTTTGTGGGTAAAATTTTTTTTTAAAGTTTAAAGGTTATGTATCAAAAATTTTAGTGAATTAAAAATTAAAACAAATCAAATAAAATCGAGGTCGATAAACAAATTTATTCCTCATCATATCGGAATAGAAACGATCATTAAACACAACAATTAGCATTTAAAAACATTTCTTTCCAATTGTGTTATGAAATAATTCATTTTTAACTCCGTGAAGGTGTTCTTAATTAACTCCATCCAAACTTGGATGATTTAAAAAAAACTTCACACGGAATACAACACACCACACAGAGAGAGGAAACATAAACATCGCCGTTACATAAAAAGAAAGAATACGTGACTTTCGAAAGAATGGGTTATTTGCGAAGCAGGAAAAGGAGGGAAGTTCACGTCATAAGAAGTTGCAATCCTGCGGTGGCCGATTACCACTTGCTGACGTGAAGAGAATTTTACGGCTACGTTTAACTAGTGGACTTGGGCGACTCTCATTCCTGCTGTGAACGCGTTCTTGTAGAAAACTACATAGTTCGAGTCCGTTAAAAGAAATTTTAACGTTAAAGAACTTTACAGGTGTGGTGGGTGTGGTTTTTTAAACTTTCTTTTCATCTTAACCGGTTAAGATAACCCCGAGAAAACAGCTTCCGATTTATTGGGACAGGTAATTAACATTTTAATGCTTAAAACAACAAAACAAAAAGATTGATTATCGAAAAAAACTTGATTACAACTTAATTCTTTATTCAATTACAGTTTTAAAGTTCAAGTTTTCTTTTAATCGCTTCTTAGAAGCGCTTTATTTGGAGGGAAAACTAAGTTGCCAGCCCTGATTACTTTTCGTAAACGTCAAATTTTACACCTCAAAACTTTGATACGTCAAATTAGATAATATTAATGTTATTCACGCGAGTTGAATATTTTATTGGGATAAAAGGCTCTTATTGCGGGGCCTGTTGGGTTTGTTAACCTCCGAAGAGAGTTGACCTGCGCGTTCTTACCAAGCGCGTGTTTCCGAATCGATGATGTCCACGATATACATAATAATTAAAAAAATAATAAATAATGAGTAATCAAAACTGACCTTCCCACATACATAACATGAACGCAATACAATTCCTTTATCTGGTTAAATGACTCATTAAACTTGCACGTTGAAATTTGAATCATTTAAACCAATTGGGTTCAATTAAATGGACTATGCGTTAAAGTAAAAGAATTTATTAAATTTTTTTTGAAACGATTAGAAATATATCCTTGACGTGTTCGCATCGTTCAGGTGATTCAGGTACAAAAATAAACGTGATTCAAAACACTTTAAAGTTTTGTTTATAAATTAACATTTTCCTTCAATCATATTTGTTACGCATATATTTGGCAGTTGTACCCCTTTTAAAAGAAAATCTGTAAAAGGCTAAAATTGTTCGATTATTAATCGAATTTCTGTTAAATAAGATACTTACCGTGCAACAATCACAACAAGCGGCGAACATGTAAAAGAAAATGTAAAAGGGTGCGCAAAGAAACGCGATGGGAAATGAGAACAGGATGAGGACAAAGAACCAGCATATCGAATAAAAAACGTTTCCCATCTATTAGGATGTTTTTAATTAATAATATACGTAATTAAAAAGTAACTTTTTGATTAATGACAGTATTTATGTTTGTATTAAAATCTGTAATATCAAATTCATACTAGCGCCATCTAAATTTGAAGGGTTGAATTAAAACGTATTAAATTTATTGTCTTATACGATACGATTTTTTAATTAATCCATTATTGTTATTACTTATTTAATTAATTTGATTTACAATTTTCCTTTATTAATAATATTTTGTAAAATAAATTAATTCATTTTTCTAAGTTAGTCGATTTATTAATTAATCAATAGTTTAAATACTTACCTAAAACGGTTTACGACATTGATTTTAATTGAAAAATATCGATGACATTACGGTGACATAAACATAACCAAAAAAATATTTTTATGTTTCAATTTTATAACTTTTAACTTTACAACTGAATTTATTTTTATTTTAAACACATTCATTTCGTTAAATAAACCCGAAATTAATGAGAAAATGATCAAAAACTTACCTGATAATTTAAAACGAAAAAATTGTTCTAATTTGACATAGCGAGAAGTGACAACTAAATTAATTCACATGTCAAACGCTAGATGGGGATTAAATTTACATATTTAATTTAATATTTAAGTCAAAATTATTATGTTTATTTAGAAACATTAATTAATTCTATTTATTACACTTGTATAAAGGCTAACCTAAAATGTTTTACGGCCTTGATTTTAATCGTCGTCTAATTCGGCGAATTACCGATAGATGGTACCACGGGGAATTTGTTTATTTTATTTATAAACATTTTCGGAAATTGTTTAATCTTTATTATTTTTTTAAGGCCAGGTTATAAAAATATTGATAAAATGAGTCTTTATCGGTTTTCTTTTTAAAGTATTTTTTTTAATCGTTATCTAAATTCGTCTAATGGGTTTTATATGCTTAAGTTCTTAATTCAATATACTCCTTTGTACTTTGTTAATAAAATTATTATAAATTAAATAAGCATTGAACACTTTCGAATCGTTATTATTAATAATAATTAATCAAATTTATGGAAAAGCCGCCCCTTGCATCATTTTTTCAGCGCAATAATGCGGAAATTGAATCCCTGATAATAAAATTTCAGCAATTTGCTATAAAAAATAATTAATTAAAATAGAGTTAAATAAAAGCCTTTAAATACGTACCCCACAAGCTGGTATACAAACGCTTAATGGATGGAATAAAATGTACCATCCCGCGCAAAAGGCAGCAACGAAAAATGATATAAAAATTAAAATCAACAACCAAATTATGGTATAAACCGGATTTCCCATCTTAAAACAATTTAAAAACAAATTGTTTACATTTTAATTCTAAACACGCTTTGAATAAACCGCTTTTAGCAACACTCCTTGAGGAAAAGTTATTGGCGAGTGAGCACGTGAAAGTTGAGACACAGTCAGCGTAAAAATAGAAATGAATCAAAACCGCTTTTACAACAAATGTGCTTTTAAAAGCGGTTAACTCAAAAAGTTTCATTCAACAAATTGTTATAAACAAATTAATCAACATACCTTGGTAAAATTAAGTAAGATAAACAAAAACTAATCTCATAAAAAACAAATTTTAACTACGAACCTCACCGCTTCACCGTTAGATAGCTCTGTGTGCCCATTCCGTAGCGCTGTTGTTTTTAAACAACCGAGGAACGTTGCAATGAAGGCGTTGTCACCGCGCAATCGTTTTTGTTACGTCATTTACAAGGAATTTAATGCAAAAATAAATTATTAATTCACCCAAAAATGATTAATCGTTAATAAATTCGCTTTTTTTGTAGATTTTTAATTAAATAACCAACTCAACATTAAATTAATATCCAGGTGAAAAAAAATTATTTAAAAGCTTTAATTCACGCAAAAGCACTTTTATTAAACTGCACTTTTTACACTTTAAATAAATATTAAAAACAATTTAAATAAAATTAAAATGTTTCAGGATGTTCCATCTAATCCTAATTTTAATCATCGCTCCATCATGGGCTCAATATGATCCTTACGGTCAAAAACCTTACGGTGATAACACCGATCGTACCCCATATAGTACGAGTCAATACGATAGGGATCGGCAACAACAATACGATCGTGATCGGCAACAACCCTACGACAACCGGGATCGGCAATATGATCGTGATAGAGACAGGTATAATCCATTAACTGATCGGGAAAAATATACACCGTTAAACTATGATCGAAACAGGACGGATCAATACGGGCAACCACAACAACCGTATGATCGCGACAGATACAACTACAGCCCTTACGATCGAAATAGAACTGATAATTATGACCGAAACAGGCCGGATTATGACCGAAACCGACAGGATTATGACAGATATAACCAAGATAGAAGATACGGACAAAGCGGAGGGAGATATGATGATTATGGGAGGAACAGGGGTGGATATGCACCGCAAGGGGAACGAATCGATGATGGAGATTGCTGCGAAGATTATTGTTATTCAACGGATCACCAACAATATTTGAAATTTGGACCAAAAACTGCTTATACGTTCGCTTATGGAAAAAATTTGGGATCATCCACAGTTCCACGTAATAATATTTTTAAATTCTTCTATATAAATTAAATTAACCTCACTTTAATTTTATCTATGTTAATACAACAATAACATTCGATAGCAACCTACATTAAAAAAAAAATTCATTGTTACCACCCTACACTAACTCTTCTCAAAAAGAAAATTAAAACCAATTTTTTAAATAATAAAACTTTATTAATCATAATGATATAACGGTTATTCAAAAAAAGTTTTTCAAAACGAACTCTCTTTAATTTCTCCTTCGAAATAAAAAAAAATTTAACCTAAAAAATTCTTTTGACAGTTTACCTAACCTATAACAATTCTAATTTTTTTTGATTTTTTTTCTTTTTTTAGAATGTAGACCGGTTCAATTTTGGAGTTTGAATAAAGTGGGTGCAAATTTTCCCGATCCAACCGTAATTCAACGTTTAATGAATTTGCGTCGAGTTCAAGATGAAATAATGCGTAACTACGAAGTCGAAGGAACTTACCCGGGTAAAGGGCGACTTTGTCGCGAAGATTTCGAATTGTTGAAACGTTGGAGATGGAACGATACCATTAATTTTTCATCAGCGTTTATGTTATCTCAACAAGGAATGGAAGACATGCGTTATTTGGTGTCGAGATATCAAACTAAATTTCGGGAACTTCTAGGAGTACCATACTCAGAAAATCATTATTATTTCCAATATTCTAGAATGGATCGTATTTACGACAGTTATAAAGAGTTTACTGAGGGGTTATTTCAAAATTCCGCTTTGGTGCATGCCAACGTTCGAGATGAATTAGGAGATGGATGTGGATCTTTTGGATATAATAGCCAATATTCAACCCAATATTCTGGGGGTCAATATCAAAGTGCGGGATATTCAGGGTCTGGACAATATTCTGGGTCATCCGGACAATATTCTGGGTCATCCGGACAATATTCTGGGTCACCTGGACAATATTCTGGGTCACCCGGACAATATTCTAGTTCTTCTGGACAATATTCTGGTTCTCCAGGGCAATATCAAGGTTCACAATATTCCAGTGGAAATCAATATCCAAACCAATACTCGTCAGGAAATCAATATCCTTCATCAGGTTATCAAGGTAATCAATATTCAAGTTCAAGATCGTTTGGAGATGACCCGGAAATAATGCAATTAAAACAAAAACCCGATTACAAAGATTTAACAAGAAACATCTTTCGAAGATTAGGTTACAGATATGTTTTAAATGACTCAGTAATCGATGATATGTACGAAATGTGTCGTTTAGAAAAGGCGTTTTTCCCAAGAAGGGAGTCGGCGTGGTGTTCGGTGTTTAACAAGAAGCAGTTGGATTTATTGGAATACGCAGAAGATTTACGCGATTTCTTACGGAATGGATATGGAAATGAGCAACAAAATAAAATGGCTGGATGTCAATATTTAAGAGATATGTACGTACGGTTCCAAAAAACCATCGATGGTTATAGTAGTCATCAAAAAGTTGCCGTTACCTTTGCAACGGCTGATTCAATCCAACACATGTTGGTTGCGATGGGTTTATACAGGGATTATACACCGTTAAGTGCTCAAAATTATTACACCCAATCAAGGAGACGTTGGAAAACTTCCGAGATTGCTCCATTTGCTGCTAATTTTGTAGCCGTTTTATACGAGTAAGGAAAAGAATTTTTTTTTAAGTATAAATTAATTTGGTAAATTTTAGGTGTGATCCTTCGCAAAGAGATATGTACAAAGTCATGTTTTACCTGAACGAGAATCCTGTTGATATTCCCGAGTGCTCGGTGGGGTTATGTTCTTGGGAAACCATCCGAAGCAAATATCAAGATGTCATCGAACAATGCCGACATTGTAGCGGCTCAGAAAGATCTCATGTTCTTTTAGGACTTTTAAGCGTTGTCGTAGCTTTCTTCACTTATCAAATCGTTTAAGATTAACATTCGTAGATTTTGTATCCGTCCATTTCTTTTATATCGAAACGAAATCCGTCCTACAACGAGTTCACAACTTTTACAAGCAATCACTTTTAATTAATTAAGATTTTATTGATCTAAAAAGAATTTTTATTAGCGTTAAGAATGCAAAGTTTGTTTTTTTGTACAAAAAATAAGTTTTTAATGTACTATTTTTATAATAATATATAAGAAAAATTGAATCTAGATTTTGTAGCAATGAAATATTTAAGTGTTGTAATTTTAAAGTGTTCATATTGTCTAATACTTACTCTTTTATAAAATAATAAAATTAATAAACGATTTTTATGTTTTACAATTTTTTGAGGTAATTTGTAAGATAGGCAACCAATTTAACATGATTTTAAAGTATAAATTTAAAATGCACTTTAAACTGATCGATATCGCGTATCAGCATAACGCAGCGAGATAATTTGACATCGGAACTGATTCATTAGACATTTTGTCATTTTCGTTTGCGTGGGTGGAAAGGTGAAATGGAAAATCGAATCCCACGCCGGATTCGTAACGTAGAACGATAAATTATCGTTTCGATGGACGTTTTCTATGAAAAATACGTCAAATAAAATCACAACGTACGCGGTTGGAATTTTAACGAAACCGAAATAAAATGGGGGAAAAAATAAAGTTGGGGTAAAGAAAATTACTCGATATAAAGAAAAAGGTTCGATGTAAAACAAGATTTATCTATTTTTTTCCATTTATTCCATTTACTGCACTTTGATATAGTCCATTTCTACGCAAATCGAATAAATTTTCTGTTTTATCTCGTCTCGTTTCGTTTCAGTTTTATAGAAGAAATAAAAAGAAAAAATGTCAAAGTAGTAATAAATTCAGTTATGATCTTGTTCGAGTATAGCTTTTATCGTCAATTGATATCGTAGCTAAAAAACTTTTTATACTTTAATTTCATTAAATTAATAAAAAAAATTTACATTTTGAAGTGTCAAAACTTAAATTAATATTAACTTTAGGTTATATTCTGATTGTCATTCATAAATCAAGATTACCAACACATTTTTTTTTTCTTAATGAAATAAAATCGGAAATTATTCCTATAACCGGAAATAAGATATTTTTAAAATTAACCCCATCGTGTCTGGGTTCATTTAAAACCCGTGCGACGACAGCAACAAACTATTACCCTTGTTTTTCTATCTACTTTAAAAGCCGATCTCTTCGTCGTGTTTAGAGATAGGGCAATATTAAATACACCACGAGAAACTCTGATCTTTCTTTCATTGAAAATAGAAAACGTCGCCGTGTTCCAAATACACCTCAAAATTATCAAACTTCAAGCCAAAACCCGATTTTAGATGAAGGAAAGATCAGGGTTTCTCGTGGTGTATTTAATATTTTGTTATCTCTAAAGACGACGAAGATATCGGCTTGTAATGTAGATAGAAAAACAAGGGTAATAGTTTGTTTAGTTTAAAGGAATTTTTGGTGGATTTCGAATTTGAACGAATTAATTTAGAATTTTGTTGAAGAATGTTTAAAAATTGATTATTTTTGGTCTAAAAGCTGCGTTTTTTTATCGTTTTTTGGCCGTCTTCATTTGTGTCACCCCCCCTTTTTGTATCGACCCCATAGACAGAGAACGGTGCATCCGAACTTGCGGGTGTCTTGCGCGTAGAAAATTTGGTACTGCCAGTTTCAGTCTCTTACAAGTGATCGCGCGCAAAGCTTTACGACTTCCAGCTTTTAATTCAAAGTCTACTTGGATAGACACGCGATCGCGTATTCAATTTTGATCGTTTTCTAAGTGAAAAAAACTTTTTAGTGCGCTTCAATTTCTTCTCGAAAGGATTTCTTCTTTGTAAGTTAAAAAAATTCTTTTTTAATACAAAGTTTTCTAAAAATATAAAGTTTTTTATTAAAACATTTTTTAAATTTTATTGTAAGTTAGTTAATAATCGATTTTGTGACAACTTTTTTAATTAAAAAAGGCAATTTCTTACGTTTTTATCTATCGAGTTAAGGTTGCACGTCATTCTGTAATAACGGAAATGAAATGACACTCCTTTTAAGGGAGAGTAAAACCACAAATAAATAAAAATACTTTATTCCCTCCATCATAAAGAAGCAATATTTACTCAATTAAGGGTTAGTTCAAAAATGAGTTATTAATTAACGGGGGAAGACAGGAAATTAACATTTTAATGAATTCATCTCTTCTCGGAAAGAGGTAAAACCCGATAAAAAAAACTTTAACAACACATCTTAAGTAGCAAAAATGGTGGAGGCGCTAAACATCTGCTTAAGCACCCCGTTTTAACGATAAACTGGGGGGGAATTTCATAAACTACACACAATTCCCTTTGGGGTTGAGCAAAACGGGGTGGAGTAAATCATGAAGGTGAATTAATTAAGATTTCTTGGAAAGCGGGAGTTTTATGAAGTTATTAATCTCGTTTAAATCACATAAACACAAAAATATGAAAGATATTCTCACAAAAAAATCGATTATTGAACATTTATTAAAGTTAAATGAATCGAAGGATATTTTTGTTTCCCCTTTATAAATCATTTAGACCCCCGGGGAAGTTGAACTTGTTAATCTATAATTAATTGGGGTAATTTTCGAGGGTAATTATAGTTCTCATTAATTCCATTTTCAGTTTTAACCACAAAAAAGAAAATCCTTAATGGAAGAAAAAAAGCAATACACAGCTCTAACCATAGACCGAGCGGCGTTTCTACTTCTCCGAGTGAAAAAGGCGTTCAAAAAGAAGAAATTGCAGCGAAAAGAACGCGAAAAAAAGTAAGTGAGTTTATCCCTAAAAAAATCCATTAAAAAATTGGATTTAGTTTATGCTCCTATTATTACTTTATTGTATGTATATCGGGAAAGCCCTGTTATTACGATTGGGGATGTAAAAGCGTAATCGCACAATCGATTGACTTCAATTTCCATTTCCCTGAAAAACCGGTCCTGGATTTTTTTAATTGCATTCTTCTATTCGTTCTGTCTAATTCGCAAATTTATTACCTTAATTTTAAAGCGTAAATCACCCTTAATTTCTTATTCTTTCGATTGATCTTCGAGACATCCCCTAAAAGTGGAAAAATTCTGATTACATTTTTTAGAAGCAAACTATAAACTTGCCCCGTTAAAATGTTTATCAGAATTAATCTTCTTGAGTGGATTTTCTTTATGTTCTATGCATTAAAGTTTATCATAAAAAACCGATTTGAGTATAATGACTTATGTCAAAAGATGCATAATGGGTTGTCTAGTAATCTAATAACGTTTAACGTAAAACTTGAATTATTTAATTAATTTAATTATGAAATTTTATTTAAATCATAAATTTTTTATTAATTGTCAAATAACACAATAATTTATTGTTAAATAATTAATCCCAAATTTATAATAAAAAGCCGATAAAGAAAACGCAATGAAGAAACGTCATTCCCGAATTTACTTCAATAATTCACCTATAATTAATGAAAATTATTATTAATTCGGATACGACGTAATCAAAAAAACATAATTACAACTTTATTAATTACTCAAAACTCAAATTAATTAAAAAATTCAACACAACCCAACTTTTGTTGACGTTTAAAAGCGCCATCTCTATCATCAACATAAAACCGTATCCTTTTATTATTATTTTTATTTAGATCTTAATTTATTTAAATTAAATTCAGTCCGTTTCAACCTTGTAAATTGAAGTAAATTCCAACTTTGCATTTACAAGTATCAACGGGAGGATTTTGTTACTACTCGGAGTTTTAAATTAGCACGAAAATGTCTTAAAGTTTGTCGTCTCGACGGTGTTCGCGAAAATGTTTAATAAAAAAAAGTGTCTCGTTAGGATGTAACGACCCTAATTTCAGTGCAACTTCTTCAGAGAACTGAAAATACTTTTTTTACAATCCAACCCTTTCTACATTCAAACCGAGACGATCAATAAATGTTATTGGAATTTACGTCGGATGGTGGATCTTGTAAATTGTAATATGCGGGGGTTATGAATTGGAGGACAATACCGTGTTGTTGTCACACGCAATAACGTTTCATATCGTTGATGTCCCAACATGTAAATTATTACCCAAGAACTATGTTAACGAAGGATTTACAAGAAAACTTTAACGATAAATTACTACGATAAGTTTTCCTCGTAATGTTACTTTATATTTATAAAGTTTTTAGTGGAAATCGATATTGGGACCATTTATTAAAGAAGAACCCACGAAAAGATATTTATTTTACTTAAAGTTAACGCCTTCGAAATAACCCGAGAGAAGACACCTTTTATATTCATTCTTTAACATGTAACGACGTGAAAGATGAATTTACATAATTTCATGTGACGTTGCATCGTGGAAAATAAACCGGAAAATAATAAAAAAAACAAAATTAAAAGTTTTTCTTCCGGTTACAATAAGGTGCAATATATTACGAATCTAGTTCGAGTACAATCGAGATTTATGTTCGTTCTTTAAATCGGAAGTGGAAAAATGAAAACTAAAACTGGGTTGGAAGATATCGTTGTTAAAAATTACTAGATTTATGTTGGTAATAAAGTTATATTTAACAAACGTCAATTTTAAGTTAATTAACCTAAAAATTTTTAGATTTATTCCAATCTTTTTTTGGACGAACGAATTTTCCGTTTCATTTGAATATCGCTTCAGTGATTTTAGTGGATAAAGTTTGGGTCGTTCCAATTCTCCGCTAGAACAGTTTTATGAGATTTCTAAGATATTTTTGTATTTATGAAATACGAAAACGGATGGAAAAGTTACCATTTTCAAAAAGATTAATTTGTAGGGGGTAATTAAGTGTTCGTTTCTTCAATATCCGCTCCTATTCAATCGTTTTACTTGGTGATTGAATAGGTCGTAGCGTAACAATTGTACTTTCAATGGTTTCGTAGTCGAATTGTTTCCGGCTATATTGCGAACAGGAAAACATACGGAACAAGACCACGGACACATAAAGCGAGTTCTATCTCGCTTTGCGGCTCGCGTATCGATTCGTTCTGTAACCCTTTTTCCAAACTAATCATTCGCTGTCAAGTACATTTTTTGTGCGCATTCCGTTTTTTTACAATAAAAATTGTATAGGGTCATGCAAAATTAATTTTATTTTTCATGTTTATCTTTTAAAACTTAATTAAGCGTTAAAATCAAACGTCGAGTGCTGGATTTTTCCCCTCACAGCTTTAAAGTGGAGCCAAACAAAGCGACCGAGAAGATAATATCAAGGGAATACAACATACCTTGTATAGCATGTTTTCAGCATGCACATCACTTTGGTAAATTGCGCAAACCGCGCTTTCACAGATGGTGACACAAGCGTTAATAATTTCGGTAATTAAACCATCTCGTTACTCCAATTATGCATGTACAAACCTTTTCTACGTGGAAAAACTGTTCTCGTCCCGATTGATTTGGTATTTAATCAAATTTACATCGATTGTTTACTCGCTCTTAGGAGTTAGCAAACAACCCCCATTTCCAGAAACCAAATTTACACCCCCGAAATTAGTGCCTTAATCAATCCTCGAAGGGTGAAAATTAGGCTTCGTTAACGACGACGAAAACGTCGTCCACAGGAACAAAAAGAAACGATAAGAACAAATAGAGGCGAGAAAAGTTTTACGCAAAACTTAATTTAAATTAACTTATTTCGGGGGAATTGCAGTGGTTGGTTGACTTAGCTATGGCGGTGGCTATTCGTAGGGGGTTTGAGGTTAACTTTGTAATTCAATGGAGGTCGTCCTCGAACTTCTGGGTACAAATACAACTTCGAAACACGGAGTTCGCCGCTTTGAGCACGAAATGTAACAGCAGTTATCTATGAAATATCTGTATATAATTATGATGTATTAAGTTTTTTCTAATAAACTAGATACTGAGGTACTTCGTTAAGGTGGCCGACACCTAACTTTTCTTCCGGCCTCAAAGATATCTTGAAAATTACATCTCAAGAGAACAAAGTAACCAAGTAACATTAACAGGGAATTTTATTGTTAAAAAAAAAAAAATGTTGAGGTTAGAATTGTAAAATTTTTTTTTATTTGTTAAATAAATAATTAATTTTTACTTTTTTCTTTAACTTATGTGATGTGGTTGATGAGATTTATCGATCTCCGCGTTCGAAGCGTATTTCCAGCTTAGTAATTAATGTTACACCAGAGATAATTACAACGAATGTAACAGTAATTAGTGATTTTGTGTGTTTATTTATAGGGAAATTCAATCCCAATCATTAAATAAATCAAAAATTGCTTAATAATTAACACTCTCAAAAAATAATAAATTAATTAAAAGAAAAATCTCTACTACATGTCTAAAAAAAGTGACGTTATGTTTTCTAATAAAAAAAAATTTAGGAAAAAAGATATTTTATAAAAGTAATTTTCAGTGTCCCAAAAGGGACACGATTCAGTATTTATTACGAGATTCGTTTTCGTTAGTCACTAGATAATATGAGATTTTTCCATTTCAACCCTCGGTTTCTCGTAAACGAACCACTTTTTCTTCTTTATTTTGAGAGAAGCCACTTTTTAGCAATTACGCAACCGCAATGGAAGCAGAATTTATCAAACCATTCGAGATCCATTACGAATTCATGCACGAAACGACTACACGTGTAAATTATTGTAATAACGCCAACGGAGGTGGCTCCGATTGCAATTCTCGCCTACACGTTTAAAATGGGATCGTTATAACACAAGTTTTTATAAATGAAGTTTTCATAGAAAAAGTTTTGATCAAAGAAGTTTCCATAAAAGATGAAGTTTTTCTTTGTAATCTAATTGTAAGCAATTTTTAAGTCCATTTTAATTTATTTCTAAACGTACCTAATTCACTTGGATGTGAATTTTTTTTATGTTTTATCTTATGCATATTCAGTGAATTCGTTGAGATAAAGTTACCCAATACGTATCTCGCTTTTATTACCTTCCCAACAAAGAAAACCTGACGGTGGATGGTTCGTGGGGCATCCTCATCTTCCGCCTTTCAACTTTAATATTCTATATCTAGAAAAATGGTAAGCTTGCGAATTTTTACGTCGAGCTATTTCAAATTCCTTTTCAATCTTACTTAATCTAATTCAATCCCAAATTTTTTACATCGATAAATAATTTTATCTTCCAATGAACCGACTTGATTACCTCAAAACAATCCCTATTAGATTATTGATTTTCTTAAATTAGAGAGGAGGTTTTGTGATCGGCTTCTACGAAATTGTAATGACATTGACCTTTCTAGGAAATCTACGAAAATAAAATATTCTTGTAAATGATCGATTTTTCTTTTAAACCTTCATAATTTTTGTTTGTGTCCTTTCTATTTTTCTCCGCATTTTTCCCATTTGTAACCAAATTCATCAAAAAAAATTTGAGGTTATGCGAAAAACTTTTTGTATGTAAGCGAAAACATTCAACATAAATAAATAGACAATGAATAGACTTATCTTAATTGAGATGGTTAACGATTATAATGATAAAAAGTCTCAAAATAAACATAACAGTTACGTTTTTGAGGTTACGATCTTAATTGATTTTCTAACTGAAACCATACAATTTAAAATTGTTGGAATCTTATCGCAAATGAATTTTGGTGTGTTCTACTTACCTTAAAACATTAAAAAACGAATAAAATAATACAAAATTAACTCAAATTAGATGAGGAAAATATTAAGACGAAAATGATCTTGACATTTCTTCAACAACAAACAATAAGCGCCATCTATTAAATAATTATTACTATAAAATATTATTACTTTTTGTTTAATAAAATAAATAAACTAAAAAAATTTTAATAAAATTCCATATTCATTTCAATGAATGAATCAATTTTTTATTAAATTATTGAAACGAGCCAAAATTATTTAAATGAAAAAATTATCAATTTATTTAGGTTGGTATTCCTTATTTTCAGTGTTGTTTAACATTTGACAATATAAACTAATTGAAACTAAGCTAACAATTAATTTAAACTAAAATTGCATTATTAAATAACCACTGCGTTAATAATGGTGGAAAATGGGAATAAATTCTACAGTATGGAAGGAATTAGTCATACAAATCCTTTTTTATACAACTAATTAAAAAGTTTAATTAAATATATTTTTTGTACATTTTATAAAAAGCGAATTAAAAAATATCAGATGTAATCATCCAGCGTATTTTTAGGTTGTTGTTTTTCTTTTAGAGTTGTTATACATTTCCTGATATACTCCATGTTGATTTTTTGCGATTTTAAAGTCTCCTCGTCGAAGTTACAATTTAAATTTCCCAATATTTTCATACAAAGCAACAATAATTTTAATAAAGGTGTGTATTGTTCGTCGTCTTTTGATTCTAAATAATCGATTTGCTCGCTGATTTTGTTTAGAACTAAATGAATTTTATCGATTTGTACGTTTACATCATCGCCCGTTTGTTTAATTCTATCCAGTTCATTTTCGATTTTTGGAATTGAAAATAAATCTTCTTTTGTATTCTTATCCGTTTTTCCATTAAAATCACCGATGTTATCGTAATACTCTTGGAATCTTTTATCACGATTTATATCAAACTCCAACGAATCTTCCTCACTAAATTGATCTAGTTCTTCATCATCTTCTGTTTCATTAATTTCACTTTCGTGGTGATAACCGTTTTGGCAACTTAATAAAACTAAATCCATCGATTGATTGTTTTCGTTGATGTTTTCATAAATCGGGGATAAAATTGTTTTATTTTCGATACCAAAATTTTTATAAACGTGGTCTTTTTGGTTATAATACTCGTCGTTAAAATAAAGGGGCTGTAAAACTTGGTTTTCGTCTTCCGCCGAATCATCCGAGTAAGAAGAAAGTTGTCTTGGACGTTCGTACGTTGTACAAAAAGAGTTTGCAAAATCAAAATTAACTTTTCGATCAGGTTTCTTTTCAAAAACATCACCTTCAGATGACGATGAAGACGTTGAGCTGGGCGAAGATGTTGAAGAAAAAGATTTTTTTTCATTATCGAGTATTGTTCCTTCGTTTTCGTCCGGATCGAAATAATTCGTTAATTGATTGAGTTTAATTTTTTCTTTAGAAACTAATAATTTTGGTTCACTTTCAACTTCTTTTGTACCGATTACAGCGAAATCGTTAAACGATTGGATTAATTCCGTTGTCGTTTCGTTATCGGACGACATAAAGACATCATCGTCATAATCGTAATTTTCAAATTTAATATCTTGATTTGGTTCAAAATTAGATTCCTTTATTGTTAATTCTTGAGGACTCCAAATTTCGTTTTGAATTTGCATGTTTTCTACTGTATAACCTAAAAATAATTTAATTAAAATTTATATTTAAAAATTTTAGGTTGGTACCGTTTTGATTCGAACTTCCCCTCCAAGCATTATTAATCTCTTCATTCAAAGTCATTAAATTAACACCTTTTGGTTTCGTTTCTTCGGGGTACTCCCATTTTATGTCGTTAAATTGGAATTCTTCGTTAAAATCGGTTTGGTTGCTGATGCAATCGTAGTACAAGTCTGAATCAGTGGACATTGATACTCTTCCAATTTCAATCGATTGATGCTTCTCAATCGCTTCTTGAGGTGGTTTTTCTTCTTCGTAATAAGATTGTGAGGTTTCAAACGATTTCCTGGGTTTCCTTCGAACTGGAATTGGGGGGTGGGTAATTTCCTCGTAAATGTTACATTCAATTGAAGCCTTTTTTGATTCATCTTCGGGTAAAATCGAATCAACAACGACGAAGTTGTTTGTGGCTTCTAAAAGAGCTGGAGCTGGGCCTAAATTTAAGCCTGAATTGGGTTCTTTAAAAATGATTTCTTCTCTTGGGAGAGGTGCTTTTTGTTTGCTCAATCTCAATGATTTTTGGCGTTCGATGTAATCTTCGTACAACTCAGCCTCGGTTTTTGGTGTTTCTTTTGCGTTCGATTTTTGTATTTTGAGGTATTTCTTGTAACGTCGTTTCTGTTGCTCTTCGTATCTTGTTAAATTCGAAGCAAGAAACTTTTTTAAAATACTCATTCTTTTTCTAAAATAAAAGTTTAATTACTCACTGTTTTCAAAGCGAAAAACTATCATTGGAATGTTATCTCGTGATAAACAAGGCCGTAATAAAAAAATTGTGACGATACCCTGCTATCTTTGGGTTTTAATAACTTTAATTTTTGGTTATTTTGATTGGAACCGAGCAAAATGAAATATTAAAATGATTAAGCTTTTAATTTTGGGGATAATTTTTTCCGTTATCAAATTGAGATAACCTTTAAAACGACTACTTACGATTTTTTGATTTTGTATTACTCCAAAATTAATTTTTTTCTTGACTCCATCGATATCGAAAGTAATTAAGGTTTTTCTACAATTATAATTGTTTTATAACGACCTCGACTATAATTACACCGTGTACCTTTGCTGAATCAATAGTAAAACGGCACCTTTTTGTAAACGAGATCAATATCATTTTTTCGTTATCTTATCTAATTGAACGTAATAATAGACTTTACAACACAAATATTATAATAAATTTTTCTTAAGAACACAACACTAACTTTGGCCTCGCTTTACAATAAAACTTAAAAATTAATCACACAAATATTTATTCTTTTTTAATTAATTCTTCGATAATAATTTCTTTTCGTACAAATCATTAGTCATTTTTGATGCTGCAAGTAATTTATTGAAAGTTTCAGTTCTTAAAGCGATTAAATCGGTGTTGTGGTGACTTTCGATCTCTTCGAAACCATCTTGACATTTATCCAACATTTTCTTTAACCTGTCATATTTACTGATATCATTTCCTTCCAATTCCCGGATTAATTCGGCGATATTATTCTTTAATTTCACAGTTTTTCTCGCAATCTGTAAAGTATCGAAAGTGTGCATCCTTGCTGGGTCTTTAAACGGCTGCAAATCTTCGTCCTCGTCATCATTATCAATCGATAATAACTCATTTGAAATGATTGTATTTATAGAAACCGGCTCAATATCATCCGCATCGACGTGTAATTCCTTCAATTTTAAAACGATTTCGATGTTTAATGATTGGAGAATGATTTGGATGTTCTCTCTGCATTCTTTGCTTATCGATGGTTGGAGGTTGTTGTAAATCGTTTTCCAAAATGATTGGATCGTCTTTAATTTATGAAGGATACTTAATTCGGTTTGTTGTGAAAATGAAAATTGTCGATCGATTTCGTTTCGATTTTCGGTTAAATCATCCAAAATATCTTTGACTCGGTTTAAAATTAAAAAATTTTCTTTGGTAAATTCGACTTTTGTGCGTTTAAAATTCTCCAAAACGTTTAAAACGTAACCTAATTCTTCGTTTACACCCTTCGTTAATGTTTTAGATGCGGTCAATCCTTTCGATCGCTCCACTTTGTATCTACATTGAGCCAATTTTAAATCGATTTCGATTTTTCTTTGAAATTGTTCGGATTCTTTTTCAACAATTACCGTTCCTAAAAGTTGATAAAAAAGATTTAAACGTTCCTCGTAATGTTTTATGTTTGCCATTTGATTTGAATCGTCACTTAAAAATTGTTCGATGTAAGATTCGATAAGTCCAAAAATGTTTTCGGTTTGAGTCCATAAAAGCGATGTTTGTGTTGCGTCCCCTTCGCATTGTGTTGATGCTTCTTTTTGTTGTGGAATCGAAATGCTTTGTCTAAATATATTTCTACAATCAAAATTGTCAATTAATTCGGATTTCCGATAGAAAAAAATGATTACTTTTTGTTATCTTTGAGTTTTAAAACAATTAAAATTAATCTTACCTTAACATTTTCGGTGATTCTTTAATTAAATTTTAGATTTCGCCTAGTTTAGATGCGGTTTAGAACATTATAAATTAATGGTTTTAGTGACTCTCGTAAATTATCAAGGATTAAGTTAAAGTGTAGTTGGTGCTGAGGGAGTTCTTGCTTCATCAATATTGATCTTCCCCTGACAAATTATTTGATTGATAAGATATTATCGGAACGATAAAAACGTTTAAACAATCAATACTGGACCAATTTTTTGTTGTACAGACAATCAATTTATATTTTTAAAGGCTTAATGGTATTAGTTTTCATCAAATTAATTAGTGTGATTAGTTTATTTTTTTTAGTTACATTATCTATGATTACATTCATCATTCAGCATTTTACCATATATAAAGCAACATATTAATTTATCAAACAATTTTATTTATGAAATAAACCAAGTATGTACTAAAGCTTATTTTGTAATCATTTTCTTTAAATATACTTCTTGAATCTTGTTTTTGTTAATTAGTACCACCCAAACATCTTTGGGTGATACTAATTAACATTTAACAAAATTACAACTTAAATAACACAATAAAAATTAAAGTAAATGAAACGATAAATAAATTATTATTATTAAATTATTAAAAAGTTAATTAGAACAAAAGACATACATATTTGACACACAGAAGTAACCAAAGCTAATTAGTACAAATAACGCTAGATGGCTAACTTAAATTCGGCGGTTAATTTTGCCTAAAAATATTTATTATTTATTAAAAAATTAATTAATACACAATTTTACAATCACTTAAAATTAATTGTTTAAATAACTTATTTGGTGTAATTAATCTCGTAATTGAAACCCGATTTTTATATTTCAGTCTTATTATATCACGTACAGATGGCGCTATCAACGATAATTTAAACTTATTGTTAGTACACAAATTAATGTTATTTTTTATAAAAATAATCCACGTTAAAACCTAAAATGTATTAAAAACGATAATTTGAACCATAAAAATGTTTGTGTTACATTTAGTAGGGTCAATGAACTTTCGGTAAACAATGTTGGGGTTCAGGTAGGGATCAATGACCTATACAAAATGTTGGGAAAGGTTATTGACGATTCTTAATTGGATCGTTTCGTCATATAAAGCCGTTTCAATCCCAAATTCAATTTTATTTTATCTTTGTGAAGTTAAAAATGTTAAAAGCACTTTGACATTTATCAAATTTAGTCGGATTAGCTCAAATAGATGGCGCTAAAAATAAAAAAGCTCCAAAAAGCTCCAAGGAAGCTTTAAGTGGCAAGGTGTAAAAGAAAATGTATAATATTACGTGTTACGGAGTTTACATGAAATTTATTATATTTATCAGAAAAATCCGGAGGATTATGATGACAAAAAGATTATTGGAATATTTTTTACGTTACAAATTATTGACAGGTAACATAACCTAAAAATAAAATGTTTTGACGTTTATTTTGACATTTCTTGTTTTCATTAAATAATAATTTAATTTTTATCTTATATAATTAATTGTACTTTATATTAAAGAACTGGAAATTAATTACGTGTAATTATTAAATTTGAAATTCACTTCACAAATTTGTAAAGAAGTCTCTTTTATAACTATTTAATCTAAAACAAATTTAAAAACACCTTGCCCTATTTTAATTTTAATCTCAAATGCTGTTATCTTATCAAAAGCTATCTGGGTTTCGCAGGGAATTGCTTTATGACTACAACGAACATAACAAGTGTAACATTTAACCCAAGTTTTCATAATAATAAGATATAAAAACGACTAAACAATGTGAGTAATTTTTAAATAATAAAGTAGTTAGGAAAGTTGCATTTGCCATTTATCATCATCACATGACATTATCTAAATTTAACTTGATTTTAACAATATAAATACATTAACACCCTTTTCTAAATGACTCATTTCCTTTTTTTAGATAATTTTATTTACTTAAAAGGATTTCTGCTTACATAAAATGGATTTATTAACAACCAGGCCACGCCACAGGAAAATATCTCAATCGCAACAACCCCAAAGAAGGAGACCGACTTCAACGGGGTCAAATAGTTCAAGTAGTACAATAAACCAAAAAAATTCCAATAAAAAAGGACCTCAACAAAAAGATTCAACACTTCCTAAAAGAATTGCACCAATTAGGAATGAATTGAACGAAAGAAATCAACCTCGTTTATTAACTGACAGAAATCGTTCTGTTTTACCACAGGAACCTCATCTTCCAATAAAAAAATTGATTGAAACGAAATCGACAACAACACAAACTGAAGTATTAATTATTGAGAAGAAATTACATGATTCCTTGTTAGTTATTGTTGAAAGTACCTTGGAAATTCTTCAAAAAAATCTTGAAAAAATCCTTGGTGATAAGAAAACTATCGAGGATAGTTATGGAAAGTTAATTGAAGACATTTTGGATAAAATCGATACCAAAAAGCAACCCAAATTATCGGAAAACAAAAAAAATTTAGAATTAAAGATTAGGGAATATAAAAATTATCTTAAAAACAAACATAACCTCGAAAAGGAAAAATCTAAAGTTGAAAAACATCAAAAAAAGGTTGAATTGAAAAGTAAAGATTTAAACCAAAAAGATCCTTTAAGGTTAAAACGCCAATTTAGCCTGGAAAAATTAACCAAACTTAGTTTGGGGTTAAAAAATTCTTCTCAAGAACCGGTCGAAACACCTAAATTAAAGCGCCAATATAGTTTTGAACATGTACCAATTAAAAATCAAGAAGAAAATGAACCAACAAACATCAACGATCTTAAAAGTCGATTAACAAAGGTAATGAATCATTTTAAATCAACAGAAACATTAAACGAACATGATACCACTCATGACAATCTAATTCATCATCGAGAAGAACCAAACAATTCATATCCATTTCAAAATGACCAAAAACCGTCAACATCAAAACTAGATGATGATGTGTTTTATGATTCCACGTTAATTTTAGAAAATGAAGATTTAATTTTGCCACCGGAAGATTTTCAAGAACACCCGTACGATTTAAAACGCGACGAGGAATTGGAATATTTAAAATCGCTTAAAGGAAAATTATCTTCTTTAGGTAATAAAAGTCATAAAACGTCGACGAGTTCTGAAGTAAGTTTTCAGCAACCCGAAAAATCGGAACCCAAAAAGAATTTAAACGAGAATAGTGTAAAAAAGATCAAAGAACTTCAAACGAAATTGAATCAGTTATTATCCACTCTGCAATCCCCGGAGAAAGAGTTAAAGAAAGGTTATGATTTTTACGAAAAATCCGAGAAAAAACTTTTAAAACTTAAAGTTAAATACATTAATATTCGATTTGTGCAAGAAGACGAATTTATAACTACTCGCTTAGACGTTGTGCAAATGTTCAGTGAAGCTGAGAAAATCATTGAAGCAGGAAAACACGGATTGAATTGGATAGAAAAGAAAGATGATGACGCGAATTTCGATGAAAACGAAAATCTTGAACGGGAAAGAGAGAATGAAGAAGGTCCTCGCGGAAGTTTAGTGTCAGAATGTAGCAGTTTAGATTTTGCAAGTGAAACATCAACGGAATCACCGTATTTAAAGTTAGAAAGATTAAAAATTATGCTCGAACAAATGGTTTCTGATATCGAAGAGGCCGAAATATTGAATTACGATTTGATTTTTAACGAACTAAACAAGTATCAGGATGAATTTTCAGAAATTCGTATTCAATTGATGCCGGAAACTGCTCCGGTACGACAAGAGGTTTTTAATTTATTGATTCAAGCTTATAATTTACTCGAAGATAAAAATGTAAAGTAGAAATGTTATCAAATTGATTAATAAGTAAATAAATTAATAAATATTAATTTAATTCATAATGAAGTTGTTGAGAAAATTTTGTTGCTAATATCACGTTGTAAAAACGTATGATTGAGTATAAGAACAGTATAAGAAACATAACCTTAAAAGTGTGTACGATTTCTTTTGTGGGTGAATTTCTTCTGTAAAAGTGGTGAGTTTTTATAAGATTTATTAATATTAATCATGTTAATTAATGATTTATTAATACCACAGTGGTGTTTGGTTGCGATAATAAGAAAAAGTATCTTTTCTTTCTTTTTGCGTGTTGGCGGAAGCTTTTGCTGGTTTAAAATCGACGATTTAATGTTTTATATTCCATTATTAATTCGATTATAAAAATAATTTGATTAGAATGTTATTAATAATAAATTAAAAGTAAGAAAGTTAATTTTATTAATAATTTAAAAATTTTATGGTTTTCTTTGTATTGTGGCTACTTAATAATAGATGGCGCTCTCGTTTGTTTATATCAACGCGTTTTTATGTAAACAGTGAATTGTTGTTAAAATTGGGTTAAAATACGATAAATATCAATTAGTTTTTGAGGTTTTCGTATTTTTTTGGGTTCCCTCGATGGATTCTAGAGGATTATTGTGGGCTTTTCTAAAATTTTCATGGTTTATAGTCTTCATTGATGATAGGTTAAGTTAACCAAAAAAAAATGATTTTTGGTAAGTTTTTTTTTAAATTATTCATAATAACAAAAGAAAAAGAATTGAAACAATTATTTAGTTTTATTTTACGGTTGTAATGTTTTGATTTAATTTTAAGTTGGTACCACTTCTTTGTCATCGTTGATAACCAAAGTATAGGTTATGTGGAGGGATTAAAATTGGATAAATTTAGAAAAAAATTTATAAATACCATCCTTATTGTGCCAGAAATAAAATTTTTGGATATTTTTAGATAAGATATCAAGAAAAGATTCATTATTTGAGTTTTTTTTCTTAAATTTTATTGTTTTAGTTTTATCACAATCAAATCAATTTGATTTTTAAACTAATCAAAATTTGTTATTGTTAATACAGAAACAATACCGTATCTCTACTTATTATTAATATTTGATGATCCACTTTAATTAGTTATTGAAATTCAATTATTTACAACATTATTTTGCTGGCTGTCAATGTCACTTTCTACATTTTTGACAGTTTCAATTTCTTCTTTTTGAGTTTCTACGATTTCTTCGGGCTTTGTCGATAATTTTTCGACAGTTTCACCGTTAACATCGTTTATAATGTCTTCATCTTTTTTTTTATCAACAAATCCATTCAATTTTACTTCATTTTCTTGTATTTGTGTGTTTTCTTTAGTATTTTCTTTAATTTCTTCGTTTTTCTCTTTAATTTCTTCGTTTTTCTCTTCATTTTCTTCAGTTTTTTCGGTAATTTCTGCAACATTATCTGTAATTTCTTCATTTTCTTCTTTATTTTCTTCGGAACCTCTATTAATTTCAGTATTTTCTTTAATTTTCTCTTCAGTTTTCTCGGTAATATCCTCAACATTTTCTTTAATTTTTTCATTTTGTTCTTTATTTTCTTCGGAACTTGCATTAATTTCTGTGTTTTCTTTAATTTCCTCATTTTTCTCTTCATTTTCTTCCGTTTTTTCGGTAATTTCATCAACATTTGCTTTAATTTCTTCATTTTGTTCTTTATTTTCTACGGAAATTCCATTAATTTCAGAATTTTCTTTAATTTCTTCATTTTTCTCTTTAACCTCAACATTTTCCTCATTAATTCCTTCGCTATCTTCTTTAATTTTTTCTTCTCTCTTCTCTACATCAATAATTTGTTCTTCATTTGAAGTTTTTTCGGTAATTTCTGCAATATTTTTTTTGTTTTCTTTATTTTCTTCGTAACTTCCATTAATTTCAGAATTTTCTTTAATTTTTTCATTTTTCTCTTTAACCTCTTCACTTTCTTCTTTAATTCCTTCGCTATCTTCTTTAATTTCTTCCTCTCTCTTCTCTACATCTATAATTTGTTCTTCATTTAAATCTTTCTCAACTCCATCGGAAGTATTTTCCACCACCCTCTCTGTTTCAATAATTTCTTTATCATCTAAAGATTTTGAAACATTTTCATCAATTACCAACTTTCTCGCAATCATTTCTGGTGCGTTGGTTTCTTCTTCGACTTCTTTTTCAACTTCTTCTTTGCTTTCATTTTGTTTTCTTTCAATTTCTGCTTCAACTTGAATTTCATCCACAACTTTTTCTTTGTTTTCTTCAATTATCTCCTCGACCACATCAGATTTATCAACAATTTCAAGTATTTCTTCTTTCTTTTCCATCATATTTGAAGTTTCCTCACTTTTTGTAGATGCGGTAATCGTGTCATTTTGATCTTTATCTTCCTCGAACGTTGTGATATCTTCTTTTTTAGATTCTACATTAATTTCTTCGTTCTTTACATCAACATTTTCAACAGAAAACGTTCTTTTACTAAGATTTTCGGTTATTTCATCTTCAGTTTTACTTTTATGTTCGTCTACGGTAATTTCAGGAACCTTGTTCTCCTTTTCTTCTATTACTGAATTAATCCTAGATGGGGGTAGAACAACAGGAATAGGATACTGATTTTTTTTTCGGTAACCTTCAGGCGCTTTTTGCGGTAAAGCTCCTTTTGGAAGAACCGTAATGTTCTCCGATTTCGATGATAAACATCCCATAACGAGTCTAACAAAAAAACAACGTTAAAATGACGTCAACTTTAATTTAAATATTTAAATAAAAACGCGATACTTTATCGATTCGAAATTATCTTTTATGACTTGATTTCGGATTGAGAATGAATTAGGCTTGATATTTTTATTATCTGTTTTTTTTTGGTAATAAGATTTATAAACTTACCTGCTCGACCTAACGTAAAGTTGTAATAATCTGGATTACAACCTGAGACACAATTATTATTAAAATCGTGTCCTCGTTATCAAGTCGTATTGTACACTTGATAAGCAGCAAAGATAAGAAAAAAAATTTGACCAAACCATCCAGTACAATAGATAGTGTTGTTACGCAAATAGAATGGTGTTGATAACTTTAATTTTAAAGTATGACTTCTTAATTAAACAAAATTTAATTTAAAAGCATTTTATTGTACTTAAATGTTTATCAGAATTTAAAAAATGCGAAATCTTCATTAAAAATGCTTTAAAATGAGTACAAACATGACATGTTTAACATTAAAAACAAGCAAGATGTCAACTTCCGGTTGTCAATGTCAATTTTAATTTTGATGTTTTCTTATTTGGTATGAAAAATTGTTTAGAATGAACCAAAACTCGAAAGGGTTATCTTAAAAAACAACTTAGATGCAAGAAATTAAAAAAAAATTAATAACGTGAAGTTGGCAACGTACATTAAAAACGATATCTCGCTTGTTTTTTGAAATAACCCTATCGAGTTTGTACTCATTTTAAAGCACTTTTCATAACGATTAAGAATACATCAAAATTAAAGTTGATATTGACATTTCGGTTATTTTAAAAAATTGAATATGTCGAGTTTGTACTCATTTTAAAGGAAATTTCGCGGAGATTCCAAAATTATAAATAAATTATTTAAAAATTGATTTCTTTAAATATTATTTTCGACAATTTTTGATAATCCAAAAATTAATTCTTGATGACTCACTTCTTTGTGTTTTACAATTTGTATTTTTGTTATCGTTGAAAGAACTCGGTATCAACTTCAGATGACGTCATCGAAGTTAATCTATGTTGGGTGCAAACACCAAGTTTCGCTTCGTTCGTCTTTATTTGAGCGTGTTTGTGCAGTTAAGTTATGAAGAAATGATCGCGTAAATATAATGAGAAAATGGGGATTTGTTGTGGTAAGAAAAGTGAGGTTAATGAAGAAAAAATTAAAGATGTTGTTTTGAATAAATTTTGTGATGAAAACTTTGAAGAAATTAAACTTACAGAATCAAATTTGACCATTTTTAATGAAGACGAATCTAAACATGAATTAAAATTAATGGATGAAAATATTCCAAGTGATAAATTATTAATAAACGAATTAAAATTGAAATTTCCCGATGGTCTCGAAGATTTAAAGCGGCGATTAATTCGAACGAGTTTTCGAAGAAGTTTCAATTCAAAAAGTAATACTCAAAATGATCCAACAATAAAGCACTTACACGAAGATTTAATCGACAATTTAACGATATTAGAAGATAAATTGAGGGGCACTCAAAAATTAATTGTGAACAACACCGATTTATCTATGATGAACATTTTGGAACAATTTAAATTCGATTTGGCGATGATCGAAACGAGTTTACGCCCGGATGTGATCGATAAAAGGCGGGAGGTTTATTGCAAATTAAAGGCGTGTTTCCATCTGGCTAAGGAAAATTGCCCCAAAAATAATCTTGGGGAATTCGAGAGAATCAACGCGGCGAGTGACACAAAAGAAATTAACGAATTGCAAGAGAGATTGAGTGATATCGAACGTTTTATTGAAGAGAACAAGGATGTTTATGAATCTCAAAAAGAAATTGAAGCGATTTTAGATAATCTCGAGAATTTAAATGGTTGTGAGGATGATTTAAAAATGATGTTGAAAGAAAAATCGATTTTGTTAATTAAAGAGTGTATTTTAAAGAATTATTAATTAAAACTAATTTATTAAATTGATTAAATTTCGGTTCCTCGATTAATAAAAGTGATATTTTGAAGTGAAGTAATTTTTAATATGATTTGGTACGACTTAACTTCACATGTTCCTTTGTAACCTCAAAAAGTTTTATGAATTGAATTGACGTTAAGAAATGTCGAAAAATTTTCACCAATCTAAATTTAGTAACTTAAATCCCCTAGATTAATATTCAAATGTCACTAAATTTATTGTAAATAATTAAACTATGTACAAAATTTTATTATGGAATAAGACTTTTCTTAATCTCTAATATTGCGTCATTTAAACACCAGCGTTTCAAATGTTTTAATTTTTAATTATAATCCGTTTTGGATCAGATTTTGGATGAAATGTCATTAATTCGATTGTCAACAAATGTCAATTTCACATTGAGGATTTTAAATTTTTTATGAAAAAAGCATCATCCGGGAGAATTTAATTTTGTGTTATCTAATCAGAAATGTTCCTTAATAACCTCGAAAAATTTCAGTTCTTAAATTCCAATCGTTTTAGAGAAAGCAATTTTTTCCTTAACATCACTTTTAATAAACTTCAAATTGAATAGATTTATTTGCTATTTTGATTAATTTGTTATAATTTAGCCTAAACATACCTTTAAAACTTCAAAATGTTGCATTTCAAATCAATTTTCTTCAACTTTAATAAATTATTTCAATAAAATCGTGATTGTTATTTATGAATTGAATTGACGTCAATTCAACGTCAAAAAAATTTCACCAACTTAAATTTAGTAACTTACATGCCCTAGATTTTTATTAAAAACGTTAATTTAAATATAAATTTTTAAGAATTAAACAGAATTAAACTTTATTATTTTAAAGAATTATTAATTAATTAAACTAAACTTCGGTTCCTCGCTTAACAAAAGTGATATCTTGAAGTTTTTGTTGCAACATTTTCTTGTGACTTTGAATTTGCCTTATTAAGTAATCCCTCATCGATGCGTCAACCTCTAAATTTTGTATTTTTAGGAAGATATTGGTCATCTCCTCATCGAGTTCATCGTATCGTTTTCTGTAATTATCTCCCGAAAAATTATAAACGTCATCGGACAATTTCCCGATGGCTTCTTGAACCTCCTCCAATTTAACTTGATTTAATTGCTCGTTGTATTGCGACATCCGCTTCGAGGCCCTCCGCTTCGTTTTTAACAACCCCGTTAAAGACTGAATACTCCCCTGCAAATTATTCTTAAATTCCTTATCATTTTGCGTCAAAATTTCGACAGAATTCACTCGAACCAATAAATCGTCCAATTCCAATTGGGTTTTTTCGAAATCCAAATCATTTTCGATCGGGTTTAATTTCGTGATATCGTCTTTTAGGGTGGTTAGCTCGTTTTCGAGGGAAATCAATATTTTCCCGGTGTTTGATTTTTGGTGGCTCTCGAAATAAAGGATTAATTTTTGTAAATAATCAAAATATTGGGATTGAATTATGGTTTGATCCGTTGATTTTGGATTTAAACTTTTAATATCATCTCGACATCTTTTAATTTCAGCTTCGATTAAAACGGTTTCAGTTAGATTTCCAAATTCGAATTTCTCCAAATCGTTTCTTATTTTTGTTAAATTTTTTACTATATCACTTGCGATTTCGCTAAAATTTTTCGTTAAATCTTCTTGGGAACTGACTTTTAGGGATCTTTCGTCTAAAATTTCGAGATATCTCATTATTTTTCCGATTAATTGATCTTTAGTTTTGTTGATTTTATCGTTATCTGAGATGATCTCATCGAGTTCTTTTAAGCAGTCTCTCAATCCCTCCTCAATGTTGACGTAATTAACGTTTTTGTGGGTGCCGCTGAAACAATCAACTTTTTTTTTTAATTTTTGCACGTTCTCAACGATCGTTTTTAGCCGATTCGTGTTTCCAACGTTGAATCTCAACGAATTTATCTCAGACAATTTCTGCAAAATCTTATTTTTTTGATCAACAACCGTTGGGTTGCTACAACTCTCTAATTGATCAATTTTTAAGTACAAATCATCCAAATCCTTCTTAAAATCCCCATCATTTTGGTTATTAGATTTTAAAATTTTATTTTTTAACTCATCAGCGTCATTTTCGATCATATTTAGCGAGGTTAATACATTTGAAATTGTTAACTCTGATATTAATCGTTCTGGTGGGGTCATATTTCGCCCTTCTTGGTCCAAATTTTTTGACGAAGCGATTTTCCTAATTCCCTCAAACTCCTTTTCTTTAATAATGACTTTTTGTTGTGATTTTTGGTTCAAATGTCTCAAAGTTTTTTGCAAATTTTGGTCCAAACTCTCAATGATTTCGCAAATTTGCTCCCTCTCGTCACTTTTTAAGTTACTCCTTATTGATTTATCCAAAACAACCCATTTATTTTCGAAATCCTCCAAATCTTCTAATAAATAACTTTTACATGACTCATTAATCGCCTTATTTTTAGAACTTGCGTTATCAAACAAAGTTTTTAATAAATACTGAATATTTCCAATGATTTCTTCTTTTCTATTAACGACGGCTTCGTAAGAATTATGAACATCGTTTAACTTGGCCCACAAACTCCTCAATTTTTGATCATAATTATTATATTCAGCATCATTTTTTAGCCCAACGAACGTTTCGACCCCCTTTTTTAGCGAAATAACCTCATCTTCGACATCATTGATTTTATCCAAAGCCAAATTAATCCTTTTTGAGTTTTCCTCGGCCCTTTTAGCTAACTCCTGCAACATTTTCTTGATCAAATCGATCGTTTTTAACTTCCTCCTCCGATTCTCTTCACTCGAATCTCCCAAATTCGATAAGTTCGCCCAATACCCTTTTAAAATTTGATCTAAATCGCGATATTTCGCATCCGATTTCAATTCTTCAAACGTTAAAACCCTAATTTCAACATCGCTTAATTCTTCTTCAATTTTCGTTATTATTTCTTTATCTTTCTCTCTATCATTATCTTTATCATTAACTTTATTGGCTTTCTTTAACGATCCTTTTTTATCTTGTTTAACATTTTGTAACTTTTTTGCTTGCCTCATTAACGATTTATTAATCGACTCCTTCCTATTAATACTTTTCGATCCCGCATCTTCAATTTTCGTTAAATCGGAATAAAGCATGTTTAATTTTTGTTCTAAAAACTTAAATTTGTTTCGTTCCTCCAAAGAAATGGCGCGATTAATTTCCTCCTCTAAAACATTCGCTCTTTGTTCGACCTCATCCAAATTCGTTTCGTAACCTAAAGATTTTTGCGATACCAACGAATTTTGCGCTGAATAATCAGCAGGTTTCGGCGATATAAAGGAATGGGATTCGATCGCGGCCGAATCCAATTGGCGTTCGTTCGTTTCGACTTTTTCTTCTAATAATTTGAATAGATTGTTTATTTCTTTCTGATAACCTTTATATTTGGTTTGTTTGTCCGGTTTGGTCGACTTCATTAAGAGTTCTTGAACTTCTTGACCTTTCCTCGATAATTGCGAATGCAAAGCTTTGTAATTTGGGGTTCCCCGAATGCCATCGTAAGCTTCAATCGCGCGTTTTAACTCTTTAACTGCTATTTCGATGTCGCGAACTTTCTGTTCGCTTTTTGATAATCGTTTCGATGAGCTTAAACTTGTTCTTAATTGAGCTTGGTGTCTCATTTGGACAATTCCATCGTTATTTCGACGTTTGTTCTCTTGCGTTGAAGGTTGATTACCCATTTTGGAGTTTTTCTATGAATTATGCGTATTTATTACTCGTTTTATATAGTTAATTTAAAAACTTACCTGCTTTTCTCTCCAATCAAAGAAGAAATTTTTAGGTGGATTAATTTTTCCTTAACAACGCCCATAAACCATAGAAACTATATTGAATCTTTAACGGGTACAGTTTGTTTATCAGTTTTATCTCTTTAAAGATAAGAGAAATGAGATAAAAAAAATCGAACGCGTGTTTGTATCTGGAACAGGTACTATGTATATTGAAATAGATATGAAAACTTTCTAGGAATAATAACGTTTTGATAATGAATTTTCCAATGTAATTGGCCATTTTCCTCATTAATTATTAATATTCGTTATATCAACAAATAAATATTAATATTATCATCATTATCTTCGAATTTCATAAATTATTTGAATTAAATTATTAATTACATATTTATTAACCTTATTGACGTTTAGAAATGTCAAAAAAATTTCACCAACTTAAATTTAGTAACTTTCAAATCCCCTATAATCTGATATAAATAAATTTTGTTGTCATAAATATGACTTAGACCCACTTTTACCACCTCTTGATAAATTTATCCGATAGATAATTACCATGGTTACAGCGGTTTTAAGCGCTCTCATTGGCTAAGAGCGCCAATTTATCTATCGGTTAAATTTATCAAAAGGTGGTAAAAGTGGGCCTTAATGTAAGCACAAACGTTTCTTTATAATCTCAATAAATTTTATGTCCTAAATCTTGACTATTTTAAAGAAAATAATTTTTTTTGTTAACCTCACTTTTAGAAACATCAAATTAAGAAAACCTAACCTCAAACATTCTTTTATTAGGAATAAAATAGTAATGAAACGTTGATTATAATTGTTTTATTCTGTACTTATATCTTATTTCATCATTGTAAAAGATATTCAGTTTCTTCGAGAAATTGCCTTTCATTGAATCAGAAGCATCAAATGAACCGTATGATCCTTCTCAGTATATTTCATGAAATTTTATCGTTGTTTATATTGTTCTTCAATGTGCTATTATACCATTTCATTCCATATCTTTAGATTCTTTTATTTATTTATATATCAATAAATTGCTTGCAAATACATAACCTACAATATCCACTTTTTAAATCGAGTAAATTCCAAAAACACCTAAAAGAAAGGTAGAACAAAATTAATATAAAAATATACTGAATGTGAGATTAGTTATATCTGATAATCATTATATGAAACGCAATTTTAAAATTACTCTAATTTTAAGTTGCTGTACCACATAACCTCTAATTTTCTTACAACGAAATAGTACCAACTTAAATTAATGTTAGGTGACTTGTTTGAGGTGAAATATTTTTTTATTGTAAATCATTAAGAAATCCAAAATGTAATTTATAAAAAATGTTTCAACATCGATTAGAATTCATTTCAATTTTCTTTTAAACAAGTTATTTAAATTAATTACTTTCATAATTAAATTTATTTATTAACAGCGCCATCTATTGTGCATTGGTGTAACTATATCGTTTTAACAGGTGTAAAATCATTTCGATACAAAATTGATCGAATTGATAGATTCACACACTGTCGTAAATTAAGTAGTTTTTATTAATATTCCTTGATAAATCCAAAATTTATTGAGTATTTGTTCCAAATCTATTTACAACAACATAACCTGTAATTTTTTTATAAACATGCGTTACCAACTTAAATTAATTATAGGGGAATAATTAATTTTATTAGTAGTATAGGCAACCAACATTGTCAAAAAATTAAATTTTATTTAAATTTTTAATTAATAACAATAAATACTCTTAATTCATATTTGTAATTAAAGCGACGTTACCAAGACGGGGTTCGTTTTTTTATCCCCGCTTTCCACGTTAACAAAATCGAAATCATCTTCGCTCTCCGTGTTATCGAATCGTTCTTCCTTTTTCCCCGAATCAACATCTTCATCATCATCATCCATAGTGGCCTCTTCAATCCGTTTATGAAGAACTTGCCTCAATTCCTCCTTCAAATTATCATTCGCGTTTAAATCCAAAGTAACCGGGCGAATATAAGAACCAACTTTTTGTCGCGTTTCAATATTATTTTCATTTTCTTGATTTTCATCCCCATTTTTGGTGGTTTGATGCATCTCCAAAGTAATTTGCGTTTGCAATTTATTCCCATCCAATAAATATTTCATGCATTCTTGGGCCCGTTGTAGCGCCAATTTTCTTTCGTATTTGATTTGAACGTTGCCGTACGTTTCCATGTTGTCCAATTTAATTATGATTTGATTCAAAGCGGTTCTTGTTTGTTCGTAAAGATTTGGGTCTTTGGATTGTTTGTATTCGTGAATTTTTTCTTCCAAGTTTTCTATTTTTCGGCGCATTTGATCTATTGAGTTAATCGCTTCTTTTTGTGGATCGTAAAACGATTCTTCGTCGTCATCATCGTCGTCGTCGTCGTAATCTTTGTACGAATGAATTTTTGGTTCCTCCACGCTGACTTTAACCACTTTTAATTGAGAGATCTCGCTTCTTTCTGATAATGGGCTATCGAATGATGGATAATTTGTTGGTGAACTTGGGGGTGAAAATCTCGGTGAGAAAGTTGGGGATTGAGATGGTAAAGTTAAAGGTGAGGCTATTGGTGAGATGATTGGGGACGATGGTTGTGGGGGAAGTGAGTTGGAAGATGTTGGTCTTGAGGCATGAGTCACTTTCATGTCTAATTTTTGCAGCTGATTGTTGCAGCTTTCTAAAATATCTTGGTATAAATCTTTGTGCTTGTCTTTAACGACGGAACTAATCTTTTCTAATTCATCGATGATTTGCGCGATCGATTTTTTAATATCTGTGTACTTGGCGTCGTCGACAGAGCCGCTAAATTTATGAATATCTTTGCTAACTTTATCTAATTTCCTTTGGATTTTTTGCAAAGAATTTTTTTGGCTCTTACGCAGCGATAATGAGCGCGTTAATGATTCAGCTTTGGAGGATTTTCCACCCATTTCATTTATTTTATCTACAAATAAATTAATTACTTTAAAAAAATTCAATTAAATAACAAAATTAGTTGGGTTAAAGCAAATATTTATTTTTATACTGACGCAAAAGCATATTTTACTAATTGTATTTATTTAGATGCTGAAAAACAACTCCCTTTTTTATGATAATATTAATTATCGTTATCAAAATGCGTATGAGACATTGTTATCAATAAATACCCCAAAAATGTATCCAGTTTTCTTTAACATTTCATTTCAAATAATTAAGGATGTGTGGTGGTTATTTAATGCCTAATTTTATTAACTCGCGCCGTTTAAGCCAACAAAATGAGTAAGAATCGTTTAAAAACTTCACTCACCGTAATCTTATTAAATTAAAAATTAATTAAGGAACACACCTTAATAACTATGGATCATCTAGTAATTTTGGTTTTCGAACTGAGCACTTTTTCGTATGCACGGTCAGATATCGCAAAGTATTATTTACCTCAAAAGATAAGAACTTGATAAAAATACCCACCATTATACCTTTATTTCTCCTTCCAAGCCAATTACAACAAAATAAACACATCAACCTAATCAAAAACAACAACTAATTCAATCATTTGTTAACAACAGAAATTATTTATAAACAAAAATTTATTTAAATTAATTAAATTTTATTTCAAAAACAACGTAATATACGCAACCAAACTTGCATATTAAAAATAACAATAAAGTGAGGTTATGTTATCCGTCAACATTTTTATTAATAAATAAGTATAATTAATTAAAAAGGTATCACTCCGGTTATATAATAACCAAATTAAAATCTTTTCTTTTTCAAAATCATCACAATTTTTCTTTGTACTGCAAAATAAAATAAAACAAATAAGTGAATCATAAAAAATACTTAAATAGATTAGATAAATGATTCAAATTGATAAATAAGACATGAATCAATAAAAAACTTACAATAACACCCACTATTTTTGGCTTGTGAATATTGTTTTCATTATCATCGCTTTCACACTCATCATCAGAGTCATCAAATTTATTTAATTTGTCAAAACTTTGAAGATCTCTTAAACTTAAAAGGTAATTGGATCCATTTAGGTGTTGTCTATAATTAATTTCGTCCTTTGATTGTGCGATAATATCATCTAGAAGGTCTCCGGTGCTTGATGATTTCTTGTTTTTGTATTGTTTATGTATTAATTGGTTATCATAGGATTCTTCCTCTAATATACATTGGGTGCTGCTAAATTTTTGTCTCTTTGAATCTAAAATTAAATTATTAATCATAATAATGTGATGTATTGTTTCTAACCTCCAAATTGTTGTATTCGTTTTGGTGCAATTAAATTAACTCCTCCCTTAAAGTTTTTATTCGTTAATTCATCATCTAAAATTTCATTCCATTTATCTAGGTATTCCCAACTTGATGCATCTCTAACTGATTTATTTCTATAATTAAGAACACTTTTTTCTTTGTTTATTCTTTTTTCGATTAAATCCGCTGGAATATTTATAACATTTTCGGCACTAAATTTTTCTTCGATTTCCTTTAAACTCTTTCTCATATTTTCTTCAAATTCTTTTATATTTTCTTCAACACTCCTTATATTTTCCTCGATTACCCTTGTATTTTCCTCAAAAATCTTAATATTTTCGTCGACTTTTTTTAAGTTTTCTTCGTTTATCTTAACGATATCATCTTTTAGAATCGTTTTTAACACATCGTTTTCTTCTACTTCACCTAAAACTTCCATAGTTTCTATAGAATGTACGTGATTCCTCATTTTATCGATAAGTAAGTGAATTTCACGGAAATGACGTTCATTATCATCGGTGGACGCGCAGAATGAACTCTGCCAATCGCGCAATAACTCTGTTATCCCGCTTAAATTGTCAATTATCCCCGATTTTAATCGTTCGACGTTCGCGCACATTCTATTTTATAATATTGCGAGAAACAAAACCATTTTCAGTTTCAATGTCGTAATCGAAAATTCAATTCGTGGTTTTTATTGGGGATTATCAGATTAGATTAAAATTTAAATTCTTATAAAATATAATAATAACGATTATTTTGTTGTGGTTGTGGTGAGGAAAGCGCAAAAATAGAAGTATTTTCTTGGATATGCATTTTTAATAGATTAAATTCAAATTTCCATGTAGATTTTTGACGTTTAAAACGTCAAATGTAATTTTCTTCTAATTCGAGCTGATTTAATTTCTTCTTTTAAACGTTTAATTTTAATTGAATACTCCGAAACGCATTTTAGGATAACTTTCGAGTTATAAACCATTACATTTAGGTAGAACAACGCGAAATTATAACCTCAAAGATAAACGAGGTTAGTTTTTAGTAATTTTAGATGGCGGTAGTTGTAATCGGTAACGAAGAAATTTTCAATTTTGTGTTGACAGATGTCAAACATCAAATTCATTTTAAGTTTTAATTATAATCTCTTAATTAAACTTGAGTAGACATTTAATTATTTTTTTTTTGTTTGAAGTGCTCAATTGGCGGCCGCCCGAATAGACCAAAGAGCTTCTTGTGCTGGTTTGGAGGGTGCTAGTAGAAGCTGTAGGAAACCGCCCCCACCTTTGTTAAGATCAAGAACACTTCCTGCTATTGTAGTACCGGGTGTCAACATTTTACAAGCACAATTAGGAAATTATACACAAGGTAAACAAAAAAAACTCTGTATTTTTATATTTTATTGTTTTTTATTTAAGATGTCCAACAAGAGCAACAAACTTCAAGTCCTTTCGCACCTCGAGTGGGGATCTTATCGAGGTACCACCCGACGAGACTCTCGTTCACTAAAGATCAGGAACCAAATCCTTCTTTGGATGTTGGACGTAGGAAATCGGCGGTTAGTCGACTTTGCGGAAGCGGTAATTATGGTCCGGAACGCAAATCCGATGGCACCTTGCTCTTAAGGTAAGAGGACGCGGATTTAAAGGAGCTATAATTAATGAGTAAGCACGTTCTCCCCCTTTACATCTTTTTGACCTAAAACAAAGTTTACAAAATACTTCACAAGAATTCTTTTTATTAACTAAATAATTTTTTTATTATTAGAGTTCCCGCTCCTCATGTTGTAGCAGCAAGAGCTTATCGAATTCAATCACCAAGTGGAAATACAGCACTTTATCGTCTATCAAAGCTTTTAAATCAAAGCTCAAAGAATCAAGTTGTATTAGATGACTCAAATGTAACAAGAAGATTAAGTTGGGAAAGGTAATTTATTTCGATTCAAATTAGATTACGTTTACAAAGAATTTAAATTAAAAGATTTGATATCATGATTATTGGGTTGCCTCTATATAAAAAGATATATTTTAAAGAAATGAAACGTTTCAAAACTGATTTATCGAACAATTCCATTTCAAAAATTTCCACTTGTACCATTTTCTATTTATGATACGTCTCGGAATATACAGTGAAAAGTTAAAATCAAATCACGAGGAGTCTTTCCCTCCTACGAATCCTTCTTCTTGACCTACATAACCTCGAAACAAAAATCGACCCGACTTGTTCTCCCAAGATAGCGGCGACTTTTCCACCCTTATTATCCGAAATTGTTTGCTCACCTGCTTCACCCATTTTTCGATTTTTTTCCTTTTTTTTATTTACGATTTTACGGCAGAAATAAATTTTAATATTTCACGATATTAATGGTACTAAAATGTTCCTCTTAATTTATTATCTTTGTAACGGTAGGTTTTTATAAAGGGTGAGGAGAATATGGATCCCTTGGAAGTGATAAAAACAGACTTTAGTGTCTTGGGTAACCTACTCCAAACACGAGTAATAAATGTAGACGCCCATTAATAAGCTTCTTGGTCACGACCCAACGCTAACAATGTTGAGTGGGATGAAATATCGGAATATTTAACGAGATAAATGATATTATTTAGTTTAATAAAAAAAATTAACCTCAAAAAAATTTTTTTTGAATTGACATAACAAAATTTGACATAACCCCAAAAATTCTTTAAATTTAGATTTCTTTAATTAAACATCGCATTTTTGCATGGAATTTAATAAAAAATTAACTAAAATATAAAAGAAAATATCTTCTTGATGCTTTTAGTTTCAAATTCCAATAACCACTTCTCGATAAGTTTCAGTCCGTAATGGCATTTTGAACGGATCAATAGAAAAGACGTCCGAGGACGTTATCGTAGTGGACGCGTATCCATAACCGAACTCTTAATGGCCCCCTGAAGAGTTCCACTCATACACATGATACACGATCCGTTCGCTTTATCCCCGATCCCCCAATCCACACCGGCGGCGACCTGAATTCATCATTAATAACTACTACCCTATTAGTACTATTAGTACTATTACCCTCAAAGTTTCAGTTTAATGACTTGAAAATACGGTGTAAAGTATCGTTTATCTTTATGTCGATGGAAAAAACTCAGAAAACGTTGAAATGAGTTAGACTTTTTTTAATTTTAAGTTTGGTATTTTCGAAAAAAAATTTACTTTAATTTTGAAATAATTAAAATAAATGCTATTAAACCAATAAAATATATTAAATTAACATAATTTAATAAATTAATTTAATTTGTAGTTGAATTTAATTTTAGGATTGCGCCACTTCACGATGGTGCGCTTTTGTCAGTTGTCAAAATATGTTTTTGAAGTAATTATTAAATAACTCGAATAAAATGTGTGCAAGTTGAGTTATTTTTGTGTAACAGTCGATTTGGGTGTACATCTGCATTGCAGGGGTTTGTTGGTAAACCCGAATTGCTGCATTCCGAGCTCGGTGTATAACTCGTAATTCCACTTTAATAAATTCTGAATGCGCCACCTTAAATCTATTCGGAATAGTTCCACTTATCTCCTCGTAAACTTTAACATTTTTGAATGAAAATTTATTTTTTTTTTTAATTTTTTTTAGGAGGGATCCAATTGGAAGTCGAATGCCGCGTTCGGCAAGTATAGATTCTATGGTGGAAGCGGTATGGTCGGAAACGGTTTCAGCAGACCCAACACCGATTACGGAAAAAAGACCTTCACTACGTCCGGATCGTACTTTGGCTTTGGTATCACCGTCAGTTGGACGCCGAATGAAGGGTCAAAGAGGGGTCAACGGTAAGTGAGCAAAACCTCTATATCCTCTTCCAGGAGTTGCCTCTGCTGTTTTAATTAAGCCGGCCCGAGGAAAATTGAATTTCTCACCTTTTCCATTTCAAATTCAACGAAGTAACTTTCCCCGAAAATTGCAATTTGCCATTCTAATCTTTTCATATTAGAGTCAATTATGCTATTTACATCAATTTATTGTGTTATTACAACTTATAAGGGAAAGTTGTGGGAGCGAAAATAATTCGTTTAGCTCTATTTCCTTTTAAATCGGTTCCTACATCAAACCATTTTAATGAGAATCAGATATAAACCAGGTTAAATGCTTAGTTATGCGATACACGTGATAAGAATGTTATTAAATCACTATAAGAAGTAAAAACATTCGAAGAATTCACATAATAACAACAAAAAATCCTTTCTTGTTTACTTCGTTTCTTTATTACTCAACCCGACGTAATTTAACGCTTTCCACGACCAAAAAGAATTTTTTTTACGAAACTTATTTAAAAAAAAATGTCAAAAATGAGTCAAAAAAAAAGTACGTTTGGTCTCAACCTCAACAGACGTTGAAGACATCGGCTGTCGCAGTTACTACCTGTTATTTCCGTTATTTTCATCGTCCAATGGTAGTCTTAAAGTAAGGCTAAAAGACAAAGACGGGTTGAGTCTTAAGTTGTATTCGCGGCGTGGTTGAAAGAGAAAGAAAGTCGATGGTACAACGAACCATCGTTGTTGGTGTGTATACGACAGGTCCTTCTTCTTGGTGTTTTGTGGTGTGCTCGAAAAGAGCGTCGTGCGTTCGCGTGTGACTCGGTTTTGTTTATAAAAACAACATTTACGACGTTTAACTGAAAGTTTTTAATTAAAAATTACGAAAAGTCATAAACACAATAGGATTTATGAAGTTGCTTACTAGCTATAATTTCGGTGAGTTTTATTTTGTTTATCGTCTTAACTTCATTCAATAACGTCTCTATTTCGTTTTCGTTCCTCGCAAAACTTTCAATTACTGTCACGTAAACGTTCTCTTAATTGAACCATGTATTTCATCGGCTGTAATGGGATCTACAACCGCCCCAGGATAGTACGTTAATTCAACGTTTAACCCTCCTCATATTCCCCGTTAATTTTAATCTTGAAATTGAGTAATTAACACATTATTTATTACCTTAATTATTAAGAATTTTAAATTTAAAATGTCGGATAGGCGACCAGTTATGCACATGTGTATATTTGGTTGCATATTTATTTATTTAATTTCTTTTTAAATTAAATAGTTTTTTGATTTAAAAATTATTTAGAAACAGTTTTTTATTTATAATTTTATTAATTAAAATAAGTTTAGCATTTTTTAATTATAAAATAATTTAATTCATAATTAATTAAAGGAAAAAAAAAATGTAATGTAGGCAACCAATTATACATCTATGTTTATTTGGTTGATTCATATTTTAAAATTTTTTTTTTACAATTTTCCATTTAAATCGAATTGATTCTTTAAAATTAAACTAAATATTTCAAGTTGAACTTTAATTTGTGTTGAAATTGAGGTTTGACGTTTCATGGCCTCTTGTCTCGTGTTAGGATAGCGGTCGTTTATCCGATTTTAGAAGTTGGGGGTTTGTGGTGATCCAAGTAATTATCGTTTTACCTTAATACGACCCGTAAAAGGGAAATTCACCTCGACCGTTTCCATTTTGTTGCTTAGAAAATGTTGAATTAATCCATACTTTTTTTTATTTCTATAAATGGTAGGATAAATAGACGTTTAAAATGGCATTTCCGTCGCTCGATTAGAAATTCCGGTCTACTTAAGATACAAAGTGTTCTTGACCCGATAAAATGAGAGAGTAACATTATGTTTTATTTTTTTTTTTAAATAATTTTTGTTGTAATTTTTTTATAATGGTGATCTTGGGAAAATTCCGGTGAAAGGGGAATCCTTTTTTTGTTTCACCATGAAAGGAAAATCTTGGTTTGTAATTGTTGGGAAAAGGAAAGTAAAATTAATTTATTATTTGTTTGTTGTGGGTGTTGTTTTAATTTCAATTTCTCTTTAGTTTGTGTGCGTGTTAGATGACTGTGCATCCGGTTTTTCCGATAACATAATCAACTTTTTTATTTAGCTTTCTGGTTAACTCGGTTAAAATGATTTAAATTCAACTTTTCTTTGGTAATTTGTACGCAGTTCTTAAGCAAACATCGTGTACTTGCAAGAAGTAATATTAGTAATATAATAGTGAGGTTATGTTTTTTTTTCAACTTTAAAGGTTATAGCTGTCACCGAACGGTAACCTAGCAACGCATATTCAGTGGATGACGTTATCAACAAAACGATCTCGACGATTTTAGGCGAAATCATTCCGTATATGCCAAGGCTTATTTATAAGAAGATGTTTATCTTCAAATCGCCGATGTCACTTTCGGGCGAGGCGGTGGAGTTGATATATCAACCTCAAATCATCAGTTTTAGAGGACTTAGCAACCTCTGTGATTTGAGGGTAAATATCTTATAAGAGAGTTTGCATCATTACCAAAACATATAAGGACCATAAGGACTGATGTTGCCTCAAATCCCCGAGGTCGCTTACAGGCGAGGCGGTAGAGTTGATATATCAACTTCAATCATCAGCTTTAGAGGACTCTAGCGCCTCGCCCGCAAGCGACCTCGGCGATTTGATGAAAAATCGTTCTTTATATGTCTTAAACACAGATAAGAAGAAAGTAAAAAAACAAAATTAGTATAATTTGGATCATAGTAAACCCTAATAAATACGTTGAAAATTAACTTTACAAAATAATTTACTCTGAAATTTAAATCGGACTTGAGGTTATATTTATTTTAAACGTCACGTTTTAAAGATGGTTTCAAATTGTCATTGCTGGATAACCTAGCAACGCATAACCCGTTGATTGACGACACAAACTATCCGTATTTTCCAACCAGAAATTTATATTTTAATTTTTAAATAAAACCCAACAAATGCATTCAAAGTTAATTTAATAAAATAGTTTATTTAAATTTACATTAAAATTTAAATCGGAAGTGAAGTTATGTTTATTTTAAACGTCATATTTTATTCTCAATAATGGTGATTTAAAACTGTCATAGCAACGCATAACCAGCTGATTTATGTCAACGTTTTATTTCCAAAAAAATTAATTTTTTCAAATTTTATTTTATTTTTTCCAAATACATTCAATCACATTTTTTAAATTTACTTTTCGTTTTCTTAGAAACAAAACGTCAAATTTGGTACATCTAGTAGTTCATCGTCTTGCATTTTGAGCACCCTTATAATAGTTAAATTTCAACCCCCATCCAATAAAATACCCCACATACATCCTTTCCATTCAACTAATTCTTATTTGAACCAAAAGCCGATCCTTAACCGTCTCTCCATAAAGTCTATTTTCGTATAGCACCAAAAAAATTTCTTTTCCCCTCTCTCTTTTGGTATAATCGCCAACTTCGAAGCAAAGCGGGGAGTTCGAACCAGCTGTACAACTACAACAGTCACTTATGAGGAGGTCAGAATGATGCCATAAGCACGAGCCGTTTCTTCTTATCTTTACCAAACGAATAAAAAAAGCGCGCTCGCAATGTTCTCGTTAAAACGCGGCTGAAAAAACTGTTTTTCGAATAATGTTCGGTGGTGGTGATGTGTTTTTAAGTGATGGGACGTGTTAAAAAAAGCGAAGAATCCAAATCTAAAAGGAAAAAAATGTCTGAGGTGTTTGAACGGAGAAAATTAAATTTGAAACGATCGAAATCGGTTCGAGCTTCGATCCGATTAATAAGCAACAAATTTCTTCACCATCAAAAAACGACGTCCGAAATGATACGGTCCCCGTCGCTTTCGAGCGTTCGCGATGTTAATTATTATAATCGGCAATTTATTAATGATTACAATAAGAATTTAATGGAGAGCGAAGCGATTGGGACGATTTTAAAAACACCAATGACAGCGAAAGCGGGGAACAAAAAAGAATTAAATTTGGGCTTTAAAAAAATAGATTTGCTAAAAAATAAAGCTGAGAAAATCCACGTGACCACTCCACCGCCGGTTGTTGCGAAAAAAGCCGCCGCTCTTCTTCAAATTCCTAATACGTCAAAGAAACACGAAGAGGTTTATGACGAAACGGTTACGTTAAGGAGAGAAACGTTTTTCGATCAGGAATTGGTGGGTTATCAAGAAAAACTAGAGAATTTAGTGTTTCAGCGGAGTTCTTTAAGATTTTCGATGATGACTGTTAGCAGCAAAAAGAGGATGTCAACTTTTACTTCAACTTCAAGTACGTAACAAAGAATAATAAATCAATATCTCAATTAACAACCTTTAAACTTGCGTGTTGTGAAGGTCGCGTAATTTGAAAGAAAATTATTATTAAGATTGATTTATGAGATTCTTAAAAAAACCTATTTTTGAATAAAACAAGTTAAAAATAGAAAAACGTTTAGAAAGCTTTAGGAAAAAAATAATTAAATCGGCATAATTGTTTAAATTTACGAAACACGCGTAGCTTTCAAAAGTGCATATACGCGTGTTAACTCGTGTATCTCTCACGCTATATGCAAAGTGAAAGTTGTATTTTTGTTGTTGCGATATACATCTTGTTTAATACACAACTTTGTTTGGTTGTTGTTCAATTCTTGGTGTATAATACAGGAAATAAGATTTTATGCGGAGAATGGAAAGTGAGAGAGAATCTTTTTGAATTATTATTTTCAAAATAACTTCCGCTTTTGCGAAAAGTTATTAGTAAAATTATTGCTTCTATATCTTATTTGCTTATTTGTTTACTGACTTCTACTAATATTGTAATATTTATTTAAAGATAAGATTATTAAATTTCGTTGTGGTTTGAAGTTTTAATTATTTAAAAAATTATTTGTTTAGAACTTCCATTGAATTATTTTTGTTGAAATTAGTGCTTTACATTCAGCTTCTATTTGATGTTTTTGTAGAAATGTGTCACTTTCTTGATAGCAGTATCTATTTTGTTTCAGGACAATATCGAAATTTATGTTGTACCCCTAATCAATTTTGTTCTTGATGATTCAAAATGTTATCTAAATCCTATTTTGTGGTCAATTCTTTATCTATTCCTTTAAATTGACACTTTTTAGAGTCAAAATATTTCTCTTCGAAAGATTAGCATTAGGGGATTTTAGTTACTACATTTAAGTTGGTAATACATTTTTTAAAAACGTCAAGTTATGATGTTTAATTTTCATGATGAATATTACATTAAACATAACAATAATTAGTTTTACTTTAAGTAAGAAAATAGTAAGCTAGCGCTGAATAACAATTAAAACTAGAACTAACACTAGACCTACAAGTAGATTCATTTGGGTTTATCCGCACGTCTCTTAAGACGGCTAAAACCAAGGTTATTATTATTTATTTTAGGTTATTACATTGCTTAGTAACTTCAATACCGGCAACTTAAATTTTTTTGTCAATTAAATATAACCATATTTTTTTACTTCCTTATAAATTGAAAAATAAACAGAAAAATTAAATATTTATTGATGAATAATATATGTAGTTGATAAAAAATGTTTTTCTTTGAATGATTCCTCCCCAAGATTCATTTTTTTTTTGTTGAATCACCGTATCAAATTTAAATTAATTTAAATTTAATGTAAACGTTGAAATAACTTTTCCATTTTCGGTGCGGTTGATGCCTATCCTTTTCGTATAAATTAACATTTCCGATTAAGAGTTGTTTTGTATTCCGCGCAAATTAGTCAAACAAAATGTGGGACTCGATAAACATTTTAATATCGTGACATTAACTCAACTTCGAGTTGGTGTCATCGACTGCGTAAAAAAAATTATTTTTTAAACCTTTTATTAAAAATATCCAACGCAATACAATTTATGCTATTTAAATCGATCGTTTTCAAGCCAATCCTACGGTAATTTACGTTCGGCAAGATACAAAACGCTATTACGAAACGTTTTCTGTAATTTACCAAAGCTCGTTTCTAACAGATAGTTTCACAACTCTGTATGGGTTATTTAGAACAAAGACTTAATAAATTGATATATTTTTTTAAATAAATAATTTGATGTAATAAAATAAAGTTGGAAGTGTGTATCATAATCAAGAGTTTATTCAAGAAGCGAAACACAAAGGATCTCGGCAATTGCATGTAATCATCTTGTTAGTTGATTGTGAAGCTGCTTGATTAGATCACGTTGTTTCCTGCGTTAACCCAATCTAGAACTTAATAAGATATTCGTGGTGTTTACAAGCTCTGTTTAAATTTAAGTTCATTTTTTCCTTTTACTTTATAACAAATAAATAAACGTTCAAGTTTTAGTTTCACTTGTCGTACAAGAACCTCCTCTCCTCTTTTACTCAGGTTGACTCAAAACTGGTTCACCTACATTCTTCTCCATATTAGACGCGAGTTTATTGCAACTACGGTCGCGAAAACGAAAGATTCCGGTCCAATTATTCCCCCGAAGTGCCCGAAGTAGAAGTAGTCAAACGATTTTCATCTTGTGCGTCTTCGTTTCCTCATCTTCTTCACCTTTCAACTTTCACTTCCTCGTTTTCATCGAATCATGATCCATCTCGTGTTGACCGTGATTAAAAAAATGTGCGAGTGGTCGTGTGCTTCCGGACTCTTACCGGAAACCTTTATCTTTGTCACTAGAATATTTGGTATCTATTTCTTTATTATAATTTTAATTATTTATATTTATTTATTATTATTTCTTTTTAATTATTAGAATTACCCAATATCTTAAGCGAGAACGAAATGGAAGTGGCAACGGTACCCATATCGACTGGTTTACCACCCTCTCGGCATAAAAACAGCAAAAAACAGGCTAAATTAATGCAGCAGAGGCTTGAGCGACTCGCTAAAGTCAATATTCATTTACATGGTTTGTGCCTTTTTTATTGCTAAAAATATTAATTCGTTAAATCGCATCCTTTTTATATTGCAGCTTTATTCGCAGCTGTTGAACATGGACATTTGGATAAAGCGAAAACGATTTTAGAATCGACCGATGTTGATGTTAACAGGTAAAAATTATGTTTGTGCTATGTTGCTTAGCAACACCATTTTTAACCTAAAAATTTTTATTTAAATGTTAATTGTATAATATATTATGTAATTATTAGAAAAATTGATGATGAGATTTACCTTAAAATCGTGAAAAGAATCCAAATGATCCAATTATAAGACAATAATAATATTAAGTTGAATATAAAAGTGAGGTTAGGTTCATTGAAAGAATTAAAAATTTTTTAAATTTTAATTAATATCTGAGAATTCAAGTTTGAATTTGTAATTAATTGAAAGATTCGTTTGATTTAAATCATTTAAAATATCTTTGGTTTTATTAAAAACCAAAGATTATTAGATTTATAGAAAAATTTTCGCATTAATTTTTATATTTATATGTTTACGCTTATTAGTGATATCAAGGTGACAACATATTTGTCATTAAATGTCATTAAATTATGTCATAAAATGTAACCAAAAAAATTAATTATTGTTTTTCTTTTACTTTCAATCTTAATTAATTAATTCTTTTATATAATGATATTTTAATTAATTTTTATTTTTATTAAATAATTTGCATACATTTTTACGTTAAAATTTATAAATCTTAGTAACATCAAGGTGACACTTAAAATTTTTTAATTTTTATTGAATTTTTTATTCGATACAAAATAAAGAATGAATTAAAACCTTATTTTATTCTTTTTTAGCTTAAATGCGGATAAATTAAGCCCTTTGGATGTTGCTGTTTTAAGTAATAATCGAACTATGGTAAAGATGTTGATTGGTTTTGGTGCTAAAGAAGGGAATCAATGTAAATAACATTTTTAACCTAACTTTTTTTTAAATTTGTATGTTATTTAAATAAAACGTCTTTTTTTTTAGTTTCTTCATCAGAAAAATTAGGTTCACATCTAACTCAGTTATTGGGTGAAGCGGAAATGAGGCTTCAAGAATTCGGTGGTTTTCTGGATGAGCCGGCATCGACTCCATTAAATACGAGAGCTTCGTTTTCAAGTATTATAGGAACTGCTTATCCTTCGGCTTCAATGACTGGGTGTGCTGGTGGTGATAACGAAAAACAAGCGATTGTTTGGGGTCGGAGAGTGAAAACTTTAAAACGTTTAGTATTGGGATTTAATCAAGCTCGCCCTCCAGATCAACCGTCGGTTGTTGCGTTAGATATAACCTCTTGTAATGCTGTTTCGTTACGTTTACAAGAACCATTAACGACGGATTCATCGATTACAACAAAATTTAAAGTGCAATGGTCAACTCGGCCGGATTTTAGCCCAATTACGGGTGAAAAAGAGATCTTTGATTTAACAAATTCTCAATGTACGATAGAATTGACACAGGGGAGGAGGTATTATTTTAGGGCGTCTTCAGGAAATTTAAGAGGTTATGGGACTTTTGTTTCGTCGATACCTGAATCTGTTGTACCGAGTACTTGGAGATCGGTTGATAATCGAGAATTACGCTTTCAAGGGAAACTACATCAATTAGAAATTTTAATGCAAGATTTACGTAACATACGACCGAATAGCGAAATTTTAGAATCGACAGCTCCTCAAAGAAGAACTCAACGGAAGAAAACTACGATTAAACAATTATTTTCTGCCGCGAGTAAATTCCAAAAAAATTTAAAAAGGGGGATTTATTTAGCTTGTATTCTTTATTATGAAGATAAAGTGTTGGTTACGAACGAAGATTTTTTACCTGTGATAGAAATCGATGAAAACTTTCCGAGTTGTATTCACTCAGATCATCATTGGTTGATGAAAGTGGCGTGTGCTTGGGATAATACGAAATCGTTGAAGGCCGATATGGAGAAAAATGCTTCATCGGCGATTCACTTTCGCACCAAATTACTTTCGGCCGCGCTTCAAATGCAATCGGCCCTTTGCCTTCAAGATTTAGGTCAATTGTATTATAAGCCGCTTAAAGATTCTCAAGGCACCGTCGTGATAAGTACAGTTAATTACGTTAAAACTCCAAAAACCGTGTCCGTACTCAACTCAAGATGGCTCCCGATGAACAAAGTCGTTAAGAAATGCGTCATGAACGAGGATAACTCAATTACGGAAATTTTAATGGGATCCATACCAGAACAAATTAATTATCATCAAGTATCGAGTTTAAAATTGGGGAAGGGCTTGTATTTGGCCTTCTTGAAGATGCAGAGTTCCGTTGATTTAATTCAAGTCGTCGTTCCGGCTAAAACACCAAATATGTTACCACATTGTAAAATTAGGGATAACCCACATGTTTCAGCGTAAGCATTAATTAATTTTTAAGTATTATTTGTCAAAAAAGAAAACGGATTAGATTGAAAATTTTTTTAGGTTATATTAATTGGACAGAAAGTCTACTCACTTCAAACTTTATTTAAGCTATACTCTGTTTTTAAACCAGGAGGAGTAAACGCGAAAGTCAGATTTACACTAGGAAAAATCACCAGAAAATAACGCTAGATATTTTGGCGGTAAATTTAAATTAATAATTATTATTATTAATTTATTTACTTATTATTGTATTTATTTTCGTTTGTTATCGTCAACACTAAACATACAAATTAACATTGAAGTTATGAGTGTATTTATCTCAAAATATAATAAAGAAGGGTTTAAGAACACAAAATTTACAATAATGACACGAAACTGTCGAATTGTCAATAACCTAACCTTCAAATTCAAAATTGCCTGTGTGTGAACCTTCCTCGCATTCAACCAATCACGTGCAAGGTCAATCTGGTGACAAATTTAAAATACTCCTCCTGGTTTAAAAACAGAGTATAATTGCCAAAGAAAACTTCAAGGTATAATTAATGTTTGTAAACAAAACTAACCTTACCTAACATTCAGCGTCTGAAGACACAGGGCTAAACCCGAAACTTAAAAATATACAACTTAGCGCTGAATAACAATTAAAACTAGAACTAACACTTGCACTAGAACTATACTCTGTTTTTAAACCAGGAGGAGTAAACGCGAAAGTCAGATTTACACTGGAAAAAATCACCAGAAAATATCACTAGATATTTTGGCGGTAAATTTAAATTAATAATTATTATTTATTTATTTATTTATTATTGTATTTATTTTCGTTTGTTATCGTCAACACTATACATACAAATTAACATTGAAGTTATGAGTGTATTTATTTCAAAATATAATAAAAAAGGGTTTAAGAACACAAAATATACAATAATGACACGAAACTGTCGAATTATCAATTACCTAACCAATTCAAAATTGCCTGTGTGTGAACCTTCCTCGCATTCAACCAATCACGTGCAAGGTCAATCTGGTGACAAATTTAAAATACTCCTCCTGGTTTAAAAACAGAGTATAGTTAATAAAAGATGCTAGTGTTTTTATGTTGATAGTTTTGTTTATTTAATTTTTTTTTTAATTTTAGGGAAGAATGGGAATATTTAAAGCGACAACATCTCCCTGATATAGTCGATACCTCAACGGAGCAACAAAGAACGTTTTTAGAATTAGTAACGAGCGCCGCAAAACGTCTTTTTAATTATATGGATATCCCGTTGGAAAATGCGATAACCCACCGGCTTTACGATACGGAAATAGTCGATTTAACGGAGGAAGTTAGTTTTATAATAATTTGCCCGAGTGCCGAATTTTCTTGTTTGGTCCCAGGGCAACGAGAAATTCTACTCCAACGAGGGGATTTATTAAGCCTTCCGATCCAAGTCTTCGAAATGATCCATTTAAACACGTACCAAAACAATATCGTTCAAAAATACTCAAAATTAAATTGTTTGTTAGAATTAGACTCTGCGAATGCGAATCATTTGCACCGCGAAGCTTTCTCGAACAGCGAAGTCGCCAAAGCCAGGGAGAGGTTGGCCCAATTACAAGATTTCCAAGCGAAATTAAACTCGATTTGGAGATGTATTCGTTGGTTGATGGACGTGATTACTTTTGCGAGGGATCGAGGGACTTTTGGGATATCCGTTCGGTATATTTTGGATAAAGATAGTTCGTCGCCGAAGAATAGTTTGCTTCAAATTCCGAGTTCAAGAGATACGAAAGTAAAAAATACTCCTGGGAGGGGATCTTGGCCCGGCCCGGGGGCTGTTACAACTCAAAGCACATCATTAATAAACGAATTTAGTAAAAGTGAGCAACAATTAAGTAGTAATGAGAGCGCGTCGCAATATTTAAGCGCTTACAGTGATACTGAGTCGAGGAAGAACTCTGATAGTTACGCGAGTGTTGATTTAAACGAACGATTGGTGCCATCGAAAAGTGAAGATATGCTTTTTGCCGTTCCTTCTTCGTCTACGGCACATAGATGTCGCGCGAGCACCGTTTCGAGTGTTTCGGCAACTTCAAGTCCTTTATTAAATTTAAGACCAATGTACAGCGGTAGTTTGTTAAGTGTTAACACGTTTAATACCACGAATACTTCCGATAGTATGCATAGTTTGAGTTCGGATAGCGATGGGACGATTCCTTTGGGGAGTAGCACTCCGAGGAGGGTAAAGAACAATAATAAACAAATAGTTCCATCGAGGAGTATGACGAACATGAAGCAACACAATTTAGAGGCGAGATTTAGGCCCAAATTGGATCCTTATTTTAATAATAACTTGGAAAGTAATTTATCGAAGAGTTTAACGAATCTGAAAAACGTTTTTGACGAAAAGAAAATCGAGAACAAAGTTCCAGAACAATCTTCGAGCTCGATTAAAGAACAAGCGGGGATTTTACAAGTTTACGCTGCTTATGAAACGGGATTAGCAAGCGGGACAAGTTTAAAATTACACGTAACACCGAGAACTACAGCTCGGGAGGTTGTCGATTTAGTGGTTAAACAATTAAATATGGCCGTGGTTCTTAAAGGAAAAGATGGCCCGATTTACACTTCGGATAAATTAAGAAACTTTTGTTTAGTCGCTGTGATCGGTGCGAGGGAGAGGTGTTTACGAGATGATTTTAAACCACTTCAATTACAAAATCCGTGGAAGAAGGGCCGATTATACGTAAGACAAAAACAGGAAGTTTTAGCCGCTTTGGAACACAGCAGTAAACATACTGCAATAATATGAGGAAGGGTTATATTCGTCCAAAATCGTCGCGGGTACCAATTAATAGAGTTTTAAAAGCCAATTCGTTCCATTTTAATCAATTAATTGATTCCTAATGATAATATAAAAACGTAGAAATATTTTTGTATTATTTTCTTTTTTTAACCGATTTTTAATAACTTAGAATTAGTACAAAAAGAATGTAAATAAAAGTAAAGTTATTTAAAAAATTATTTCTAGATGTTTATGTATAAAAAAACAGGGTGAATAAGACCACGACTGATTTAAAAAAGAAGCGAATATGATGAGATATTAAATAAATAAAATTTAGGGTGCACAACAAAATTGATGTTAATTAAATATAGAAAAAAAATAAATTAATTTCGTTTTATTAATTAAATAACACCAATTTCATTATTAGCTTTAACAATTTTATTTCGTCTCGCCGCAATCGGCGACTTATTCTTTTCCGAGTCTGATTCCGATTCCGTGTGCTCCCTTTTACCACGATGTTGTTCCTCACTCACACTTTTACTCTTCCTCCGTTGCTTCTTCTCCTTATTACTATCTTTATTCAAATACTCCCCCAATTGCTTTGCGCGATGCTCCCATTGTGCATTTTGCCTTTGCACCACATCCGAATGCTTCAAAATAAACTCAGCATCCGTAGCAAGCGATAACTCCCAAACTTTATTGTGTTTTAACTTAGAAACGCCAATAAAAATCTCTTTCAATTCTTCTGCGGGGATTTTAACCAACGATGACACTTTTTTTCGTTCAACACATTCATTTTGAGTAAATAAATAAAGCTAAAAAGAAGTTAGGGAAAAATTCAAGAATCATCATGTAGCTTAAAAGTCGACAATTTTTTTAAAATTTTGTTTTGAAACCCTCGTTTTTCTTCGATGTATAACGATTGACTACCTGTTGTTAGATAGACTATGCGTCAATAGACTGTGTTAATACTAGAATACTAGACCGTAAACTAGAAACATTCGGATTTAGCCCCACGTCTCTCGAGACGGCTAAACCCGAATATTTCTAGTTCTAGGTGTAGTGTTAGTTCTAGTTTTACTGCAATAAATAAATGCAACAGTGATATTTTATGCTAACTAGCGCTACCTACCACTGTCACTACATCTAATATTATTAGACCTAAAACTAGAAACATTCAAATTTAGCCGTCTTAAGAGACGCACGGCTAAATCCGAATGTTTCTAGTTCTAGTGATTAGTGGTAGTTGTAGTTTTAAATGTTATTTCGCGGTAGATTGTGGTATAAGTGGCATCAGGTATAGATTTTAGGTTATCTTTAGTTTATAGATGGTAAACGACATTTTAGTCGTTGTGCATCGAAAACCTAAGAAACAACCGTATTTCACTAGAAAATATGTGTTTTAACCAAATGTGCTGCGAAAATGGTGCCCGCTTGACGTTGAGTTTCGGGGCACCTGTATAAGGTTAGTAGGGTCGATGACGTCACAAAAAGTAACGTCAAGTTGAAAGTTTAAAGTGATTTTTCGGTAAGTTTTACACTTTTTCGTACTTTTTTTTATTTGTAACGGCTTAATTGAGCGATTTCCCGTCGATTAAAAAAAAATTGTCGATTTTTATGCGATATGATTCTTGAATTATACCAAAGTGAGGTTATGTTTCAAAAACTTACAATATAATCTCTAGCACGACACATAACATCAGCGGGAACCCCACTAGTCGAAGAAAATGTATTTTGCGGATACAAAACTTCCGATTTAACCACCCAATTTCCCCGAACTAAAACAGCAACTTGGGGAAGCGATTTTAAAACTAATTCGGGGGTTAATCCTTCCCCCCCAGCCAAAAGTAACAATAATTGTTGAAATTGAATTATTTTTGCTAAAAAATCTCATTATTAAAACGAATTAATTTTAATAATTAATATTTACCATCTTTTAATAACAATCTGCACTGCTCCGGAAGTGGAAGCGCCCTCAACATATGCAATGACATTACGTTTGAAGGTAACGAAGGAGTTTCTGTGGCCTCTTTAATATCTTCAGGGATTAAAACGCGGATATACTCCGAGGGTGTTAAAACTTTCGCTTGGTTATGATCCTCGGTGTTTTCCGCATACAATTTCGATTTTTGTATATCGCTTAAAGTACTATTTTCTCCGTGCCAATTACATTCTATCCACGCCTCTAATTTCTTATCTTGTTCGTTAACTTCCTCCTTTTTTTTCTCGTTAACTTTCCCGAATTTAACTGTAACTTGTTTCGCCGAGCTTCCGGATGATTCCTCTTCCTCGTCCGATTCATTCACGGTTTCTTTCTTTTTCTTCCCACTTTTATCGAGGTGATGCAAAAACGGTCTTAGTTGTAAATACGTTTTAATTGGGGTCAAGTGTAATTCTCGTCCGTTAAAACAACCGATTGCATAATTATCTGATTCATTAACCGCTTTATTAGACGTAAATAAAACTTTGTCCATGATGTGATTTTGAAACACGACATTCTCGGGCTTCTTTTTATCGCTGTTTAATTCGAGATCTCGCGCTATTAATTCCGCTTTACCAACATCAAAATTAATTGATTCCACGTTTAAATCCACATCTAATTTCACTTCTTGGTTATCAGGCCGAATGTAGGCTTTACTGATACTTTGATTAAATCCGCGATTTTTTGGTTGTAAAGGATATTGGAAAACGTACAAACTATTTTCTAAACGCTTCGATAAAAAAATTGGGATCTAATAAGAAAAAACGTGTTATTAACCTCACTTTCTAATTAAAAAAAATTAACCTCTTTCACAACTGGATCATCATCAATTTTATTCTCTAATGCAGTTTCTTGCTCTTCATCCATTACCTTTTTTTATAAAACTTTAAAACTTAAATTAAACGGTGTTTATAGCATTTTCATTTCACGTTTGACGTTTCAAAAAATGAGGTTAGAAACAGCAAAAAATCCCTAAATTAAATTGACAGATGTCAAACTAAAATAACCTAAAAAAACTTTCTTCAGTAAGATGGATCCTTGGAATAATTCTTATTCGAATTCGCCCACTGAGTGTGCTCAAAAGAATTTCGAGGATGATTTCCAACCAAAAATATTCGAGAAATTACCCGATTCAGATCAATATCTAGCTTCGTTAGGTTAGTGAAATAATTCTTTTGTTGTAGAAACTTAATAAGAAACTTTTAGAGGCTAAATTGCATAAAATCAAAACTGATCAGGACGTTATAAAACAATTGCAACAAAAACGAGAGGAATGCATGAATCAACTATTAAATAATACTCAATATTCCGAAGATGTGGATCTCGAGCTGGATGAACCCATTGAAAGTTCAACCGTTTTAAGGGCGATTACGCCACAAAAACAAGCTTTAACGCAAGGAGAGATTGTTGAATTGGTTAAATACGATCAATTGAAAGAGGACGATTCCGAAGTAGAAGAAGATAATAAACTTGAATAAACAGGAGTTATTTTTAAGATAAATTATGACACCAGTTACTTTTAGATTATATATTTACGTATATTAACCGATTAAATAATAGTTATTTAAATATTCCGCGATAATAATTTAATAGTATAGTTAGTTTTTGTATCGATAGATGTCGCGTTAATTTTTTTATTGACATAAAAACATAACCTAAAAAATTTCTTTCAATATTTCGTTTATCAATTTATTGTTTTGATTTGAAGCGAATATGATTTAGAGTATAAATGGCAGAGCCGTTACTGTTCTTGTTAAAATTAGCGTGGGAATCTCGATATAGGATCCCTTTAATCATTACCATAGGGTTTATGGCTTTGGATATACGAATGCAATTTGAAATTAACGTGCAAATGAGGCGGATAAGAAGAGCTAGGACTCCACCACCGGATAACTCGCAAAACGAAGGAGATGACTCCGAGTCTGAAGGTATAATTTAACTTAATTTGTTGATCGGTCTAACTTAATCATTTCAAGATGACTCTGATTCCTGGATGACCATCGATGAGGAGGAAGAAATCGGACAAGTTAATGCAACCACATAATTAAACTATTTTGTTGTTTATTTCTTTTCGTTTATAATAAAAAAATTAAAAATTAATCATCCCAACTTTCTTCATCCTCGCATTTTGGGACTTCGACATGTAACGGAACGTTCCTTTTTATGTGAGAATCAACGAAGGTATACCTTTTTTCAGGACACGTTAGAATATGTTGTTTAAAATCACTTTCGAGTAGAAATCGATGCGATGCGTTAAAAGGACACGTAAAATGATTTGGATAGTTTTTCATACATTTTACGATGTGGGTGATGAGCCTGTCTTCGGAAACGATATGGTTTGAATTGAAGGGGCAAGGTACTCGTTTAAACGACTTTTTTAACCTAGAAATTTAAAATTAATACGGATTTATTTGAATATTGATACTTACATTTTTGGAAAATGTTTGAAATTGAGGTTATGTTTTTCTTTGTTAATTATTGCTTAATCTCTATGCTGGTAGCGCCATCTATTGGTGATATTTGTTATATTTAATTTTAATGAATTAAAGAACATTTAACCGAATTTATTAGCCTAACTTTTAAAAACAATACGGTTTTACTTAACTGTTTAATATTTACATTCGATTTTGGAGAATATTGAAAATTGTTAATTATGGCTACTTTTTTGTTAGTGGCGCCATCTGTTTGGGGTACTTCTTATATTTAAATTTTAAAGAAAATACTTATTTCTGAATGAAAAATCATATAAAATAATATTTTTTATGATTATTATTGTTTTGGCGGAATTTATATTGAATAAATTAAGTTAAAAGGGCGGTTTAACTTTAACTTTAGGAATCAGTCGAACCTCAATCACCTGTCAAATTTCAAACATCCAAATGTCATCAACCTCGTGTATTTCATAATTTTTCTCATTATTTCAGGCATTAAATTCACGTCGAGTAATATTCGTTAACTTTCTAATGCCCCTTTTCCTCAACCGTATCTATTTCAGACTTTCCGTAGCGACCTACGTCACTAAACCTAATTCTAACCTGCTTAAAATCCTCGCCGAGATGCCCAAAGATCCCAAACACATCGCCGATGCACAAAAAAATCGTAAAAAAATTAAGGAGCGAAGCTCGAAATATGTTCCCGGAAAAGTTACGTTGCAGGTACTCGGATCGGGCGCTGAAGGCGCTCCGAGGAGTTTGTATGTGTTTTCTGATCAAGCCAGGTAAAATTTATAAATTTTATATAAATTTTTTATTAATTGCTTAATTTTTAGGTATTTATTTAATTGCGGTGAAGGTACCCAAAGATTAGCTCATGAACACAAAATGAAATTAGCTAAATTAGAGCATATATTCATCACCCAACCAGTTTGGAAGAACATTGGAGGTCTTCCTGGTACCGCTTTAACGATACAAGACGTTGGGGTACCAAAAATAACCCTACATGGTCCTCAAGGACTCGATGAATTATTTGTAGCCACAAAACGCTTCGTTGTTATAAAGAATTTACACATTAAAATGGCAAAGTGCGATGAAAACAAAGAATTTTCTGACAATGTAATGATCGTACAATACATTCTTTTGGAACGAAAGAAAAAAATTGAACCTAAAATTGAGGATATTGCCGAAGAAATTGATTTAGATTCTGACTTATCAGGTTTTAGTAAAAACACTCAAGCTGGGTCATCGATGGAAACCGTAAATAAGAAATTTTATTAATTTTAAAGCTTAATTGAATTAAATTTTTATTAGAGTGATGCAAGTACTTCGACAAAATCACCAAAAAGGCGACGTAGAAGTCGGCGGAGCTCTGAATCCGTTGGCCGATACAGCACACCGGATGTTGTTGAAGACAACACGGATTATTACGCTCATGAACGTAAGCCAAAACGTAAACATAGAGCCCGATCCCATTCAGGTATCCCCTCCTATTTATTTGGCCCCTTATTTATTAATTAAAAACATAAAGATAATCTTATTTTATTTCATAATCTAACTTTTTAATTATGATTGTCAAATCTGTCAAATTATTTTTTTTTTGAGGTTATATTTATAATTAATTTAATTATTCATTTTTATCGAAAAAGAATATAAAATAGCGAAAAATAATAAGAAAAATTGTTATTAAACTCATTACAAATGAGTTTATTAATAATTTTAATTTAATCATTTTAGTGAGTGGATCTAGAGAACCCCCCGAAAGAATTTCAGAAAGTTCCCAATTATTATTAAGCGAAACCAAGGAGCGGGGTGTTTCAATGGCTTATATTTGTCGATTACAACCTCGTCCTGGTTCATTAAACCTGGATAAATGTGCTAAATACGGTGTTCCACCCGGGCCGTTATTAGGAAAATTAAAAAATGGGGAAAATGTAACTTTAAATTCGGGTGTTGTTGTCCAACCAACTGACGTTTGCGAACCCGACGATCCAGGACCTATTTTTATCGGTTAATTCTCGAAAAATTAAAATTTTGAGGTAATATAATTTTTTTTATTTTAGTTATTGATTGCCCAAGTGAAGAATATTTAGATTCTTTATTAGAAAATATGAAATTAAAGAGGCACCAAAAATACGCCGAATGTACAAACGATTGTGCTCACTTAGTGGTGCATTTCACTCCAAATTCGGTTGTTTGTCATCCGAAATATCAAGCATGGATGGAAGATTTTCCTCCGAGTACGCAACATTTAATTTTAAATGAGAAAAATACTTGTATGGGGAGTATTGCTGTTCATAGGATTCAATATAAACTTAATTTGTTAAGTAGAACTATGTTTCCGATTTTGGGTGATAAAGGAACCCAAGTTTTAAATGAAGAGGTAATTAATTCTATTATTTATAATCTTTTTTAAGTGAAATGCGAATGATTCATGGCTTAAAACTGTAGGAAATCTCATTTAGACGAAAAGATTTTATTAAGGGAGGCAACTAAATATACGTTCGCATTTCTCGTATTTTAATAAGATATAAAAGAATTTGTTTATTTATTTAAAGAGCGTAAATCCTGCTTTTAAGAAACTAAAAACTGAATCGATTGATTCTTTACCATCAAGCGAACAATCCGAATCACAAATCGAAAAGTTATCTTTCATGTCAACGTCGAAATCGGTTTTAACGACATTTTCTGATGATTGGATTCAACCGAATACTTTATGTTCGTTTCATTTAAGACCTCGTAAAGGACTTGATAGGTAATGAATAAATAACTTAAATTAATTTTTTTGATAGATTAAAAATTGGTTGGTAATTAATTTTAAGTTGGTACTAAATTTGACATATTTGATTTTAACCACATTTCTTATTTTATTTACTTTTTTTTTTTAATTAAGATCTGGTGAATTGAAGCTGGTCCCTTCCACTTACATCGATGAAACTATTGAGGTTGAAGGTTTCCGAAGTGAATTGCAAAAGTTACGAATTAATATTTTGAATCAAAGTCTTGGGTTGATTCCGAGACCATATCCGAAACTTTTATTTTTAGGCACCGGATCTTGTATACCAAATAAAACAAGAAATACAAGTGGGATATTATTGGAAACTAGGTTATTTTTTTCTATTTATTTATAAATTAAATTAATTAATTTCTTTATTTTAGTGACGAATGTAAAATTTTGGTTGATTGTGGAGAAGGAACTTATGGACAACTTTTACGATTTTTCGGACCGGAAAAATCTTTGGAAATTTTAATAAACACTCAAGCGATTTATATCTCACATTTACACGCCGATCACCACATCGGTTTAATTGGATTCTTATTGGGACGAAGAAAAGCTTTAAACGAATTAAAAATTGATGCCCCTCCGATAATCCTTTTTGCCCCAAAACAAATTTTAAATTGGCTCGTTTTTTACGATCGTTGCTTTGAGTCATTTGCAAACGATTTTGATTTAATTCCCAACGGAGATTTACTTCTCGAAGAAGAAGTTATCTCAAAAGATTTAAAAGAAAGTATATTGAAACGATTAAATCTAACGAATATAAATACGGTTTTAGTGAGACATTGCCCCAATGCTTTCGGAGTCTCGTTCACTCACAGCGACGGTTATAAAGTCACTTATTCCGGTGACACCATGCCCTGCCCAAACTTGGTTAAATTAGGGAAAGATTCCGATTTGTTAATACACGAGGCTACGATGGAAGATGAATTAGCAAGCGAAGCTGTTCTTAAAATGCACTCAACCACGTCTCAAGCAATTTCAATTGGCCAACAAATGAATGCTAAATACACTTTATTGACGCATTTTAGTCAAAGATACGCTCGGTTACCGAGGTTTAATGAAAATTTTAAAGAAAACGTTGGAATTGCTTTCGATAATATGCAGTTGAAGTTGGATGAAATACATTTGGTTCCTTTATTCTATCCTGCTTTAAAATTAATGTTTGCTGAGCATTACGAAGGATTAGAAAATAAAGCGATTAAGAGGCAGTTGCGAATTGAACGGGAAAAATCTGTTGATCGTAGGTCGTTACAGAAAGTTTAAATTGTTAATTAAACATTTTCAATAAAATATTTTAAAAGTAATTTGACAGTTGAGGTTAGATTAAGTGGCGACATCTCTTAGTGCCATTATCACTTGGTTAGTTATTCTTATTTTGTTATTTAATTTATCATTTAATTATTAACTTAATAATTAATTTAATTTGCTTTTTTAGTAAATTTGATGATGTTAATTCGTTTTTTTAAATTAATATTAATTTTTGGTGTTATAAGCGCCATCTATTTGGTCGATTTCCCAACCTAACCTAAGTTTTACAATTGACAGCTTATTTTGACATTTTTTTATTCAACTTATTCAGAATGCAAAATAAAACTAAAAAATTCGCGTTAAATTTTAATCAATTTCCTTTATAACTTTCTTTATTACAACAAATTTATTACCTTTAATTTAAAATTTAACTTAATTAAGTATTAAATTAGCACTTTAACTAATAGATGGTGCTATTTTTATCTAAAAATTAGTCACCATTATTACCGATAACTCAAAATGAGCAACTCCCTCACGATTAGAAGTCGTTTGTAGTTGTGGAGCTTTTTCCGGGGGCTTAAAAACGGTTAATCGCAATCTTTTCAACCGGTTGTAACCATGATTTTATTAGAAATCAATAACAGAGTTGTGGAGGAAACCTTAACGGTTAAGATTAAGAACGCACAAGCAGGGTGAGTAAAATTAGGTTGAGCTTATCTCAACATATTACTCATAAAATAATCTAATAATTTTCCTTAAACTTCGTTTTTTACGTTTATTTATTTTTAGGGCTAAAAATGAGTATATTGATGTTACGGTGGCCGATTTCGATGGAGTCTTATACCATATATCAAATTTAGATGGCAACAAAAGTAAAATTAGGGTAAATTTGAATCAAAATAACAATAATATTTTAATTTTTTCCTTTAAAATTAAATAGGTTAGTATATCCTTAAAGTTTTATAAAGAACTTCAAGAACATGGAGCCGACGAACTTTTAAAACGCGAATACGGGCCAATTTTAATCAATCCCGAAGACGGTTACAACGTATCGGTGTTATTAGATTTGGAGAACATCCCCGATAATTGGGCGGAAATTGTTAAAAAAATCGGACTTTTAAAACGAAATTGTTTTGCTTCAGTTTTCGAAAAATACTTTGATTTCCAAGAGAAAGGCGATGAAGGCCAAAAAAGGGCCGTTATTCATTACCGAAGCGATGAAACGATGTACGTTGAAGCGAAATCCGATCGAGTTACGGTAGTTTTTTCGACTCGTTTTCGCGATGAAGACGATGTTATAATTGGGAAAGTTTTTATGCAAGAATTAAAGGAAGGTTTACGAGCTTCACATACAGCTCCCCCAGTTTTATTTAGTCACCGTGAACCACCCCGAGAGCTTCAAAACACTGACGCAAAAGTTGATAATAATGTGGGTTATGTAACTTTTGTGTTATTCCCGAGACACACCGCAAGAAACACGCGGGATAACACGATTAACTTGGTGCATATGTTCCGTCATTACTTGCATTACCATATTAAGTGCTCAAAGGCGTATATTCATAGTCGTATGAGGGCGAAGACGAGTGAATTCTTAAAGGTTCTTAATAGGGCTCGACCTGAAAATAAGAGTACTGATAAGAAAACTATTACGTAAGTATTTTAAAAAAAGATGAGGTTATGTTGTTATATTGTTTTTTGTGTTTTAGGGGTAGAACGTTTGTGCGAAAAGATTGATGATAAGGAATTTGTTTCTATGTAAGAGCTCAAAGTAATCAAGAAATAATGTTTTAAAATAGAAATTAAAAACGAAAATAAAATTACTGCCTTTTTTTCTGATTATATGAATCCGAGAAAAACTTTCCGCACATTAGGATATTTATTAGCTTTTTTAACAAGAAAAATGCCTTTTTTATGTAAATTTAATATTTAAATATAATTTTTTTTAATAAATAAAGATATCCGCACAATTCCGATTTCAATATAAATATTAAAAAAAACGTTTAAATTAATGAAGAGTTGTATTATTAATAATAACTAATGTATAAGGAAACATTGTATACTTTTGATCCTTAATTTTAACTTCGGAAAAGACTATTGTAAATAAATTTAATCAAAGAAAAAATATTTTTTTTTAATTATAACCTCAAAAAAAAATTTTAATCAACCTCAACAGTCAAATTTGTTTAAAATATTTTATTAAAAACATTTAATTAATAATTCAAACCACATAACAATTACTACCTAATAATATTACAGATTATTATCTATTTTAGCAGATTATATTAATTGAAAAAATTAATATAATCTTAAATAATTAATAAATTAATATAATAATTAAAAATTCTTAAAATCAATTAGTTCTTGTTTTACCAAATTCCATCTATTTGGAAGAAGAAAACGAAAAGTTGGATTTCGTATTAGAAGATTAATTAATTAAATTTTAAATGTAAATTAATTTATATTAGCGAATAAACTTAAAATAAATTAATTAAAATAATTTTGTTATAATGCGTTAATTTTGGGGATATAAGCACCATCTATTCGATAAAAGTGGAACTAATTGCTTTTTAAATTTTTTAAAATCAATTTAGTTAATATAGTTTAATGAATGTTTGAACTTAACTTGATAATGTTATTTGGTAGTAATTGTTGTAATGTGATATTTATATTTATTTAAGATTATTTGTTTATTATTATCTTTATATTTCTAGATAATTTAGAATATTAAGTGGCGCCATCTATTAGTGCTATCACTTATTTACTTATTAATCTTATTTAATTTTTAATTAATTAATCAGTTAATTGTTAATTAATATCTGTTTATTAATTCAATTTGATTATTGATTTAGTCGAATTAAATTGATTTTCTTAATTTGTTAATTTTTAATTAAATCGTTTTAACTAAATTTGTAATAAATATAATATTATAAATTGTATAAATAAACTAATTTATTTTGGGGTAATAAACGCCATCTATTATTTAATAGAAAAACTAATAAATTAAGTTGATATTTTGAGATACTTATTACATTTTGGATTTAATTGGATTAAGTAATGTTAATAATTTTGATTTCGTTTTAATTTTTTGTAATGTAACGATATGAATATTTAAATTTAGCGCTAATAAAGTCGCACCCGGTCGGGTGGTACGAACTGAAACGAAAGCGATTCCGAAAATAACCGATCTGTCATAAGTTGAGATTTCTTCATTGCGGCAAGTTCCGTGGTCGTGTTTCAAAACGGTGTTCGAATTGGGGCCTTTGCCCCCGCGCTCATGCCTAGCTCATGATAACGATGAACGCTCTCGTTGGAGCGCGCGAACGCACGGTTTATTACGAGCTGATTTAGTGTTTCGCGAGTGCCCCAAGGACAGCAAAAGCCGGCAAACTGGCGACCAACAACAGCGACAGCAAATCAAACATGGCTTCGTCCGCCAGGATCGTCCAGTGTAATTCGGCGTGGTTTCAAAAAAAGATCAATCTTAGGCCGCAGCACCGGGGCGTACATCTGGTTACCGAAGAAATCCTTAGACAGATACCGGAATTGTCGCAATTCGCGATGGGACTCTGCCACGTACAGAGTAAGTTGTAAAGCCGACTCTAAATCTTCTTTACCAAGATTTTTTCAATTTATTTTGGGGTCGATTCATGCATATTTCAACGTCTCGGCCTTCGAAGGTCGTATCGACTGAATGATTATCAACCACTTCACGTCAAAATATTTTATTTTTATTTCTCATTTTTCTTAATTCTTAACCCTCATTTTGACATTGACATTTAATCCTAACCTAACTTTTTGTAAAATTAAAACAGTTTTGCACACATCGGCCAGTTTGGCATTAAATGAAAGTTGGGACCCGGATGTTCGTGATGATATGGAGATGATGTTAAATAAAATCGTTCCCGAAGACGTCCCATATCGGCATTCATGCGAAGGACCCGACGATATGGTAAATTAATGGATTAATTTGATTTTTAATAATAAATGAATTTATTTTTTAGCCCGCCCATGTAAAGGCGTGTTTTTTGGGTTCATCGTTGACGATTCCTATAACGGAAGGGAAATTAAATTTGGGTACGTGGCAGGGTGTGTGGTTATGTGAACATCGGGACCGTGCGGGTTCTCGGAAGCTTTTGATTACGCTCAATGGATGCCTGCGAGATTCGACGTGTACGCCTCTGTCTCCCGTTAGCCCCATGGCCAGCACGAGCAGTTAGGGGCACCACTCGGGGCATTCGCTTTCCAAGCATTAAGCCCCGAGTATAAACTCGACTAAATACTTTTTTTCCAAATTGGACTCAAAAATAAATTGAACAAGATAAAAAGAGTACTGTAAGAAAAGTGCGTGCGCCCCCTTAAAAATATTAAAATGGACTTAAAAAATCTATGACAATATGTACATAGGTGGTTAAAGTAACCCTTTTTTTTATTATCTTAGTTTAAGGATTTGAATTTCTTTTATTAGAATGTTATTTTTATTTTTTGATTAATCCTCCATTAAAACAGATAAAAGAAATAAAGAATTTGTATATAATATAAATATTATTATACGGGTTGTGTATAGTACGGTAACGGACTGAACCTGGTCTGTCTTCCTTTAGCAATATCGTAGATTTTGAAGAGCCCCAAGCATAAAACACCTCTCACATGGAAATGTAAAACCTACAATTGTCGATACAACGACTTTGAATCAAGAAAATTTACAAAAATTAATCACACAGGGTACGAACGTGTATGACTGTATTAAAGAATGAGTATGGAGGCCCCCTTTTTTCGAAAATAAAGTTTAGACCGCTCGGGAATAAATAAATAAAGTTTATTTTGTAAATAAAGCAGCATCGTTTAACAAATTATTAGATATTTATAATTGGAATCATTGACAATTAAATGACGGTTAAATATTAAAGTGTGATTAGGTATCCAGAATTTTCTTTTTATTTAAATAATTCTCGAGATTAAATTGTTTATACCAAAAAAATGTTGAATTAAACATGATCCAGTATAAATATCTTATAAAATGGTTCTTCTCACGCATCGTTTTAAAGCACGTTGTTGAGCCGCACACAACATAAAAAACACTTAAACACACACACAAAGTAAGAAAAATGCATAAAATTAAAATAAAACGCGCGAAATGGTTGTTTATATTAAAATCATTAAAAAAAAAAAATGATAAAAAGTAGTACTCGGGTTTTTTACTCGCGATATTTTGTACAGGTTTTTTGTATTTTGTGTAAAATAGAAGGAAATAAACGGAGTTGTGTCGCGTAATTTCAAATAAACCAACCAAAAGATAATTTAAATAATTAATAACAAAAAAAAGGAATTGAAATAATTTTTTTTTGAGGTTATGCGACACTTTTGAGGTTGTAATTTTTTCAAATTCAATTTGGGTTAATTTTTCGGGATAAAACACAAAAGACGTCCATGCAAGTCCATAAGAAATAAATAAATCCCGATTTTCTTTAATTATGATAAACATAACCTAACTTTTTAAAACCTTGCTTGTTAAAAAACACAATCACAAATAATCACTGATCACTACCTCCTTTTCTTTTCAAACTTTTAGTTCTAATCATTTTAAATTAAACTTTGTGCTTTTAAAAAAAAATACTCAAACACGAAACACTAAAAATCCAAAAAAACTAAAATAAATCATCAATCCAAAATGATGGCATTAATTGTTGCTTAGTAACGAGAAATGTTTAGATCGATTAACGGAAGTAAAATTTTTAAAAAATTAAAAAGGCGGGAGATTTGAACGTTTCCAATAAAATTAGAAAAAAAATGCCTTTTAATCGTTTAATTTGTGTCTTTTCGTAATAATATTAATAAATATAACAGCTTCCACCGTTGTTTATTTGATTATAAGTGCCTATTGTTAATTCCAAGTGAAGAAATTAAATAATAATAAAGAAAGAGAGCGTTTGCGAAATGAGAGTTAAATAAATAAATAAAAATTAATTTAATTTTACACAATTTTTAAAAATGTACACCACCGGCAAAAATACGGCGATTTTGATTTAGTTTCGAGCCGCTTTTTTGTGTGGAAAATGCCTTTTTCCGTCCCGAGCATAAAATAAGTAAAAATTACCAAAAAAAGAAAAAATTAAATGTACATAGGGGTTAAAAAAAATTGGCGGCAGTGTTTTTAAAATTGAGCTGTATTTTTGCCTTCGTCCTTAATTTCGAGCTTGAGGTTAAATAAACAAATGTTGCGCGAAAACTGTAGAAGCGGTGAGAAATGAATTAATTAATTAAGAAATTAATTAAAAAAAAGAAACTATAGTGAAATTTCCCTAACTCGAATCTATAAGGGAGCGAAAGAAAACTTTGAGTTAGAGAGAAATACTCTAATACTTTAATAACTTTCAAATACTTCAATAAAAATACACAACAATCTAGCGCTGAATAATTATTAAAACTAGAACTAGAAAGTTTCGGGTTTAGCACTATATATAAACTAACACTATACCTAGAACTAGAATCATTCGGGTTTAGCCATTTTTAAAGCGTTTCTAGTTCTAGATACAGTGTTAGTTCTAATGAAAGTGCAAATGTAAAACTAGAACTAACATTACACGAACTGACTTTCTAGTTCTATTTCTAGTGTTAGTTTAAATTTTTATTCAGCACTAGTTCGAATCATAAAATCACTGGAATAAAAAATAGTCGCCTAACAGAACGGATTTAAATAGTTTATTCTTTGGAAAATTCGGCATAATATAGAAGTTAATAAGTAATTCCATAGTAAACTTATTGAAACTCGTCGTAGAGAGATAAATAAATACTTTTGAAACCTGGTGAAACGCTTGAGTTTACGAAAACTGTTCGACTTAGAGAATAATTCAAAATATAAAAGTTCGAATTTGGGGAACTTCACTGTAGTTTATTATGATCATTTCGTTTTCTTTAATAATACACTGCCACTGTAAATAATTTATTCCTCCAATTGAACTTTGATCGTAACAAATACGACCCGATTCTTTCGCGGATATCATCATAGTAACATTTAAAAACATTTTCTTTTGATTTTTTTCGAGCGAAAGAACCGGGAAAATGGTTCAAAGTTTGATGTCACACGTATGTACTGAGTACCACTACGAGAAAATTAAATTTAAATGAAAAAAAATTAATAAGATAATTGGGGTTACTGACTGTATTTTACAGTCTGATTTGAGTCTATACTGTACCCGGTAGCATTATTTGCAAAATAAAATAATATTAATACTAAAAAAAAAGTTTTTTAATTTTTACCTGTTATTTTCGGTTATTTAAATGTCATTTTGACATTTTAAACTGTCAATAATAAAGATTAAATTTTAATTTAATTAATATTTTTTTGTTTGATAATGTCTAATTTAATCTTAATTTATTATTTTAATATTTTAGCGATTCAATCTTCTTTTAATTAATAAATAACAATTAACATTGCAACAAATACTTTTATTTATATACAAGAGATATCGCCACTATAGACCAAAAAATTAAACACGACAATAAATTTTTTTGCATGTTTTCTAATAATATTTAATGTGCAATTAAAATAAAATCCTTTTATTATAATGATTGTGATGCGGGTTTAATCTTAATTCATTATTGTTTATATATAACATCATTACTTCTCATTTAGGTATATTTTCTCAATGTTTTTGATAGTAAGCGCCATCTATGTTGCCAACAATTTAATTTAATTTATTGATTTTCTAAACTCAACTAATTAAACAATTAATTAATACTAACATTTTAATGAATATTTTTTTTTGTTTTTTATTAATAAAAATTAATTATAAATTATTCTTAATTTAATTTTTAAATGGTTGGTTGCTGTGGTTGTGTTATTGATAGCGCCATCTTTAGGATGCAAACGAAGAGAGCCACGTCATATATCGCCGCATAGAGGTGGTTCGTTCGAATGGTTTTTTGCATTAAATTCGGGCCAAAATGAACATTTTTCGACTAACGGGCGATTTGTCGCATCTCTTAGCCATAATAATATTGCTCAGGAAAATATGGAAGTCGAGGTCGTGCGCTGGTGAGTACAAATTAACCCCGATCCGCGCGATTTACCCGAAGCCATCAAAACCCCGGGTTTATTGATATTTTCTCTTTGTGTTATTATTTACCCCTCAATTTGACAGGTAAAACCGAGCGAAAATTGTATAAAATACTCTATATTTCAGTTATACATGCCTTTTTAATCAATATTCTTTAAAAAGATCAAGTTAAAATGAGGGTTAAATTAAGCGTACGTGGACATGATGATGTACAGTGTCAAAAAAAGATAATCGTACATCTTTTTTAGGTTATGTTAAACGTCAAAATTTTTGTTATATTATTTTGATTTATTTAGGAATATCTGGAAAATCCCAACTACTTTTTGCAATTGTGTATACGACGAGATACTTGGATTTATTAACGACGTACGTTTCGTTGTATAACACTTTAATGAAACTCGTCTTTATTGCGGCATCTTATGCGACGTGTTACTTTATTTACATGAAATTTAAAGCTACCTACGACCACAATCATGATACATTCAGAATTGAGTTTCTCCTCATCCCAGCCGTTATCTTAGCGTTGTTGATTAATCATGATTTTACGGTTTTGGAGGTGAGTTTGATTTGAAAGTGGGGTTATCGGGTTTTAATTAAATTTTTTTAAGGTTTTATGGACTTTCAGTATTTATTTAGAATCGGTGGCTATTCTTCCGCAACTTTTTATGGTTAGTAAAACGGGCGAAGCTGAAAGTATCACCTCGCATTATTTGTTTGCGTTGGGTTCTTATCGCGGTTTGTACATTCTTAATTGGATTTATCGTTACTTCATGGAGGATCATTACGATTTGATTGCGATTGTTGCCGGGGTGGTTCAAACCGTTTTGTATTGCGATTTCTTTTATTTATACATTACGAAAGGTGGGTACAAATTTTGTTTTTTTTTTGTAAAATTTAATTTGTTAAATATTTTAGTGCTACGTGGGAAGAAATTGCAGTTACCTGCTTAAATCGTTTAAATGTACAAAGCATAATTGGTTTCTTTTTCATTTCTAAGGACTTTTTAAGAAGTTTTTTTTTGTAACTGTTGTTTATCTTCTGTTCGATTGTAATAATTAATAAATTTTTAATTAAATAAGATCTTTCAATAACTTGTGTACTCTAAAAGCCAGTATAGTGAATAAATAACAGCGTTTTTAAGCAATTTTTTATGAATGTACAATGTATAGCTGTGTATAGATAATTTATTGCATAAACATAACCAAATTTATTAGATTAACTGATGTAGTTGTAATAAACTCCCACTTTTATTAAAAACCATTTTCATTTCATGTAAAACTTCTTTAATAAAAAATAAATTAAAAAATTGTTTAATTTTTCAAATTACATTAACCTCAATTGATTTGACGTAATTGAGCGTATATTTGGTTGCCTACACAAATAAATTAATTAAATCGTAGTAAACGCTTTTACATCAGTCATTTTCAATTTTTATTATTACCTGAAAATTTTTTATGATTTTCCTAAATTTCGGGTTAATTTTTTCCACAAAATGGTGAGATCGAGCGGAAAATCCAGATCGCCAACACCCCGTTCACCAAGTACGACCCAAAAGAGGCAATATGGGAGGTAAGAACGTTTTAAATTTCCCCCCAAAAACAATCCTACCAACCACCATAAACACTTACCATAAATAACCTAACCTATTTATTTAACAATAATTATATCCCTTATTATATCTCCCCGTGACTCAACAAATTTACAAAATCTAAAAATAATAAACTTTGGGATTAAGTCCAAAAATGTATCACAATGACGTTCAATATAAATATCTGGGCCAATCTAAGAAATCCCCAAATAAACCCATCTCTTTCTACCAACCGATTAAAATCATCGAAATTTCCCCGGCCACGTCGAAAATTGTCCAGATAAAGATCACGTGTTCCAGAAACTTCTATAAATCCATTATAAGAGGGCCGTTTTTTAGATATCTTGCGTAATTCTAGTCCTGTCATTTAACGACTTAAAAGCCAGTTTTTTCGCGTTTAACCGTTTTTAAAGTGTTTAATAATAATGCCGAGACGCGGACGATCAAGTAGCCCAACTCCAAGGGCTGCACCTACTCGATATTCACCACCCCCGAGGTAAAAATCACAAAAAATATTTGACATAACCTCAAATTTAAGATAGTTTTTCTGATTAAAAAAAATGTTTGTTTTAGTACTACATTACCTGCTAGAGCTGCCCCGCCTCCTCCAGCTCCGATGCAAGCTCCCGCAGCTGCAGCTCCTCAACAACCAGGTCTTTTCGGTCAAATGGCTGCAACGGCTGGTGGTGTAGCAATTGGATCTGCTGTTGGACATACAATCGGACATGCATTAACTGGTAAGTAAATCTTATTATTTCAATTAATTGTAATAATTTACATTATTTGTTTTTAGGTGCTTTTAGTGGTGGTGGTTCAAGTCAACCGGAACAACAACAACAAGCCCAACAACCCGCTCAACAGTATCATCATGATGGTTCTGAACCGACGGGACCTTGTGCTTGGGAAATTAAGCAATTTTTAAATTGTGCTGCAACCCAATCTGATTTAACGTTATGTCAAGGATTTAACGAAGCTATTCAACAATGCAAACTTAAGAATGGAGTATAAATGGTCAAAGGAATATAGAAACAGTTAGCATTAATCGTTATTAAAAATTCTTAGATAAAATGAAGTAGTGCTTATTAATTGGGAAATGATAATAAATTTTGAGTAAATGGGAATGTAGAAAATAAAGAGAATGTTTGTTTTTCCAACACAATTTTGATTTATTTATTGTTAGAAAGGATTTTTTTTTGATATTGACGTTTGTAGTTTAGAAAATAATTGATAGATGGCGCGGTTTAGCGAGTGAAGATATAAATTTTATTTTTAATAAATTATTAGATGAAGCGATTTTGTTTGATTTTATTAAAGAGGGATTGTAACAACGCTTTTTTTTCCCTATAATCATTAAAGCGTGTTAAGATTTTTATTTATTCATCAAAAAAAATTTTTTCTTATATAAAGCTATTTTTTATTTGTTTGCTTTAAATCAATGTTATAATCAAAATGAAGAGAGCTTATTTGAATTTGCTTTATGGCTGTTTAAGTTTTTGCGGATTTTGGCCACCCGATGGTTCCGAAACGATTTATGCGATAAACATGAGAGTTTCTATAATTGTTTATACTTACCACGTTTTTGGAGTTATCTCTTATATTGTTAACATAGCTCCAGGTAAATAACGAATAAATTGATTTTAATTATTTTATTAAAACATTTAAATTAGATTCTAGCGTTCCGGGAGGTGAAAAATTAGAATCTCTCTTTGTAGCAGCGGGATTATTTCAAATGCTGATTAATTGCACGGCGATGTTTAAGCAACGTCACAAAATCAAACAACTTTACGCGATTTTGGAAAACTTTGAGAACTATGGAATCCCGGAAAACATAGCAACAATAGCTTTCATCATAAACATGATTTCTGTCTTTTTTGTATGTTATTGCGTTACTGGGGGATTCTTTGTTGCTTTATACCCGGTTTATGACTACGAAAATTGTATGTGGAAGGCTGAGTTATCAAACAAAACGATTTTATGTGGATTTGGAACCAAAGTTTCTTACCCCTACGATATTCAAGGCGGATTAGTTTACCTTATTCACGTCGCAATTGAGATATACACAATCTGTTTTTCCTGTTCTGGTGGTGCAATCATTGTTAATTGTACTCTTGGAGCTTTTGAATTCATAATTTTAAGAATCAATCAGTTAAAGAATATGTTGGATAAAGCTTTTGAGACCAACGATCGACTTGAACACAAAAAACGATTTCGAGAATGCATTATATTTCATATTTACATCATTGAGTAAATTGAAAAACTAAAAAAAAATCAAAAAAATAATTTTTAATTTTTAGGTTAGTTCAAATTACCAATGACTGTTTTGTTACGGTAACTTTCCCAGCTTTAGTTTATTACAGCATTGTAATCGGGACCACTTTAATGGCATTTCTAACCGTATCTAAAACAATTTTTTAATAAATTAATAAATAAATTTTAAATTTTTTTAGAGCCACACCATAATCTCATTTTTGAATTTATGCGGATGGGGGCTTGGAGTTTACATTCTGTGCTTAACAGGACAAAGAATTCACGATTATGTAGGTGATTATTAATCAAAAATCATTTTTAACCTCTCCGTTTTAGAGTTTATCAGTTGCCGATAAGGTTTATGCCATCGAATGGTATCAGGCTGATCCAAAATTGCGAAGAGACATTTCTATCGTGTTGTGTAGAGCTCAAAAACCTTTAAAGTATGAGTGTGGGATTCTCGGAGATTTTCATTTCGTCACATTTAATAATGTATGATTCAATTTATTGATTGCAATGAATTAATCTTGCTTGTTTTTGTAGATTATGTCCACTGGGTATAAATTTTCGACTCTAAAAACGGGTGTTGGTAATTAATACTATTTAAACATAAATTAATTAACACTAAAACATCTGAATTGTGTTAAAAAGAATGTTACAAAGCGGTTATACATAACCTCACATTCTTAAATATGCAACCAATTGTGCACATCTCAAATTTTTATTTAATAGTTTATTTCTAATTATTAAATTATTGTTAATAATTAAAAAATTATCAAATTTAAACTTCACTTAAATTATTAAAACGTTTTTACAATAAATAATAAAGTATTGAAAATTGTTATTGGCACGAAACGGTTATATAACCTCACATTTTTTAGTATGCAACCCATTATGCATATCTCAAATTTATATTTGTTAGTTTAATTAGTGTAATTATTGTTAATAATTAAATAATAATCAATTTAAACACTTATTTAGTATCTCTAAAACGTTTTTGCAATAAATAATAAAGTATCGCAAATTGTTTTGATTATACATAACCTCAATTTTTTGACAGTTTATTTATAATAATTAAATTAATAATTTATAAAATTATTTATTTTAAGGGTTTAAAAAGGAACTCATCAAGTTTAAAAATATTTAATAACTTAAAAATCACAATTTCGACTAGAAATAATCCCCTACTATTTACAACAATAAAATTAATCACAACCAAAAATTAATTATTTAAAATAATTAATAAAAAAGAGAACATTCCATATTCACAATAAAAGGCAGTGTTTTTATCTTTTAATCTCAAAGAAGACAAATTGAATTTAAAGTCGCATTTAATCGCGTTTACCGGTAAGAATCTTAACGATATTTTGAATCGGTTTCGAATTAAAAATAAAAACGGAAAAAATCGCCCCAATCGTGGGGCCTAACCAATAAACCAACATGTGTTCTGGTATGGTGTTACCTTTGCATCCGTATTTTAAAGAGGTTGCGAGTGCGGGATTAAAATACCCCCCAGAATAATTAAAAGCAGCAACGACCATAAGCGTGCCGATGAAAGCGTCCAAAATGTTACCCATTCGCGAGTTAGTTTCGCCTAAAATCCTCGAGAAAATCCTACAAATACACGTTGCGATTCCCTCGATTATGGAACCTAATATAACGGAAACTTGAAGATCCGTCGAGCATTCCTCGAAAGCTCTACCTTGGTGTGTTTCAACTAACTCTAAAGACCATAGTATTTGAATGTATCTAAATATGGATAAGCCACCTAAAATTTGGGCCCCTATCACTAAAAATCCGATGAAAATGTTGCGTTTCCGCTCAAAAATTTCTTCGATTGGAATATAGGGACACGCCGAGGAGTCCTCCCAATTAAACGACCACCACACCGTTAATAAAAATAGGAATAATCCGTACATAACAACGCCATAATTATCAGCAACTAAAAATTAAACACTAATTAGTTTAATCTACATCAATTTTGATTTTTAATGTTTGTGTACTTCTTAGTCGTTTTTAAACAATCAATTTTTATAAAAACAACCCTTACGTACAAAATTATTTTAATTTAGGCTATTTTATACTCAATTGTACGATTTTATTGATAAATTTATCGACAATCGTCTGGTGTAGCCATAATTTTTTAAATCGTGCTCGCTATTTTACCGACATTCTATACTCGGTTGCATATTTTAGTTAAAATCAAAATATCAAAAAAAAAATATTTTTTTTCTTACCTATGATTAATTCAAAACAAGTCGCGCATAATTCGGCCGTTGCAATAAATTCTAAAACTAATTGTCTAACTAACCCATCTGCAAAACTGTTTTTAATAAACCGTCGTAAATGCGAAATAATCGCTTCCGTTAAAACGATGTAGAATACAGAGATCACCAACGGATTTAGTCCAAACAAATTGGTTTTGCTACTACAAATTTGGTTTAAATTAATTATTGAAGATTAATTTAATGTTAATACCTGTATCCGATGATTTTGTATCCCTTTAAAGTTTTGTAAATTTGATTGAGCGTCTTCATGTTTTAAATTGAAATTAAATTAAAAGTACGGAATTATTTTGTGCGTTTTTGGCTACGCTTGTTTTAATAATGAAATAATTTCAAAGTCTGGCTAAGCATTGGGCTATTTTTAATGCATAGAAAAACTGTCCCGTGCCTTGGTATTATTATTTTTAGAAGCAATTTTGACCTACGCGTCTCATTGCTTTAAAAAGTAATCAAATAACACGAATAAGTCATCAACAATAATAATTAATTAATTGATAAGATTCCTTTAATTAATTAAGAAATTTATTTAAAAATAATAAAATTAGGCAACTAATGTGACACTATTAGATATCATAATAATCCATTTATTTATAAATATGTATTTATCTATAATGTATTTAATTAATATTATTGAATTAATAAATAATTTTGATGAATTAAATTGAAATTAAAAAATAAGTTTAGATTTCTTTTGACATTTGACATTTTTTTTGGAGCTAACTTCATGTCGATCAAATATTTACACACTACACCAAAATGGCCGTCCCCCTTTAATAATATGAGTTAATTCTAATTTAGGTGAGTAAATGATAAAGAAATCGTTGGTTTTGTGCGTGCTTTTCGATTTTTGCCTTCAATAAAGGATATAAAACGTTTCCGTTGGAATGGAGTGCATTTTATTTCCGGAAAAAGAAGTTATCATAACCTTTTTGTGTTGTGTTGGTGGTCTTAAGTTTTTTTTTGTAATTTCTCTAATAAAATTTGATTTCTAACAATTACATGATGTAGAAGTTGTGTTACAACATTGATTTAAGGCGATGGTGGTGGTTAAAAGTTGCGCCCAACGAATCGGAACGGTACAAAAAAAAAATGGTCTTGAGAGTTTCTATTTTTGTTATTATTAGAATAATAGAGTTTTTAGAGTTATTTTTTTTGCGATTTTTAGCGGTGTGAATGGCGTCTAATACAGATGGGAGTACCAGCAATGGTAAGTTTTCGTTTGAAACTTATTTAATTTTTTTTTAAATTAATTTTTACTAATTTTTGATTAAATTACTTTACATCACATTAAAGATTATTACTGTCTAGGTACCCTTTCTAGAAACTACTCTATCAGCTCAAGCTCATCAAGAGATTACGACCAGCTCAAACAACAATATGACAAAGCCAATAACGAACTAGCCACATTAAGAAGACGTTGTGATCATGCTATGAAAGTAATTAATTGAAGAATATTAACCACTTTTACTGATTTTTTTGATTTTTAAGGAATTAGATTATTATAGGAGTCATCATAGAGTTGCAATGAATCAATTGGAAGTTTCTTCACAAGATACAGCCGCTTTACGAACAAAATACGGTGACGTTTTGAATGAAAATCAACGATTAGAACAAAACATACAAAGCTTAAGAAACGAATTATCCGAATATCATCGGCAACAAGAAGTTTTATTATCTGATACGAACACTTCCGATTCATTGTACATGCTAACAAGACACGATGTCGTCGATTATGAAACGTTACGGAAAAGATATGAGGAGCTCATCTCTTCTCATTCGCAAGCGATTAATAAATTGGAAATGGCCCAAGTCGAAAATAATCGACTCACCAAGAAAGTTGATGAATTATCACAAGAACGAAACACAATTGTATTTATTTAGTTAATTAAATCAATTTTGGTTATTAATCAATTCTTTTTGTAGTTGAGAGACAATGATAGTTTAAAAGAACAGATTACAACAGCTTATAGCCAATGGAATAAGGTCGTTCGGGATTGCAATAAGTATCGGGAAGCCTCCATAAAAGCCCAACAAAAATATGACGAAGCCATTAAAGAGGTTAACCAAGCAATGGCGTTCCGAATGAAAGCTAACAAAGAAGTACAAAGATTAACTGATGAAAGAAACGCCACAATGTCCGAATATAATCTAATTATGAGCGAAAGGTAAAGTTTTTATTTGACACTAAATGGCAAAATGACAATTAAACGCATGTGGCGGCATCCGTCGGGGATATTTTGAAATTATTCAGCTAAGAACCGAACCACTAGAATACAGGTTGAATTGGGTATAAATATAAAAGCTCTAACTAACGTTCCGACTAATTGGGAATTAGTCAGATACAATTACACCTGTCAAATAATGCCGCCACATTTGAATTTCACTGCATCACATCGAAAAATCCCTTTAAAGTGACGTTTTCATTTGCCATCTACCAGTTTAAACTTGTACTACAAGTTTAAATTCTGAACAAACGTCAACTTTTAAAATTCTTAGCGACAAATTTAAAAATATAACATGAATTGGAACCAACCTTTTTAAATTTTAAAAAATACTGGTAATAATTGTTATTGCTGTCTCTCATCATTCCCACCATTAATAACAAAATTGTTAGTTTAATTAAATCATTTAAGTATAGACGGTAGAACTAGAATCATTCGGGTTTAGCCGTCTTTAGAGACGTGTGGCTAAACCCAAATGATACGTCTGAAGTCGCACGGCTAAACCCCAAACTTTCTAGTTCTAGTGTGAGTTGCAGCATTCTAGCGATTGCTATGCAGCGTCTTAAGAGACGTCCGGTTAAACCCAAACGATTCTAATTCTAGGTATAGTATTAGTTCTACATAGTAACAGTGCTAGTGTAAAACTAGAACTAACACTAATAAGCGTTTAGAGACACGCGGCTAAACCCATATGATTCTAGTTCTAGGTATAGTTTTAGTTCTAGTGTTACACTAGCACTGTTACTATGTATAACTAACACTATACCTAGAACTAGAATCATTCGGGTTTAACAGTCTTAAGAAACGTACGGTTAATTAGCAACCATGGAAAATATTTCCAGTAGTTAAATGTAACCAAAAGTGAATAAACTGGGCCTTAGTCTATAGTTATGTTTACTCAACGGACCTTAACCTGGAGCTGGGGTAAAATGACATTAAGTGTCAAAATGACATTTCTTAACCTAAAAAAAATTTTTTTTTTTATGTTTACATTTATTTTTAAACTCGCTAATTACGTTTTTACGAATTATATCACGTATTTACACAATAATTTAGCGCTTCGATCAGTTTCTTTCATGTATTCATTTAAAATACAACGATTTTTTTTTAAATATTACAAATAAGTTTAAATGCAGTGGTTTTCACGTTATATGCTTTGCAGGGACACCGTTCACAAAGAAATGGAGAAATTAAGCGATGATCTAACCCAAGCTTACAAAAAAAATAAATTACTCGAAGCAACCAACAAAGAATTAATCGAGGAAAAGCAAAATTTGAATTATCAAATGGAAAGTTTACGGAGAGAAATAACGAGTGCCTTATTAGACCGTGATAAAGCCTTGAAGGATTGTAACGATTTAAGGGAGAAATTCGGCGAGTACAACGCATCGAAGGAAGATTCGAGGGATATGATGACAAGTCGTTTGGAAAGTTTGAATTTGCTCGGTGAGAATTCAACGAGAAAGGAGGTTCAGGTTGATTCAAGGAGTTTCTCACAAAGACAATCTCGACTCGATAACCTAGACCAGGCGAATCAAGAGTTGGAGTCTTTACGGAAAAACTTAGATAAAGTCCAAACGGAGCTTGCAGAAGCGATTCAGGAGGCTGAAGTTTCCAAAGGAAGAAGAGATTGGGCGTTCTCCGAGCGCGATAAAATCGTTTTGGAAAGAGAAAGTATCAGAACGCTTTGTGATAATATGCGTAAAGAGCGCGATCGGGCCGTATCGGATTTAGCGGAGAGTTTACGGGAATCCGATAACATTAAGAAGCAAAGGAACGATATGTTAAAAGAAAATAAAATGCTTAAACAAGCGTTTAAGCTACACATGGATAAAGAAGCTCAAGCTCAAAATCAATTTCGGAACAACGAATACAATCACTCGCATGATAGTGCCATCGATAGTGATATGCAAGAATGGGAGACGGAAATTTTAGAAATGGATTTAACGGGAATCTCTATGGAGGGCGATTTAGGGTTTGAATTGGTTTCGGGCCGCGAAGATCCTCATTATCCGAATGATACCGGGATTTATGTTGCTTCAGTTACCAAGGGGTCTATCGCAGATGGAAAATTGAGGTAAATCTTTATTTATTAATTAGAAATGGTGTTAATTAATTAATTTTAGAGTGAACGATTGTTTAACTCAAGTTCAAAATTTGGTTTGTTCGAACGTTTCGAAACGGATGGTGATCGAAACATTACGTACAAGCGGCCCAGTTGTCCACATGGTGATTAGGCGGAGGAGGAGCGCGAATTGGTCCCCAACATCGAATCAACCGCAAAATCGGCACCAAAATAATTCGAAAGTTGCGCGGTGGGTGTACACGGCGCGATTAGCCTCTGGGTGCCATGGTTTATCATTGGAATCAGGGGTTTATATAAGTAAAATAAGCGAGGGAAGCCTCGCTTCGAAAGATAGTAGTTTAGTGGTTGGTGACCGCGTTTTAAGAATTAATAACAAATCTATGGACGGGTTAGAAAGCATCCACGAAGCGTTGGCGATGCTAAACGATGACAGAGCTGATATGTTATCGATAACAACTTTAAAAATGAGCTATTTAGACCCCGAGTGCACAACGAACGTGTTCATGCCCGTTCAACGGTACAAAAAAGAAAATAGAAGCTCGCAAACCGAGGATTTTCCTTCGCAAGATTACGGGAGAGATTTCGATCGGAGGTGTTTAAACCACGAAAAGAACAGCGGGGCTTGGTTGAAAGAAAAACTGGATATGGTGAGGGGAAGGAGAAACTCCAAAGATCGGAATCGAAGCGAAGAAAAGAAAAAATATAGAAATAGCTCCCCGAATCCGCTTGATTTAAGCAACGCTACCTTCGAACAAGAACAAGCCATAGCTGCTTTAGATAATGTTATCGATTATCACGAACCGAAAAAAACTAAGCGAATTTCAACCGGGATGAGTAGTTCAGAAAAAAATGGGGGAACTTGGCCTAAGGTAAATAATTAACCTCAAAAATTATTTTGTTTAAAAAATTAACCTCAAAAATTATTTTATGTCAATTTAAAAAAAAATTAACCTCAAAAATTTTTCTGTTATGTCAATTTAAAAAAAAAATAACCTCAAAAATTATTTTGTTGTCGTCTTAAAAAAAAATTAACCTAAAAAATTATTTTGTTATTTTTCTTAGGTTAGAGCTACAAATGTGCTTCAAAATGATACAGGAACAATCGTGGCAAAACGTAAAGATCGAGCACCTTTAAGTTTATTAACAAATCCGAGTCATGATGATTACGTTCGGCCACCACCGAGTAATAGTATAAGAAATTCAAATCCGGTGCCGATTTCTGTTGCGAATAACGCACGACACATGACATCTAAAAGTTTCGACAATAACAACCCGCATTTCACGAAAATGTTCAAGGTGAATAACTCGTTCGAAAAATTGAAGGCGAATAAGATGCTCGAGTACGATTCGTCGCGAGAGAATCGCTTAAGCATGAATATTAAATCGAAGGATAGTTTTTATTTTCCAAAACCTCCTTCGTTAATTAGCGAAAAAGATATTTTGATTGATTACAAAAAAAATAAAAACATAACCTCGAAATGTAATAATTCAAGTTCTGATCGGGATTCGATTCACACCACTTTATTCACGAGACCACTCCGTTTACCGAATTCGTTTCACCCGCACCCACACCCCCATTCTAATCCTTCCCCGATTAATTTCCCCACGAGTCATGAAAGTTGCTGTTGCACTCTCCCTCCGGATACGGCCCCATACTTAGTCAGACCGATCCTTCCGCACTCACACACTCAATATAGAGACACAGAAATCAGTATCAATTACGACAACGGTACTTATCCGAGAAAAAAAGAAAACCAACGTATCCGAATACCTTCAAATCCGAGTGTAACCTCAAAAAACTCTGCTGGAAAATTGAGTACTGGGAGTATTGAGAGAACTTCCGAGAGGGGTTCCCCAATGCCAATTTTTGAAGTGGAAGTGTTAAATCCAGAAAACGCCGTTAAACGACATCATTATTGTTGGCCCCATAAACCACTCCCGGGGGAACTTCGAAAGGTTCATATCGATAAATCAAACGAACCGCTAGGGATTCAAATTAATTGTCCGGAAACTGGGGGGATTTTCGTTTCTGCCGTAAACGATAACAGTTTAGCAAGTCGAGTTGGACTACAAATCGGGGATCAACTCCTGGAAGTTTGCGGAATTAACATGCGTAGTGCCACCTATGCTTTAGCCGCCAACGTTTTGAGGCAATGCGGAAATTCTATTACGATGTTGGTTCAATACAGCCCCGATAGTGAGTAAACTTTGTCGTTTTAATCGAAATTTAACACCTGTGTTACTTTTAGAATTTTCATTTTCTGAATTTCAAGAATTAGACGGTTCGGGTTCATGTTCCGGGTCGAGTTCAAACGACGATGGGGACGGCGAACCAACCCCTTGTAACTCACCGAAAGAAATACGGAAAAGTCATCCTGCTTCGCTTAGTTTACCGTTATCAAATTTAAGCGGGCAAACAACTTTAAGTCGATCTTCACAACCAAGTTCATCGTTACAACGACAAAGTAGCTCAAATAGGTAAGTTAAATCGACATAACCTCAAATGTCAAATCAATTTTATGTAGCGACATCTAGTGAGTACTTTTCAAAATATTGTGAAGTTAAAAAGTCATGTCAATAATTTATAACCTCACTTTTTTTGTTGCAGGGGTGAAGATGAACCTCGTTATCTTTACATTGAAACGGTAAAAACTTCGAATTTAGGAATATCACTTGTTGGTGGAAATTCCGTTGGTATTTTCATTCATTCCGTCCAACCAGATTCGTTAGCATACGACGCGGGGCTCCGCACTGGGGATCAAATCTTAGAATACAACGGAAGTGATCTTCGTCATGCGACCGCGGAAGAAGCCGCGTACGAATTGGCTAAACCCGCCGATAAAGTGACCGTTTTAGCTCATTATCGGATCGATCGTTACAATGAAATTAAAGATAAACCGGGGGATAGTTTGTACATCCGATGTTGTTTTGATCGTAGCGGGAGTGATTTGACCGATAGTTTACAACTTTGTTTTAACAAAGATGACGTGCTCTACGTGGATAATACTATGTTTAATGGGATTCCCGGTCATTGGAGGGCGTGGAAATTGGATTCGGATGGTCATCGACAACAATGCGGAATTATTCCGAGTAAATATAAAGTGGAAGAAGAAATTTTAGTGAGACGGAGTAGTACGGATTTGGAAAATCGCGGTAGTACCACGGCACGGAGAAGTTTTTTTAGACGGAAAAAGCATCAAAGAACGGGATCGAGAGATTCAAAAGAAATCGCGACTTTTAACGTTTCATCCGGTTGGTATTCCGATAACGGTAGTTTACACGAAGATTTATCGATGTGTTCGTATCAACGAGTTGAAAAATTAGATTACCCCGAATTTAGACCCGTTTTGGTTCTCGGCCCGTTAGCTGAATACGTCGTCGATAAATTAGTTAACGATTTCCCCGAAAAATTTAAAAAAGTTTTAGCCGAACCGCGACATTGTACTCAAGCTGCTTTAGAAACTGAGATGGCCGAGAATTTAATTGTCGATTATCGAAGGAAAGGAAATTATTTCGAGTGCATTACAGTCGCTGCGATAAGATCTGTTTGCAGCGCGGTGAGTTAATTAATGAGTAAACTTTAAAAAAAAATAAATTGTTTATTTTTTTTAGAGATTACACTGTATGTTGAACGTTTCTGTTTCGTCGGTTGAGAAACTTCACCGAAACCAACTCTATCCTATCGTTTTATTAATAAAATTTAAAAGTACCAAACAAATTAAAGAGGTAAAAGACACGAGATATCCGATGGATAAGCTTTCTGGTAAAGCTGCGAAGGAAATGTACGAACACTGTTTGAAATTAGAAGCGGAATATCATCATTTAATAACTGGTACTTAATTGACTTATTCAGTGCTGGATTGTTGTGTACTTTTCATTAAAGTAAAACTAGAACTAACACTAGACCTAGAACTATAAAGCTTCAAACTATAATTTTTCTAGTTATAGATCTACTGTTAGTTTTAGTTTTAATTATTATTCAATATAATTAATTTTTTATTACATTTTTTTAGCAACAATTCCTGCTGGAGTAAATATTGCATATATGTGTACCCAAGTGAAAGCTGCAATAGATGCGGAACATACGAAAAGTCAATGGGTTCCGGTACAATAAATAAAAATAAACTGCCGAAGAAATCACGCCGATTTGGTGTGAGCCTTAAAATTTTAAAATTTAAAAATGCAGATAACGATGTGATTATTATAATATTTTGATAAGAAAGAATTTTTACACTTTGTACTTTAAAAGAAAAAAAAAGTAATTAGTTAGAATTGTCTTCCTAAAAGGATTGAAAAAAGAAATTAATTTTTTTAACCTTTTTTACTATCACTATGATATAAATTTATAAAAAATATGTAACGAATCTACATAACCTAGCTTTTAGAACGAATTCGGATTCTAAGCTTTTATTTGTTTATTTTTAAATGTTGTTTCTGTTGATTAAAAATTTTATTTCCCCTTTTTTAATTTTTAAAAATGTTTATCATTACGACTCATTTCGCTTTGTAAATATAACCTTGTTATTTCTCTATTGTATCTCGTCAAAAAAGATGTAATTTTGAAGAGTATTTTATTATAATGTGCACGAGAGATTATTCTTTCAGTATTGTTATTATTATTTTGCAACAACGAAACTTAAAAATCGTAAAAATACAAAACAATTATTTTAAGGAAGATTATTAGATAATCAATCATCTGGTGGTTTGTAACTTTACATTTTTTTTTTGTATTTACTCTGTGATTATCCTTATTATTAACCTCTTCCATATCTGCGGCTATGGTTTTACTTCTCTTTTTTGAAGATTCAATAAAATTTACACAAAAATAATTGTCTATAAGTAAACATAACCTAAAAATTGACATAACCTCGAAATTTCCAGTTAATACTCATACAATTAAAAAAATCCAATTTATTGAAGAAAATCTAAGTAAAACTAACCTTTTTTTTTGTTGAATCTTGAAGTAAATTTCAAAACAATATTTTTTTATAAACTCTTTAAAGTTTCTAATTAAAAAACAACTAACTTTTCAGGTTATAATTTGACATTTCAAATTAGTGTCACCAATCCTAAACAATAAAAGGAATCTTAAAAATCGTAAAAATAAAAAAAAAAATTTTATTTACTCTGATTATCCTTATTCTTAACCTCCTGCATACATTTTCTCGTTTTACTTCGTTTTTTTTAAGATTCAATAAAACTTTCACAAAAATAATTAGTCTAAAAGTAAACATAACCTCAAATTCCCAAATTTATAATTTACCTTTAATAACAAGATAATCCGCCTAATGTTGGATTTCACATTTTATTTGAGTAAAAATGATTCGAGCAAATTTATCGCAATTAAATTTTAACAAGAATTATTATTTATAATTATGTTGAGTGATTTGAGTGTAATACGACATGTAGCGAGTCATTTTCAAATTCAATTACATTTAACCTAACTTTTTTTTCTAAATTAATAGTTTTTATAAAAATTACAACTTCTCTCTCATTTGCAACATTTTTTTTATTTATAGGAGATTATAACATTAATTCTTTAACCCAGATACAATGGAAAATTAACATTTACGATAATTTGGGTTATTGCTCGATTAATACTCGTAAAATATAAAAACCTTTTTTGTTCAAAGTTTCTAAGTTCAAACTTCTAAGTTTCTAATTAAAAAACACAACTCACTTGTCAAGTTATAATTTGACATTTCAAATCAGCATAACCAATCCTAAATAATAAAAGGAAACCAAAAAATCTTAAAAATACAATTTATTTGATTTTTTTGTATTTACTCTTTGATTATCCTTAATATTAACCTCCTCCATATCTTTTTTTAAAGATTCAATGAAATTTACACAAAAATAATTATTGCCTAAAACTAAACATAACCTAAAAATTGACATAACCTTAAAATTCCCAAATTTATTTATAATTTATCTTTAATAACATGATAAACCGAGTAAGGCTTTTTTAGAATCGGGTGAACATCATTTTCGCATTGTATACATATTTTATCCTTTTTATAATCCAAATAATTCTTCAAAAACAACCGATTTAATTTATGTACTTGTGGGTGATTCATGTACTCATCCAATTTCATCCACTTACAATCAGCTAATTCAAATTGTGATTTCTTTATATCAACATTTAACGGTTTCAACGAAATCACCACATATAAATCTGAACACCCAAAAGTTCCCCCGTGTCCATGTCTTAACGTCAATAAACTGTCAAATTTCGTTTTTATGTTGGTTTCTTCGAAAACCTCCCTTATTGCAGCATCGATTAAATTCTCACCGGGTTCTACGTACCCTCCGGGTAATTTCCAATGATCGAATTTGAGATGATTTTCTTGTACGACTAATATTTCATCGTTTTCGTTAACGACCAAGCATCCAACACCCAAAGTTGTGTGTGCGTAAGGTGGGATAGCGCAAGGTTCATCTTTCGGAAGCCACTTATACAACATTATGTAGTGTTCTTTCGCGTGATGAAATTTAAAACCGCTTTTGGTTAAAACGGGGACCCATTCCGAGTGTTCCATAAAAACTTTAAACCAAATTCCTCTTAATTTTTGATTATCCCAGTACTTCAATGATTCCTCCAGTTTCATTGGAAAATCTTTAATATCACAATCTTCTACCTCCGATGATATAATAATCCCATTATAACGATCCATAAATCCTCGTAATATATTCGGATTCCGATAAGCGGCCATATCAACAAATTTTCTTCTAATACTTAAAATGATCTGATTAATTTAATTAATGCGTAAATAAAATAATCTTACTTTAAATTGTTGAATACATAACCTCTATACCATAAAATATTAACGTATCTAATCGAAAACTTTCGTAACACTCTTACTAAATACATTTAACTGAGTGACTTCGCGATTTTCGTTGCGTTATCAATCGTTTCAAAGGTTGCATTACAACTAAAGTATTATTAAACATAATAGTTTAAATTAGTACGAAAAATTTTAAGGTTATGTCATTTTAAAAATAATTGTAGTGTAGAGTGTAGGCAACCCAATACACACATTTACTTCAATTTGTTCATGATTAATTAATGTAATAATAAATAAGTTTTTCCCTAAAATATATAAATTTATTATTTTTGACCCATAAAAGAGATTGGTGAATGCCTTATCAAAAGAATAATAAATATTTTTAAGTCAACATAACCTCAAGTGTCAATCCACTTCGAATTTATTTTTTTCGTGATTTTGAGGTTGTTGTTAATATTTAATGTTAGATCTTAAATTTTATTTAAATAATAATGATTTTTTGAGCTCAATTCATAGCAATTAATAAAAATTATTATTATTTATAATTATGTTCAGTGGAATGTCATTTTCAAATTCAATGATATTTAACTTAAAAATTTTTTTAATAATTTAAATTTGTATAGAAATTATAACTTTTCTTTCATTTGTAACATTTTTTTTTTATTTATAAGAGATTAGCGCATTAATTCTTTAACCCAGTTACAAAGTAAAATAAACAGTTACGATAATTACGTTTACTACTCGGTTAATACTGATAAATTAAAAAAATCCAATTTATAAAAGAAAATCTAAGTGAAACTAACCTTTTTCTTGTTAAATCTCCTTGAAGCAAAACCCGAAACAATATTTATAAACACATTAAAGTTTATGATTAAAAAACATAACTCACCTTTTAAGTTCTAATTTGACATTTCAAATCAATGTCGCCAATCCTAAAAAATAAAAAGAATTCTCGTCAACTAATCAACAAATTAAAATTATTTAAATCATTTTCTGCCATTGCACCATCATTAAACTTAGTTTCAACTATGTAAATAACCAAATGCGTATTTACATCAATTTCCTTATGATTAAGAATTCTTTTAAGTCCATAATATCCTAATTTGAGCAAACACACAAATTGTACCCCAAAACCCATATAAACGCACCTTTCACATTTATTTTTAACCCAGAAAAATGAACGTTTTAGCCAACCTCCTAATTTCAACGTATTTCAATCAATTTCATTGCATTTTGATATTTAGCAACAACCATTTCGAGTATAACTCGAAAATTCCGATTGTATCAGTTGGTTGTGATGAAAAAATCGACGAAAACGTCGTTTTTAAATACCATGGGTGTCAGGGGATCGTGATTTCGTGCGAAAATGATTTGTGGATTTTCGAAAATTTCGAATTTTTATTAAAATCGAATTTGGAAAGATTCAATTTCAGGCGATATTTAATTTTTGGTGGAAATTTTGAGATATTTTCGTCGAAAAGTATCGATTACGTTGCAGATGTTGTGATGGTTTCGAAAGAATTTGATTTTGACAATAAATTCGGGTTGGGATATGATTCCATTTTTGGAATGTACACTCATAGATACGTTGGAGAGAAATCACAGAGAGAAATTGTGCTGCTTGATAAGTGGTTTTTAAAGAATCAAAGTTTTTCGTTCAATTTTAATCTTTATTTGGATAAATTACAAGATCAAAACGGGAGGGAGCTCAAAATTGCAACTTTTAATTATGAACCTTACTCAATTCCTGGTTAATTTTTTAATTTTTTTGCTTGATTCAATTCATGTACTTTATTTATTTTTTTAATTTTAGGTAATAAAGATGGAACTGAAATGTTAGTGGTGCTAGAATTCGCGAAAAGATACAAAATGACCCCGACTTTTCTTGTTGACGATGTAGGGATGTGGGGCGAAATTTACGATAATTGGACCGGAATTGGAATTTTAGGAAATTTAGCGATGGATAAAGGAGACGTTGGAATTGGTAAATTCTTAACTTATCACAAAATCGTTTTAAAATCGAAATTTAAGGCGCTTTATACACTTGGGAACACGATTTTCACTTTTTGGACTTCACCAAACCAACGATTCGAACTGGGGTTACTTGCATAGCTCCCAAACCCAAGATAATCGGGGGTTGGATTACCCCATTCCTCGCATTTTCATGGAAATTATGGATCGTGTTAATTATCGCCATCATCATCATCTTTTCATCAATCTTTTATGTTTTGACGTTTAATACGTCAAAGTAAATTGGGTTGCATAACTTCACAACAAATTTTAAACTACATATCTATTTTAGATCGTTTTTACAAGAGAATTTAATGAAATCGTTTATATTAACTCAATCGATTTTTTTGTTACAAAGTATACCGAAATTTCCCTCTAATTCGAGAATCATTTTCGCTTTGTCTTTATTGTTGAGTTTAATGACAGCTACTTTGTATAACTCGGGTTTAGCCAGCATTATGACGGTGCCGAGGTAAATTACACGTTTTTATTTAATAAAGTGACTTAACTTTAATTTAAGGTACAAAGGAACAATTGATGATGTTTATGATTTGATTAAAAGTGATGTTAAATGGGGTGCATCTTCTTATGCTTGGATTTCTTCGTTGTATGATGATAATAGTGTAATTCGTACTTATTTAGGAATTAAACAAACTAAATTTGTTTCTGTTTTAGGATGTTTATAAAGAAGTCGTCAACAATTTTTATAAAGGATCACCGGATGATTTAAGGAAAAGAAACAACGAATCGTTCGCCTTTGCAATCGAACGTTTACATGGAGGTTAATTCTCCCAATATTTGTTTAAAATTAATTCATTTGTTTTAACCAAAAAGGTCATTACGCAATTGGTGAATACATAACAAAGGAGGGAATTCAAGAACGTCGATTAATGTCCCAGGATATTTATTGGGATTATTGCATCGTTATGTTGAGGAAAAGTTCCATTTTAACCCCGAAGTTTGATAATTTAATCTTGGAAATATCCCAAACTGGTTTACCTAGCTTTTGGGAATATCAAGTAACGGTACAAATTAATTTATTTATAAGTTGTAAATTTTTTTTTAGGTTAGTGTAAGAAACAGTGACATGAAACTACAAGAAGCAGTTCATAATTCCGGACATCAACCACATTCATCAAGTTTAATTAAATTATCTTTTACGCATTTAGAGGGGGCTTTTGCGTTATGGATTTTGGGGATTATTATTTCTTGTATTGCGTTTTTATGGGAGTTGCGACCAAAATAATTAATAACAATAACTGCATTATTAATTAAACGTCAAGTGCTACAAGGGAATTTTATTTTCCACCAACCTAAATAATTTAATTAAATATTCAATTTAAGAAATTTAAAGCAAATTAAAAAAGTTTTTCCACTAAAAATAAGTGAGGTTATGTCCTATGGTTATGTCTATTCTAATTGAGATGTCAAAAATCGGTTATTTGTTATTCTAGAAATAAATAAATTTAGGAGAGACTTACCCATAAGATGTTTATCTTGTTCACCTGGAAAGAAAATAAATTTTTAGGATTTGCGTATAAATTACAATAAATAATAAATTCAATAAAGATAAGTTTAAATTGAGAGATGTCACTTTGGAATACGTCATAAATGGAATAAATTTATAAAATGTTATTATTGCGAATAACAATAATAATTAATAATAACTTAATAAATAAATAATAAATCAATAAAAATAACTTTCAATCAAAAAATATTTTTTTTTTTACTTTTAGATCGTTTGATTTTAGAACAAAAACGAAGTTTGGTTCATTTGAACGTTGTTTATAGATCGATTGTCAATTTTTCTAAACATAACCGTTTATCCGTATTGATTGTTTGGGTTTTAAGAAAATAAATTGTAATGAAATAACTTATTTATGTAAAGCAAACAAGTAAAAATATTATTTAATTGTAATTAATCTTTAAAATATATAGTTTTTGTAGGTTTATTGATGAAAATATTGAAATTTTAATAACTGTCAACGAAAAGTGAGGTTATATCTATCGGAGAATTGATTTTTGGTTTTTATCATAATACGAATTTTTAAAATGTAAAATTTTATATTGTTTATGTTAAATTATGTGTAATTAAATATATATTATCACAAACTGACGATCTTTACTAGCATGTGTGGAACTATTACACAAAATTTTTGGAAAATCAAATTATATTGATATATTGTATTATTAGATGTAAAATTGGTTGCCTACACTATTTAAATGTTTATTTTTCTTCTACTTTCGCATCCCTGTTTGTGAAGCATTATGTTTATTTATTTATTATATTAATTAATGAATTATATTTCGATATAATTCATAGTTGATGTTTTAAACTAGTTGTATAACGATGATAAATGTAAATTTGAAACAATTTATGGGGGTTAATTTGAATTTCAACTTCACCGAGTGAATTTCTGAATTATTGTGTCGTGATGGATGCAAGTGTTACACAAATGCTAATTGAATGTGTGAAGTGTAATGTTCGTTATCCTACAAAAGTTAATCGAATCTCAGCCTCACTCTATATTCATACTCAAATGGATTAAGTAGATTTGGCCTAATTCTCTATTCGGCTATGATAACTTTGCTCTTTCCCTCAACTCGATTCTGTATACAGATTCGTCGGAGTAGACAGATTCAACGTCAGCAGGCCATAAATTTCAATGAAATGATTCATGATCTCGCTCAGATATCAAACATCGATTATTTTCATGTCATGAGTAATTGCAACAATTTATTATCTCAATAATCTGAAGTTGATGTCGAAGAAATTAAATCACATCTCCACTTAATGAAGAGATAAAGAAAATTTTCCCTTCCCCGTGTTAAGCATTTAAATGAATTACAACACCTTTCGAAATAAATAACACTAAAAATACACAAAGTGACGTCGATTTTTGCAAGAGATAAGATTTACGAAGTATATATTAATAAAGCAATTTAGGTCGCCTTACAACAATGCACCTTATTTACTTAGTTTTTAATCTGCTCTCATGATAGTTTGACACATTTTTGTTCCTATTAAAAAATATGAATAAAGAAATTTACACAATTTCTAATAATAATGAAGTTAACGATGAAAAATCTTTAAAAGTACGTATTTATAAACATTTAATCATATATTTGACGATTTTATTTAAAGAAATCGGCTCTAACCAAAGAAGTATGGAGCCACGAACTCCAATTTTTGATGTCTTGTATCGCGATGTCGGTGGGATTGGGAAACATTTGGAGATTTCCGTTTACAGCGTATCAAAACGGCGGCGGAGCTTTTCTTATCCCGTACTTAATCGTTTTGATTTTGGTGGGAAGGCCGATTTATTATTTAGAAATGTGTTTGGGGCAATTTACAGCGAAAGGAAATGTTAAACTTTTTGAAGCGATGGCCCCAGCATTAAGAGGTTCATATTTCAATAAAAAAAAAAGATTTATACATTTTAATTTTAAGGTATTGGATATAGTCAAATAACGGGAACGATCTGTATAGCGACTTATTATTGTTCCTTATTATCTTTGTCCCTTTTCTATTTTATAAATTCATTCACCGGCGATTTACCTTGGTCTTACTGCAGGGATGAATGGGAGGCAGAGAATTTTTTAAAAAATGTTACTTGTATTCCATCAAATTCTAACGGAAACTCAACCCTAAACGGAATCACATCTTCGGAATTATATTTTAGGTAGGTACTTATTTCGATTTGGTTAAGAAAATAAATTAAATCATTTTGTAGGAGGGAAGTTTTAAAAGAAAAAATCAATATTGATGATGGAATCGGTCTCCCCGAATGGCGATTAGTGCTTTGTTTAGTTTTTGTGTGGTGTTGTATCTTTATTATTTCAAGAAACGGCATTCAAAGCACCGGAAAAGCTTCGTATTTCCTAGCTTTATTCCCCTACGTCGTTATTTTAGCACTTTTGATTCGATCGGTGACGTTAGAGGGAGCAACCGATGGTTTGGTTTATTTATTTAAACCGAATTGGGACAAATTAATTGAACCTGAAGTAGAAAATTCTTATTTTAATTTCCCCTCTCTTATTATTATTATTATTTTAAAGGTTTGGTACGCAGCTGCCACGCAATGTTTCTTTTCGTTGAACGTTGGAGTTGGGACAATAACCGCTTATGCCTCATATAACGGTTTTAGACACAACATTTATAGGTTACTCATCTAATTTGGCTTAATTTGCAATTTAAACGGTTATTTTAGGGATGTAAACATTATAACGACTTTAGACACTTTTACCTCTTTGATTGCTGGCAGTACGATTTTTGGTATTTTAGGCAATTTGGCGAATAAATTAAACGTTGATGTGAGCGAAGTTATTAATACGGGAGGAACTGGATTGGCTTTTATATCGTATCCGGAAGCGATCGCACGATTTGATGCCGTTCCTTGGGTAAACAATTTTTTATTTTATATTTGAGGTTAAATCTATAAACGTCAAATAAAAAGTTGGTAATAAAGAAATCTGTATAAGTAACATTGAGATACATATAATTTACATACGTAATTATAGTATATCTCGATGATAAGTAAGAACAATTTGACAGCCGGTGTCAATTAAAAAGAAATCTATTTTAATTATTATCAATAATAATAATAATTATTATTATTAATTAATCCTTCTTTTTAGTTATTTTCGTTGCTATTCTTTTTCATGTTGTTTTTGGTGGGTTTGGGTTGCCTTGTTTCGATGCAAGCTTGCGTTTACACGGCTGTGGTTGAAAATTTCCCCAATTTAACCAGATGGAAAGTTGTTTTAGGAATTTCCATCTGCGGGTTCCTAATTGGATTGGTTTATCTTACACCGGTAAAAATAAATTTTGATAAAAAATGTTTTAATTAATTTTTCCTAAATTATACAGGGTGGCCAATTTATTTTGACGTTAGTGGATCATTTCGGAGGAACGTTCATAACATTTTTATCCAATATTATGCTCATCACGATAGTTTCTTGGTTTTACGGTAAAAAATGACGCATAATTAATTCTTGTTTTAATCTTTTGCGTTTAGGGTTGGAAAAATTTTGTATAAACATCGAATTTATGTTAAAAAAGAGGGTTGGGGTTTATTGGAGGTTAAGTTGGGGGGTGTTAACCCCGGCTGTTTTATTAGCAATTTTTATCTACTTCGTGGCGACGATGGAAACGTTAAAACACGAAGGAAAAGAATTTCCAACGATCGCTTTAGTATGCGGTTGGTTAATCGTTGGTTTGGCGTTATTGCAAATATTTTTATGGTGGGTACGATATTTGTGGATCAATAAAAACTTGGGATTAAACGAATCAGTTAAGAAGTCGTTCTCCGATAAAGATTTCGTGCCGAACGATGAAGAAATTCACCGAGAATGGGACGATGTCAAACAAGAACGACTTCAAAAATTGAAAAGCGTCACGAGAAAAGTTTATGTTTTACATTTATTGATGGGGAAAAAAATTAAATAAATTTAATAAATCAATATATTGTTTCTAAATAAATGCATTTTTTATCGCCCCTCATAAACCAAAAGATAACTTTATCCTCCAATAAACTTTTATAACCCAAAATTAAATAAACTCATAGTTACAAACAAATTACTTAAATATATAGACCCAATAAATCGCGGCGCAACTTTCAAAAGGGGAATCATGTAATAAACGAGTCACCTTTTAGAAAATATTATTCTTTCGACAATTTATTACGCGTAAATATCATTTTTATAGAAATCGAATGCATTGTGTAATGTAAATAAGATCTCTCACTTACCTCGTTTTTGTGAGGCTATTGTTGTTTTCTTCGGGTTATGGAATTCGAACTTTCATTCATATCGTTCCCCAGTCACAGAGTTTCTTCTAATTCTGCTTCTTATTATAAAGAAGATAATGACAAAGACTTACATAAATGGAACAACACTTTAAAATCGAGATGACACAATTAATGGAAGGATAGTTCTTCTGGGAGCCAGACCAGACTTCCAGTGGCTCGACTTTCTCAGGACCTTTAGGAGGACCTTTGCACAACTAGATCTGGAAAGGGATTAAAAGTATAAATAGTGATTTAGGTCTAACTAATATCAGTCAGTTATATCTTTTTATAATCGACTTCACAATTATTTCTATTCAGTTCTTTTTGATTTCGCATTTATTCTTGTTTTGGACTTTGCTATCATAGTATTTAAATGAATTATTATTGACGATTAAGGCACGGGTACCAATCATTTGATGAATAGGCATGTTATTTGGGGATTTAGGCAGCTATACTATTGAAAGAAGTGCACAAAATTGCTGTGGCGGGGAGCACGTCTGTCTTTAGCAGAAAAAAATCACAGTTTAAGTACACCCCAACCTTAATTCTAAGAATTTTCAGTGTTTAAAATGTGCTTATTAACTCAATGAATTCAATTTCTGCACTATTACAACACTTTACATAAACGAAAAAATAAAAATAATTTTGTAATAATAAAATTAAATAAACATCTGTCTTTCTCTTTTATTGCATTGTATAATCGGCGTATTATTGCGGTTATATTGCGGTTTGACAATGAAATTTTCCATTTTTTTCACCTCGTACACCTCAAAACGTCTATAAATGTACCCCGTTTATTTACAATGAGATTCATATTATTATTACGCTCACTTTCGCAACTTCACGGTTGCTCGTAACATTTTATCTTTTCCACCTAATTTTTCTTTTAAAGAATTTACGTGTGTTTGTTATCTAAATTGGGCGCAGTTAATAACATACAGACAAGTCAACAAGAACAGTTTTTATTGTATTTTAAGTAAGTTTTCGATTTTCTTAATTTCTTTATTATAAATTTTTCTTTTAGATGAGTGAGCTAAGGGTAATCGAAAATAACGATTGTAACGGTAATATTACAATCGATGGCGATGAGAAGAAAAAGGACGATGTTGAGGCTCCATCGAGAGACACTTGGGGGAAAGGAGTCGAATTTTTGATGTCTTGTATTGCGATGTCGGTTGGGTTGGGAAATATTTGGAGGTTTCCGTTTACAGCGTATCAAAACGGAGGGGGGGCTTTTCTTATTCCGTATTTAATTGTTTTGTTGCTTGTCGGGCGCCCCATGTATTATTTGGAGATGTGTTTGGGGCAATTTACAAGTTTTGGGAACGTTAGGACTTTTTATAAAATGGCCCCAATATTAAAAGGTTTATTTTTAAATCATTATCTCACAACATTAAGATTAATTAATTTTAAGGAATTGGTTATGGACAAATGTTGGGTTCAATGGCGGTGGCAACTTATTATTGTTCTTTAGTGGCGTTAACACTTTTCTACTTAATAAATTCCTTTACAAGTGATTTACCTTGGTCGAAATGTCGCGAAGAGTGGCAAGAACATTTATCAAATCAAGGAATTAATTGTATACCATCAAACGGAAACGTAACAGCTAACGAAAGCGCGAAAAGTTCGTCAGAATTATACTTTAGAATCGAAGTGTTGAAAGAAAAGGATGAAATTTACACCGGATTAGGAGTCCCGGAATGGCGACTCACGTTATGTTTAATATTTTCGTACTTTGTGTTATTTGTAATTATACGAAATGGAATTAAAAGTTCCGGAAAGGCGGCGTATTTCTTGGCAATTTTTCCGTACGTGGTAATGTTCGCGCTACTGGGTCGCGCCGTAACTTTGCAAGGGGCCGGAACTGGAATGTTATATTTCATCGAACCGAAATGGGAGAAACTATTAGAGGCCCAAGTTTGGTACGCGGCCGTAACTCAATGTTTTTTTTCGTTAAATGTCGGTTTTGGGACAATCACCATGTTTTCATCTTACAATAACTTCAAACAAAACATTTACAGAGATTGTTTAATCGTTTCATTATTAGATACTTGCACTTCGTTACTTTCCGGGACCACGATATTCGGTATTCTTGGCCATTTAGCTTTTAAATTAAATGTGGACGTTTCGAAAGTTATAAACGCGGGTGGAACTGGATTAGCTTTTATTTCTTATCCAGAAGCGATTGCTAAATTCGACGCGGTTCCGTGGTTATTCGCAATCTTATTCTTCTTTATGTTGTTTGTATTGGGAATTGGAAGCATGGTGGCTTTACAAGGAGTCGCTGTTACTGTGATTATGGATAGTTTTCCTCATTTAAAAACTTGGATGGTTTCGTTAGGAACAATAACTGTTGGATTCTTATTTAGTCTGGTTTACGTAACCAATGTAAGTAAAAAAATTTGACGTTTTAATTAAAAAAATGTATACAGTCAACGCATATTACGTTGCTTAGTTACGCGATGACGTCACATTGCATGTTACTTTGAATGGCGCCATCTTTGTTTTTGAATATGAATCTCGTAAAATGTAAAAAGTTCGCCGCACGTCTCTAAAGACGGCTAACCCGAATGATTTTAGTTGTAGGTATAGTGTTAGTTCTAGTTATACACTTGCACTGTTACTCTGTAGAACTAACACTATACCTATTAGAACTAGAAACATTCGAATTTATTTTAAACTTCTAGGTATAGTGTTAGTTCTAGTTTTAATTATTATTCAATATAAAATATTACGATTTAATTCTTTTTCAATTAAAGTTAAAAAGTTTTTTTTTCTTTTAAATTTTAGGGTGGTCAATTTATTTTTACATTGGTCGATTTCTTTGGTGGAACAATGATATTTTTAATATTAACAATTTTTGAGACAACATCCGTATTTTGGTGGTATGGTAAATAATTTTATTTTTCCCTACATTAATAACGTCTTTTTAAAGAAGACTTTTCAATTTGAAGGACTTGAAAATTTCTGCGACGACATCGAATTCATGTTAAAACGAAAAGTGGGATTTTATTGGCGATTAAGCTGGGGCATCGTGAATCCCATCATTTTAATCGTCGTCTTTTTTTATTTCGTAGTCACGATGGAACGATTGACGCACGAAAACAAGCAATTTCCCGATTCGGCAATAGGTAGGATTTTAAAAACAACTTTATTTATTTAAATTTAATTAATTTGTTTTTAAAATTTTAGCATTCGGTTGGGTGATAATCGCGGTGGGAGTTTTATTCATCCCGATTTGGTGGGGTTATTATATTTGTCATAATAAAAATTCCGATTTCGATTATAAAGAGGTAAAGCGAAAATTGAATCAGTTAAAATTTTTAATTAAACTTATAAATCCTTATTAGGTGATAAAAAAATCTTTATCCCACGAAAAATGGGGCCCGGCTAATTCGGCGAAATCTCAAGAATGGAAACTTTACAAAGAAGAATTAGCTTTAAAACGAAAGGAATCGCGTATATCTGGGTTTAAACGAAAACTTTTTATTTTAATTGGTGTTAAATATTATTAATTACATTTATCTAAATATTAATTAATTTATTTTCGATGAAATAAATTTTTTTAATTACACCTTTTTATCTTTATGACATGAACCAGGTGCGCTTAAAAGCTTTCTTCAAGTTCATCCTTTTCAAGTTCCATTTTACGCTTTTATACTCAACAGATCATTTCTATTCAATGAATTAGGCGATATTTTATCCTTTCACACCTTCCTTTTTATTTTTTCATAAAAATAATCATCCTGTATATGGGTTACTAATAAATTTTAAGGACGTATATTATCGAGTATTCTCTCCTTGGAAGGTTTATGTCGTTGTATTTTCTCTCGAGGGGGACTCTAATAACTATATTTCATTGAAACGGTTTCCGATGTAGTAAATAAAGGGAGAGTTAGTAATTTATAAAACATTTTGTTTCAGATTTATAAAGTTTTAGTTGAGTTAATCATTACATCCGACGTAAAGCCTATTAGTAGCCGTCTCGATTTTTTTTAGTAATTAATTATAATTTTTAGTACTAAATTTGGATTGAGGAGGTCGGATTTATTTGAATTGATACCCAAGAATGTTAGTTTTGGTGGAAAAATGAAAAAGTTACGTTGAAATGTCAATAATGACAGGCGGTCATTTTATTTTTAACCGAAACTTTCTATACTCTGTTTTTAAACCAGGAGGAGTATTTTAAATTTGTCACCAGATTGACCTTGCACGTGATTGGTTGAATGCGAGGAAGGTTCACACACAGGCAATTTTGAAGGTTAGGTAATTGATAATTCGACAGTTTCGTGTCATTATTGTATATTTTGTGTTCTTAAACCCTTTTTTATTATATTTTGAAATAAATACACTCATAACTTCAATGTTAATTTGTATGTATAGTGTTGACGATAACAAACGAAAATAAATACAATAATAAGTAAATAAATAAATAATAATTATTAATTTAAATTTACCGCCAAAATATCTAGTGATATTTTCTGGTGATTTTTCCTAGTGTAAATCTGACTTTCGCGTTTACTCCTCCTGGTTTAAAAACAGAGTATA